ACCGCCACCGCTTGCTCCACACATCACCACCGTTACACATACACAGGAGAGCCACACTGACTCACAGGACTCTTGTTCAAGAGGGTCCTGCATTGGGTATTTTTTTTTATTTGAACCCTTTCCCGATCCAAGACATCTGCACATTGCAGGGTGGGGTCCCGTTCACCGCTGAATCTCAGAACACGAAAGTGGCTCAGCGTTGATTTTATTAAGAGGCACACATACGTCATCGGAACCGGAAAGGGTTAAGATGTTTTCAGCCAATTCACAAGTTGTGTTTATTTTTACAAGTGGGAGAAAACCCACACCGTACGCGTGGGGGCAACACTCGATTCCTGTACAGATGGAAACAGATGGGGATTAGTCCACTTGCCGCACTGCCTTCTGGTGAGCCAGACCTTAACGTTCATGGGAAGTTTCACAACACTTGTGCGGTTATCCACCAAGCCTTGCCTCCAGCGCTGGTTTACTAGGCCACGTACATAGCCACCACCACCCAGCTAATTACGATTATGCTCGTTTACCCAGCAGAGCCTCACGGAGGCTTTTATGTGCTTAAATATAAAATTTATCATTCAGTGTATGTGACCTCATATGAGTATCAAAAATGTGGGCAGTAACAAAGCAAATGAAAAAAAGGCTGAAACGTATAGAGATGAATGTTGGGAATTACATCGAGACAAAAGTGAAACACATGAATCACTTGTGTTATACTCGGGTGTTTCAAGGACTCTAAGGGTGATGTTGCTGCTGTATGTATTCTTATTGAGTAATTTACATGGAACCTTTCAGCATTGGGATTTTGTAACCAATACCAGTTACACTGTACTTTCTGTGGGTGTAAACCCATGCAGAACAGTGAGAGAGAACATATAAATACCACACAGAACGGCGCCCAAGTCAGGAATCGAATATAGGCCTTTCTTACATCTGAGGCGCCGCCCAACAGCCGGATACAAATCATGCCTCCAAGCTGAGGCGCCACAGTGGCGAGATGTTAATTACCTCGCTTAGTATATTGGAGGTCGTGGGTTCGATCCCAACCCTGAGACCTGTATATTTGGAATTTATTGGTTCTCTCTCCCCGTGGAAGCATGGATTTTTCTCTGGGTCTTGCGGTTTTTCCCTCTACGTTTAGAATCAACATGCTTTTAGAGTAGTTGGCTGATTTAACTTTCCAGATAACCCACTTCATTGAGCTATCATTTGTGGCCAGGTCGCTTCTAAAAAAAAGAGCTATAAAGCTCAGTGGGTCTTATCTGCTAAAACTAAAAAAAGTTGAATAGTTTAGTTTATGATGTGGGAGACCGTCGGATGTGGCTATAGTGAACGTCCGAGATCGTGCCAGTGATCATCACTTTGTTTCCCAGGTGTGCGGCAAGAGGTGCTCCCAGATCTCGACGCTCAAAATGCACCTGAGGATGCACACGGGGGAGCGCCCGTACGCATGCACCGAGTGTGGCAAGCGCTTCCTACAGAGCTCGGACCTCAACAAGCACCATGTGACTCACGAGAGGGCAGCCCGCGCACCTGTGATGGAGCGCGCACTCGTAACTCGTGCCCGAGCGCGAGGCTGTACGTGGCTTTGATGTGCAATATGCTTGCGTTTTGCTTGGATACGCGTACGCCCATTCGGACTGCGCAACCCCTGGCGTTCACATGCCGGGCACTGGTGGCTACTTTATTATCGTAACCACGCGTGTTTACCTAGCAAAGCCTCACTGAGTCTCAAGGCTGTTTCCGGAGGGTCTTGCCAAGTTTTTGTGGTAGGAGGGCGATGTTGCCACTGCGTGTAGTAATTGGCAGTAAAATTTTCATCATTGGGATTGTTTGGCCAATACCAGTTACATTTTGCGTGTTTTTTTACTTCAGCTATCGCAGGAAACCAGAGAACCCCAGAGAAACCCATGCAGAAAAGGGGGAGAGAATGCAAACTCCACACAGGAAGGTGTCCGAGTCGGAAATGGAACCCAGGCCCTTCTTGCTGCGAGGCACGAGTGTTGCCAATGCATCACTAGCCTGCCACTACGCAAATTGATAATGCGCCACTGTAGAGCAAAGGGTTGGTGGATCAATGTCGTTTGCGAAACTCCCTGCCCACCCAATGGGCGTCGAGGTTGCCTGGCTGGCCAGGGTATGACTACAGCGAGTGGAATAAGCATATCCTTCCCTCTCGCGGGTTTAGCTATCGCTGTTTTGCACCAAATTAATTGAGGTACATTTTCACCGATCGTGCCCCTTTGGCTGGACCATTCACGGTTGACCGCGAGATTCCTGTACGCTTCGTAACTGCACTGCTCGCAATGTTGCTGCCGCGGAAGAACACACGCAGTGTCGTGTTGACTCCATCTTGTGTCTTATCGCGGGTCCCAGGTCACGCGCTGATCCCAGACTCCAGTAAGGTTCAGCCATACGATTTTTCTTCCTGTAGTGTACAATACTATAGACGGATGTCTATAGTATTGTACACTATCTTGATTTGAAGCTTTCGTGACTGCAGGAATCCATACTCTTTGGTTCTTTCGGTAAAGTCACGTATACGTGACTTTACAATAAATCACGTTTCGGACGCAACATAAGCGCCCGAAACGTCGTGATTTATTTAATTTTATACCTACGTGACTTTACCGAAAGAACCAAAGAGTATGGTACACTACGTAAAAAAAATTCCATTTCATACACTTACCGTACAAGTTATATTTAACACAGTAGAAAATATTGATCATTATTAACATTCAAAATTCTGCGTGTTCAATGTTTCGGTTGATGTCGGGTATCATAACACAAAACGAGGGGTGGGTGTCATATTACAAACCATGAATCAAACCCTGTTTGCCTTTTGAGTTTACGGATCGCAAACGGGCTGATTGCGGCTAACCTCAAGATCGTAACCCCTGCGATGGGCACAGGTTTTCTGTGCCCTCTACTTGTACTGAAATGCATACGGGGATCAAGTGGCACTCTCCCTGCACGCGTAGGTACTCCGGTTTCCTCCATGTGTATAAACACGAATAGAATTGGCCAATTATCCAGATATAGGACCAGAGCTCGGGCAATTGTTAGCACCAGTTCCTAACTGCTTTCCTGTTTGCCAGTGGTTTCCCATGCCTCTAAATCGCCGTTATGGAACGCGAATGAAAAACTGCGTTAATTGCAAATTCCGTATCAAATTTTGCATGTCTGTGGGCTGCGTTCTCGGAGAGGAGATGAAGCATGAATTGGAGCCGACTGCAGGACGGGTGGCACTGAGTGGTGAGAGCGCCGACTCACAAAGGTTTGCAGAGTTTATTCTGGCTCGAGGGCGACTCGGCTTTCATCTCTCCCAGAGCAATGTGGACCTGCAACGTGGTAAGGGGACTCCTCCATTTTGGATAGACTGGCTTCCACCATGGGAATGTGGAATTTTCACCACGGAGCTCCTCTCGTGATGCTTGTGGTGAATTCCAAGAGATGAAGGCGTGGAGATGCTGCAACTTGACCGATTGTTGACACGTACATTATCAAATAGTCCTTTTCGTTACCATTTGAGAAATGTCAGTGAATGTGGAGTGGTCATAGTTCAGTGTAAAGGTATGTCTACCCAGAGTAGCAAGTTGTGTCTTCACCGACCAGCTGACATTGCACCCACAGAAATGGTGGGCAGTCCGTGCGATGTTTTGTCACCAGGACCCATTCTCATCTCGATGTACTCCATTAAATTAGACTACGGAGATGAAGGGGGATTTGCCCCCAATCACTTAAGCAACTTCACACGATGGCCACTTAAGCCCCCATTGATATCACCCGAGTGTCAAGTGAATGTCGTACCCGTAATATATATTTTTTGGGTTCAATCGCGTAAATATTAATGCAGTAAACCCACTTCCATCCGACACGGGAAGATGTATTCACAATTCTGGCAATCGCCTGACAATGCTAGTTGTAAATACCAGCGAAACGTCGTTAACTCAAATTAGAAATGAGTTGTGGGTTTGCTCTCCAACACAACCGGTGTGCGGCTGAAGAAGTAAAAAATTGGCACGTTTTTTTCCACGTGACAAACCTTACGAACTGGATATGTCTGGTGGAGGAGAGTTTGACACATTTACGCCATTTAACCCATAGACGTTATCACGAATATTGGTCACAAAGGCCTACGTGTGAAATTGAATATAGCACCACGAAATTCGCTTGGTTGAACTTTTGAACGTGAGGTCAAAGTGAACCGGCAGCCAATCGGGGGTTAGCGTGGAGCAAAAGGGGCAGCCCTGAGGTCTCCGAAAACGTGGAGCTCCACGCAACATCACGACCAACGTTCAGCTCCTCCAACGTGGCGCTAGGAACACCCTCGCAAGTCAGATGGCAGTGTAGCTCGATTACCCAGGACAGCTCGAGTGTCTCAAGGCCAGGGTGTGCGCCAGCAAGCATTTCGGTTCTGCCAAGGCCCCTGCCACGTGTCTGACCCCACGAAAAGGAACTCCAATGTGAAAGACGAAGTGGGGTCAAAGAGAGGAAAGACAGGTGGACAAGAGCATGTTGAAGCAATTGAACAAATTTGAACGTGACTGATGATGTAAAGCAACCTACCCACACTCTTAGATTTTTTCGGTAAAGTCACGTAGGTAAAAATAAATAAAATAATAAACCATTATTTTATTTCTATTATTTTATAATAAATCATTATTTTATTTCTATTATTATTTATTTTTACCTACGTGACTTTACCGAAAAAACCTAAGAGTATGAATCCTTGCAGTCACGAAAGCTTCAAATCTAGAATCAACCTACCCACGTTGACGAACGTAAAGCGTTCTCAATTGGTGCATACGACCTGCAGTGACGGTTAGAAACGCGGACACTGCTGAAGAGCACGGAGCGCAAGTTGAAACATGCACCGAGTACAAAGGATGGGGTCAGCTTATGCAATGAATGACTATTTCGAAGGACATTGACATCTAATGATCGTGGCTTGGAGGCCTTCATCCAGCAGTGGATAGATCGTCTGCTTTATCAGAAAAATACATCCCACAATAAGTGCTAGTAAATCAAGTTTAATATAATTCTACAATCTCATTTCCTACTCATTTACAGACAAAATTAGACTTCTGAAACGAGCCCGCAAGAATCGGCATTCTTGATGACAACCACCATGCTCGCTTAACGCGCGGTGTTCACACAACGCATTTTAACTACGCGGTTCTTCCATTCGGGAACACTTCTCAAAACGCGGAACGTGCACTCTTATAAGGTGGAATGCACACCGCTGTAACACGAAACGCGCACCATTATAACGTGGTCGACGATGAACACTCTCTTGAGCTGCACGGCTGAGGAGTTATACAGTACTTGGAATGATACAGTAACATGGTGGCATACCCTAGAGTTACTCTTATAAGGTGGTTATTTGTCCTGCCTTCTCACTGTCTAGTACATCGTCAATACATCGTATCTCGCCAAAATGTATCGTTACTTTATGGGGAAATTGTTTTTGTTTAATGCGTTTTTCGCTTAACGCAGCACTTTTCAGGAATGCACCTTTCGCGTTAAATTACGACTTACTGTACTAATTTTAAGCCGGATATCAAGTGTTGATCAAAGCCAGACGCTGGCCCGTTCTCTCCACCAAGCTGCGTCCATTCTTCAGACCAAGCGTTTGGCGTGAGCCCATGGTGTCCAAACACAACTTGTTTTGCCATCGTTGGCCATCTTAGCACAAACCTCCCAGCAGCGTTTGCCTCTTTGTCACCTTCAGCTTCTTGTTCACATTCAGTGAACGGCTACGACACATCCAATAACACAAGTCAAGTTTACACCAGCAAATAAAGTACTTCGGGCTAATCCATTGCTGGATGAAGGCCTCAACACACCGTGTCGGGTTCGGGGGGGGGACTCTCTCACCGAACTTTATCACTCTGATCAGAGCAGTTTAGTGAAGGGGGGTACCTAGGACTGGTTCAGATACCACTCTTCACTTGTCGTGACGAGGACTCAAACTCGGGTTGCCTGGTTCATGGCGTAGTGCACTCCCTACCACAGCCTCACTTAAACAACAACCATTATTCAAACAGCCTACCACAGCGCGTCTCCAACACCACCTTTCCACTGCGTGGTAATACGTGCCAACCCTGACACTGTGTCCCCATGATTTTGAAAGTGGGGAGCAGTATATTGAACGATCGCTCGTCCCTCTTGCTTCAACTCGCCCCGAGCTCCGACCGTGGTGACCCTGTTGTCATCAAGGGGTCACCAAGACATTCGTTGTCATCTCCAAAGTAATTGAGCGTATTAACTCCACACAGTGATCAATTACAACACGTGTGAACGTTCAATCTACGCAGCCGTAGCCCAGCATACTTTGTTGAATTTTTTGTGAAAAAATGTATAGCCATCATCGCCCTGTCTTTACCTAATGTCCTGCCCAGCCAACGTGCCATGCCTGGGTATGTCATGGAGGGCTGTGATCAGAGAGAGGGAGTAGAAGGGATAGAACGGAATCATATGAAATGCGATAGACACTTATTTGCACATTTGGCATCAGGACCAAGCTCATTTGTGCAGGCAGGCCTAGAACAGAGTGGGAATGGCTGGGCACCATTTGAAGTAGTCACGGACATTTTATCCGATCATTTTTTTATTACAATATGTGCAATGCTCGATATCATTCATCGACAGGCACTGCGATTCATTTACATAACTCGATTGCTCCCATAAAAACATAATTTTGGTTCAAAACGGCAACTAAAGGCTGATTCAAAGATAGTGCCTTTACTGGTTTTCAAATCTCACCATGAGGATGGCTGGACTACAAACTGTACGCTGCTGTTGCTGGAGATCCCATGTTTTATTTGTAGTCCCGCATGTAACATTAATCTCAAAACGCTGTAGAATTTGTAAAGTGCGCACAAATACTGCTCGGAGGCATGGGATACCACGGGCAAGCGAGAGGGCAAACCAGAACCGGGGCAAATAATTACCCAAGCTCCACGGTCCTACATTGGGATGTTAGGCCAATTCCAGGCTCTGCCAACCCTCAACTCCCCAGATGGCGTGGTGCACAGGAGCAGCATTTGTCCCTGTGCAGAAGGAGGAGACGAAACGTCACACGGCTCCTCGTGAATCATCCTCGCTCCCGCATTCCCCCACCCGCTCAGGGCTGCGCCACGGCAGAGAGCTGCGTGCGGATGCGCCCCAGCGTGTCCAGCAGGGTGTGCAGTGTCTCACGTCCGAGCTCCACTGTGAGCGGCCCCGTCTCCTCCGCACCCTCCAACTGCACATGCACAACACGCAGTTTATGACTCGTGTGAGTGTACGGGTGGGTGGACACGTCAAAGTGCGAGTGTGTGTGGTTGGACACATGAAGGTGTGAGTGTATGAATGTGTGTATGGGGACCGGTAGTGCAGTGGTTAGCATGCTGTGCGAAGAACCCAGTGACTCAAGTTCGATTCCTGCTCATAGCCAACACCAGTGACGACTATCTGAACTCGTCCCGGACCTCCCCTAGATCGACTCAGCTTGGTATGCTGTGTAATAATCACCACTGGGGAGACAAAGGTGGCCGGGATTGGTGCTGACCACCCATCCCCTCGTGCCCGCCAAAGGTGCCCGCTAACATCACAGTCTGTACAGGCTATAGGGGATTTTTGTCTTTGTTGCTGCTAAGGGCGTAAGTAACTCTAGATCTCACCTGTAAATATAAATTTACCATCAGCAGTGGGTGGTGGGTGTCCTGACATGGGCTTTTCAGCCCATATGCGCGTGTCTGCGTGATGTTTCCATGATGTAAGCGTGTGGTGTGGGGCTATCCGGTGATGCATAGCCATCACACGGCCAGAATTCCTGTGATATCCATGCGTTCATATGTCAAGGGGCTCACTTATATTATTCCGCTTGTTTAGCCAGAAAAGCTTACCAAGTCTCAAGAATCTTTCAGTAGGGGGTGATGCTGCTATGTGTGATCCAAATTGAGTAAATTTAAAGTATACTATACTCTTTGGTTCTTCCTGGTTCAAAATAAAATATTTTATACCGACGTGACTTTACCTAAAGAACTAAAGAGTATGGATTCCTGCAGTCACGAAAGCTTCAAATTAAGGTTAAAGTATACTCTTTGGTTCTTTCGGTAAAGTGACGTAGGTAGAAAAATAAAATAAAATAAAAAATAATATATCACGACATTTCGATCGCAACACAAGCGGTCGTCCTCAGGCGGAAAAATAATCGAGCAGTGGAACACAGCGAGAGAGCTATTACAACAAGAGGTTATATATGTTGGCCAAGGGCAAGCGGGGTCAGAGCTGGAAAGGAATTCCATCCCCGCACGCAAGCACGTCAGTTGTGTTAATGGGGGAGATTAGGGGGAGAGAGATTAGGGAGAGAAATTAGCATGATATGAGCTTCCGTCGCCGCATAAGAGAATCGTCCCCGCATATGCGCACAACAGCAGTGTTAATGGGAGATTAGCACTAAGTTGATGGGAGAGATTAGGCAGAGAGATTAGGGAGATTAGCAAGTTAATGTCATGTCTATGTGCGGTTAGGCTTCACAAGTGTGCGTGTGTGTGTGTGCATGCCAGCGTGTGGGGGGGAGGTGGTATCTGTGCGCACAAATCACCTGCAGCTGCAGGAGACAGGTAGGGACAGCTAGATGCGCAACCTCGTCAGAGGCGGCCTTCACGTGCACGCTCCACTCCATGGAGGCCAGGCGAGGTAGAGACACTGCAGCCGCACACAGGAAAATAAATACGGACACATACAAGACAAAGATCCCCCATGCAGCCTTAACAGACTGTTGGGGCAAGTGCTATTAGCAAGTAGCGCCTATGAAGACTTGCACGGCACACGAAGGGGTGGGTGGCCAACACCACGCCCAGCCGCCTTTGTCTCCCCAGTGGTGATGTTTACACACCACACCAGGTACACATTTGAGGGTGAGTCGACCGAGGGGAGGCCCATGACTGGTTCAGATAATCGTCACTGGTGTTGGTCGTGAGCGGGAATCGAACTCGGGTCAACGGGTTTGTAGCACAGTGCACTAACCACTGCGCCACTGCTCCCGATAACGGAGATACACACACAAAGGAACGGCCGCGTGAATTATGGCGCAGCAGTTGAGAGAAGTAGCAGGAGCCATGGTGAGGTGTGGTGATTTATCGGTATTGGCAGTGATGACCTCTTGTTAATTCTCGACTCGGCGTCACTCATCTTTCACTGCAGAGCCACAATTCATCAAGAGTGCATGGAGAATCACACTCACCCTGGTCAGAGATCAGCTCACTTCTCCATGCTGGCCTGAGTGGACACACACAAGCACGCACAAAAGCACAAATACATACATGTACGACCACGTGTACCCAGGAAGCGCGCACACACACACCTCTCTCGGGTCAGGCCACTTTCCCAAGATGCGTTTCTCAGAGCCCAGGAAATTTTGTGATGAAGTTACCAGATTATTGCGCATTTGACTGCTAGAGATCCAGGCCGAATCCATGTGTAACACTCGCGGCTCACAGGAAGAAGGCTCTGGGTTCGATTCCTGACTCGGGCGCCTCTCTGTGTGGAGTTTACAGAGGACTGGAAACGGGAGATGAGCAACAACTCAATGCTCATTTGGAGCAGATCGACGACTATTGAACGTCATGAAAGAAGTTCAACGCACATACATGATACATGTATTCAATCTCGCGTGCACAAATCCACGTGTTTTATTTCTCAAGGATGTATGTACAGGCAGGCCTCGCTTAACACGACGCCGTAGAATGCCAATTCGTTATAGCGCTCTTTATCCTGGAGACATTATAGCACATAAAGGACACACCTGTCCACTGACGTGCATTTACTCCACATTGATCTCGCTCTGCCTCATTTATTTTCGCGTGTTCTTGTGAGCATTTTAAACCCATAACATCTAAACAAAGGGTTGCTAGTGTTCGTGTCGGAAATTAGGCCAAAGTGTGAAGGAAAATGATCACTTTAGATGTTAAAATTAAAGTGATAAGGCTGGTCGAGGCGGGTGAGTGTCAGATGTGTTGATGCACGCGCGAGTACATTACATAATACTGATGTCATATATTAAAAATTGTGATTTTTTAAACATTATTTTATTTTACTACATTCACCACAATATAAAGGAATCAAGTCACGGCAATTCGGAGAAGCAGTTTCGCAGAGCGCACAGGGTGTGCCGGGCGGACTGGTTGCCCTTCACGTGCTGGAGGAGGAGTCTGTCACATGGCTCTGTGGCTACATGCGCTGACGTCTACTCACATCTAAAATGAACAAACATTTACTTATTTTTCTTACATATCTGGCGCTCTAATTGTATATGACAGTCGCGTGTAAAACCATTTTCTAAATAAAAACAAAATAGCACTGGGGGAAGGCGGTGTGGATCGCAAGACCCTTACACGTTGTCGAGCAGCGCCTTTGCCAGCAGCGTCCTCAGGCCGGCGGGGAGCTTCTCCGGGAGCAAGCGGAGGGCCTCCTCGGGGCCCACGGGGCACACAAACACGGCGCGCTTCGCCAGAGCCGCGAGCGCCAGCACCAGCTGCACATACAAAGACAAAGATAGGATAGCCTTGACTGACTGTTTGAGCAAAGTGCTCTTCGCGAGTAACACCTGTGAAGGCCAGCACTGCACATGGGGGGGTGGGTGGCCAGCACCATGCCTGGCCACCTTTGTCTCCTGAGTGACGATGTTTATATACCGCACTAGGTACTCATTTGAGTTTGACTCATCCTAGGGGACGCCCAGGAACGTTTAAAATATCCGCCACTGTTACTGGTCACGAACGGGATTCACACTAGGGTCGCTGGGTTCGTACCGCAGTGCGCTAACCACTGCGCCATGACCCCACACAGCTGCTCTCACACACAGTGATGGACACAGTGAGACGCACAGCAAGATTCAAAGTGAAACGGTGACAGATACATTGAGGAAGAGTGAGACACACAGTAGCGAGACTTCAGACAGTGCGATTCCCAGACACAGAATCACACAAGACTCTCAGATGCACATCGAGATTATAAGTGTGAGGCACTAAGTGGGACGCACTGTGGGACACACAGCAAGACTCACAGACACAGCGAGACTCACAGACACACAGTGCGGCTCACAGACACTCCGATACCCATAGACTCAAAGCAATAGACACAGCGAGAATCGCAGACACACAGTGACAGACAGAGCGAGATGGACAATGAGCCTTGCTGACACACGATTACATTTACAGACACCAGTCACAGATACAAATATCCCCCGTATAGCCTTGACAGACTGTTATGGAAAGTGCTGTTAGCGTGCATCTATGAAGACCAGCACGGCACACGAGCGGATGGGTAGCCAGCACCACAGCCGGCCGTCTTTGTATCCCCAGTGGCGATGTTTACACATCACACCAGGTACTCATTTGAGGCCGAGTCGACATAGGGGAGGCCCAGGACCGCTTCAGAAAATCTTCACTGTTGTTGGCCGTGAGTGGGAATCAAACTCGAGTTAATGGGTTCATTTCTTTAGAACTGATTTTTGTGTTTAGTTTGTTGTCCTTCCCCGAAGCTCCAATTAACAAGGTTATCTACGTCCGGTGCAAAAGAAATTCAACGTATAGTGCATACATACGTGGAGCAGCACGCTTCCCGTTGCACTACCACTCCCCAAGAAGATTCACAGACGACCAGTGAAAGATACAGACGCATTGTGAGACACGGTGCAAGAGAGGCACCACAACACCGTGGGCACCTCGGTAGCGAGATGTTAACTACCTCGCCTAGTATGCAGGAGTTTGCACGTCTATATTTGGAGTTTGCACTCCCCGTTGTAACATGGATTTTACTCCGGGTCCTCCGGTTTTTCCCTCCATATTTAGAATCAACATCACGGGTGTATTTGGCTAATATAAATTTCCGCGTGATAAAACCACTTCGTTGAGCTATCATTTGTGGCCAGGTCGCTTCTAAAAACGAGATAGTTCAGTGGGCCTTACCTGGTAAAATAAAAATAGTTTATAGTTTGGTTTATAGGCCACGTGAAGTGTCAGAACGTTCGCTGACAGGTCACGGGACAGACCCAGGTGTCATGGGTTGACCGAGTTGACCGGCAAGATGCACCACCTCGTGCCACATAGTGAAGACGCACAGGGCGCACTCACCTGCTCCGCGTGCTCGATGCTCGCCAGCTCGAGGGCTCCCATCACCTCCTCCTTGAGCCCCGTGCGAAGGGCGGCGGAGGGCGACAGCGCCCGGGAAACCACCGCTCGCAGAGCCTCCTTTGAGGGAGCCTACAGAGACAAAGACCCCCCCAACACCCAACCGCATAGCCTTAGCAGACTGTAGAGGCAAAGTGCTGTTGGCGAGTAGTAGCACCTAGGAAAGCCGGTTTGAGTGAGTTAGTGTGGGCGAGTGACACGGGCGAGAGAAAAGATGGACTGATGGGTGAGTGGGTGAGTGTGTGTGGAGGGGTGAGTAGGTGAGTGTGTGTGGAGGGGTGAGTAGGTGAGTGTGTGCGGAAGGGTGAGTGGGTGAGTGTGTGTGGAGGGGTGAGTAGGTGAGTGTGTGTGGAGGGGTGAGTAGGTGTGTGTGGAGGGGTGAGTAGGTGAGTGTGTGTGGAAGGGTGAGTGGGTGAGTGTGTGTGGAAGGGTGAGTGGGTGAGTGTGTGTGGAGGGGTGAGTAGGTGTGTGTGAAGGGGTGAGTAGGTGAGTGTGTGTGGAGGGGTGAGTGGGTGAGTGTGTGTGGAAGGGTGAGTGGGTGAGTGTGTGTGGAGGGGTGAGTAGGTGAGTGTGTGTGGAGGGGTGAGTAGGTGTGTGTGGAGGGGTGAGTAGGTGAGTGTGTGTGGAAGGGTGAGTGGGTGAGTGTGTGTGGAAGGGTGAGTGGGTGAGTGGGTGAGTGTGTGTGGAGGGGTGAGTAGGTGTGTGTGAAGGGGTGAGTAGGTGAGTGTGTGTGGAGGGGTGAGTGGGTGAGTGTGTGTGGAAGGGTGAGTGGGTGAGTGTGTGTGGAGGGGTGAGTAGGTGAGTGTGTGTGGAGGGGTGAGTGGGTGAATGTGTGGAGGGGTGAGTAGGTGAGTGTGTGTGGAGGGGTGAGTGGGTGAGTGTGTGTGGAGGGGTGAGTAGGTGAGTGTGTGTGGAGGGGTGAGTGGGTGAGTGTGGAGGGGTGAGTAGGTGTGTGGGTGAGTGACAGAAGAGATGGACAGATGCAGTGCAGGAGGATGTGGAGCCTCGCGAGTGGACCTGCCGATGACCGGTACCAGCGGTGTCAACATTGGCCTCTGGCGGAAGTCGCCCTCCAACAACAACGGAGGGCGGAGGAGCGACGCTCACAACAACGAGCGGAGCACCGGGCGGATAAAACATAGCAAGTTGGCACAGTAGGGGGCACGGGGTGGCGCATCGGCCAGTCATCTCAGTCAAGTCAACCCATGGCACCACCTGGTTCTGTCCCGTGACCTTCCTGCCAGCAGCGAGCCTAGCGACACGTGGTGGCGCCTCAAGGCGCACCTAGCCTGGCACAAGCGCCGCGGCGACGTCACCGCCACCGCCACCTCTCTCACCTGCAGGAGCAGCGACAGCGCCGCGGCGTCCTCAGCTGTCAGCTCCGCCATGATCCCGGCACCGACAGCACCACGTGATCACCCCCCCACCAGACTCCACCCTCCCTCCACGAGACTCCACCCCCCTCCACCAGACTCCACCCTCCCTCCACCAGACTCCACCCCCCACCAGACTCCACCCCCCTCCACCAGACTCCACCCTCCCTCCACGAGACTCCCCCCCCCACCAGACTCCACCCCCCACCAGACTCCACCCCCCACCAGACTCCACCCTCCTCCACGAGACTCCACCCCCCCTCCACGAATCTTCACCCCCCCCTCCACGAAACTCCACCCCCCACCAGACTCCACCCCCCCACCAGACTCCACCACCCCAACAGACTCCACCACCCACCAGACTCCCCCCCCCCCACCAGACTCCACCCCCCACCAGACTCCACCCCCCTCCACGAGACTCCACCCCCCCTCCACGAATCTTCACCCCCCCTCCACGAAACTCCACCCCCCACCAGACTCCACCCCCCCACCAGACTCCACCACCCCAACAGACTCAACCACCCACCAGACTCCACCCCCCCCCACCAGACTCCACCCCCCACCAGACTCCACCCCCCTCCACGAATCTTCACCCCCCCCAACGAGACTCCACCCCCCCACGAGACTCCACCCCCCCTCCACGAGACTCCCCCCCCCACACCCTGTGCCTACCCCCACCCCACCACGAGACTTCCCCCCCACCCACGTGACTCACCCCCACCACCCCCCACGAGTGATCAGTGGCGCGCCCACGTGACTCGCCAAGAAACAGGGTCACGTGTGGTGCCAGTCCGTCCCACTCCGCCACTAGCCCCGCCCACACTGCCGGTGGCCCCGTCCGCTTCTAATCGGCCCTGCCACTGTGGCATATTAATTTGATTTTAAATACGATACAGTTGTATAATTCATGCTGCTTCTTCTTTCGTATGGCTGCTGATGTAGATTGCAGGGCAACAACTACAATTTCACATTCAGATGGTCAAGCCACATTATTAAAAATTAATTGTCACGCACAACGAGTCTGTGTGGAAAATGTCAGCTCGATTGGATCACGGGAAGTGGGTTAAAAAACGACCGAAAGATGAGCACGGTCGTAAGCACGCAAGCAAGCGAACTTAATATAAAAGATTTAAATAAAAAACGACCGAAAGATTTGCACGGTCGTAAGTGCGCAAGCAAGCAAGCGAACTTAATATAAATGATTTTTAAAAAGTGATGACAACAGAGAAAGTAGTCCCCTAAGTCTCAACATCCCAGACCACAGCCCCAACTTCTCACTCACAGGAGGAGCAGTAGTAGTGGAGGGGCCACAACGTTACCACTAATTTAGACGGATAGGTCAAACGCCAAAAATGTGATTTTCTATTTATAAGTGTATGGCCAAATGAATAAAAATGCCTTTAGTTCGTATTTTAATACCACTGTGATGGAGTCGCTTTGTCAGATGAATCAGCATTGTGGACATTAAGGTTCAAGTTCATTTGATTATTATTACACGCTTTTATTATTACAGTACACGCTTTTATTTAACTCACTCCGTCTGTTGTCGTATCCTCAAAAAAATCGTGTAACTCAATTTTACCCACTTCCCAATGTGCTATCGACTGCAAACTTGGAATACCTGTCATACTCATGACAAGACTATATTCTATCATAAAAAATCCAAAACATATACTGTATTTTTTAACATTTTACACGCTTGAATTTAACGTACTCTATGTGTTGTCGTATCCTAAAATCTTGTAATTCAATTTCAACCGTCTTTTCAATGTCGTATCGACTGCAAACTTGGTATAGGCAGGTCATACTGATGACAATACTATATTCTATCATTAAAAATTAAAAAAATATTTTTTAAACAATCTTTTTTACGGCTCTAATTGTCCACGCTCAACTCACGTTGGCTGTAAATCACCACGGTTCCTTACGTCACGGCAAGCCTCGGGGAGCCACGCCGAGGGGCGGGGCATGTGGAAGGAGGGGAGGGGCGATGGGGAAGGGGGCAGGGGGAGGTGCAGCTCGGACAGTACATTTCATTAAAGCGTGTTTAAAAAAAAGTATTTTTAAATATTTTATTTTTTATTTGTTTTACCTTTTCAGGCTTTCAACATAGGTACGTCAGTAAACCTCTCCGTATTGTGGATATCTACAACGTGATGTGCAGTGTGCTGGAGATCGAGCCAATGCCAAACAATGGCTCGTGGGAGGATGTGCGAGACATGATGAAGAGCGATGCCCTGCCAGTGAACTTTGCAAAAGTCGAGACTGTGTCACTGTTGCTATGCCTGTTGTGTTTTGTGATGTTCTCACTTTGATCGCTAATTTGCTGAACACACGCGTTGATTTGTGAGCAGGTGTGAATATAATTGCGTCTTAGACATGAATCTCTATGAATACAGTCGCGTGTAGGATTATAATTATGATCACCAAGCGTAATTACCCATACAATTTGATAGTTTTTCCAATCTATATTCACATAATAAGGGGCGATCATCACACCCCGTTGTTTGGAGTGTCCTGAGTGAAATATTTGATTACAAAGTCATCGATTGTAATTTCTAATAAATGATATTTCTGTATAATAAAAAAGCCTCGACTCAGTCAGGTCGGCCAGGCAGATTCTGCTTGGGATGTTAGGCAATATCTTCTTGTTGGTCGTAATTAATGGATTGTAAATATGTAGCTCTTACCAACGTTGATGTCTTTATCATATAATTGAAAAAATCATTGCTAGATTCCGTATTTTAACACGTAGGCTTTCGCGAACAATATATACAAATGTAATACAAGAACTGATATCTGGTATGAAACATGATTTACCGAAGCTATCAAAAATTGGTATGTATAGGATGAATAGCTCCTGTGGCGAATGTTATGTTGGTCAGACGAGAAAAGTACATAAAATAAATATTTAAAACTCACAAACACAACTGTCGGCAGTTGCAGCACATGCTTGCCTAACTATTACTGGCCAAGACTAATGAGATCATCTATTTAAATTGTGAGAAATTACAATGTTAACCGTTCTAATAGCTACAGGCTTAGTGTTCCTTGGAGGCATATTATTAAGTGATAACACCTTTTAATTGCATGCATATTCAGGTCTTCATGTTTTAACTGTGACTAATGCAACTGGTAATATGTACTGTACTGCATATTCGCAGATTAACATAACCCAATGTATGTTGATAAACTGACTTAACCCAGCTGGTAATAGGTACTGAATATTCTCAGATTAACATCAATTGTAATTCATGATTACATTAGCCCCCCCCCACTCTGATCTTCGTACCAAATAGGCTCACAGCGGTGACATCACATTTACTTTATTTAAGACCATAACAGAAAGACTTCTTCGCAATTCTGTAAAAAAAAAATCGCTCGATGAAGCTGGTTGCAATCACCAGAGAAGCGTCGTACTCAAATTGTGGTGTGGGTCTCCACTCCAACACGCCGGTGTGCTGTAGTAACTAATTGCCACGTTTTGTTTAGGTGACAAACCTTACTAATTGGATGTGTCAGGTGGTGCTGGGATAACGACACTATTGTTTTAATGCAAATCAAGCAAAACATTATACTGTGCTGTTTATAGCAGGGGCCTGCCAGGTATATTTGATTTCCAGTATTTGCGGTAACTGATGCTTTCAGCTTAGGAAATAAATCGGCCCAAGGGAATCAAACACATGGTTCGGAGCTCACAGGGGCGATCGCATGGATGGGATATCCCCCCGACCTGTCAATGTGGAATGTCCATTCCTGGCTTGGATTCGCCACCGCAAATCAAACGAACAACAACAACGAAGCCCCTCCCAAGACGAGGGGTACATGAACACGCGCGCACGTGTGTGATGCCGCTCGGGTAGGGCAGCCACACAAACTTCCATGATCGTAACATAAAAAAATACTATTATTCTTGGTTCTTTCGGTAAAGACACGTAGAAGGGAAATCATAAAAATAAAACAATAAAATTCTCACGACGTTTCGCCACTTTTTTCAAAAAAATGTCTTGCTGTGGTTTTCACACCTGATGATGATTGCTTGTGTTGCAATCGAAACGTCGTGAGCATTTCATTGCTTTATGTTTATTATTGTATTATTTCCCTTCTACGCGATTTACCGAAAGAACCAAGAACATGAATCCCTGCAGCCACGAAAGCTTCACATCGACATTTATCTGAATTCTGATGAGATTCCGAGTCGTCGTCGACGACGCTGCCGAGAAGGCGCCGCGTCACGGCCACGCCCCCTTCCCGGAACGACGCGTCACGCCCCTCCCCCCTCCCCCTGCGGCCCCCACGTGGATCCTCTCAGTCGTCCCCAGCCGTCAACCGCAGCAGGAGCTGCTGCTGCTGCTGCTTCTTCTTCTCACGAGTTGTGGCGGCGGTGTGAGAGAGGAGCGAGCGAGGAGCGAGAGGGAATCGTCCAGTGTCGTCGGTCTACGCCGGGCGGGGCGGGCGGGGGGGTCAGAGTCGAGGCGGGAGGGCGCTGCCGGAGACGTGGAGAGTGCGCGGCGCGATCACTGCAGGTGAGGTGACACTGCAGGTGAGGTGACACTGCAGGTGAGGTGACACTGCAGGTGAAGTTATACTGCAGGTGAGGTGACACTGTAGGTGAGGTGACACTGCAGGTGAGGTGACACTGCAGGTGAGGTGACTGTAGGTGAGGTGACACTGTAGGTGAGGTGACACTGTAGGTGAGGTGACACTGTAGGTGAGGTGACACTGCAGGTGAGGTGACACTGTAGGTGAGGTGACACTGTAGGTGAAGTTATACTGCAGGTGAGGTGACACTGCAGGTGAGGTGACACCATCACTCACTGCTGACGAGGTTACCACCACTCACTGCTGACGAGGTTACAACACTCACTTCTGGTAATAATAAATAATAATTAGCAAGGCGCCTTTCATCCGCAGTTCTAAACGCGCCCCGTGTATGTTAAAGCCGGACATAAACAGAACTTGCATGGTCAATGGGCAGCAAGAGAGTGGCCGAGGCATGTTCTTTGGGTCTTTCGGTAAAGTCACGTGGATAGAAATAATAGCAAAATAATAACAATAAAATTATAACAAAGTAATAATAAAGTAATAACAATAAAAGAATAACAATAAAATAACAATAAAATAATGAAGTAATAACAAAAAAATAATAACAATAAAATTATACAAATATCACGTTTCGATCGCAACACAAGCAATCTCCTGGTGACGTCACCCGATGACTGCTTGTGTTGTGACCGAAACTTCGTGATTTTTATTATTATGTTTTCTTCTATCTACGTGACTTTACCGAAAGACCCAAATAATATGAATTGCTGCAGTCACGAAAGCTTTAAAAAAAGTCAATATTTTGCCGAGGCAATTCAATCTTTTATTTCTGGGACACTACTTTTTCTCCCAGGGGTGAACTTAACTCCGCGACTGGGGTACCAATCAATAGTAAAAAAACGTGATCGAAAATTCAACTTTGCATAGTGCATCGTGTACAGCTCGTCGAGATGAGTCGATTGCCGCATCGCCGACCATCAACAGACTAAAGGTGACTGCATCACGGACATTATGCGAGAGCCGGGCGACTATGGTACCCTGGGGTACCGCCATGAGGTTCACTTTAACAACAACTCTAACGACTCTGGCTGTCTTGTTAGTAACGCCAGAGCGATGTTCCGCAGTCTGGGAGCGGCACAGTGGTAACAGCCCGATAACCCACCCACTGACCTGCTCGCTCACCCACCCGCTCACCCGCTCGCTCACTCACCCGCTCACCCACTCACTTACTCACCCACCGACTCACCCACCCACTCACGCACCCACTCACTCACGCACCCACCCACTCACTTACCCACTCACTCACGCACCCACCCACTCACTCACCCACTCACTTACTCACCCACCGACTCACCCATTCACCACTCACCCACTCACTCACGCACCCACCCACTCACTCACGCACCCACCCACTCACTTACCCACTCACTCACCCATTCACCCCCACTCACTCACGCACCCACCCACTCACCCACCCACCGACTCACCCATTCACCACTCACCCACTCACTCACTCACCCACTCACTTACTCACCCACCGACTCACCCACCGACTCACCCATTCACCACTCACCCACCCACTCACTCATCCACTCACTCACCCATTCACCCCCACTCACTCACCCACCCACTCACGCACCCACTCACTCACGCACCCACCCACTCACTCACCCACTCACTCACTCACGCACCCACCCACTCACTCACCCACTCACTCACGCACCCACCCACTCACTTACCCACTCACTCACCCATTCACCCCCACTCACCCACTCACTCACCCACCCACTCACTCACCCACTCAATCAAGCACCCACCCCCTCACTCACGCACCCACCCACTCACTCGCCCACTCACTCACCCATTCACCCCCACTCACTCACTCACCCACTCACCCACTCACTCACGCACCCACCCACTCACTCACCCACTCACTCACCCACGCACTCACCCACTCACTCATCCACCCACCCACTCACGCACTCACCCACCCAGTCACGCACCCACCCACTCACTCACCCACTCACTCACCCATTCACCCCCACTCACCCACTCACTCACCCACTCACTCACTCACGCACCCACCCACTCACTTACCCACTCACTCACCCATTCACCCCCACTCACTCACCCACTCACCCATTCACCCCCACTCACCCACCCACCCACTCACGTACTCACTCACCCACTCACTCACCCACCAACAAGACAGGCCTTAATAAGTAATATTTAAAACAAAACTTTTTTTAAAACACGCTTTAATTAAATGTACCGTACTAGTAATGGAAGAAGTCCACGACTCCAGGAAGTGGCCCCGAAGCTTGCCACAACGTAAGGGGGCGTGGTGATTTACAGCCAACGTCAGTTGAGCGTGGACAATTGGACCCAAACCGAAACATAACATAAAAAATAATGTTTAAAAATATATATTTCTTATAGAATATAATATTGTCATCAGTATGACATAAGTATACCAACTTTGCAGTCGCTAGCACATTGGTCAAAATTGAGTTACAAGATTTGAGGATACGACAACAAGAACAGAGTTAAATACAAGCGTGTAATCATATAAAAAATAGCTCTCACAACTCCGAGTGTCTTATTATATATCCACGCTGCTGTGAACACGCCGCCATGAACCACTGCACGGTGGCACCCGTGCAGAGGGGGATCCAGTTGCGGGGGGGAGGGGGACTCAGTGGCGGGTGCCCTCAGCGTGTGCAGGCGGTGCAACTGCGCCATGGCTGGGGGCCATGGCAGCAACAGCAGTAGTTATTATTGTTGTTATTCCTCTTGACGCTTGTTTACCCAGCACAGTCTTATCGAGTCTCAAGACTGTCTCAGGAGGGCCCTGCCAAGTTTCCGCAGTAGGGGGGCGATGTTGCTGCTGCTGCTGCTGTGTGTGATCCCAATTGAAAAAAATGCATTTTCAAAATTGGGATCTTCTGGCCATGACCTGTCACTGTACATTGTAAGTGTATTTAGCAATGGGGTTGTTAATACGCAGAATGGGGAGGGGGACCGATGCAGAATATGCGGGGGGGGGGGGCAGTGCCGGATATTATCCTAGTAGCTAAAGTAGCTACACGTGTGGTAGTAGCAACACGTGTAGTAGTAGCAACACGTGTAGTAGTAGCAACACGTGTAGTAGTAGCTACACGTGTAGCTACATGTGTAGTAGTAGCTACGGGCCACGCACTTTCAAGGGCCCCGCACTAAAAATTTTCAAGCTATCAATTCCGGTTCAGTGATTCTGCACTTCACAACAAAAATCTAACTAGAAAACTATAGACAGACATACAAGCAGACAGACATCACAAGGACACACAGAGAGAGAACACATCAGCACAAAGAGAGAGGTCGTTTCTGTGACGGTTCCTTAAATATAGAGAGGGGGGCGGGGGCGGAGAGAGGAGTTTTCTAGTTAGATTTTTGTTGCTATTTCTTTTATGCCTGATGATAATTGCTTGTGATGCAATCGAAACGTCGTAATATACTATTATTTAATTTATTAGTTTATCTTTAGACGTGACTTAACCGAAAGAACCAAAGAATAATTAATGCAGTCACGAAAGCTCCAAAATTAAGATTGAACCACTTCTACGGGGAATTTTTAAGCTTATCTTTTTTCTCTCTCTCTGGCTATTTGTTCTCTCTGCCTGTGTCCTCTCTTTGGAATTTTCACACTTAAATTATAACTTAGCAATCTTTGAAATACGTAATCAACCGGGCTATGCGTTAATTGTGTATTGACCGACTCTCTGTGTTGCATTACATTATATTTCGATATTTTACTAGGTTATACTGGTAGGAACGAAGTGGACCAGACCACCAATAGATTAATGTGTCCGTCCGTCCGTCCGTGTATCAACATCGCCCCCTACTGCAAACACTTGGCATGACCCTGTCCGACAAGATGGCCGCCCGCTCCCCCTGCGATGTGAATTAAACAAAATGGCCGTCGCTTCCGGTGCATCACGGCAAAACTTTAAACTTCGCTTCAAAATTACTTTACTGAAACGCAGCACGTTTTTTAAAAAAATTACTTTACTGAAACGCAGCACGTTTTTTAACACAGAGACAAGAAACATTTATTAACACAGAGACGACATACATTTAATCGCCTTATTTGTGCACGAAAAGCACGGCGCGAGGCCTAGTGCGGCAGGCTTCGCAAGGCCTAGTGCGGCAGGCTTCGCGAGGCCTAGTGCAGAAGGTGGTGGTGGGGGCTGGTGGTGAGGGCTGGTGGTGGGGGCTGGTGGTGGGGGGTGGTGGTGGGGGGTGGTGGTGAGGGCTGGTGGTGGGGGCTGGTGGTGAGGGCTGGTGGTGGGGGGTGGTGGTGAGGGCTGGTGGTGGGGGGTGGTGGTGAGGGGTGGTGGTGAGGGCTGGTGGTGGTAGGGGCTGGTGGTGGGGGCTGGTGGTGGGGGCTGGTGGTGGGGGCTGGTGGTGGGGGGTGGTGGTGAGGGGCTGGTGGTGGGGGGTGGTGGTGGGGGCTGGTGGTGAGGGCTGGTGGTGGGGGCTGGTGGTGAGGGCTGGTGGTGGGGGGTGGTGGTGAGTGCTGGTGGTGGGGGGTGGTGGTGAGGGCTGGTGGTGGGGGCTGGTGGTGAGGGCTGGTGGTGGGGGCTGGTGGTGGGGGGTGGTGGTGAGGGCTGGTGGTGGGGGCTGGCGGTGGGGGCTGGCGGTGGGGGCTGGCGGTGGGGGCTGGCGGTGGGGGCTGGCGGTGGGGGGTGGCGGTGGGGGCTGGCGGTGGGGGCTGGCGGTGGGGGCTGGCGGTGGGGGCTGGCGGTGGGGGGTGGCGGTGGGGGCTGGCGGTGGGGGGTGGCGGTGGGGGCTGGCGGTGGGGGGTGGCGGTGAGGGCTGGCGGTGGGGGCTGGCGGTGAGGGCTGGCGGTGGGGGCTGGCGGTGGGGGGTGGCGGTGAGGGCTGGTGGCGGTGGGGGGTGGTGGTGGGGGCTGGTGGTGGGGCTGGTGGTGGGGGGTGGTGGTGAGGGCTGGTGGTGGGGGCTGGTGGTGGGGGCTGGTGGTGGGGGCTGGTGGTGGTGGGGGCTGGTGGTGGGGGCTGGTGGTGGGGGGTTGTGGTGGGGGCTGGTGGTGGGGGGTGGTGGTGAGGGCTGGTGGTGGGGGCTGGTGGTGAGGGCTGGTGGTGGGGGGTGGTGGTGAGGGCTGGTGGTGGGGGGTAGTGGTGAGGGCTGGTGGTGGGGGCTGGTGGTGAGGGCTGGTGGTGGGGGCTGGTGGTGGGGGGTGGTGGTGAGGGCTGGTGGTGGGGGCTGGTGGTGGGGGCTGGCGGTGGGGGCTGGCGGTGGGGGCTGGCGGTGGGGGGTGGCGGTGGGGGCTGGCGGTGGGGGCTGGCGGTGGGGGGTGGCGGTGGGGGCTGGCGGTGGGGGCTGGCGGTGGGGGCTGGCGGTGGGGGCTGGCGGTGGGGGCTGGCGGTGGGGGCTGGCGGTGGGGGCTGGCGGTGGGGGGTGGCGGTGGGGGCTGGCGGTGGGGGGTGGCGGTGGGGGCTGGCGGTGGGGGGTGGCGGTGAGGGCTGGCGGTGGGGGCTGGCGGTGAGGGCTGGCGGTGGGGGCTGGCGGTGGGGGGTGGCGGTGAGGGCTGGTGGTGGTGGGGGGTGGTGGTGGGGGCTGGTGGTGGGGGGTGGTGGTGAGGGCTGGTGGTGGGGGCTGGTGGTGGGGGCTGGTGGTGGGGGCTGGTGGTGGGGGCTGGTGGTGGGGGCTGGTGGTGGGGGCTGGTGGTGGGGGCTGGTGGTGGGGGCTGGTGGTGGTGGGGGCTGGTGGTGGGGGCTGGTGGTGGGGGGTTGTGGTGGGGGCTGGTGGTGGGGGGTGGTGGTGAGGGCTGGTGGTGGGGGCTGGTGGTGAGGGCTGGTGGTGGGGGGTGGTGGTGAGGGCTGGTGGTGGGGGGTAGTGGTGAGGGCTGGTGGTGGGGGGTGGTGGTGAGGGCTGGTGGTGGGGGTTGGTGGTGGGGGCTGGTGGTGAGGGCTGGTGGTGAGGGGTGGTGTTGAGGGTGGTGGTGAGGGGTCTTTAAATCTCACAGCGTTTCTTGTCAAAACAAACACTTTTAATTAACGTTACACTAGAATACAGTAATTTTGTCTTTAACTCCTCTATACCCGGTCGATATCCCTGTACCGGTACTAAGTATTATTCCTACCAGCCCACCCCGCAGGGTCCTGTTTTAATTTTAGTGTGTCTTTCTCCTGATTTTCAAGCTTGCGTTGCCGTGCCGCGTCGTCATCTTACTTGCAGCATCACCTTTCCGTCCACTCATTGATATGCTAATTTTTTTCTCTGCCCCCTCCCTCTCTCCGCCCCCACCCCCCCTCTCTATATTTAAGGGACCGTCACAGAAATGACCTCTCTCTTTGTGCCGATGTGTTCTCTCTCTGTGTGTCCTTGTGATGTCTGTCTGCTTGTATGTCTGTCTATAGTTTTCTAGTTAGATTTTTGTTGCTATTTCTTTTATTCCTGATGATGATTGCTTGTGTTGCAATCGAAACGTCGTAATATGCTATTCTTTAATTTATTATTTATCTTTAGACGTGACTTAACCGAAAGAACCAAAGAATAATTCCTGCAGTCACGAAAGCTCCAAAATTAAGATTGTTTTTGAGCTCTTTGCGTTTCAAGCGGTTTGAATGAAAAGATACGCATTTTATGATGTTCACATCTGAACAATTCAAAAACGGTAAAAGATAGGAGAGCTTCCCCTCAGAGTATTCAGTTAATTATTTTTGGTTCTTTCTAATAAAATAATGGATTGTTTAGATTGAGCGGTTTCCTATGGGTACGTATTTAAATATAAAAAGTTTAATCGAATTATCAACAATTTTCGTGGTTTTTGTTTGTGGAAAAATACAATTTATTTTAGTAGTTAGTGTCTGATCGTAGATAACAAAAATGTAAAGAATCATCAGGTTCATTATATTATTTAAAACTTTTGCCTGGCGAAGACAGACTTCATGAACTAGTTTTTAAATACTATATAGCACAACGATGATTGAAGGATATGTAAATAACAATACATTAAATAGGGCAAACAATGAGGTTTTGTAACAGTAGGTCTACGAGTTGAATGAGTTGAGGTGGGCGATGTTTGCCATGCCAATTGTCTGCAGTGTGGATGGTTTTTGGTGGGAATTTGGAAAAGTGGTCGATGGAGGTTGAAAGTAAAGGTTTAGATGTTAGAGGTGCATCCCTGCAATTGCTTGCTCACGGCCACTGTTGGTGGAAGGGTGCCCACTGCAACAGCAAGATCTATCGCCTTCTGGAAGGTATTTTGGCCTACTCTTCCACGCTGGAGATAAGAGGGTCAGGAGGATTGTCCATGTAATGACCCACAGTAATCATGCTTAAACGTGTGCTCTAGATCGGCAGTGTACATTTCTGAATGTGGAATAACAACATTGGAATTGTTCGCTTTGTTGCAGGAATGCGATGAAGTGCCCAAACTGTCAGACGATCTGTCAAGAACGCCAAAAGTTTTGTGGTGAATGTGGGAACCCGTTACAGCCTGAATGCAGGCCAGGTCAGAATAACACAACAATAACAAATATCATTCTTGTTTTCTGCTGTCATTTTTATTACATACCACGCCCACCATGCAAATATTACAACTTTGAACAATACATTTTGAAAAAAATGTTGGGCATTAATCTGGTTTTGTTAACCATCGTGTCTCACAAATTAGTACATGTGGAGTGGTCATAAGCCTAATTTCCTTAAATATTTCAACCAGACAATAATACCTCGATATGCATATATTCGAAAAAGTTCCAGTGCAACAACCTTTGGATATTTTACCGTTATTTTACACAAAAGGCAATTATTTAAAAATACACTAACAGGAATAAATAATACTTTTGTCGCTATACAGTACTATCTTCACTATGCGTCTGTTATTTGTCAGTTTGTAATTGTAATACTGTACAGTATAAATATATGTTAAATTTAACGTCTTTGTTTACAATATGAGTAGTGAGTTATGAAGTGTTTATATATGAAATGCTAAGTTACGAAGGCTGGAATGCATCCCCGTAGTACGAATGTTTTTTTGGAGAACGCCTCCCGTTCATAAATCGAGGGATACCTATATTCTTGGTTCTTTCAGTAAAGTCACGTAGATAGAAAATAAAAATAATAAATGTTATTTTATTATCGAGGGATGCCTGTATATTTTCTTTCATTCACCTGTTTGATGACAGTTGTAAATGGAGAGGACATATGGGCCTAGTATTGCACAAACACAATATCATGCATTTCATAAAATATTGCATTTTTACACTATTAACAGCAATTCAATCATGGATTTTGTAATTGCACATACCTGAAGTAAACCTAATAATTTCATTGATCTTGAGCTCTCATTCTTGAGACTTTGAAGATGTTATAGTTTTAACAAAATTCTGTTTTCAGCTGCTTTAGGGCAGCATGGCTCAGCAGCAAGAGGGACTCTGCTGCAAACCAAGGGGCAGGGTGACGGAGCCCCAGCAGCTTCCCAGGCCTCCACTGGAGAATCACAAACATCTCCTGGACAGCAAGGGACACTGGGCAATAAAAAAAAAAGAAATAGAAATAGAAAGAAAAAAGCTACCGGAAGGTAATTTGATGTACATGTAGGTTTTGGCGACCAATATACGCAAGTCTCGCTTTACGAGCATTCTTTCTGTGAGATTTTTGCTCTAATGAGCAATTTTAATTTAGACCAATTCATTCGCAAAACAAGCAAATGTTCATGTAGAAACGAGTGGAGAGATCAAATTTGTTCTGTGGCGGCAGGGGCGCACCACCACCCGCAGTTGTTTGTTGAGTGCTTTCAGATGTTTTTCTGCGGCTGTCTGGAACGCTCTTCCGATATTCCGAAGCCACTGGAGCTATGCACTTTTAAATCTAAATGGAAAACTAATTTCTTTAGAACTGCTTTTTATGTGTAGTTTCTTGTTCTTGCCCCTGCACCTCTGATTAGCACGGTTGGCTACGTATGGTGCGAAAGCAGTTCAATATACCTACCAGCTCTGCTGTGCTGTGTGCGCACATGTGGGTGGTAGGGCGGGCGCTAATTCATTGCAGATGCTGAGAATAGGCACCTGTATGAACTGTGGTTCTCCATGTATCTTAATTGTTATGTTTGATGTTTTATTACTTAAAAGTAATATAATCATTTGTATTTCTCACGGAATGAAGGTAGTTTCAAGAGTTGAACATTTTTGGGCTAAAACGTAACTCAGCTTTTAACATGAGAGTCAATGGAAAAATGATGATGAGTGCGATCCCTCTGTAGTTGGAGCACACTCTCTAGTTCCCATTATTAAAAATGGGTACTATGACCCCAGTTGGCCAATCCAGAGGTACTATACCCCCCTTTCATAAAACATTGAAGAGGCTGTTAACCACGATACCCCTACATAGTCCAGCGCTTTCAACAACTGGGCGAATCTCGTCCACCCCGCAGCTTTGCCACTACGAAGGCCCTCACCCACCGCAGCGACTTCAGCAGCCGTGATGGATCCGACCCCCCAAGCTGTTTTATTTGGCTGCCTCCTGAGAGGAGGGCATGTCCGCCTGGTTGAGAAGCTCCTCAAAGTGTTCCTTCCGCCTCTCGACTATCTTCTTAGTTGAGTTCAATGTTACGCCACCCTTACTGAGAACAGCCTGGGCCACGTCCCGTCGACCCCTCCTAAGGCATCAAATGGTTTGCCAGAACATTTTTGAGGCTGCCCAGTAGTGCCTTTCCATGGCCTCTTAAAACTCATAACCTGCCTGCGCTTTCGCCTCAGCAACTGCTGCCGCTGTTGCTCTCTCGGAAAACCAGTACTTCTCAATTGAGTTGGGTGACCTTTTTCAGAGCATAGCTTCCCTCACTACTGGTGTCCACCAGCGGGACCTAGGGTTACCACTATGACAGGCACCAACTGCCTTCAGGCCACAGCTTTTCACAGCTGTATCGACAATCAAGGTCCTGAACATCGTCCACTCTGACTCAAGGTCCATAACCTCCCCTGGAGTGTAGGATAAGTTTTCCCGGAATCTTTCTGCACTGGGTCTTCCACCAGATGTTCCCAGCAAACCCACACTATTCGTTTGGGCCTTCCACGTCTATTTGATCGGTGCCCCAAGCATAAAATCTAACTTACCACCAGGTGGTGATCAGTTGACAGCTCTGCCCCTCTCTTCACCCAAGTGTTCAGAACATACGGCTTTAGGTCCGATGATACAACTATAAAGTCAATCATTGACCGTCGACCCAAGGTGCTCTGGTACCAAGTACACTTATGAGCATCCTTTGGTTCAAACAGTGTTTATTATTGACATTCCATGACTAGCGCAGAATCCCAATAACATCTCTTTGTTTGGGTTCAGATCAAGGGAGCCATTCCTCCTAAATCATGCTTCTCTAGGTTTCTCCATCATTTCTCATGTGAGCATTGAAGTCGCCCAGTAAGACTATGGAGTCAGTAGGCGGCACTATATCGAGCACTGCACCGACCGTCTCCAAGAAGGCCGAATACTCTGAACTGCTGTTTCGTGCATAATCACAGACAACAGTCAGCGTTTTTCTTTCTGAGACCTGAAGTCTCATTATTGAGGCGACCCTCTCATCCACTGGGACAAACTTCAACTGAACAGCACCCAGTCGGGGGCTTGCGAGTATCCCCACACCCGCCCGGGGCCTCTCGAGAAGTTTGGTTCCAGTGCCAATGCTGTGTGTGGAGGTAAGGCCGACTGTCTGGTCGATACCTTTCCACCTCCTCCACCAGCTCCGGCTCCTTCCCCCCCCAGTGATGTGACATTTCACGTCCCAATAACTCGTGTCTATTGCCAAGGCCCAGTTCGTCCGAGACCATCCCTCTCCCTGCCATACTAACTGATTAATAATTATGAATCACATGTATGTTGAACTTATTTTGCATTCTACGTAACCAACTGTACATAATACGATGTTTGAGTTTTGGTTTCATGTCACAATGTATGACTGAAATGAGAAGTTGTTTGTAAGAGAGACTTATTGAAGTTGTTGGTTAAAACTGGACTTTCCTTAACACTTCTTGTGAGCCATACCTGGTGACTCCAGTAAATTAGCCTACTTGTTTCTGAGTTTTAATCTGAATAAACAAAATTAAACAATTGGAGTATTTATTTAATATACGTAATGTTACAAAGCAATTTATGAGAAATATTGTTTGTTGAGTTCTGTTCTTGTGAATGAACATCAGTTTATTTTATTCATTATTTAGCAATGAAGAAAGTGTTGCTGCAGCAGCTGGCGCAACAATAACTGTCAAGGAACACAGAAATGATGGTGTTGGTCGGGAAGAAGGCAGCAAATCTACTGGTAAATAAGTATTCCTGGAGTTTTGTAACAAACGTCTAAAAAGCTCAAACAACTGTCACTATAGCACAGTATGTAGGCATACATCAGTTTCCCTTCATAAGCACATACACATGCACACAATTTTAGTAACATAGGTTAATTTCAACATTGTTTTTTGGCAGTAACATATCCAGTACTAAGTCCCATCAATGAGCTATGGGTAGGTTGGTGTAAAAAAGCACATTCATCATCATGAGATGAATTGCTGAAACGTGACTCATCCAAGTTATTGCAGTCCCTCATGATCCTCGCAATCCCAACTGGCTCCTGCACATGAGCTGACTTCATCGCTTTATCACCACAGTGGCTATCTTCTCATCCCTGTTCCCTCCTTTGGCTGTCTCTCTGTTGTTAGTCTTGACCATCAGCCATGAATACTTTTAGAAACATGTCCTGCCAAAGCCAATTCACTTGTGTATTAACATTCAAGGTGATGTCAGTAACCAGTGGTTGTTCTCGCTGTGCGTTACTACAGGTTTTACTTGAATTTTAACAAACTTGATGAGACACGCGTACACACGAGGCATGTAACTAGTCACCCTGTCGGTTGTGATTCAATTCAAGAATTGTAGATTTTTTGTCACATTTCTTTCCATCGCAGGTCTATTATTTGTTGTTCCATCTCACTTGTACAGGTTTGGTCACGTCTTTACACTTCGTGTGCTGCTGTATGTATAATTTGATTATTTCATGAACTATTTTCATGCACAAATCATATGTGTATGGAATCTAACAGTCAATCTGAATTGGTGAATTGTTATCGGCCTTCTATTCACGCAGATGTACAGATACGTAAATGTGCATACATGTATGCATTGTGTGCATGTGCAGTTGTGTTAATATTTTTTCTCGTGATTTCTAAATAAACTACTGAGGTTACACCTAATACTATATAAACAGAATTATACATTTACAATCCATATCTAGTTTATTGGAATTCCCCTTAACTTTTTAAATGCTCTTACATGATTGTGCTATGAAGTAATTACGAATCATTGTTTTCAGATGGTGACGGTGATGGCCAAATAAAAGAGACATTGACCATCGTGGAAGGTGAACAACCAACTGTTGAGCACATTGACCAAAGTGACGTTTGCACTGATGTCACCCCGATGCCTGGTGCAACAAGCACAACTATTGCTGGTAGAAAACTATTCTGGATTTAGTTGTTTTTATCATTTTGCACCCATTTTTACAGCTTTCTTTTACTCTAGATATAAATTGTGCTTTTAATGGTTGCTATGAAGTCATCACTACTGAAGCGATGCGTTTCCTTAAAATATTTCAACCATTTTGTTTATCATTCAATTGTTTGACAGTTGTTGTCAATGGAGTGGACATTGCACATGTGTGCCTAATATTGCACAAACCTGATATGGATTTCTAAAAATATTCATCTTTTGCATAATTAATAGAAGTTAAATATTACGGATTTCATTATGTGCTTACGTCTGTAAATATATCATCTCATTGATCCTGAGTTCTTATCCTTGAGACTTTGAAGCTGATAGAGTTTTTACAACATTATTTTTTCAGCTGCTTCCGAGCAGCATGGCTCAGCAGATGCTGGGACTCCACTGCAAACCAAGCAGCAGGGTGACAGTGCCCCAGCAGTCTCTCAGGCCTCAACTGGAGAATCACAAGCATCGCCTAGACAGCAAGGGACACGGGACAATAAAAAAAAAGATAGAAAAAAGAAAACTACTGGAAGGTAATAGGATTTCCATGTAGGTTTGGCCACCAATATTATGATTCATAATTAGGGTTTTTGGTTATAATGTGCAAGTATAATGCTAAGAATGTTTTGTTTGGCAGTGTCAGTTGGAGAAGGGTATGACACGATTGGGATTTGCACTTGCACAATCTAACCCACAAGATGTTGAATCGCATAATACAATGTTTGACTTTTGTTTAATATCACAGCTGAAATTTGCTGTTATTTATAGGGGGAGGTTTATTGAAGTTGGTTAAAACTGGAGTTTGTTTTAAAACTTCTTAAAGCCATACCTAGTCACTCCTGAAAATAAGCCTCCTTGTTTCTTATCAATTTTATTCTGATTAAACAAAATAAAATAATTGAAGTATGTATTTAATATATGTAATGTACAAACCAATTCATGATAAATATTTAAAGTTCTGTTTTTGTGAATGAAAACGCTCTGGATCATTATCAGTTTATTTTATTCATTATTTAGCAATGAAGACAGCGTTGCTGCAGCAGCTGGCACAACAATAACTGTCAAGGAACACAGAAATGATGGTGTTGGTCGGGAAGAAGGCAGCAAATCTACTGGTAAATAAGTATTCCTGGAGTTTTGTAACAAAAGTCCAAAAAGCTCAAACAACCGTCACTATAGCACAGCATGTAGGCATACATCAGTTTCCCTTCATAAGCACATACACACAATTTTAGTAACATAGGTTCAACATTGGTTTTTGGCAGTAATAGATCCAGTACTAAGCTTCATCAATGAGCTATGGGTAGGTCGGTGTAAAAAAGCACATTCATCATCATGAGATCTATTGCTGAAACGTGACTCATCCAAGTTATTGCAGTCCCTCATGATCCTCGCAATACCAACTGGCTCCTGCACATGAGCTGGCCCCATCGCTTTATCTCCACAGTGGCTATCCTGTCATCCGTGTTTACTCCTTTTGCTGTCTCTCTGTTGTTAGTCTTGGCAATCAGCCATGATTGCTTTTAGAAAGATGTCCTGCCAAAGCCAATTCAGTTGTGTATTAATAATCAAGGTGATGTCAGTAACCGGTGGTTCTTCTCGCTGTGCGTTATTACAGGTTTTACTTGAATTTTAACAAACTTGATGAGACACGCGTACACACGAGGCATGTAACTAGTCACCCTGTCGGTTGTGATTCAATTCAAGAATTGTAGATTTTTTTGTTACATTTATTTCCATCGCATTTCTATTATTTGTTGTTCCATCTCACTTGTACAGGTTTGGTCACTTCTTTACACTTTGTGTGCTGCTGTATGTATAATTAGATTATTTCATGAACTATTTTCATGCACAAATCATATGTGTATGGAGTCTAACAGTCAATCTGAATTGGTAAATTGTTATCGCCCTTCTATTCACGCAGATGTACAAATACGTAAATGTGCATACATGTATGCATTGTGTGCATGTGCAATTGTGTTCGTATTTTTTCTCGTGATATACAAATAAACTACTGAGGTTACATCTAATACTATATAAACAGAATTATACATTTACAATCCGTATCTAGTTTATTGGAATTCCCCTTAACTTTTGAAATGCTCTTACATGATTGTGCTATCAAGTAATTACGAAGCATTGTTTTCAGATGGTGACGGTGATGGCCAAATAAAAGAGACATTGACCATCTTGGAAGGTAAACAACCAACTGTTGAGCACATTGACCAAAGTGACGTTTGCACTGATGTCACCCCGATGCCTGGTGCAACAAGCACAACTATTGCTGGTAGAAAACTAACCTGGATTTAGTTGTTTTTATCATTTTGCACCCATTTTTACAGCTTACTATTACTCTCGCGATAAATTGTGCTTTAATGGTTGCTATGAAGTCATCACTACTGAAGCGATGCGTTTCCTTAAAATATTTCAACCATTTTGTCTTTCATTCAATTGTTTGACAGCTATTGTCAATGGAGTGGACATTGCACATGTGTGCCTAGTATTGCACAAACCCGATATGGATTTCTAAAAGTATTGCTCTTTTGTATTATTAATAGTAGTTAAATATTATGGATTTCATCATATGCTTACGTCTGTAAATATATCATCTCATTGATTCTGAGCTCTCATCCCTGAGACTTTGAAGCTGATAGAGTTTTTACAACATTATTTTTTCAGCTGCTTCGGAGCAGCATGGCTCAGCAGATGCTGGGACTCCACTTCAAACCAAGCAGCAGGGTGACAGAGACCCAGCAGTCTCTCAGGCCTCAACTGGAGAATCACAAGCATCGCCTAGACAGCAAGGGACACGGGACAATAAAAAAAAAGATAGAAAAAAGAAAACTACTGGAAGGTAATAGGATTTCCATGTAGGTTTGGCCACCAATATTATGATTCATAATTAGGGTTTTTGGTTATAATGTGCAAGTATAATGCCAAGAATGTTTGTTTGGCAGTGTCAGTTGGAGAAGGGTATGACACAATTGGGCTTCACACTTGCACAATCTAACCCACAATATGTTGAATCGCATAATACAATGTTTGACTTCTGTTTAATATCACAGCTGAAATCTGCTGTTATTTATAAGGGGAGGTTTATTGAAGTTGGTTAAAACTGGAGTTTGTTTTAAAACTTCTTAAGCCATACTGAGTCACTCCTGAAAATAAGCCTCCTTGTCTCTTTTCAATTTTAATCTGATAAAACAAAATAAAACAATTGAAGTATGTATTTAATATATGTAATGTTACAAAGCAATTTATGAGAATTATTTAAAGTTCTGTTTTTGTGAATGAAAAAGCTCTGGATCATTATCAGTTTATTTTATTCATTATTTAGCAATGAAGAAAGCGTTGCTGCAGCAACTCTGATAATGTGCACTGTCCTTGAAGTTGATTGGTTTTGTTGCCAGATAGAAGGGTAAAAAAAACATCATATTTTTACTGGCAAATGAGGTTCCAATGGTGTATATGTAATGTTACAAAGCAATTTATGATAATTATTGTTTTGTTAAGTTCTGTTCTTGTGAATGAACGTCAGTTTATTTTATTCATTATTTAGCAATGAAGAAAGCGTTGCTGCAGCAGCTGGCACAACAATAACTGACAAGGAACACAGAAATGATGGTGTTGGTCAGGAAGAAGGCAGCAAGCTTACCGGTAAATAAGTATTCCTGGCGTTTTTGAACAAAAGTCTGAAAAGCGCAAACAACAATCACTACAGCACAGTATGTAGGCGTACGTCGGTTTCCTTTCATATGCACGTACACATGCGCACAGACGGACATTTATAGTAACAAAGATTAATTTCAGCATCGGTTATGGTAGTGACAGATCCAAGCACTAAGTCGCATGAATGAGCCACAGGAAGGTGATTGTAAAATGCACATTCATCATCATGAGATCAATTGCTGAATGAAGACTCCAAGTTATTGCAGTCCCTCATGATCCTCGCAATTCCAACCGGCTCCTGCACATGAGCTGATCTCGTCGCTTCATCTCCACAGTGGCTATCCTCTCATCCGTGTTCCCTCCTGGCTGTCTCTCTGTTGTTAGTCTTGACCGTCAGCCATGATCTCTTTTTGAAACATGTCCTGCCAAAGCCAATTCACTTTTATTAACAGTCAAGCTGATGTCAGTAACCGGTCATTTTTGGCACCGTGTGTTATTAGAGGTTTTACTGAATTTTAATAAATGTGATGAGACACTTACACACTAGGCATGTAACTAGCCACCCTGTCGGTTGTGGTTCAAATTAATAATTGTTTCATTTTTGCCCGATTTTTTTACACCCTATTTATATTATTTGTTGTTTCATCTTGTTTGTATTGCTTTGGTCACTTCTTTACACGAAATGTTCTACGAAATGTATAATTAGATTATCTCATTAACTATTTGCACACACACACACATCATATGTGTATGAAGTCGAAGAGTCAATCTGAATTAGTAAATTGTTATAGGCCTCATATTCACACCGATGCACGAATATGTAAACGTGCACATGTTTGTTTTGTGTGCATGTGTAGAGGTGATACGCGCTGGGATTAGGGATCGTATGCCAGCGCGTGATGATTGGCTGTGTAGGTGGTGACGCGCGCTGACGGTGGAGGATCAGGGGTCAGCGCGGGGTCGTGGGTTACGGGGTACCGATTGGCTGTGGGCCGGTGACGCGCTGAGAGGGAGTGATCAGGTGGCAGCGCAGTGTGATTGGTGGAGTAATGTTAACACGCGCTGGGGAAAGCGGATCGTAGAGAGAGTGCGTCGTGATTGGTTCATTAAGGAACGACGCTCACGTCGACGTCCGCATCAGCTCCGTCTCTCGTGAGCAGGGGCTATAAAAGGGGATGCACACAGGCGTAAGGGCAGTGTGTAACCAGCGAAGAATGAAGACGGGGATGAAGACCTAGAGCCCTGCGGTACCTAGCCGGCTGTCCTAACGGGACCGGGACTCTGTGTAACCCAGAGGCGAGTGTAGTGTGTGTAGCCATAGGCATAAGGTCTACACGAGCCGAATGCATTGTGTGTAGCCAGGCATAGGGTCTACACGAGTCGAGTGTATTGTGTAGCCAGAGGCATAGGGCTTACACGAGTCGAGTATATTGTGTGTAGCCAGAGGCATAGGGTCTACACGAGTCAAGTGTATCGGGTGTAGCCAGAGGCCTAGAGTTTACACGAGATTAGTGGAGTGTGTCGTCGGAATAAGGAAGACCACACGTTGTATTGTGACACGTAAAGATTTAATAAAAGTGTGTTACCCGTCAAGAAGTTCCTGCCGTCAATTCCAATACTTCAACTGGCGTCAGAAGTGAAAAGGTACTCCAAGCATGGATACAAGGAGGAGCCGTCGGACCCACGGGATTGACCACGGGGACAACCTCGACGACGGGGGCCAGCTGGCATCGGGGGGTGAGGAAGAGGAGCTGCCCACGGGGCAGGATCCGCCGACGGCGCCGGACGAGCGACGGGGGACTGACACCGTGCTCCGCGAGGCACACTCCCGTCTGGCGGAGCTGCTGCTCGCCGCCGCGTCCATCCTGGCGGAGATCAGCTCGTCGGGAGGAGCGGGGACGGCGGCCGACGTGCTACAGGGTCGCCCTGCAGATTCCCGCCAAAACTATTTGGCGATTCCCGCCATTTCATCCGCACCAACTTTTGGCGGGAACGGCCATCACCACGTGGCAGCGGTTCTCCATGCGCGCCCGCTGACGTCACCAACGCGCGCGGCGGACCGCCATCACACACCCGCCACTGGGGCCGCCATCTTACACACCGACGGGGCGGCGGAGAGGAAGCACGAGGAGGAGGACGACTTCATCTTTCAGCAGCGCCTTCCCACGTTGTCAGCCTTCAAGGCGGAAGGCGGGGATTGGAGCCAATTTCAGCGCAGATTTTTGGCGCATCAGGAGATGTCCGCCTGGTCCGACGCTACGGCACTGCGGGCACTGCCTGCCATGCTGGACGACAACGCGCTCGCGGCCTTCACGTCCGCACGCAGGTCGGACCGCTCCACGCTCAAGGATGCGCTGGCTCTCATGGCCAAGGTCTACGGTCCTCCCTCGGCGTGCCGCCATCATTTTTATGCAAGACGGAAGGCGGACACGGAGACCGTGCTCGCCTACCGCACGGCGTTGCTTGCTCTCGCCGACGCCGCGTTCCCTCGTATGGACGAGGAGGGCCAAGATGCGATGGTTTTGGAGCAGCTGCTCAAGTTGGCGCAGGACCTGGGGGTCCCCATCAACACGGCCGACGAGACCGATATTTCTTCCTTACGGGTCGCCACGAGCATACAAGCGCACAAGGTCCTTCTACGTAAGCAGGGGGTCGTCTGCAACGCTGCAGTGGCCTCAACTCCGGGTCCGGTTGTTACCGTGCCCCAAGTCGTCAGCCCACGAGAGGAGGCGTTCATCGCGGGACGAGCGGGGGACTGGAGATCGGGGGGTCGTTCGCCTCTGCGGGCGGCCCGCAAGCTGGAGCAACCGAGATCTCCGACGACTGTCATCACGTGCTATAACTGCGGCCTCCGAGGCCACGTGGCCTCCGGTTGCCGCGCCCCACGTCAGCGCGCCATGGGACCTCGGCTGGACGACGAACAAGGCCCCAAGTCATCACTGCAAACCCCGGCAAGTCGCGGCACCTCACATGCTTGGCCCGCATACTCGACACGTATGGGTCGTCGCGTTGCGACGGGGGAGAGCCGAGTAGAGTTCGGGGATTCGGTTCGGAGAGGGGGGTTCGGCCGGGACCGGGGAGACGTTAAATGGTCGGAGTTGGGGCACAGAATAGTGGCTGCCTCAGCGGGTTCATCCGTCGTTACCGGATCTATTGATGGGGTCGAGGTCAGGGTGTTAGTGGACACGGGGGCATCGGCGACTATTATTTCGGATCTCATTTATAATATTCTCCCGGTACAATGTCGTCCGCTTCTTCCGGTGGATGTGCCATTTTACGCCGCTAACGGGGGATCGTTGGGCATTATCGGTCAGATTAGGGCGTCCATTTGCATTGGTGATATCAAATTGTCGGGACCCGTTTTCGTTTCGTCTTCCCTGGCGGTTCCTTGCCTCTTGGGCACTGATTTTTTGGCAAAAATGCCCATCAAAATTCTCATTGATCAGCGTTGCATTGAACTACCATCGGGTCGCCGTATTTCATTTTTGACGAGCCCTAATGTAATTCGGACGGCGTGCGCTACCATACAGGCGTTAGCGACACAGACCGTGCACGTGCCCCCGGGTTCACAAATGTTAATTCCCCTCCGGTTGCGGAAGCCATGGGGGAAGGAGGCCTTGGAACAGGGCATGCTTTTGGGTCCTTCTAATAGGGCTGTTGGAGGTCTCGATTTGTCGGTGGCTCACACTTTGGTTGGGGCGGACAGGGATCCGTTTGTGATGGTTTTAAACGCTGGGGCGCGGCCGGCCGTCATTCAGCAGGGCACCGTGCTAGCTCACGCGGCACGGGTCCCTGCGGAGGAGAGGCTGGTTGCGCAGGCTGATCCGAGCCCCACGAGTAACGTAACATTGAAGGAGGACCTCGATTGGATTGATATGCTGTGCGCGGACTCTGACGATCTGTCAGCGGTACAGTTGGGTGCGCTGCGCGGGTTGCTGATTGAATTTTCGGATGTCTTCAGTAAACATAAGTATGACATTGGGTGCACGGACCTGCTACGCCACCACATTGAAACGGGCGATGCGGCACCGGTCAGGCAAAATCCCTTCCGACTGAGTCCTGCTGAAAAGGAACATGTTCAGTCGGCAGTTAACGATATGCTAGAAGCCGACATTATTTCGCCTTCTTCCAGTCCTTGGGGAGCACCTATTGTGCTCGTTAAAAAGCAGGACGGGTCCCTGCGATTTTGCGTCGATTTCCGTCGCCTGAATAAGATCTCTGTGGCCGACGCGTATCCGCTCCCCAGGATGGACGAGTCTCTCGACGCATTGTCCGGTGCGCGATACTTTTCGACTCTTGATTTATTATCCGGATTTTGGCAGTTGCCACTCGACGAGGAGTCTAAGCCTAAGACTGCATTCCGGACTCCAGGGGGCCTGTTTCAGTTTAACCGGTTACCCATGGGACTTCACTCCTCTCCTGCGACGTTTCAGCGTCTTATGGAATTGGTTTTGTCGGGCTTGCAGTGGGATACGTGCCTCATTTACCTTGACGATGTCATTGTTTTCGGTAAAACGTTTGAAGAACACCTCCAGCGATTGAGAGGGGTGTTCTTGCGAATGCGATCGGCTAAATTAAAGTTTAAACCGGCCAAATGCCATCTTTTTCGTAAATCCGTGAGGTACTTGGGTCACATTGTCGACTCTTCGGGGATTTCTACCGATCCTGCGAAGACGGACTGTGTCAGTTCGTGGCCGACGCCCACGTCGGTGTCAGACGTGCGCAGTTTCATTGGTTTTGCTTCGTATTATCGCCGATTCGTTGAGCACTTCGCCACCATTGCAAAGCCCTTGCACGCTCTAACGGCAAAAGGAGTGAAGTTCCGGTGGGGACCGGAGGAGGAGGCTGCATTCTGCTCCCTCCGGGACGCCTTGGTAAGGGCCCCACCCTTGCGCTATCCGGACTTTGCGAGTCCCTTCTTGCTAGACACGGATGCTAGCAACACGGGCATTGGGGGAGTGCTGTCCCAAGTCGTTGGAGGGGTCGAACGAGTGGTCGCCTATGGTAGCAGGGTGTTGTCGCCGGCAGAGCAGCGCTACTGCGTCACCCGTCGCGAACTGCTTGCCATTGTTTTTTTTGTACAACAATTCAGGCCATATCTCTATGGTCGTCATTTCACGGTCCGGACGGACCACGCGGCGCTCCAGTATTCATTACGGGTTGCCCAGCCCTCGGGCCAATTGTCGCGGTGGTTGGAAGTCCTCCAGGACTATCAGTTCACGACTACGTACCGTAAAGGGTTGCGACACACAAATGCCGATGCCCTGTCGCGGTTGTTGCCTTGTCACAAATGTGCGTGCTTATCGGGATCGGCGCGCTGTAAACCTCCGGTTACGGAAGGTAGGGAGGCGTTGGTTGCGACCGCGAGCACACCAATTGGAGATGGTCCCGCTACCCCAGGGGGTCAGGACTCGCTGCTCTCACTGTCGTTGATTGAGTGGGGCCGTCTCCAAATGGCGGACAGCTCCCTGCTGGCATTGCGCCGAAAGACGGAGGGTTCCGAAGGTAACCATGACCGAACTGGCTCCTACGAGCTTAAGCAAGGCCTGTTGATGAGATGGGACAGTTTGTCCCGGCGGCATGCGATTGTGGTGCCTTCTGCTGTGAGGGGGAAGGTTGTCTTGGCTGCACACGAACGCCTCTTGCATTTGGGAGTTAACAAGACGCTTGCCCTGCTTCAGCGTGACTATTATTGGCCGGGAATGGGGGGTGACGTGGTGAATATTCTGAAGGGTTGTGTTGAGTGCGCCAGACGGAAACCACCGCCCGTGGCAGCTAATCCACCGCTGCAATCTATTCAGGTCTCGCGCACTAACGAGCTCGTTGCACTCGATATTCTGGGGCCCTTTCCGGTCACGCCTAGGGGTAATAAGTACCTGTTGGTGGGGGTCGAATATTTTACCCGGTGGCCTATGGCGTGGCCACTCGCCAACCAGTCGGCGGCGGCTGTGACGGACGCCTTTGTCCAGGGCTACGTCCTGGACAAGGGGGCTCCCGAACGCTTGCTGACTGACCAAGGGAAAAATTTTTCGAGTAAATTACTGCAAGAGGTGTGCACCCTGTTGGGTACCAAGAAGGTGCGTACCTCCCCGTACCACCCGCAGACGGACGGGATGGTGGAGAGGCTTAACAGGACATTGACCTCTATGCTGTGCCAGCAGGTATGTGAGTCACATGTTGATTGGGACCTGCAGGTCCCTGGGGTCCTTGCCGCGTATAGAATGGCCCCCCATGCAGCAACGGGATTTTCCCCGTTTTATCTAATGTACGGTCGGGAAGCCGACCCGCCCATGGAAACGCAGCTGGGTCTGCCCGCACCACGAACTAATTCGAAATTGGCAGAGCATATTAAATTTAATATTCATAAGCTCACAGAGGCAAGGGAGGCCGCACGGCTTAATTCGCGGGCTCGCCAAATTGCAAACGAGCGGTTGCGGGCACGGAAGGTGTCCGTGCACAATTGGGAACCAGGTGACAGGGCCTGGCTGCATTGCCCTCAGGCACCTTTGGCTACGTCGCCTAAATTGTTGAAGCCGTGGCGGGGACCCGTGGAGGTCGTGCGGGTTGCACGCCCCCAGTGCGTTCAGATAAAATGGGGAAAACGCCGTTGGTACGTCCACCCCTCCCGACTGAAACCGTTCTCGCCTCCGTATGGCCTCCCCTTGTGTCGTGAGGGCCGAGCATGTGACGTGACCGACGACCCTGAGGGGGAATTGTCCTTGCCTGCTCCTCACATGTCTCCGCCTGATCCGCTCCCAGGTGTCTCGAAACTGACAGCTGCCGACCACCGGCGGCCGGATCTTCACGGCGGGGCCGGTCCTTCCAGGCCCGATCCCCGCCGTCTAGAGCTGCCGGAGCCACCGGATGGTCGCCAACGTCCCGTCCCATACGACGGACCGGCCAGACGGACTCGCGCTAGGTCGCGCTACTTTGTGTAACCTACCACGTGAGGAGTCGAGGCTGCCGGAGCGCCTCGGCACTGCGTTGGTCACAGTGACACTTGGCGCGTTCGTTTTACGGTGTTCGCTTTTATTGTGTTGTTCGTCGGGCTGTATATTGCTTCGTATTTAAGTGTTGCGTTGTGTTATGTTGTTGTTGTTGTGTTACGGGGCACACTCGGATGTGGAGTTCTTTATTACTGCGTTGACGTTAGGTTGTGTTGTTGGTTAACAGCCGGGCCGGCTGCAAGCTATGTGGGAGGGGGTGATGTAGAGGTGATACGCGCTGGGATTAGGGATCGTATGCCAGCGCGTGATGATTGGCTGTGTAGGTGGTGACGCGCGCTGACGGTGGAGGATCAGGGGTCAGCGCGGGGTCGTGGGTTACGGGGTACCGATTGGCTGTGGGCCGGTGACGCGCTGAGAGGGAGTGATCAGGTGGCAGCGCAGTGTGATTGGTGGAGTAATGTTAACACGCGCTGGGGAAAGCGGATCGTAGAGAGAGTGCGTCGTGATTGGTTCATTAAGGAACGACGCTCACGTCGACGTCCGCATCAGCTCCGTCTCTCGTGAGCAGGGGCTATAAAAGGGGATGCACACAGGCGTAAGGGCAGTGTGTAACCAGCGAAGAATGAAGACGGGGATGAAGACCTAGAGCCCTGCGGTACCTAGCCCGCTGTCCTAACGGGACCGGGACTCTGTGTAACCCAGAGGCGAGTGTAGTGTGTGTAGCCATAGGCATAAGGTCTACACGAGCCGAATGCATTGTGTGTAGCCAGGCATAGGGTCTACACGAGTCGAGTGTATTGTGTAGCCAGAGGCATAGGGTCTACACGAGTCAAGTGTATCGGGTGTAGCCAGAGGCCTAGAGTTTACACGAGATTAGTGGAGTGTGTCGTCGGAAGAAGGAAGACCACACGTTGTATTGTGACACGTAAAGATTTAATAAAAGTGTGTTACCCGTCAAGAAGTTCCTGCCGTCAATTCCAATACTTCACATGTACAGTTGAGTTTAGATATTTTTTTCTCGTGATATACGAATAAAGTACTGAGATTACGCCTAATATGCACAGTATTCAGTTATAAATCAGTATGTAGTTCACTGGAATTTCCCTCAACTTTTGAAATGCTCTCACATGATTGTAATATGAAGTAATTACGAAGCATTGTTTTGAGATGGTGGCGGTGATGGAAAAATAAAAGAGACATTCACCGTCTGGGAAAGAGAACAATCACCAGTTGAGCACATTGACCAAAGTAATGTTTGCCAAAATGTCACCCTGATGCCGGGTGCAACACGCACAACTATTGCTGGCAGGACACTAACCTGGATTTAGTAATTGCCATTTTCCTCCCTTTTTTACTAATTATTGTTGCTGTATCTGTAAATTGTGCTATAATGTTACTATGAACTTTTCACAATTGATTGTCACTGACCTGGAGAATGCTATGAATTATTTAGGAAGATGTTGGGTGAGTTGACTCATTATTATTGAAGAGTGGGATTGCTGGTCTATCTAGGAATCAAATTTTATATTGTGAAAAAACTGGTGACACCATATATGATGTGCAAATATATATATACAATGATTAGTGGAACTCATCTATAAATGTAAATGGATAAATATAAACCATCACAGATTGTCTGATGCAGTCATTATAACTACCAATGGAGATGAACTACAGGAATTGATAGATTAAACTTATAAAGTGAGCCTCAGGATAAATGAGTAAAGCAAGTGATGTATAACAAGTTCACTAAACAAAATGAAGATATCTGGCAGAGGGATACACCTGGAAACACGTCACAGTAAAAAAAATTCACGAAGAAAATTTAAGAGGTTCATGCTTGGTATTACATTAAGAGACAGGAAAAGACCATGGATTCGATCAAATATGCAAGTTAGACATCACATTGACTGCAAAGTATAGAAGTTGGCTAAACAGTAAGTGGGCTTGTGCACGACACATCACTAGCAGGGTTGATGGCCACTGATTGATATTCATGACTGAATGGCTGCCAAAAAGGAGGGAATTCCCTGAATAGATGTCCATAGCAGAGATAGAACAATAAAATTGGTTCATATGCAGGTGGTGTATAATTTGTTTCATCATGAGACCAGGACGGAGAGTGACAGCTTGCGGAACTGTTTAGCCATCAGTTAATAATGGTTCATACTAATGATTGCACTTTTTTTTCATAATTTCATCACAACTACTATGTATAACTTTTCTCTTAGATGCTGGTGACATGAAAAAAGCCCCAACATCAACAGAGAAAGAAAAAGGTAAGTGTAACAAAAACATCTGCCACAAGTGTGGCTTTTGGTTTCTCTCTTTTTTATGTATCAGCTCTGTGTTAAATGTGAAATTTGTGGCACGTATGCATCTGTTTATAATGTAGTGCATGACATCTTTACTCATGAACTGCAGATTTATATGCCGACAGTTCCATGACTGAGGACAAAAATGAAGGAGATGTGGAACAACCCACCGACGGTAAAAATTGTGAAAACACTGAATCAGAGAGGCAGATAAACTCTCCCAGTTGGGATTTCTCACAAGATCCTTCTCATCAGAAGCCCGAAGCTGCAACTGCGGAATTCCAAGTTGAGAATAGTGCAGCTAATGATGACAATTTGTCTTTAGAACTCAATAATAAGGATATCACTATCAAAGATAAAGAAAAACAAATAGATTTTGAGCAAAAAAAAAACCAGGAACAAAATAATGAAGATTCACAACCTGGAGATATTTCTCAGTCGGCAGGATTGAGTGCTCAATCTGCTGGTAAGAATATTGACGCAGCTCCTGAGGACCCTGCAGGACATTCTACTTCTGCAGCTAAGGCAACAAGCAATGCAGGTGCTTATAAAGAGAATATGCCTGTAAAAGACCTGGATTCCGATGCAAAGAATAAAATATCCTCCAAAGACTCTGCAGCACATACCACATCTGGAGTTCAGACCAGAAGCCAGTCTTCTGCAGAAAATATTGAGAGCCAAGAACAAGGGAAACAGGTAATTTAAACCATCAACACGCACATAGTAAAAGTGTTATATAATGAAAACGTCTTAAATCGTGAGTGAAATATTTCAACCGAAGCTTTATTAAACGCACAATTGAAGCTCGACTAATGCAATGTTTATGTGCACGCTTTCAATACTAATGAATCACTGGTTCCATTCTGTGCTTAAGACACTTTGACATGGCTAGCATGAGAATGTAGCATAGCAGCCTCAAATTGTTTTTTTTTCAGCCTGCTCTATTACTCTTATGGTGGGTTTTTCTCATAATTTACAAATATGATCATTGTTGTTTGCTTTAGCCAAGTTAATGGGCCCCATAGTGTGGAATTGGGGACTCCAGATATATGGTTTCCAGAGACAGACTTTGCAGCAGTGAGCTTTGTGACTATGCCGTGCTGGTGAGTCCTCACGAGGATGAAGCCGATCCACAGTTGTCTATCAATGAATCGCAGCTGCTGTCAGTTGGTCACATTTGTTCACATGTATTGTGATGGTGGCCTTAAACAAGAGGACCACAATACTTTTCTTTAGGAAATGCTGATGATGTTTGCATATGCACGGAGGCTGTGTGCTTTTTATACGTTTCTTCATGTTTGAAAGATATATTTTGCTGCAGATTTCACACTTGTGGACACTACAACAAGCAAATATGGCCCACTATTTGTGTTTTATGGTCGAAGGGAAAAAATCAATCCAAGATTTTTAAAGCGCCATATTAAGCAACAAGCTGAGATGACAGCAGATGGGATTAAGCAGACTAAGTTGTCTTGTGGTTGTTGTTGTTTGACTTGCATCCCACTGGGATTTTTGCAACTCCTATGACTAATTGGGAATGGGACGCAAGCGTAGGATTGATCACCCTGTCGCTGGCCGCCTTTGGGGAGGGTGTATAGTATGAAAGGCCGAAACACCCTAGGAACCAAAGGGTCACTACTGACGATGCGCTCCCCAAATTTCACCAGGCTCACTGTTCATGAACTCTTGGAAGTGCTTGCACAAAGGATAGTAACATCTCATCCTGTGTTCTTTGGAATCTGAATATGTGTACGGTGCTTTTTCTGCAATATTTTGCTGTCTTTTCTTGGATTTTCTGTTTGCACATAGTCACTTTAAGATGTTTTCTTGTTCATGTTTTTGTTTTTTTTTGTTGCGGTTGCACCCGATTCAAGAGCCGAATGGCTCACAGGGCTCTACCTAATAAATTAACTTGAACTTGAAGCAAATTAGACTAAATGTGAGGAGCAGAAGAGAAAATGTATCTTTTTAGTCCAGTCTTAAAATCACTGGTTGTCACGGCTGACTGGACTTCAGTTGGTAGACTTTCTGCTGATGAAAATCTCTGTTCTGCTGTCCTAAGCCAAGTGGATTTCACACACAAACTGGTGTGGATTTGTTTTCTTTGTACAACACCCTGTGCCCCCTGGGTGAAAGGTGCTTTCGAGGTGTAAATTATTAAATGTGAGGCTTCACACAGTGTAAGTAGTACAATTGTTGATCTAACATTTGTCACTTTTCTTTAGGGAACAAATACAGGTAAAACTAAAAACAAAGATTCAAAAAATCTAAATCAAGGATCCAAACAGAATGAGTTGAGGTAAGAAACAACCATATATTTACAAACAAGTACTTTTATCAGGTGTAGTTATGAATTTGTGGAACAATACAGGTTTAATTATTTTAATGATTGAATATAAACTTCACTTGTAAAGCACACAGTACAGGTAGTCCCCGACTTACGATGGTCCGACTTATGATATTTCGATCTTACGATAGCGATAGCGATATGACAAAATTGTAAAATATTTTACATTTCGCGCGGCGGGCAAACGCAGCAGCGTACGAGGTACGATATTGTACGTTGGGACACTGCCGGGATGTACTGTACGCATCTCCCGCCTTGTGTGGCGGTGCCTCTCACTCTCACCAGCGTCTACCGTGTAAGGCCCACTGAGCTAATTAGTTATTTTTCATAAGCAACCTGGCCATAAACGATAGCTCAACGAAGTGGCTTATGTGGATATTTATAATAGCCAAATACTCTAAACGCATGTTTATAAAATGTGGAGGGAAAAACCGGAGGACCCGGAGAAAAATCCATGCGATCACGGGGAGAATTTGCAAGCTCCAAAAAGACAAGTATCAGGGTCGGGATCGAACCCACAACCTCCTGTATACTAGGTGAGGTAATTAACAGCTTACCACCATTGCTCCCCAAGCATACGAAGAGGCAAGACTTATTTCCATACAGATGTAACAGATGGAGATAATCTTCTTGGTTCTTTCGGTAAAGTCACGTAGAAGGGAAGTAATAAAATAATAAAAATAAAACACAATAAAATAATTCTCACGACGTTTCGGCCACAACGCAAGCAGCCGTCCTCAGGTTAAAACCAGGTCCGTCGAGGCGACAGAGTCTGAATGAAACAGCACACGAGCTTGGAGCATATATAAAAGCTGGTCGCCTTGACAAAGGAATTTGCATATCAAGAGGAATTTAGCATATTTATGGGAAATGCAGGAATGTGATTAGTACTACATATGCATGTGCATTATGCAGGATTATGGAAGAGGTACGTAGATGACATTTTTGTCATCTGGCCACGTGGCCGGCCTGCTCTAGACCAATTTCTCGACCACATCAATTCCATACACCCAGCCATCAGATTCACCATGGAAGTCGAAAAAGATGGCAAGCTACCCTTTTTGGATGTCCTAATTAAAAGGAGACCTGATGGTTCAATGAGCCACTCTGTCTACAGGAAAGCCACCCATACGGATGCTTACCTAAAACCGGATTCCCACCACCATCCATCCCAGAAGAATTCCCTCATCAAGACTCTATACCATAGAGCCCAATGCATTTCCGACCAGGAACACATTGGCAGTGAACTCAAACACGTACGCCAAGCTCTTAAGGCTAATGGTTACTCTGACTACACAATCCGCAAGGCCTTCACTCCAACCATCAAGAAGGATCCTGTTGAGGAGCCTTTCAAGACCATCACCATACCCTACATTGCTGGGGTCACAAAAAAGATCTCCAAAATCCTGATTAAACACAAGATCCAGGTCCGATTCAACACAGTACATAAAATCCGTGACCTGGTCCCGTCAGTAAAAGATGTGGTTCCAGACATACAGTACCCTGGCGTCTACAAATTAAGTTGCCTCTGTGGTAGCAGTTACATTGGAGAAACCAAACGACATGTCTCGGACCGCATCCGTGAACATAAAGCAGACCTGAAACACGGTAGGACAAACACCTCAGCCGTGGCAGATCACTGTTACAATTCAGTGGGCTCACATGACATTGACTTCTCCAAGACAGAGGTTCTCTGCAAGCCATCTGGCTATCATGAGAGATTCGTTCATGAGGCGATCCACATATACAAACACAGAGACAATTTCAACCGAGAAGATGGATTCTGGCTTAGCAATCATTGGAAGGACGTAATAAACCATTTCGGATCTTAACTGATTGTGTTCACGTTTATGGTGACTTTCAGACCGCGTTCCGCTCACTGGCATTGTATTCTCCGCAGGGAATGGATTCTTTGCTCCGCTGCAAGTTTCCTCCCACCACTCACCCATTGACACGACGGTCAATGGTACAGTGTATAGTGGCAGATAGTGTGGCATTTGTATGCTTGGTGCAGTGTGCAGAGTAATGTATGGTGTCGTAATTGTATAGTAAATATATAGCAGTGTGATACACATTAGGGTGGGTAGAATAATACATAGTGTTGTATTAAAATGGATAAGGCAGCAGCAGCAACTGCAGCAGCAGCAACTGCAGCTCCCTTTGATGCTGTTAATACTGCATAATGCACATGCATATGTAGTACTAATCACATTCCTGCATTTCCCATAAATATGCTAAATTCCTCTTGATATGCAAATTCCTTTGTCAAGGCGACCAGCTTTTATATATGCTCCAAGCTCGTGTGCTGTTTCATTCAGACTCTGTCGCCTCGACGGACCTGGTTTTCACCTGAGGACGGCTGCTTGCGTTGTGGCCGAAACGTCGTGAGAATTATTTTATTGTGTTTTATTTGTATTATTTTATTACTTCCCTTCTACGTGACTTTACCGAAAGAACCAAGAAGATGAATCCCTGCAGTCACGAAAGCTTTAAATCGAAAGATGGAGATAAATCCACATTTTGCTGTACTTTCTACTGGCAAGCCAGGGAGGGTATGGCATCTCGACAGCCACAGGATGGGAGTTTCACTGCATTTGTGTGGTCCGCCAACCCTCGCCACCAGTGCTGGATTATAGTTGAGGGCCATCACTGTCACCCGGCTCAAATCTACAGTGATGTGTACCACCTCCCACAGCCAAATTGGCTACTCAACTCATGCCAACAACCAGGCCACACTGTTTACATGTAGAGACCATCCTAGCTTGTTTTATATCAAACTATATTTGTTCAACATCTTTAAGCATTCAAACATGTCGAGGTGATGCTATCCAACTGTGGCAAACTAGTTCTTACAGGCAGTGTTTCCATAAAAAATTTAAAAAATATTGCCGTACAATTTTAAACAAAATTGTGATGCCAACGACAAGAATCTAATTCTGAGCCAGATAAATTATTATAAAACCATTTTATTAACCACTTGAGTTTAATAGAATACAGGAAGCTGTCAATTGGTTGGATATATCCTAGATTTGAAGCTTTCGTGACTGCAAGGATTCATATTCTTAGGTTTTTTAGGTAAATTTTTTACCTACGTGACTTTACCGAAAAAAACCTAAGAATATGGATATATCCTGTTTTAACATTTGTCTAAATTGAGGACGTTTATATGGAATGCTGAATCTCGTATTTTTTTAATTAATCAATTTGTGTGATAACATACACTTATTAATCATTTGCTTATTTACCCAGTAAAGCCTCACCGAGTCTCATGACTCTTTTTCAGGAGAGTCCTGCCAAGTTTTTTTGCAGTAGGAGGCGATGATGGATATGTATATTCCAATGTAGTTATTTGCAGGTAATTTTTTCAAATTTGAAAAATTTGGACCTTGATGCCAGCACACAGTGGCCTACTCTTGTGTATGTCATGGTATCTTTAATATCTTAACTTTGGAGCTTTCGTGACTGCAGGAATTATTCTTTGGTTCTTTCGGTAAAGTCACGTATAAAGAAAAAATAATAAATTAAATAATAGCATACGACGTTTCGATTGCAACACAAGCAATCATCATCAGGTATAATGAAATAGCGACATAAAATCTAACCAGAAAAAATGATAGACAGACATATAAGCAGACAGATATCACCAAGATACACATAGCGGACAACACAGGTACAGAGAGGGGTGATCGTCTCTGTGGGGTGGCCTTAAATAGACAGAGGGGGGCGGAGGCAGCGAGAGGGAGGGGTTAGAGACAAAATTTACATGTCAATGAGTACAACAAAAAGAAGCGAACAGGCTTAGGGGGAGAAAGAAACACACTACGTCGTATGCTATTATTTAATTTATTATTTTTTATTTATACGTGACTTTACCGAAAAAACCAAAGAATAATTCCTGCAGTCATGAAAGCTCCAAAGTTAATATTGAACCACTTCTACGGGGAAGTTCCAAGTTTACCTTTTTCTCTCTCTGTGTTTTTTATTCTCTCTCTCTGCCTGTTTATTTTGTGTAATTTTTTCTGTCTACACTCGTTTTTTGTCGTTCTTAGGTTCTGCTCTGTCTGTGTGTCTCCGTTCCTCTTGTTTTTATGTTTTGTCTTTCTTTGAAATTCTCACACTTAAATTCTAACTTAGCAATCTTTGAAATACGTAATCGACCAGGCTATGTGTTAATTGTGTGTTGACCGACTCTGTGTCGTTTTACATAACATTTCGATACTTTGCTAGGTTATTTAATTTTAGTGTGTTTCTTTCTCCCCCTAAGCCTGTTCACTTCTTTTTGTTGTACTCATTGACATGTAAATTTTGTCTCTAACCCCTCCCTCTCGCTGCCTCCGCCCCCCTCTGTCTATTTAAGGCCACCCCACAGAGACGATCACCCCTCTCTGTACCTGTGTTGCCCGCTGTGTGTATCTTGGTGATATCTGTCTGCTTATATGTCTGTCTATAATTTTTTCTGGTTAGATTTTATGTCATTATTTCATTATACCTGATGATGATTGCTTGTGTTGCAATCGAAACGTCGTATGGTATCTTTAATGTCCACTAAAATAGCTGCCACGTAGTTGTATGGTTAATATACTGGGCAGTATTAATTAGGGAGGCCGCTGGATTTCAACTGTGATCTTCTGCAACAAGCACCGAAAGTGCTACCGCTAGGCCACGTCTACTGTCCTTTGTAAAGGAAATGAAAGTAAATGTCCCTGCATGGGCATCAGCATTAGTGTGATACTAGCAGAGGGAATGGGTGCTTTTATTGTTTGGGGATAAAGCAACATTGGAGAGCATTTAACTATTTTTCACATTATCGATTATTCACTCTGGTTAATCCTATGGGTTTCCAGATATTATTAAGTCTGCTGCACTGGAGTGCAGTTGACTGATAAAGGTTGTCCTCTTTCCATTGTATCGTAGTAAAATGAGAGCTGCTGCTATACACTATGATATAGCTTTAGAATATTTAGTTAGACTGGGTGCATCCGATGCGCTATGAAGCTATTTTTCACAGGGGCGGGACAGCAAGTTACAACAAACAATAGAAAAAGAAACAATCAAATGATCACTTGCTACTTTAAACACATTCACAAAATAAGTATCTCAACCTCATCAGAAACGTCCCTATTGGGGTTAAAACCTCATGGCCTTTCCAGGGAGGCAAATACATTATTCCAAAGTTCATTGTTATAGCAGAACACACCATTATAGCCAACTGGAAAGAGCATGCTCCACCAACACTGCAGGAATTGGCCAATACATTGTCAAAAATTTCCGCTTCAGAGCATCCAAGTGCAAAATTAAGCTTACCACCAAACATGGAAACCGTTCTTCACTACCTCTCCTCAATCGTGGGCACTGATTCTTAAGAGCATTCATGAGGACGTTTAGGCACTTCCCCTTATTTTCCTATTGGGGTATCTGAGCTTAGGAAGACACCAGGGTTCTAGAGTTTATTGAAACAGTTTATTGAAACATGCGGTTTAGACAGGTTTCTATTGCACTGTAATCCGTAATGTGTTTGTCAACCTCCTTTCATATCCTCTGTGTTGTGTACCTGAATCGGTTTGTTAATAACTACTTTTGGAGAACCCCCCCCACACAAAAACGAATGATAGGAGTGCAAAATAGAGAAATGGTAAGGAAGTCATGAGAAATAAATAAAAATCAATCAAACATGGAAGTCCAAATTTCATAAATACATCAAAGTCTTGCCGAGTTTTCAACACTAAATGCAAGCTAGACCAAGGCAGCAAAACAACAACAAAACAGTCCCAGACCACACAAAGACAACACAACGTGCTTCAATAAAATTGTAGATTGAAATGTAACTATCGATATATGGATGGTAAGGAATCAAATTTACAAAACACATTTGCAAATGTCGTATCTAGCATCAATATTCTGCCTAAGGAAATTTTTTGAAGGAATATTTACGATGTTAAGGGAAGAAACAAGGTTCCAAAATGTTGGTGCTGCAACTGCAAAGGATTTGGCACTTATTCCAATTTTTGTTCTTGGGATAGTTAAAATGGAATTAGATGGACGTCTTAGGTTTATTGCATTTAACATTGGGGTTAATGAATTAGCTAAGTATAGTGCATATTTTCCAGGGCCCATTGTAGATGTATTAAGTGATGTGAGATTGGATTTTAAGTGGAGATCACAATGGAGGGTCCTGTATGGCACATGTAGTCCAAATCTGAGAGCAGAATGATAAAGCGGGTTTAGTCTGTTCAGTGTTGCCATTAGCAGCTGATCTGTAAGCAGCATCGTAGTCATCAAAAAGTGCAAAAATTATAGCTTCAATAATTTTCAGGTCTAATCGAATGGGAAAACAATGTTTGTTTCTATCTAAAACCTTTTTTTTTGAGATGTGATCAATTATGTTGTTGGAATGTAAAATTTGAATCGATCTGAAAACCAAGATATTTGAAGCACTACATTGATATTGAATTAAAGTCAATAAAACTTGTGTCGGTGGCACTTAAATTAAATGTATAAATCTGCCTAACCAGCATGTGGTTTGTTAAATGAGCTTGGCAGTGTGTATTGTGTTTCATATTAATGTATTGTTTCATTTTAACAGGCCTGATGTTCTGGCTGAAAAAGACGACCCAGATGGAGTGGATGTGGTGTTCTGGGCCGTGCTTGCTAAAGAGTTTAAATTTGATTCAGAAAAATCTGATGTGTATGTAATGATGCAAGGTCAAACATTGAGTAAAATGATGACATTCAGGTAATTTATTCTCGTCATTATTATCATTATCGTCTTCATTCGCAAAGTTAACTGTAGCCTCTGCTTGAGTAATGTGAACAGTGCTCCTTTTTTAACTCACAGATATTGCATGCATGATCAATAAAAGTTCCCAGCTAAAATAAGGAATCATATGTTTTCAGTTGGGAAATTTAATTCAGGAAAATCTCACTTGAATAGCAACATTTGGTTCTTGAGAGTTATTTGGGAATTTTATTTTAATATTGACGAATTTTTTGCCCACTCTTATTGCAGGTTGGAGAGTGAAGTTCATGTTTTGGAAGGTCATTGTCGCCTTAAGGGTTCTGCAGTAAAGAAGAATGCATTGACTTACAAATATGTTTGTAAAGTTCGGGATAAAAAGAAAATGAAAACTGAGTTCATCTACAAAGCAACATCTTCAGAAACTCCATATGAGCGAGCCTTACACATTCCAACAAATTTTGTAGAAAGTAAGTCATTGAGTGTTTTTAAATTTTTATAAAGAAATAAATTTAAAGGTTCAAATAGCTACAGGCTTAGTGCTACTTGGAAGCGAATCATCAAATAATACAGTGTTTAAATGCATGCCTATACAGGCCACCTTACATCAATGGGAATTACCTGTACGCAAACAATAACAGGTATTGCTATTTTATTGCACGCAAACGACAGGAGGTACAAGAGCAATGTGCATGCCACGTTGATTACTATATGAATAGCCCAACTGGCAATGGATACCTTTTGTATTGTATATGCTTTCATTAACCCACCCCCCCACTTTGCACGTGAAGGGCTCACAAGTGATGTCATCACATCTATCCCTCTATCTAAGAAACGAAACCAGAGTATTCTCCACAAATCTGGCTATCACCTGATGATACTCATTGTAATTACTGGCGAAACGTCGTACTCGGATTTTAAATGTTGTAGATTTGCTCTCCAACACACTGGTGTGATGTACTAGTAACAAATTGGCATGTTCTGTTTACGTGACAAACTTTTCTAATTGGCTGTGTCAGGTGGTGGTGGGTTTAACAACACATTTATATTTACGTGATCTACATGATATCATACTTGTGATACTACAGTTGTTAAAAAAGGTGCTTCAATATAAGCCAATAATTACATCGGTAAAACAATGTGGCTGACTGGCATTTGCCTCAAAAGTAGTTAAATGACAGCTTCCACTCCTACTTGAATTGTTGTGAAGCTTTTTATCCCATTATCATGTTCCATGGTTAATCACTGCTGGATGAATGCCTCCCCAAACCGCCACCACTTATGATCTTGTGATGGGACAATCCATCGAGCATCTGCACATGAACTAATTTCATCACTATCCTCTCAGGGGGCATCCTCTTGAACATGTTCCATTAGATGGCTGCCACGCCATAATTTTTCTTGACTATCGTCTATTGTCCTTTCCAGCGATGTGTCCTACCTAGGCCAACTTACTTTTCGAAATAGGTTGGATTATTTCATTAATCTGTGTATATTCTCTCATTCATGTGTTCCTTTTTCTGTCTCAAAGTAATTCCAAGCATGTAATTGTGCATTTCTTTATATATTTTTTATAAATATTTATAAACCATATGTTACAGCAGATGCTACACACCATTTAAAAACTTGCCTCATTCAGTTCTTCCTTCTAAAGGCACTCCACCCTGCTCTTGTCTGCTTATTTATTTCAGCATTTTAATTCTGCCCCACATTGAATAGCTGTCCTAGGTAAACATACTTTGATTTGTTTTTAAGTTGTGTCCATCTTGACCGATATCTGCAATTATTGAGTGAACTTGTTGTCGATGACCTTTGCCTTGCTCATATTCATCTTAAGTCAAAGTTTGCAGCCTTCACTATTAAGTTTAAACATTTTCCTGCAGTAAAATTTCGTTGGACATTACAATGACTGTTGTCAGCAAAAATGAAATTGGTAATATTGTCTATTTATATGTATAGCTTGTTATTCCAATTCAAATTTGGAAAATATATTTTGATGTCACTGTGAATAACTTTGGTGAAAGCGTGTCACCTTACCTTGTCCGACTCCCTTCCTAAGGCGTTGTTCATGTAATCTTAGTGTGGCTGTTTAATTTTATAGTCTTTACTCTCATATATTTTTTATTTAGGCCTTAGTTTGTGAGAGCTTGGATCACTTAATATATTTTGCCCGAGTCAAATTATTATTATTATCTATATATATAAAAGGGAAATTTGTGAATGTGTGTCTGTTCAAAATGTTTAACATACTTCCCGACATGCAACAAACTTGAAATTTGGCATGTGGGTAGCTTCCAGACTGTACACAATGCAAAAAGTATAAAAATAGACTTTTGTATTTTGGGGGAGGGGGCGCAATAATGCATATATTTTGCACGCAAGTGAGCGGTGACATCACATCTGTGATGTCACCGCTCACTTGTGATGTCACCTGCATGCGGCAGCGTTACGCAGTGTGCCTGGTGACGTCACGGACCCCCCCACCCTCCGCGTAGGCCGTGTATTAATCCAAGACAAGAATCCAAGTCCCGGGCGAAGCCGGGTAGTAAAGCTAGTTCATCTGTAAAGGATAGGTAAAATGGTAATTGGAATGCATTGGCCTTTTCCAGAATCTAATGTATGGTCTGTATGTGGTCGATGGGAGAGACATCTTTCCTAAACCCTGCTTACTCCAGCAGTTGTTTGGCCTACAATTTGTTCATGATTCTGTCCCCACTGGTCTTCATGAATAATTGTACGTGAGATGCGTGGCTGATGGGTCTGTAGTTCTTAAAGCTAGTTTTTTCTATCAAAGTGTTTGAATATATAAATTATTGAAGCATCGTTGCATTATTGCAGTTTCTTATTTCTCTGTAAAAATTATTAGTCCGTTAATTTTGGTCTCACATTTGGTCCCGCTTTTTTTTTATGATGCTCACAATTATACCATATGGTCCAGAAGCTTTCCCTTTTTTCATCTTGTTATTCTTCTATCGTCAGTAATAATCATGGTAATTTGAATGATTCATCCGTGGATAATTCATGGTCACCAAATTTTTTTTCAGAGGGTGCTATATTCGGATGTTTGGTGAATGCTATTTTATTGAGCGATTTGCATGTGGGAGTAGACCAGAGTACTCAATGAAAACCCACTTATATGTATGTATTTTGAACTTATTTCGCACCCTATGTAGCCAACCGTGGTAATCGGGGGGGATAATACTCAAAAGTCTACACAGCAGTGTTCACAAACCGACTTGCTATACTTTCATCTCCTAGCCAATGGGTTTTCCAGTTTCACAAATTAAATCTACCTGGCTCCAAAGTGCTGGATTGCAGGCGTGTGCCACAATGCACGCCTGCATTGGGCTGTACTGTGGTATCTGTTGCCACATTTACCCTTTATATATATTAAAAATGTATAAAGCGCTACATATCTCAAATAAGTTTCACAGCACTTTGCAGTATATGATATATTATTTTTTTCAGGTAAAAGAAGTGACTGCCATGTACCTCGAGTTTTTTGTTGTACACCACTGCACACAATTGTGTCACCAATCAGCTCATGGGCATAGCAATAGCAGTTGTGATGCTGAACCTTGTTCCTACAAGGAATTGGGATTCACATTTTTATATTTTTTATATTTTTATTTGCAACTGTGTTTTTGTAATTCATGAAATACCTCTATAAAATGATGTGCGAGATATATAAAATGCGGACTTTTATAAAAAAATGCTTGAAAAAAAAATGTCATGTTGTATTTTGCGATTGCACAAATGTACAATTTAATTGCAGTAAAAAAATGGATGTGAATTGTTTAAATTGGTGCTTGCCTACATCGAATGATGCAAACTTACTACAATTGTGTTTTTTTGTTTTCTAGGTGTTTGGCACCAGTTTGATGATGTGATTTGTGCCCCACCTGCGGCGGGAGCCAAAAGCTTTTGGCAACGTGTAGCCTCAACAACTCGCTATTTTACTGGCATTGATTCGGATGAAGCAAAAAAAAAGAAAAAAGGCAAAGAGTGGGCTGGCCAACTTATTTTGGAACACATCCTTCATAGCCTGAGAAACAAGGAGATGAAGATAAATATAGAATACATCATTATACAGCTAGAGTGTCTAAAATATTGCTTTTTAAACACCTTTTTATTTCATTGTGGGGCTCATGAGGTGTGGAATTTAGACATAAATGAAAAACAGGTAAAACTAAATATTCAATTTAATATTTCTCAATGCACCTTTATCAACCTGTGCTGACCAGTACGGTGAAGTATAAAATAAGCGCTGTTATCAACGTGGTTTGAGGAAGCCACAACCTGAAGTGATTGACAAGGGACAAGAAATCTAAATACATAAAGGACATTTTAATTATTGCACATTATCATATTTTGCATTGCATAAAAAAATGCGTTAACCTAAAAAGCAAAGGTCAAACTCCATTCCGTATCCGTGACGATGCAGGTTTATTTTTTTACCTGTCAGTGCAATGCATAAACAAAATCAACTTATATTTAAATGTACTAGACCTTGTTGGCTCAGTGCTTACTTCAGCAGCCTGCCCTGTGCCCCATCTTCCTATTGCTTGCTTCGGACTGTCAGCTTTGGGTATTTGTTGATCTGCTGCCTATTCATGTCTCATTGGGCCACTGTCTATTTTGTTTGGACCTCATTGGCCCAGGAATTGATCAGTGCACTTTTACTGGCACTACTGTTGAATGATGTGTTGGACTGTGATTTTGGGCTGTGATCATGGGCTGCCTGCTTCGTCAGCTGTCTTTTGCTTTAATAATGTTGATATCAATTGAGTGCATTTGCACCATTCTTATAGCACAAGGCTGTCACGAATGTGCAATGTTTCACAGATAGTCTGCATTTATTTCACAGCAGGGGACAATGTTGCCACGTGCAATCTCAATTGACTACTATTCAAATTTGAAACATGATACCCGCACACAATGGCCTACTCTTTTTGAATGACATCGCAGGGTCTTTAGGAGCCACTGAGAATCAGACGATGCATATTTTACAGTTGATACACCCGCAGTATGAACCAATATGCAACAAGAGCTGAAAGCGCTACCGTTAGGTCACGTGGCCTTTTATTTGGATTTGAATATTTTATATTTGCTTATGTTTTGATCAGCCTTGTAACTCCATTGTCTATGCTGATGTGTTTGTGGTGGTCTTTTTTTAGTTTCTCTTATAAATTCAACTTATTATTTTAAAATCAGTATCGATGAAATAGCAAAATTGGGCATGAAATAAAGTTAGAAAAGTGCCAACTGTATAGACTACACACATAGGAATGAGTTTATTTAGTAATACTGTTTAAACTATTTTTATGCAACATCTACCCATAGGTAACTATACCAGTTTAAAAGTGTTCATTAGGAAATGTATTAAAATGTACTTATTATCAGACCCCCATGGTTTAAAGTGCAGTCATTAATGTTTTTCCACTCTCTGACCTCTATCTCTGGCCGCTTTATGTGCCATGAAGATGGGCCATTGCCCAAAATATTACCGATTTAATATTTTTCCTTTTAAGGCAGTGTTACTGATGAATGTGTTGAGTTTAAACATATTTTTGTCTTGATTTCTATACCTACAATTGCAAGTTAGGAACTGCTTAATTTTATCTGTAATAACGTGTTTTCACCATGCTTATGTTTTGATCAGCCTTGTAAGCTATTATGTCCTGTTTCATTGTATGTGTTACATTGGCAAACTGAATATTAGGTACTATTTGGTTTTATTTTCCAATATTTATCTTGTCAATTAAAGATGTAACAGCTGTCAAATGACATTTTAAAAATGCATTTGATTTTTCCACCTAGAGAAGAAGTGACGCAAGTCATATTGCATCAATCTTTAAACGGCCAATGGGAAGTGCTCAACTGCTCATTTCCATTGGCAGCCAGGAGCCAGTGGTGGGAAATTCCACATTTTCATGTTGGTTGTCTTTCGAGGACGATCACTGTTTAATTCTCATCGAGCGGCACTCATTTCATCAACTGATGAGAGATTGGCCAAGTCGCTCTAACTGGGATTTTATTTTTTTTTAATGTGAAACAATTCTTAACAGATACTTATTTTTTCAGGTTCAAGAAATTCTTAAGAAATTTGTGGACAACCTTCAGAAGATGATGTTTGATTCTGAATTCATGTCTGAATCAAACAAGTTAGCTTTTGCAGTACTGTGGGTTTGCACTTGCAACAAGTTTAATTTAAATTTCCTCGTGAAACCCGCATCAATGATCTGCAAGGCATTGATACTGCCATCAAATATAGACGATGACATCTGGAAACAATTTCGACGAAAGAACGAGTACGTGCATGAAATATTTATGCTTTATTTAAAATGTTTTAATAGAATGCTATTGTAATTCAATTTGTATAATGAATAGCAGTCTTAAAATAGATCATTGAATGTTTCTGAGTTTAATTGCTGAATAACATTTGGTTTCGTTTACAAGACAAAACTTGGTTGTAAATATTTCAAACGGTCTCTTTGTGTCGATAAATTGCTGTACACCCTTTAGGATTGTGCTCGCTGCATTGAAGTGGTTCTGTGAGAAGTGCTTGATGATGTATCATCCAGTTTCTGAGTGCTTGCTGGCACTGCCTTTGCTGGAGGAGTTGGAGAGGCTGAGTGGTGGTCCAGAAAGCCATGTGGCTGCATCCACTAAACAAGCAGTGGGCACGACTGTACAACAGTTTCAGACAAAAGCTTTGGAAAACGAAAACATTCAAAAGTAAATACACATGGTGTTTTCTCGCTTATGTTTTAAATGTTTATATTTATCTAACATCCAGTACATGTCAATGATAAACATTGCGTTCACTGACATCAGAGTGAGGTAAAAATCAATCTTGGTGTGTTTGTTTTCAGTCAAGCAACCCTTAACCTAAGACTAATACATTGGTTAATATGTAAACTATGTATGTATGTTGAACTTATTTCGTTCCGTACCTAGTCAACCATGCTAATACAACTGATGATGGGTAGAAATATTGTTTTTGATACCAAAATGTAAAAATACTAATTTATTGTATATTAAATGTAAATTGAAAAAAATAATTGCATTAGGCTGGTGATTTTTTTGTTTATCTCATGGTAGTGGTTATAGGCATAGCAGTTTATAATACATTCATCAATTTAAATGCGTATATGTTTGCATTGTGTTTTTCACATGCAATGGCGTGTACTGGATTTCTGTCTTTATAATTGCAGAAGTGTGGTTCAAATGCTGCGTAGTCACCAACGACTACTTGAGGGCAACCCACGTCTGTCCCATCTGCTGCTCAAGATGCTGACAATGAGCAGTTTAGCCATCTTCACTGAAATGGATGTGAGCTGGACACCAGAGGACATGTTTGCATCGCTGTATGATTTTCTACACAGATATGGAATTGCATGTTTTACTCAACATCCTCAAAGACGAGTAAGTTAACGTATATGCTCATGATATAGAAATATAATGTTCAACATTGTTACCTTCCATGTAAAATTACTTTAATATTGTTTCACTGTGACATGGATGGATGGCTCAGGCGGTTGTTACTTTGTAACAGCTCTGAGCCAGGCCTAGATATCCTAGCTGTGAATCTAGGCTACCTGTCATGGTTAAACTGGGTTCTCAAATGTGGCAAGTCTTAGGCTGTTCACCATTGACTGCACACAAACAACATCATGAAGTTGGTTTTAAGTTTATTTTGTTAAACCAGGTGAGAACTAAAAAGACGATGAAAGTCACATTTGCAAGAGTGACATGTGTCACCTAAACAAAGTAAACGAAGCAAATAGAAATGAGAACCAAAATTTCTAGCACATGAGAAATCCAAAATATCGCACAAACATAAATCACCATTAAATCAAAGTTAAATATAAAATTCCCTGTGGTGCAAGTTGGCTTGGCCAAAATAATTTTAGACTAATCATAGTATAATTATAGAATAAAGTTAAATAACATGAAACAGATATACTGTAGAGTGTGTTTAAAACTAATCTGAGAATTGACAAGTATATATATCAATTGCAAGTGAAGTTCTAAAAGAATCGACAGCTCAGAAGAAAATGGTGATTTAGAGGAGAGAGTAACCAGGGAAATGTTTTAAGCGCTGTAATTCGAGTTTGGGGCATGAACAGAGAATAAGCGTGTTAGTGCAATACAATATGCTTTTCGTTTGTCACAATACATATATCTCGATATTAGATGCTCATGTATGTGCAATTGATCACTCTGCTTTGCAGACTCTAAGTTATAAATGTGTTTTGACAATTTCATCTACCTCGTTGCTGTTTTGCACCCACTATTTTCTATATATGGGATGCGTTCTACTAGCCTTGTTGTATTCTACGTGCTGTTGTCCCATGTTGATGTGTGACATTGAAATTTTGAACTTGGTCATGTACAGTTATTGTTGGATTATTAATGGGTTTTTTGTGTCACGAGGTTTCTATTGTGTAAGCGGTCCCCATAGAAAATGAGCATTTATTGCCCAATGGGAGTTTACCTGTGCCAGAAAAAAAGTGCAGCGCCCATAGTGTGGACCGTAATTTGAAGAAATGTATATAGTCATTTTCTTATGCTATGCTCCAGAAGCTGTTATTGGACAAGGGTTGACTAATTGATTTCTACGTGGGTTTGGAAATACATTTTTTCCATTTAATTACATATGCTGATAGCAGGATTGGAATAAAGATTCTGATATCATTAGGAAAAATACAAAACTAAATGGAAGCCAAAACAACGCAACATGATCCAGGAATGGATTTGGAGGCAGTTGAGGCATTTGAGGATGGGGCAGTGTGGTCAAGTGTACGTGTGCTGTGCATTGGCGAATTTATAATTAGATTAAATGAGATAGATGAGGGTTTCCTGCATGCGTTAAAATGTATTGTGTGTAGCGATGCATTTTCATGAAACCATTTTTTTTATTTAGGGATTTTTGCAGGTCTGTGATGCAATATGCAAGAAGCTTCATTTTGACAGTTTACAAAGGTAAACTCATGTAAAATAAATGTCAATCAACAAACCATTAAAAACACGTTCTACCCTTTCTCACTTTACACTGTATGTTATGTGTCAGCTTATTAACTCCATATCATTTGATTATAATCTTACCCCAGTTTTCTGTCTAAACGTGCTATGTCTTTATTCTCTATCAAATCACTTTCATTTTTCTCTAGCTCATTGATACAAAGACTAACATTATTTGTGTGAAAAAAGTAATCCCTTGGTAAAAATATCAACTTATTACATATCAATTCATAATAGATTGTTGGGTAAGGCTACATTAAGTTTATTTAACCCGGTGAGATCACCTTCGTCCCATTTGCAAGAGTGGCCCAATGAGCTGAAACATCTTGGTAAGAAACCACCACCAACCCACAGAGCCAAACATTTATGGTCACATACATATTTAACTAAACTTTTTTTATTTACTAGTAAAGCTCTTTTTCAGCGGCGATCTGGCCACACAGGATAGCCCATTGAAGTGGGTTTTCATTTGTGGGAATTTATAGTTACCAAATAATTTAAATGCATTTTTATAAATGTGGAGGGTTGGGATCAAACCCACAACCTCCTCCATACCAAGCGAGGGAGATAACATTTCATCATGGTATCTTATCAGTAAGTTGAACAATCCTCACAACAAAATTTAGCAATGCGCTACAACGTTTCATTTAAAACTTTGTCTAACATCAAAACAAGATCCATAAAGAATAATGATCCAGGAAGTCAGAATCTTAGGGTTAGGGTGTTTGGTGGTAGAGGATGTTTAATAACAGATTTGGTCAGAACATTACATAGCATAAAGCAAAAATCTATTGCAAATCATAACATTAGCTGTGAAAACCTACGGATCCTTTTTTCACTGGTAAATTGCTGTATTCTGATATTGAATTTGCTTAGTAGGTGCAATGCCTTTGAGTCATGTTTGATTTTGAGTTCTTTGTTATGCCTCACATCTCTAAAGTGGCCAATCCCTCCCACATTCGTTAATCTTTGACCCCCTCTGCTGCTTAGATCTTAATTCATCCTCTTGTGGCATCACTGGATGTTTACCGTCCACTGCCACTGGGAAGTAGATCGTGCATATTTTATGGTTAACGCTCCCACAGTGTTAACCGAGGCGGCCTGCGCATTTGAACCCAAACCTCTGCAACAAGCGACGGAGGCACTTCTGCTGCACTGCACTGAGTCATCCGTGGTTTTGTGTAAACCAGCACGGGGGGCCCTAATTAACTCACACCAATTTTGGGATATTTTCTGTGTTGGCTATAGGTTAAGACTATGAATTGACTCTGCATGAGAATCGGATTTCGTAAATGATAGCCCACGATCGGTCTTGAAGTATAATTTTAATTGTACTAACAATGCATAATCTTTACACATTAAAGATATTTCATGTTAACTTGTATCTGTGTGTACAGTGGTGGATCAAAGCCTCAAGCGTCAGATTCCACAGGTGTACGTGAAAGCAACAACCAGACCTTGCTTCCAGAAACCTTGCTGGTCTCGATTAAACAATGCCTTTCTCTTCTGGGATTTTGTAAACAATTTGCTGTTGACCAAGACTGGTTGTATGATGTTGTATTTGCCTGCCTTAAAATCCTTGAAGTTTACTTGCATTTACTACATAAACACACCGAAAATCAGGTGAGGAATTTGACGAAAGTATATGGGTTTTAAAATCAATGGATTTGAATTGAGATCAAACTTAGGTCCCTTAACTGTTTTTTATTACTAATATATAATTTCTACCAAATGATATATATGTAGAGATCAGGTGTATATGATGATATCGCTTATATTTGTGTTACTATTTATTTGTTAAATGATAGTATCTATATTACCTAGATGTAAAATATATATAAACATGAAACCTCACACTCAACTGAAATACTTAAGTTGGTGTTCCATTTTTAAATGTGATAAGTGGGATTTTTGTACGAGTAGTTAATGCATTAATATGAGGTCTGCCAGTATGTAGTTGTATACATGCTCTTGCTTGATGCTCATTAGGTTTGCACCAAACACCATGCATCTGGCTCCAGCAGATATCTGACCATTTACTTTACTTACCATTCACCTCTTGCATACGACTATTATGAAACCAGGATAGCCTCATGTACGATGTGCATAGCAATTCCAACAATCATTTTAATTGCAGGCAGACCTCGCTTAGCGCTCAAGATGCGCTCTTGGAGAAGTGAACGCTAATGGAATTGGTAATAAAAGTGGTTATAACATTGTATATATGGGGATGCATTCCTGATAGTGCTATTTATTTTGTATGAGCAATATATTAAGGCTTCATTGGGGTATCGATAATAGCACTAATAATAATACAGAGGCTAAACATAATTTAACATATAAAAATAATGTATTGCACCAGTAAGTATTATGCACTCTACTCGAGAGAGTGCATTCTACTGTACTACAAGGCAGCGGTGGGAGAGGAGGTTGGAGGTGCTGCCCTCCCAATCCGTGTCTTAGTGATGCCCTCAGTCTAAATGTCTGTGGTGAGGTTTCTTTTAGGTGGAGCCCGATACTGTCAGTCTCATGAGTTCTCAACTGTCTAAACCCACTGGAATAAATTTGACCACAAATTGTTATAATCGAATTGCGGATGAGATCCGGTTGGCTGAGAGTGTTTGTTGCACTCATTGGCTGAGCGTTTCTTCGGCCGCCACTGCTGAATGTGCTAGCTCAGAAGCGCTGTTAAGTTATACATTTTTTTCAGTTCACGTTTTCTCCATGACAAAGAGCGCTATAATGAATTAGCGTTCTATGGGGTCCCGCAAACCGAGGTCTGCCTGTATTTCACACAAGTCTGTGAAAATATTAAATTAGCACAAACGTACATGGTGTGTTTTTATCTCACTAAATCTTGTACACATCTCGAGTCTACCTCTTATTTAACTACATCGCTTTGTCGGGCGTAGTGGTGGCACACGTGGCTTTTAATCTAGCATAAGGTTACCATACCCAAGCTCACCAGGAGATGCCAGAATAGCACATGAATTTATCTCCATCTGTTTCCATGTGTATGGACATAGAGTGTTTACCCCTCACATGCATAGGTGTTCTCCGGATACTGTGGTTTCCTCCCATATGTATAAACAATTAATTGGCTGAAAACATCTTAATATAATTGAGGAATGCTGATTTTGTGCGATTGTTTGTGCCGGCTCATTACCTAGCTACTTTCTTCCAGTTTGTCTTTTGTTCCTCGTGCTTCTGAGTCATTCTCTGTCTGAGAGCAAGGAAAACTGCATTGCCATTCTAATGAATGTTCTTTACATCTTTTCACTCCACTATAATTCAACCTCTTATCTAAATCTTTATTCTCTCATATCATTTATATATTGTCTACATTTATATCATTATATATGCTTTGTCATCTACATTTCTCTTCTCATATCACGAGCACTTTTAATCTTGCATACCTTTCATTTCAAATAAGAACTCTCTATGTAACGTTACTCTTCTCTTTCACATCTCACATTCTCATAACTACAACTCCTCTCGCCAATACTAAATCTCACCTCGAATGACTCGTCATGTCTGTATTATCCGTCATCTGAATTGTGTTACTGCGATCTTGTTCTTCTTACCTGTTAACTATTCCCTTCCATTTGCAACGGATACCCATTTAATATTCTGGTGTTACGATGGAAAAGAGTGATATTCAGTGCATAACTTTAGTGTATTTCTCCAGAAGTACTTTAGATATGGTATTGAAATTGCATCTTGTTCTTGTGTAGGAAATGAATAGTCCAATGACTGAAAGTCGTCTGGAAGGCTCAAAGTGCATACTTGATGCAAACGCCATCATCTTGCATTGGCTTGAACCCTTATTGCCCACCTACATTTTCAAACCAAGTATGTGTCATTCTGAAGTAATCTTCTTTGTTAATCAACATGAACCAAAGGTAAACCATTTAAATATATTATAATGGAATGAAATGTATTTTCCAGATAGCTAATTACTGAAAATCAAAAGCAAGCTGAAGATGTCATCAGAACCATTACCATTACTTATCATTCACATCATTGCCATCATCTTTTGCAACTACAACATCATTGTCATCATTATAAGCAGTAGTACGCTGTCTGGCTCAGCAGCTCAGCACTCTGGCATAGCCGCATAGAGGGTGGAGCATGCATCATGTTTGTATGTGTGTGTGTTGTCCGTGCGTGATGGACAGAGCTGATTTGACTGGCTTATTCCCATCAATGGGGCGAGCAAGCTCATGTGAGCATGTACGACCCTGATTTCTATTGTCACTCCCCCTGCTACTGGTTTGACTGCGAGGCTTGTTTGCACAATGTGGCTTCACCCATTATGTACAGCGAATCATATCACAAACCCACCATTCCTTTAGCAGAATCACTCTTTGCAGAAATTTTTGATAACTCTGGAATTGTGCAAGTGTGAAAACAAACTCTACATGATTTGGGCCCTTGTGATTACGTGTTTCACCTGATGAAATAAAGTAAAATCAAAATTTTTTTGCAGATCTGGCATGATGTTTTTTCAATTAAATTTGAGGCTGAAGACTTTAACAAAATATGGAATACACAGACCATGACTTTTCTCAAGAACAGAATTCAGCAGGTATTTAAAAATTAAACATTTGATTCTGCATTTTTGTAATGTATTTCCTATGAGCAATACATTTTTTAATTCTTCTGTTGTGATTTTCATGAAGCAGTGGATAGATAATGGCTGATGATGCATGTTTGCTTTAACATATATTATTTTGATGTTGTCCAGTTTCATAACACATCTTAATACGTTGTAAATATTCACATGATGAAAATGCAACCAACATATGTGAAGAGAAGCAACTGGCTCTGTCTCATGGAGAATTCCACTTTCATATCTAAAATGTACCAAATGAAATAGAACTATATCTTAGTTTGACCCATAAAAGGAGTGATGAGATTTATCTCTTCCAAGCTCCTTAAATGGCAGGGAAGTTAGCAATAACCAGATATGTACATAGTTGTCTTTAACGCTCTACCATAGAGAAACATCACTCTTTTACCTACAGATCATATTCCATTTAGTTATCCAAGCAATTAGAGATATGAGGCAGTTATGGTGCTCGCCCAAAACCAATTACGTGACTATATTTCTCCGGTTCTCTTATCATTACACTGGTCTTGAAATGAGTAGAGTTTAAGAGCCTTCTACTAGTTTTTCAAGCCTTGCATGGGCTGGCACCACTATATATTCACGAGCTAATCCATCCTTACATCCCCTCAAAGGCGTTAAGATCTGCAGACTCTGCCCTTCTGTGCGTACCTTGATCCCGGCTGCGTTCCTGGGGTGAGCGGACATTTGCTGTGTCTGCGCCTCGGTTGTGAAATTCTCTAACATTGGAAATTTGTTTAACCGACAATGTCAATACTTTTATGTCGTGTCTAAGAACACATTTTCTTATGTCAATTTATTATATTTAGCTATCCTCTCTTGGCCTTAGCTTAATCTTACAAGGCGCCTTGAGACATTAGTGGATGGCGCCTTACAAATAAATGTAAATTATTATTATTTTATTTCAGATCATTTGTTACATTTCAGTGCATTTGTGCTTCAGAATTACACATGTAACATTACATGTACAAGTACCTCCATTTTTTCAATCGACTGCTGGCCTCCCCATGGTGTGTGGTTCGTGGGGATTATTTGACCATACTTCATGCTGTCCAGTGCAGATTGGTGAAGTGGGGAGCATAAAAGTATAGCACAGCAATAGATTTGCTGCACTGCCCTCTGTTGCCCACAATGTGGCCCCACAGCTCTATAACAACTTGTTTTTGTGTGATCATCACCCATCAAAGCACCGTCCAGGCTCACCCCTGCTTAGCTTCCAAGAATGGGCACATTCCAAGTAATTTGACCACAGGCCACCTAAATATGTTTAGTTGTATTTGTAGTTTGTTGGACCGCATGTTAGATGATGTCCGCTGTGTTAATGATTTTGCCTTGTAATGAAACATAGCGGCCGTATGTTATCATCACCTCATGCAGGCAGACAGGAAGCAACAAATCAAGGCCTACTGCAGCAATGCAGAATATCTAAAAACATTGAGCCCTTCCCTGGAAAACTGCTTTGCAGAATGCGCTATCCAAGCAGTTCATTACGTGTGTGAGGTAAGTTTGTAATGTATGTATGGTAAGTCCTTGCTTAACGCGTGGTGTTCATGCAATACGTTTTCGCTATAACGTGGTTCTTCCATTTTTTTGCACAACACGAAACGCGATCGTTATAATGTGTACATTTGTAGGGGTGTTAAAGAGAGGGCCCGTTATGCATGGCAGCCTATGGAAAACAAACACAGTGGGCGGGGCTACGTAAGTGCACGAGGAGGTGCCCTCTACGACGTCCGAGCCAGACACCCTGGGGGGGGCTGGTTCGAACGTTATGATCCCCCGGGGCCCCACCCCTCAGGGAGGGGTTGGGTATAAAAGGGGATGTTCAAAGGGCTCGAGTTCAGTTATGTTTAAGCTAAGGGAAGAAGACTGAAGACGTCTTAGATAGAGCCCTGGACTCCCCTAGTTCGATGTCCTTTTCAGGGCCGGACAGGACTGAGCCAGCGGCGTGGTCCCGAAAGCCAGAGCCGGTGCTCTTGTAAGAGCTGGTCTGGAACTCCGGGTACCGGGCACGACTTACCAGTGTCGGGCCAGTTAGCCTCCCCTAGCCCATTAGTGGAGGATTCGGGGCTAGGACAGAGTTAGCTAGGGGTGTATCCCGAGTTATACGGGTGAGGGGGCCGATACCCCCTCAAGTGTTATATGCCCACTGTCGTATTGTGAAATAAATATACGTGTGCCTCAACCTCGGCGTCAAGCGTCCTCACCGGTACTTCACATTGATTCAATGTTTGTCTGTTTCCTTAGGCAAAGGAAGAGGAGGAAATTCTCAGATATGTACAGACACATGCAGCAAGGCTCGGTGGGCTCCTGTCCAGCATTTTGGAGAATTCTTGGCCTAAACATGAAGAAACATCCAATGAGGACATCGTCAAACACCTCCTGACATGGCAAGCTTCGGCTACATTCCTGCAGATCTGGGGTAAAGCTGCACAATAGTTTCATTATTGTTAAGCTTGTTTACCCAGGAAAGCCTCACTGAGTATTTTGACTCTTTTTTTAGACGACAGATATGAGTGCAAAATACTACAAATAAGTATATAAGTACAATCTCCACGTTAATTCCTGTAGATTTGTCAACACCAAATGCAAGCTTAGGCAAAGCAGCAAAACAACAACAACAGTCCCAGACCACACCAATTACATTGTACATAAAAATGTAACTCGGATGCACAGGTCAGGTTAAAATTTACAAATGACATTCATGAATTTGGTTGTATCTTGCACTAATGTGCTTCATAATATTTAAAGGCAGATTTACGATGTTAAGGAAGGTAATACGCCTGTTCTAAAACGTTGGTGCTATAGATATTACCAGTGAGTAACATGCGGGTAGTTGTTCAACTTTGGAAAATTTGGACTGATGCCGGCACACAAAGACCTACTCTTGCGTATGACCCCACGGGGATTTGTACATCCGCTGTGGAACAGACAGTACTTGTTAATACACCTGCAGTGATAATCAGGGCCACTGCTATATTTGAACCATGAGCCTCTGCAACAAGTGATAACCGAGGTTGTAAGAGCTGCACATTCATAAATGTACTTACTTACATTACGGTAGTTCCTTATGGGTTTTTGTGTCAAGTTTTGCTCATCATCTCCATTTTTCTCTTGTGCAGGAAGCAACACGAAGCTACATGAAACAATGACTGACCAAGCTCAAATCCACATTGGCATAGCTCAGTCTGTACTTGACACACTAATTCATGAGCTCATTGATGGGTCTGTCGTGTATAAGATCCTTCATCTGGCCATCAAGCACAAGGAAAAACTTTTGGAATGCTTCAATGCTATCAATAACAACGGTAAGGAATTTGAATATGTCTTAACTATTTCCCTGTTACCACAAATTCAATATGTACCTTGAAAATATATCTAACTATGCAGGGGTCCGCATCGTAGTGATGACAATTACAGCTGCCCTGTAAATATAGTTATCAATGTACAAAATATGTATTTCATAATCAAGTGTATCACCATTTTGTCTCCAGACAATGGGGTAGGAGATCTGCGGGCACAGTCGTGGGTTTTCTTTAATAGGCCCCGAGTTCAAGCTTCTCACACTGCACAATTCAACTAGCAATGACCCCTATGGTTCTCTGGGCATCGTGTGGATTCTATCCGATGTACAGTAAGTTCTCGTTTAATGCGGTAGATGCGATCCTGAAAAGTGCCGCATTAAACAAAAAACGTGTTATGTGAAAATAATTTCCCTATAAATAATGTAATGATAAAGTTTGGCTAGATACAATGTACTACGCACACGATGTGAGATGACGCAACAAATATCTGAGGGTATGCTGCCGCGTGACTATCATTCGGCGTACTCTATCATTGTACTGCTCAGCCTTGCAGCTCAAGAAGTTCACTGTCGACCGCTCAGGTACCACGTTATAATGGTGCACATTCTGCGTTTTAACAGACGTGTTCTGCAATATAACGGTGCACGTTCCGCGTGATAACATTGCATGTTCCACGTTGTGCAAAGCGTTCCCTAATGGAAGAACCTCGTTAATGCAAAAAAACGCATTGTGTGGACACCGCGCATTAAGTAAGGACTTGCGGTATGGGCTAACAGTTGAAACCCCCAATGCAAATATGAACAAATAAAACATATTTTTATGCATTTCCATTGTTGGGCTAGACCAACAACGGGAATGCTGTGGTAAGCTTACCCCTGGGGATATGCCTGACATCGCTCGGGGGTCGGCGGTGGTCACATTGGGTATGGTCACGTGGGGTTAATAAGCAGTGTTACTGTATGTGTGTACATTAGCAATTCTGAAGGAACATACTTATTATTAAGTGTAAACTAAATGTCTTAGCTCTTACTTAATATGTAAATGTAACTATAACTATAATTAAGTGCTTTCTTTTAATTATATAATGAAACCTAAACCCTGTATGCTGGTAGGGGTACACTTGTTGATAGGTTTGGTAAAGCTGATATAATACGAGGTTTCGGACCTCAATAGTTTGATTAAAGTATCAAAATTTACATTGAACTGGATCCCATGTTCCAGTGATTTCCTTGGTTTTTGAAAATTAAATAATCTTTTGTTTTGCTTTGCAGATTCCAAGACAACAAAGGTCACACGGACAGACCTTGAGATGGTGTTGGGCTGGCGGCAAAGTGAGATTGACGAATTTAAATTTCAGAGAATCCTCGTCAATGAGCTGCTCTCAAGATGTGAGCTTGTCAAGAACAATATGAATGGTGGGCGATGCAGGAAACTTTCTTTTTTATGTTTAAATATTTATATTTCAGAGGTGTTGACAAGCCATTAGCATTTCTAGGTCCAAGCTTTAGAAAATTCACATTGGTTCAGTCAGTGTTCTTTAGTCAGTGATTGTATACAGGGGAGTTAAAAAAAAAATTAAAACAGGTTAATGTGTTTTGGCTAAATAAGGTATTCGAGTACAGCAAACCCTTCCCACTCGTGGGTTTAGCTATTACGGTTTTTTGGTTTCATGCCCAATTTATTGAGATATGATGCTGCCGTGGAAGAATCTTGTCTCCCAAGCGGCCCATTGCGGGTCCCAGGCCACTCGGTGTTCACAACTGCCAGTGAGGAGGCATTGGGGTTCAGCCACATTATTTTTCTTCCTCTAGTGTACAGTACTATACATGAATGCGTGTACATGTAGTATTGTGCACTACGTACTTTTTAGCATGCTGTACATTTACTGTGCAAGTTATATTTAACATTGTAAAATATATTTATCATATTTTACATTCAAAATACTTCCTGTTTAATGTTTGGGTTGATGTAGGGTAACATATATCAAAAGGAGGGGTTGGTGTCATATTACAAACCGTGAACCAAACCATAATTTTCCCATATGCCTTTGAGTTTACGGATCACGGATTTGACGATTGCAGTCGTTTTCAAGAACGTAACCCACGTGATGGGCAAGGGTTTGCTGTACAATGTGTATAAGGTTCAGTAAAAGTGTTAATTCCACTTAAAATTATAAATATATTACAAATATTTCACTTGAAGAAGAGGGACTATAATAGGCTTGTAGAGGAAATGGAGATAATTGCACAAAATTTGATCAAAAGTAAACCATCTTACAAAATATGTAATAAGTGTGTTTTTCTTTTATAAACAGATGACTATAAAAATCTACAAAATAATTATGAAGAGAGTCTAAAAGCTGATTCAAAACCTATCAAAACCCTCTGGCTTGCCAGAGTATTGGGCAAAGAAGAGATGCTGGGTCAACCATTACTTTTTCTCGAAACGGAACAACAGGAAATGGCCAAACAACTTCTCAAACTGAAGGGATCTTTTCTTTTTTCTGAATCGTGGAAGAACCGGATGAGACACATGACAGACTCCAGGAAGCTTTACAGTTTGTCAGCCTTTTCTCTGGCCCATGTGTTTGAAGAAATATGGAAACCATCTTATAGCAGCCTTGAGACGCTCTACAATGATGTAAAACATGGCACAATCAGCCTTGGTGAAGTTCACAAAAAATTCAGAAACAACAGTGAAGAATGCTTAAAGAAAGAGTTTTATATTATTGCCCCTGCATTGGACAGGCCTGACTGTTCAAATAAAGATATGGCTGTCTGGATAGAAGAGAGACTTACCCAGATACGCCACTACAGGCAAATCAGCGAGGCTGCAAGATCAGCAAAAGCTGTCTCAGAAATAGTGGACTGCCTTGGACTGACGGGAGATTTCCGGCTTCTCAGAGAGTTGTCACATCACGTAAGTAACCATGAATATTTCAAAGTCCATCGCATGCATTGGGTTGAAAGAGTACTATGGCTGGTTAATATATTTAATAAAAGGACACTCAACCTGAGAGAGGTCTGGTACAAATTAAGTATGGATTTGTTTTGATTGCATGTGATCTGAATGATCGTTTGGAAGGAAAGCAATAGGTTAATTTGGTGTGGATCATATATGAATCATGTAAGCAAATTAATCTATTAAGGAGCGCAAAGTGCAATTAATTTAACTTTCACTTTTAACCACAGAAAATAGTATATTTATGATTGCTTATGAAAGGTAACACCACTGCGACTACATTATTAAAGGTCAGTAATATTAATTTCAAAACTATTGAAAACTAAAATTTTCTCGAAAGTTTGTTCAGATATGATCTGATCAGATGATAAGGAAATCGGCATATGATCTGAATACAATTCATCTCATCCAATGCCCACGACCTATTTGACCAAACCTGATTGGGACCGATTACATTTCTCATCCGATCCAATCCCTATTCAATGTGTTCTAACATCTGTACAAAACAATCTATGTGTACCTGATTTTATACTTATGTAGTATCATTGATTCGGAGACGAGGTTTGTAGGAGGCACCTTTTATTTAGAACATTTACAGTCTCGCCTGCACACTCTCTACAGTCGCTTAGCCTCGCCTATACACAACACTAGCCGTCTAACACTGACGGCGCTGATTGAGACGGCCAACAACTATCTGGCAGCGCAATATCAAGCAAAGACGGCAGCGACGACGACGATGAAACGAAAGCAACGACGAGACGAATCCAATCCCAGAACCGGCAGCCTCAAGCTCCCGCTCTCTGCTCCTTTTATCCTACCAGCGCGGCCTGGCTCCACCCTGCCCACGTCTCCCTTCTCGGACCCACTAGCAGGTTCCAGGGGCTTCCAGATGGGGTCCTCTGTGACCCTTGCCCTAGTTCCTCCACCCTGCCAACACACCCATGCACACGCTCACCGGCGTGTGTACTGTCTGTCCACCACAGTTGCCGCTGTCCACCAGCTGGCGCTATTACACTACACTTATTTTAACAACCCTTCAAAGCATCATTACTTATCCGAGTTGTCATTCATAAAAACGTATGATATTGATTTGATGGTATTGATTCCATGGTGTAACTGATATCTTACTAATACTACTAATTCTTTCAGTAAAGTCACGTAGATAGGAAAATAAAATAGATCACGACGTTTCGATGGCAACAACAAGCAATCGTCTTCAGGTGCGAGAGAGAAGCATGCCGTCGTGACGAGGCATTATATAGATGTGGGAGAGGGAGGGGAGGCCATAACTGGCGAGAGGGTGGGGGTGAAATTCAGAGGGCTTAGGTGAAAGAGAGAAAAGGAAAAGGAAGCTCAGATATCAGACTTAACAAAATTTTGAAATGTAATGAAACTCAGAGAGTCGGTTAACACAATAGTTAATACTTTACCTGGTTGATCACGTCCTTCCAAAGATTGCAAAAATTTGCATCCATCTTCTCGGTTGAAGTCATATCTTAGTTGTGTGGAAATCCTCCCCTTAGAGGCTGTTCAATCTTGATTTGAAGCTTTTGTGACTGCAGGAATCATACACACACAAAACCGAGAGACACACACACAAAGAGGCACACAGAGAGAGAGAGAGACACACAACAACATCACAGCCAGTTATAGTCTGCTACAAAAACGAGAGCCACCGCCACATCGAGAGAAAGGGGCAACATTGGCTTTGTTAGTGAGACATTTAGCCCGTTAATGTAAAGACATTTAACTTGGTAATGTGAATTGGTAATGTAACTCAGAGAGTCAGAAATAACTACTGACAATGGCAGGTAGGACAATGATTGCTCAATTTGTACCCATTTTCTCAGTTTAAGTGTGTCTGTGTTTATATATCTGGATGGCTTCATAAACAAATCTTTGATGGTAGCCCGAAGGTTTTGCAGAGTACTTTGGTCTCGGAAAAAAACAATGTCGTGTGAGCCCACAGTGTTCTAGCAGTGAACAGCTATGGCAGAGGTATTGGTTCTGCCGTGTTTCAAATCTGCCTTGTGTTCGCGAACACGGTCTGAGATATGTCGTTTCGTTTTCCCAATGTAACTGCTACTGCAGACACAACTTAGTTTGTAGACACCAGGGTATTGCATGTCAGAAAATATATGCTATCATGGTCCGCATGCAATGATTGATCGTCGTTAAATTGAGAAAGGGACCTTTGCTATCTATTTCTATTATCTTAAGTTAGAGATTTCCACATATGCTTTGCACATCATAACTACATTACTTTACATAGAGTAAACAAAGTATATTTTGGCTAGATTTTGGGCAATTATAAGCAATGTATAGTTTTTTTCCTGATGCCTATCAATGTATGGTATGTTCACAAACTATAATGTCTTGCAGGATCAGGAAACATTCAGAAAAAATCCTCTCAATTCCATAAATGAAGATCTTGTTAAAACGAAAGACATTCTAAAAGGACTCAATAATAATTTACAGCAAAGTTCGGATGCTTTCTGCAAATGCAGTGAAAAACTATTTATCACATGGATTAAAGAGACTGTAAAGAGTAAGTTTCGGACACAATGAACAATCCTTGAATAGACTAAGAGCACCAATTTTGGGGAACAAATATATATTTTATACTCATATAGAAAATACACTTTTGAGCTGCATTGAAATCTACAGGTTTGTCCAGTTGTCTTGTGACCCACAATTAATTGACCCCTAAATGTTGTGCCTTTGCATATTCGTTTCTGTTCTATAGTAAGTTTTAGAGAATTATATTGTGGTCACATTAACATCTGGACCACCCTCAAATAGGAATAAAGCCAATGCATGAATTCCCCAAAAAAACAACGTTTTCCTTTTGTAATTGTGCAGATGGTATTTGCTGAACATTTATTCTAAATATTAACGTTGCAGATGTTAAGGAATTGAAAGTCTTTGTTGACTTGGCTTCCATTTCGGCTGGTGAAAATGACATGGACATTGACAAGGTGAAGATCTTCCACGATGCCGTGCTGGGTTATGCACCCTTGCTGTACGAACTTGAGGCAGATGTGGGCATTGATGAGCTCCTGCAGGCCCTCCAGCAGCTGCAGGCCACAATGGATACCGATTGCAATATTCCCCGAAAGCTGGTGAGTCTAAACTTTCTTTATAAGTTACGTGATTTTTAAACCCCACTATCTCTGTATTTATCTTGTGTTACAATGCTAACAGATGAGATGCAGGGTACTGTACTTCAATATATTTTTTTATCAGCCCTTCCTTATAGCACTGTGCCCGGCGTTTAATCAAACCTCAAACGAGGAAGAAACGTTGCGTATGCATGATTTCGTTAGTGATTTCCAACATGACTTTATCTTGGAATTATTGTATTGTTATTAAGGTGTATTACTTTCTGCGCTATGGTTCATAAACAGCCATGCATAAAATATATAGAACAAACATTGAAAAGTACCCAAGGAAGCATGAGGAGATGCTCTCTTGGAATTGTATTGAGAATCAGTTACTAAGACGTGGATTAGAGAATATACTCAGGTTAGTGACATTCAAAACTGTTCATCAAAATGAGTGGGGCTTGGGCTTGACAGATCACAACAAGGGATGATGGCCGGTGGTTAAGAAGGACCAGGTGGCAGCCAAGGCAGGCAATGTCCCTGAGAGGACATCCTCCGAAGAGATGGATCGATTTAATTAGCTTGTATCCAGGTGCTTGGTGGATTGTTTCATAGCAGTCTGTGGGGGATGGTGGAGGCCTGAGGTGGCATTTATACAGTAGTGGATTGATCAAGGTTGATCATGATAAATAATGTTTCATCAGGTGACGTCACATGGCACATGACGTCACACGGCAAGCAGGTGTCTCCAAGTGGGGAGCGGGAAACAGAAACAGGCAAATGTTGGCCATCACGGGATTGGCTCAAATGTAAAAATATCATAGATATTCCTCCTATGTATCTGTAATGCACACATCCCACTGATTAACAGCTTTGTGCAATGCATCTGCATTTTAGTTGTAACTATTATTACCCTTGTTTTCCAAAGAAAGCCTCACTGAGCCTCATGACCTTTTCAGGAGGGTCCCTCCAAGTTTTTGCAGTAGGGGGTGATGGTTTCTGCGTGTAATCCCAACTGAATAGCAGAAAATTTGGACCATCGCACTAGCACACAATGGCCTTCTCGTTTCGACTGACATCAGGGAATCTTTCATGTCTGCGGTGAAGCAGCCGGTGAATATGTTAAGGTTAATACACCTGCAATAATAACCAGGAAAGCCTGCCGGATTCTTACCATGAAGCTCTGCAACAAGTGGATGAGCACGAACGTGGTACTGCTATGCCATGTCCCTACCCCTAATGTCAGTACTACATTTGGAACTTACGTTTATTTTTAAACCCACCGTTTAGAAAAAAAGTTTAATATGTGAAAGAACACTTGTAAAATGATAAGTGCTTTTTAACGGTGTTCTTCCTGAGAGGTTTTTCGGTTAGATCAATTCGAGCACGACGTTTCGCCAGCATGATCATGCGATAACTGTCGCCTGATGATGCTAGTTGTAATTCCTGGCGAAACGTCGTACTCCAATTGTACATTTTGTGGGTTTACTCTCCAACACATTGGTGTGCTGTACTAGTAATGAATTGGCATATTTTGTTTCCGTGACAAACCTGACTAATTGGCTGTGTTGGGTGGTGATGGCTTTAACGACACATTTATATTTACGCAATCTCACCCAAACACCTCTATTAGGGATAATTTTGGTCGCGAAAGCCTGCATGTTAAACTGGTGTTCTTCCTGCTTTACAGATTGATTCTTGTGCAAATAAAGAGTGGCTGCAAGCTGTCCATGAGGCCCATGGTTCAGTGGAGAGGTCATCCTTTGTGCAGGCGAAAACCATCAACCAGAAGGGCATCTTTCACATTGAACACTGTTCTGAGCAGGGGAAGGTACCCTATGCATTTCATAAACCTCATTTTCATCTGCATGGGTGCAGTGGGAAATGCTCTCACAATGTTAAACATTAATAATGTGTTAAGGAACTAAATACACAGATATTATCCTTCTCAATGCTGCTGAACTGAGCCATTTGTAAAAGAGCACCATTGCCTCTAAGTATCTGCCAGTTCAACACTGGTTTAAACAAGGCTGACTGCTGATGAGATTTCGTACAAAAAACTGGCCCAGAGTTTGTTTTTGTTGATGTGCTAAACAAATACTTAGAATGTTTTATGTAAAGGACAGGTATATAAAGGAGACGTTCTCCTTGTTTTTTTTTCTGATGTTTTTCACATTTATCCTAATAGTTATATATGTTTCAAGGTCAAAACATAAGAATTAAATAACAATTGTGTCAAGTCTAGGTAGAAAGTTTGAAGATTACATGACAAAAACATATTTCTTGGAAATGTTACATTTAAGTTACAACTTGTGTAAATACATTTCATGTTAATAATGTACTGAAAGTTTAATTATATTGAACTTATCGCTGTGTGTCGTCGTATACCATTGGATATCATGGGAATTTTGCTGAGTAACTGAACTCTAATCCAACATTTTGTTGATTCTAGGGGTGAGAAACAATAGACGCTTCAAATTGTTCATTATCGTAACGTTTTCCCGTGAACATATTTCACTTGCATTATATTTCCCCACAGCTTACACTGAAGTCCATAGTCAGGCTGAAATGTGTCCAGGACAACGAATGCAACCATGATGGGACAGGCAGTGATAGGGAACAGGATGAGGTGATGAGGACGTACAGCCTCGAGAATTTGGAGGAACTTCAGAACAAGCTGATGCTCATTGCTGGCAAGGCAGAGCAAGGCAAGGAGGAGGTGGACCGCTTCCTCGAGGTAAAGATCCCGTGCTCAGCGAAGCATTCATTCTGTGTCCCACGGTTATTTTTAACAACGAACCATGCTGAAGCATGCCAAGCCTCGATTAACTCGTGTTCACCAAATGCTTTTTTGCAATAACGCGGTTCCTCCATTAGGAAACATTTTTCGCACAACGCGGAACGCGCTCCGTTATAATACAGAACGTGCACCGTTATGGATGCGGTTTCTGATTGGTGGACGACAATCTTTCTTAAACTGCGTGGCTGAGTGGTATGATACGGTATGCGGAATTATACAGTAATACAGCGGCGTGCCCTCAGTTATTAAACCTGCGATCTCACTGCATGTGCATGGTACATCATATCTCGCCAAACTTTGTCATTACATTATTTATGGGGAAATTGTTTTCGCTAAATGCATTTTTCACTTAACGCGGGACTTTTCAGGAACCGCATCTACGCATGAGGACTTATTGTAATAATTTTACACAACTTTTATTGTCGTTTGCCCCTTTTCACATAATTTTTTAATCATCAGCTACATTCTATTAACTGTTGGATGAAAGCCTTCCCATGTCATTGGCATCTCTCAATACTGTGATGCCAGAAACCATCTCGCTTCTGCTTATGCGCTGATCTCATCACTCCATCTCTGTGGTGGTCATCTTCTCGGGAGTGTTCCTTCCTGGGGTTGCCAATCCTCAATTAGTCTTGTCCATCAGCTATAATCCCTTATAATCCCTTATGTGTCCTGCTCAAGCCCACTTACCTTTCTTAGCAGTTAACAAGATGTGTACAATTTGTGTTTGCTGTCATATCCATGGGTTGCTCTGTCTCTCAGTGTTATTCCCAGCGTGCATTTCCCCGTGATTCTTTATTTACTTTTAAGATTCTTTGCATATTTTTGCGAGTTTCTGAACCATGTCATGACAGGTAATATGCATCGGTTGAAAAATGTATTCTTTAGGCACAATGGTATTTTGCATTTCATTATAAAATTACATTTTCCAAAAGCACTCCACCCTGCTCTTGCTCTTTATTTCATAATTCTGATCCTGGTCTGCCTTCACCAAACTGGGAGCAAGTGGAGGGATTTTAGTATTGGGGGAATGTGGTCAAATTTAAGGGTTCAGGTGAAAATGCATTTTGGTTTAATGCTAAATAAGTACAATATTATTAAACAGACTTATGCAGATTTTACGGAATTCTTAACTGCAAATTTTCCTCATGAACTTTTCATTCTGTTTTTTGTCTGCAGTTGTTTGATGGCGTTACTCGTCTGGGCAAGGCATACATTCAACTGTACAATGCTGGAAATGTGTTGTTTAGAGGTTGGAACGCCCTGGTATATTGCGATCCAAATCGGAAAGTTAGTGTGGACGTGGACTTCCCAGCACTGGGTCTAAATGTGCAAGGATTCCGTCCGGTGATTGGTGAGCTGAAGGACCTATGTAGGGGCATGGAGGGCTGTCTGGATCAGTGGCAGCAGTATACAAACCAGAAGAGGACAGAGTTCAGCCACCTAAACTGGTACACTTCAGAGCAACTGGTTTCACTGTGCTCCAAGCTTGCTGATTTACTCAAGACACAGCAGTCGGACCCACAAAGTCTCACCATGCTCTCCTTCATCAAGTCAGAGTGCACGGGTGACCATGTAACTCTTGCATTAAAGAGAGCGATTGATTTAATCCGCAAGAAAGAAAGTGAACAAACAGAGAAAACTCTCACCCAGCCACCATCAGAAGAAGTCATTGAGGAAAACACCCGAAAGGAGGAAGACATGAAGGATAAAGCTGAACAGATTAAACAGTTATTGAAGAATCTCACAGAGCAAGGGATACCTGAGAAACATGCAAAAGCAGCGATCCAGCACTGTGGAGCAGTAGATGAGACTGTCCTGCTTGGTTTCGTATTTGCCAATTCGATGGATGATAATTCTACTGTCAACACACTCTGTCAGGAATTTGATGATACTTGGCATAATCCACAGCTGCATCACACATCACTAAACGATGTTCCCCACCCATCATTTTATGATGTGGATGTGAAGTTCTCAACATTGAAGCGCAAAACCCAAGAGGAGTTTGAGCAAATGCTTGACTGGAAATCTGTGGGATGTGAGCAGAAAGTAAAACTTATTTGGAATATCTATGAAAAAAACCTGTCTAACTTGATATGTGAAGAGTATTTGAGTTTAGATATTTTAGGGACAGCACTTGACTTTCTCATGGAAATGGAAACAACGAGGATCCAAAGGGAAATTCCACAAGGATTCCTGATAGGAAAACCAAACCTCATTGTTTGCCCAGAAGCTGAGATATACACTCACATTCTTCACTTCTACATTCTTTCCAAGAATCAGCCACTTCCAAGTTATGATGAAGTCCTAATCTGCTCACCAGAAACAATGGCGGAGGAATGCGAGATATTCTTGAGGAGAGTAATGGCAAAGGACGTACACAAGAGCAAGATATATTGCCTCGCAAACGCAGACCAGCTCACCTATGCGGTTGCTGCCAAGTTCCTGGCGTGCTTCAATAGTTTGGAAAACACGGCCGACTACAAGTTGGCTATATTTTGTAGCTCTGAGCGAGAACACAGCCACCTTCCCACAACATTTGACAGCTTCAGGATCAGCACCACTCTGTCATTCACAGACAGCGATTTCAAAGCTTATCTTAAGTCTCATTGTATTGTTCCACAAGGAACGGCTAGTGTTTTTCCAGATAGGCGCAACATCAGCCTGGTGTCATCCAAGCGTGCTGGAGTAGGTAAGGCTTTAAATGACCTGAGCTCACACTATTATATTTTACAACCAAAGCGCTCAGCTTTACGCATTACCATCTATAAAACCGGGAAAATTAATCAAAGGGTTGCCCAAATCTCAGCCTTTACTAAATGGTTGAACTGGTCAGAAATAAAGTAATCAACAAGGTTCGTAATGGTTGCAATCAGCTTTAATTGCATCTGCTAATTTTAAGTGTTGCTTGTGTTTCGTTTACAGGGAAGTCATTATTTGTGCAAAAATTGGTAAAACATTCTGAGGACTTGCTAAACAACCCAAACATGGATTATGTAACTGTACGACTCATGGACTCCAAGATTGATGAGACATTTCTTGTGGAGACATTTTTGACACGCCAGGACAATCCGTCAGACTGTACTCCCCGTGTTTTCCACGTCGATGTCACACCAGGGGTGAGGAATCCAAACACAATTTGGGCCACACGTGTCTCCATATCCACGTTTGTGTTTTGTTACTGTGTTCACATTCCGATTTTGCAGACATGGAAATTATCTCTGCTAGCCATACACCTCATGTTGCTGCACATTCAGTAGTGCTTTCAAGGGACTGTTAAAGTAACAAATGCCACATTGATAGAAATTGTATAATACAGAAGTCGGTGTAAATATGACATGAATCTTGACTTAAAGCTTTCATGAGTGCAGGAATTAATATTCTTTGGGTCTTTCGGTAAAGCCACGTAGATGTGGCTTTACCAAAAGACCCAAAGAATATGACATGAATGTTAAAGACATAGGTATAAAATGTGTTACATTATTTTCTATACTTGCGGTGGATGTTGATGTGAATTTTCAGTTTGAATTACCGGAGGGATGAACATAGTTGCTGAGTTTTGCATCAGATCAATGTGAACAGCATCGATGCTGACCCAATACGCCCCCTCTTCTCAACAGGTGAAGAAGGGATTTGACACGCTGTTAATGCGTCTCTTCGTTTTGGGACATCTGCAATCTATGGATGGCCGAGTGTGGAGATGCAAGAAGTCTGATGTCTACGTTGTAGAGTACCTGGACTGGCATCCAACCAAAGAATTGGTAGACCAGGTGGGTTTAATAAAAATTATACCATGAGGGATGCTCTTTGCTGTTACAATAACAGATCTAGCCGATCTCCTTTTCTTTACTTCACTTCCACTGGAAACATCTCTCTCACCTGCTGTGCATCTCTATTGGCAATGTTTCTCTACTTGTTCTATTTTTGTGCTATCAAACACAGCAGCACCCCCTGAAACACTTAACACAGAGGGAATCACACAGCTACCGTAGTAGACATTTGAATCATTTAACAGTTGCGCCCGTGCTCTATTTAGTGGGAATTGTTTTTACTATAAATTACATAAATTCAATCATTACACTGCTATTCAACCAACAACGAGAACCGTGTGTGTTGTAATATTTTTATTGCAAATAATAACAAAAATAATGTTTTAAATGTATGGCGTTTTCGCATTTTCTTTCTCATTTTAATCAAACTGTCTCAATATTTCTTTTTTTTTAAATCCAATTCAAGAAGGTTTGATTCACATGTACATAGCAATGGCCAACTTCAAAAGGTGTTCCTGTCGATACACAGAGACTCTTAGCACCCTCTGCTTCTTCACTGGTGGGATCAGAGGTTCTTGGGCTGAGGGTTTGTTTGTGTGCGACAGGCAGGAGGGTATGTCTTTGACCATACGTCGCCATGCTGTTCAGTGCGGGTTGCCAAAGATGTAAAGCTGAAGAGGGAATGCACCACAGCCACACAAGCCACTCCCCACATGCAGTTCACAGTTCTGTACTATAATACTTACTACAATACTATAATAATAATAATAATAAAAGACTACTGCAGTCGCACATGCAATCACTGTGCCATAAATACAACTAACACTGAAGAGACACTTCCATACTAGATGAACAATGTAACTGCACAAAGTACAAATACAGGTAATATACTCCAATCACAACCAATATAAATACTATGACAATTAACTATAACTCGTATAAAAAATACTATGTATAAACATATAATGACAATTTACTACAGCTGCATTGCAACCACAACTTTCCACAGCAACAACCACAATTACCACACCGATAACCCACCACAACTACGATTCCCACAACAATCAATCACCACTGAAAAAAAAACGATTGACAATTTACTGCAAACTCTCTGGTTCTTTCGGTAAAGTCACGTAGATAGAAAACAATTAAATAAACACGACGTTGCGGTTGCAAACCAAGCGTCCGTCATGAGGTGAGAAAATGATCTGCTGTTGTGGCTTTATATAGGCACAGGAGGGGGGGGGGGGAGTTTTGTAGAGTCGTGGCTGCAGGAGTTCACGGGGGGAGAGGGGGGAGGGTTTGTTCGATGTTAAGGCACTGCCGTACCAACACTTCACCTGAAATGGTACTTTATACAAACAGAATGAAGGTACCCCATTGGGCTCTTCCCTATCACCAGTGGTCGCGAATATTTTCATGGAGAAATTTGTGACAGATGCCATCCAGACATCCACCCGACGTCCTTCCTTGTGGAAGAGATACGTAGATGACACGTTCGTGATCTGGCCACATGGCCTGACGGCATTATAACAATTTCTCAACCACATCAGTTCTATACACCCATCTATCAAATTCACCATGGAAGTGAAAAATTATGGTAAGCTACCATTCCTGGATGTTTTGATCGAGAAGAGACCTGATGGCTCGTTGGGACACTGTCTATAGAAAAGCCACCCACACGGATTCCTATCCAGAGCCTGACTCCCACCACCATCCAGCCCAGAAGAATTTCCTAATCAAAACACTACACCATTGGGGTTCGTTACATCTCCGACTAGCACCACCTAGCCAGTGAGCTTGAGCACGTACGCCAGGCTTTCAGGAGGAATGGATATTCTGACCGCACAATCTGCAAAGCTGCATCCCCAACCATAGGTAGAGAACCATCTGAGGAGCTAATTAAAACCATCACCTTACCATACATAGCAGGGGTTACCAAAAGGATTTCCAAAATCTTGAACAAACAAAAGATCCAAGTTCGGTTCAATTACAGTACACAAAATCCGTGATTTGATCCCATCAGTAAAGGATGCGATTCCGGACATGCAATGTCCTGGTATCTATAAGCTGAGTTGTGTCTGCGGCAGCAGTTACATTGGTGAAACGAAGCGACATGTCTCAGACCGGGTTTGCGAACACAAAGCGGATTTTAACACGGTAGAACCAACACCTCGGCGGTGGCGGATCATTGTTTCAACGCTGTGGGCACACGTGACATTGTTTTTTCCAAGACCAAGGTGCTCTGAAAACCCTCAGGCTACCATCAGATATTTGTTCATGAAGCCATCCAGATATACAAACACAGACAAAACTTTAATCAAGAAGATGGATTCAGATTGAGCAATCATTGGAAGGACGTGATAAACCACAAAGTTTTAACTGCTGTGATTTTCACTCACCCACCCATGCCGTTTTAGTTTTTTGTTTGTTTTCGGTTACGAATTCAAGCTCATTGACATAATTTTTCCAGCTCCACTCGACCCTGCATGCCACAAACCCTCCCCCCTCTCCCCGTGAACTCCTGCAGCTACGACTCTACAAAACTCCCCCCCCCCCTTCCCCCCCTCCCGTGCCTATATAAAGCCACAACAGCAGATCATTTTCTCACCTGATGACGGATGCTTGGTTTGCGACCGAAACGTCGTGTTTCGTTTATAATTTTTTCTACCTACGTGACTTTACCTAAATAACCAGAGAATATGGATTCCTGCAGTCACAAAAGCTTCAAATCAAGACTGAATTTACTGCAACAACAATTCTATCACCACCATAACTATTGTATGTTATTGCTAGTAAACTGGATGAAAAAAACAAAAGTAGCTTTTAAAATGAAGGTGATATTCATAACAATGCTTGTGAAAAATGTTAATTCAGGTGGTAATTTAGTTATAAGGCAAGAAGGGGAGGTGTTGTATTGTCATTAAAAAAACACCATGTATGTCTCTCTTTGCAGAGGAAGCAGAGAGGCCCTATCCTACTGACCCACGTCTTGCCAACTGTGACCTGCATCTCTCCCCTGGAGGTGCTGCAGCTATACAGAGAAAAAACTCCAGAGAGGTTTGATCTTCCGTTGATGGACAAAGATTTGTTTGAACACGAGGTTTACCAACGGCCGTTGCAATACCTCAGGAGATTTACAGACGGAGCAAATCTTGACGCTTTTCAATTTAATTTGGGGAGAGTGGAAGAAACCCCCATGCAATGTCTTGAAATTCTGCTGCACTACTGTGGTGTGTCAGACCCATCATGGGCTGAGCTTCAAAACTTTGCCCGCTTTCTAAACGTGCAGTTGCAAGACAGCGAGACGTCTGTGTACTGCAATGCAAACATCGTAGGAGACACCCTAGTTGGCTTCAAACATTTCATTGTGAAATTTATGACAATCATGGCGAAAGACTTTGCCACACCATCTTTGGAACTGTCAGATGAAAGTGCTCGGTTACATAATAACCGCATGGAGGATGTGTTAGAAACACTCGAAACGTACAGCATCCGGAAACGATGGGAAAGCCAACCCCATCCTTACGTCTTTTTCAATGCTGATCATACATCCATGACGTTCTTAGGTTTTCACATCAATGCAACATGTGATGCTGTGGACCCAAGTACATCTAATGTGTTGCTGAAAGCTGTTATGACTAAACAGCTTCATGTTGGCCTCAAACTCCAAAGAGTGCCATTCAACATTAATTTTGACAATTTGCCCAGACTGGAGAAGCTAGTAAGGCTCTGCCGGGTATTTGGAATTGAATATCCAGAGGACCCTGATGAAAACTATGAGTTGACTACCGACAACGTCATGAAGATGTTAGCCATTCACATGCGGTTCCGAAGTGGGATCCCCGTGATCATCATGGGGGAGACTGGTTGTGGAAAAACAAAGCTCATCCGCTACATGTGTGACCTGCAGAAGTCGGGCCGAGAAGCTGAGAATATGATATTGGTGAAAGTGCACGGTGGTGTGACACCCCACTTCATCTATAAAAAGATACAGGATGCTGAAGAGCTTGCCATACAGAATGAAGAATTAGACATGGACACTGTCCTCTTTTTTGACGAAGCCAATACCACAGAGGCCATTTACGCAATCAAGGAGGCTTTGTGCGATTCGACAGTGGAAGGCCGGGCCATACGCACGCAGAGACTCAAGATCATTGCCGCGTGTAACCCTTACAGGAAGCACACAGATCAAATGATAGATCGACTGGAGGCTGCTGGGCTCGGTTACAGAATACGAGCAGAGGATACGGAGGAGAGGATGGGGAAAATACCCTTGCGGCAGTTGGTGTACCGGGTGCAGCCCCTGCCCCCCAGCATGCTGCCCTTTGTCTGGGATTTTGGCCAATTGAGCAACCTGGCTGAGCAGCTGTACATAAAGCAGATTGTACAGAGACACTCGCGCACAGGAAATATCCCCACAGAGAGCACTCAGCGGATCTCTGCTGTCCTCTCCGCCTCCCAGGAGTACTTGAGGACTTGTGCCGACGAGTGCAGCTTTGTGAGCCTCCGTGATGTGGAGCGCTGCTTGAAGGTGCTGGCTTGGTTCTACGAGCAACGAGACACGCTCTTCCAGCAAATGGAACAAATAAAAAGTGCTAAGGGTGAAGAATTTGTAGAAGAGAGAGTGGAATCAGAGGATGAAGAGGTTGAAGAGGAGGATCAGGCTGAAATTGAGTTGGAAGAAGAACAGGAGGAGGATGAAGAAGAAGAGGAGGAGGAAGAAGAGGAGGAGGAGAAAGAGGAGGAGGAAGCTGATGCTGACTGTCGTGTTGATGATGTCACCAGGGCACTCATCCTCGCGCTTGGTGTCTGTTACCACGCAAGTTTGGAAAAACGTCAAAAATACAGGAAAGCAATTGCACCGTTTTTCAATTGCTCTGCCAAAGAAATCTTGAATGAGATCATACTTTGCCAGGATGTATTTTTGAAAAGTATTGATTTGGAGTCAACAATAGCAAAGAATGCAGCTCTAAAGGAAAATGTGTTCATGATGGTTGTGTGCGTGGAGCAAAGAATTCCCCTCTTTCTTGTTGGCAAGCCTGGAAGCTCCAAGTCCCTCGCAAAAACTATTGTTGCGGATGCCATGCAAGGAAAGTCTGCACGCAGTGACCTCTTCAGAGGATACAAGCAGCTGCATTTGGTTTCCTTTCAGTGTAGCCCCCACTCCTCATCAGAAGGTATCATATCCACATTCAGGCAGTCTGCACACTTCCAACAGAACCAAAATTTCCAAGAGTATGTGTCGGTGGTCGTGCTGGATGAGGTGGGCCTGGCTGAGGACTCGCCACAGATGCCTCTCAAGGCTCTCCATCCGCTGCTCGAAGACGGTTGTGTCGATGAAGAGAAACCAGAGCAGTATAAAAAGGTCGGCTTCATTGGCATCTCCAACTGGGCTCTGGATCCAGCGAAGATGAACAGGGGGATCCTCGTGTTCCGTGGTGTCCCCGATGAGAAAGAGCTCATTAAAAGTGCCCGGGGAATTTGCTCATCTGATCCAGTCATCTCTGATATAATAGAAATTCTCTTTTCAGGATTGGCCAAAGCTTACCTGAGTATTTGCAAGGCACAGGAAAAAGAGTTTTTTGGACTGAGAGACTATTACAGCCTTGTGAAGATGCTTTTTGCGTTTTCCAAAGAATCAAATGAATTTCCATCTCCAGAAGAGTTGCTTGAAGCAATACTCCGTAACTTTGGAGGGCACGCAGATATGGATGCAATTTGGTTCTTCAAAGATCATTTAGCTGAGGTGGCGTTCGAATATGATACAGCATGCATCAGCTCATTAAAATTTATAAAAGAAAATATTAAAAAGGGTGATGAATGTAAAGAGTCAAGATATTTGCTTCTTCTCACAAGCAACAGTGCAGCTCTGAATATTCTCAACACAATTGGGAATCTAGACATGGAAGACACCATTTACATCTACGGTTCTAGCTTCCCGAAAGATCAGGAGTACACCCAAGTATGTCGCAACATTAACAAAATCAAAGTTTGCATGGAGACAGGCAAGACCGTCATCCTCCTTAATATTCAGAACCTGTATGAGAGCCTTTATGATGCTTTGAATCAGTACTACGTGTACCTCGGGGGAAACCGATATGTTGACCTTGGCTTGGGGTCACACAGGGTGAAGTGCAGGGTGCAGAAAAAATTCCGACTGATTGTCATCGAGGAAAAGGCCGTTGTTTATGAGAAATTTCCAGTTCCTTTGATAAACCGTCTGGAGAAACACTGTCTGGAGATGAACACAATCCTGGAACCTGAGCAGAGAGCTCTCACCAAGCAGTTGCAGGATTGGGCAAGAGACTTCGCCTCTGGCTCGCAGCAGAATTTCAGTGCTGCTGATGTGTTCATCGGGTACCACGAAGATGCATGTGCCTCAATTGTAGTGCAACAATGCGAACGTCTTCGCAGTGACATGGATGAAAGCGAATTCCTATCGCATGCCAAAGAGGTGCTTTTACAGTGCGCCACACCTGATGCGGTCCTGAGACATACATCAGGAGCGGCCGGAGGAGCAAGGAAGGTCATTGATTTGTACTTTGAGAAACAGAAACACCGCAGCCTGCTGGAGCTGCTTCGCTACTGCCTACAAGATGTGCACATAGCCTCCAATGGAATCCATCTGGAGGTGAGATTCCAGTTACTTCTGCAGAAAATGTAAATTTGGTACTCTATGAAGTTAGATGTAATCACTGTGGTCAGTGAAATAATATTGGAATTCTTCACTGTATTATTCCCACATAAAGTGGTACATTTCACGTAACTCTGTTACTCGCTAGAGTGCCCTTCTCACTAGAGTATGAGTGCCCTGGACCTGAAGTTTGTCAAAAAAGTAAATTTTAGTTAAAAGCCATTTATTAGCTAATAGTTTATCTCATAATAATTACACAAGACATATTACATTAATATAACATATTTTCTCCTGATTTCTAGTTTATGGCAGATGTTCATTACAAATATGCGTTTAATGTTCACAGATTTCTACTCACTCAAAGCTGCTGAGCCAATTGGATGCTGACAATATAGGAAACGACCTTAAGTTTGAAAAGGAAACTGTTTGCTTGCTAACTCTCCAGCAATTTGAAACCGAGCAAGAATTTTGTCAAGAGCTCAGGTATGCATTCTTCAATTTAATTACTTTGCAAAAGTTATTTATAGTCACCTGTATTTATTTAAATAAGGGATGGGGAAGTATTTTCCACACATTTTCCAATCTTTTTTTTTACAAAGAAACATTTTGTTTCATTGCACTCTGTTGTAGTTATAGTTAAATGTTAGTTTTACTCCCTTTACAGCATGAAAAATATATTCCTTAAAGGTGACAGCTATTTTAACACCACACAGAAAATTAACATCACTTCCCATAAACAATTGAAAGGGTTTTGTGTGAGGGTATCTGGTGCTGTCTTCAGGTTAGTGCTATATTTAGTTTCGTCTGCTCTTGGTTACATTTCTCTGTCTCTCATTCGGAGATTTTTCCATGTTTTGAATGGGCTCCTATCGACCCCTGGGGAAGATATTTCTGACAAAATAAAACTACATCTGATTTGTATTGTGTGTGTCAAAGCTTCTGCTTTGCAGCAGAAATAAAATTGTTACTTTAAAATGCAATTTAAATCTCAGTGTACCATCGGAAGTCGGGTCATGAAACAAATATGTATTATGATCTCTCAGAGCAGTGCAACCCTCTGTGTTAGAGAATGGCCAATAGAAGCATTTAAATGGAGCCAATGAAGCACAACAAACTAAAGTGTTGTTTGCTTTGTGGTCTTCATTGTTCAACATAATTGCTTTGATTAAGTGTGTTTAAAAAAAAAAACCTGTGTAAGGGTTAAGATGGAATGATTTATTGCTGATGGCTGCCGGCGATTCGCCCTTGAAAGCTTTGTAGGTCATTGGGCTTTACTCCGTTAATACAATTCTGATCCTTCTAAATGCACCCAATAGGCACATATGTACAGTACTTCATCATCTTACTAGCGGGAAGTACCCGGCGTTGCCCGGGCAAAAAATACACACACATCGACTTACACACACACAGACATTGACCCACACACACAAACACATCGAGCCATACACACACACACACACATCGACTCACACACACACACATATTGACTAACACACACACACATGGAATTACACACACATATTGGAACTTTGAGAGCACGTTGGCAGCAAATGGGTAACTTAGAACGCCATCAGGGTGGTATCTTGTGGAGCCAGGGCCTGTTGTTGGTCATTTTCTTCGGTGAAGTAGATGCGTTGACCATTTTCGAGTTGAAATAGCAAATGGACGACTGTGGGGGAACGCTCACGGATGGGGGAGCCCATAATTATCCAAATGGCCTAATTGCTGCTGATGTATCTTCCTTGGACAAAAAGTTTAAGCTCATTTTGCCTCTCTTTTTGTAAGGCAAAGACAGGCATGTAAGAGCCGTTGTTGATGTATTTTCAAACATATTTGATAGCTTGCACAGAATTGCAGAATTCCACATTAATGTGGGGCTCGAAATCTTGCAAAGAAGAGGGCAGTAGGGAACGATCCACTGGTTGTCAACCTTCATTCCAGAGTTAGTGGCAGGTCTGAGCGTTGTTTCAAATCTACCATGCTCAGTATTTCTGCGACGATATAGAGGATAGCCATCAGGGCCTGACTGAGTGTCTTTAAAGAAGTTGCGTGAATACCTGTTGGTACACCTGCGGTCTTGCATACATGGCGAATTTGGATTGAACTGCCCACATGGGCCATGGACCATTTGCCTGTAGGCCACATCAAATAGGGCAGGGTCTTGATGGGGGTCAGGTAGCTGAGCACTGACAAATGTGTCAATGTTACTTGCATGCATTTTTTCTGTCATCCATAGCAAAATGTGAGCATGAGGAAGAGCACGTTTTTTGCCACTCAATGGTGTGCAAGTTACATGCTGTCTTTCCAAAGACTCCGCCTTCCTTAGTCGTAATAAGCCTCATGAGTTCATCAACTTTGAGGTTGAAGACCCTTGCAATGATGTCATGTCTGTCTATTGCCTTTTGGTTTCGATAAAGCTCAACTTGGATGTCCTTCCATTTAGGATAGCAAGTGAAGGTGATAAAGAGATGAGGCCTGCCATATTGCCTGATGTATGTCATGGCATCCTGAGTCTTCTCATGCATGTATATTGGTGCACCTGTGAAGGATGAAGGCAAAATAACTAATCTGCCCACATTCTGAGTGTTCGCATGTACGTCAGCATTGATAGTGTGCCTGAGATGAGCATAATGTTCTATACGCAGGCGTTTTTGATGAAGTTGAATGTAAAGAAGGCGCTCACTCTCAATTTTGGCATACTCATCGAAAACATACTTAGTTGAAGAGGTTGGCACACCGTAATATGTGGTTTCCTCCTTTGTCCATGAGCATGAAGGAATAGAAGTCTTTAGAGGAGATTGTTTTGTGAGGATGTCTTTGTCATGTAGATTTGATAATTTGAGGGTCATATGCTCTGCTTGTCTCAGGAAATCGTTTGATGGTGTTGTCTTGGTATCGAAGCACAATGTCTCATACCGGCTGTGGTGGTACCTGCTTTCACTACAGCAGTGCATACTGACTGTGGTGGTACCTGCTATGATTACAGCAATGCATTCTGACTGGTGGCACCTGCTATGATTACAGCAGTGCATACTGACTGTGCTGGTACCTGCTATGATTATAGCAGTACATACTGACTTGGTGGTACCTGCTATGATTACAGCAGTGCATACTGTGGTGGTACCTGCTATGATTACAGCAGTGCATACTGACTGTGGTGGTATCTGCTATCACTACAGTAGTACATGCTGACTCTAGCAGTATTTATCGACTCTATAGTACAAAGTACTCACCTGACAGAGTGGCGTGGTGAGGCCTAGTCCCGTGCAGAGCCTCCGGCCTTGCCTAGATTGTCCAATTACTGGCGAAACGTCGTACTTGGATTGTAAATGTTGTGGCTTGGCTCTCCAACACACTGGTGTGCTGTACGAGTGACGAATTGGCATGTTCTGTTTACATAACAACCCTTACTAGCTGGCTGTGACGGGTGGCGGCTGGTTTTAGCAACACATTTATATATTTACGCGATATAACCCAAAAACCTCTTATGGATGATATTGGTCATGAAAGCCTACGTGTTAAATTAACTGGAGTTAAAACACCATAATTCATTTTCTGATTGCAGCTGTTCTACTAATTGGTAAACATTGTCACAATTAATTTGGTTGTTACCGTATTACAGAAAAATATACTGCACATGAACACCAGGATCATGCCCCATTCACCACACGTTTTCTCAAAAAATTGCGCTTACATAGGTTACATCATTTTTAATAGTCTCCTTACATATTGAAACTCACTCATACTTTGCATTATTATTATTGAACAATCTTGATTTGAAGCTTTCGTGACTGCAGGAATCCATACTCTTTGGTTTTTTCGGTAAAGTCATGTAGGTAGAAAAATAATAGATCACGACGATTCGATCACAACGCAATCAATCGTCATCAGGCGGAAGAAAGAGGAGGGAAGCTGCTGATGCAGGCTGCTTTTAAAGGTTAGAGATGGGCGTAGCCCTAGAGTCATAAACGAAGTGAGAAATTTGCATGTAAATTTACTGTGTAAATGTGGTTAGCATGTCAATGTAAGCACGCAGCACGCCGTCACATCGAGGACTGCATGTTAATGTAAGATCGGAAAAAGCTCGGAAAGAACCACAGCCACATCGGAGCAAGCAAACGACGGTGGCTGTGTTAGTGAATGGAACTCAGAGAGTCGCAAATAACTGCTGATATAGGCAGGAAGGAAGGGAACATCACGTCAGTTATGACCTAAACTGATTAATAACGTCCTTCCAATGATTGCTCAGTTTATACCCATCTTCTTGGCTGAAATTGTGTCTGTGTTTATATATCTGGATGGCTTCATGAACGAATCTTTGATGGTAGCCCGAAGGTTTGCAGAGTACTTTGGTCTCGGAAAAAATAATGTTGTGTGAGCCCACCGCGTTCAAGCAGTGATCAGCCGTTGATGACTGGGGCTACGTCCATCTCTAACCTTTAAAAGCAGCCTGCATCAGCAGCTTCCCTGCTCTTTCTTCCGCCTGATGACGATTGCTTGCGTTGCGATCAAAACGTCATGATCTATTATTTTTTTGACCTACGTGACTTTCCCGAAAGAACCAAATAGTATTATTGAACACTTGTTTTCCCAGCAAAGCCTCACTGAGCCTTAACTCACTTTCAGGAGGGTCCTGGGGGCGATGTCTAAAGGCGATGTGTGCCTTAACACGTTTGATGCATGCATTTGTGTGAATGATTGGTCAAGTATAAGGTTTGCCTCACTGAAGGCCTCTGTCTGTGTTTTGGCCATTGAAACTCGGCATTGCATTTGCTTAACCTGCATACATATATGTACCACAGGTCTCCTGGTTAATATAGAAATTATATTTTAGCACAGTTGGCTATGAGAACTAGAGTTTCAAAATCCAAAGATATGTGTATTACATTCTGGATGTAAAATATGTTATAATTGTCACATATTGTGATCTTTTATGTAGTAATTTCTTCAAAAAAAAGGGACGGAAGTTGCTCCTGCTGCAGTACATCTTTGATGACCCTCATATCAGCCCCAGGCTCATCTCCTGTGCCAAGTGGGTTCACTGCATCGCATATTTTAGCATTTTAAATTAAAGAACCAAAGAGCATTTTAAATTAGTTCCTGCAATGTATTTTTTTTAACTTGCCAGTAAGGGTGTGACAATGTTATCTTATATTTGGATTGATATTGATTCTTAAGCTTTGCGATACATGTAGAAAATGATACGTGTTATTAAAATGCGTTATGTGTAATGAGTTTATGCAACACCTTCAGTCACTGGAGGCACTATTCACCACAATGTTAAAACAATGATTCTTGAATATAATCGCAGCTATGAATTGTAACAATTTGTTGAATAGTGAAGGGGGTGAATAGTTACACCCGTTTCTCAGATTGCATTATGGCATAGTCTGTTATGTAAAAGTCTTATTTAAAGCATGGTTAGTTTGCGAACTGTTAATGTTTTTCAATGCATTATGAAATACCTTGGATGCATTTTTTGCGGACTCTTGGCAGGTACTGCATCTTGAATCAGAAATTGGAGGACAGTGTTGAGAGGAGCGAGCTCTTTGTGGCGTTCATCACTAAAGTGCCACGAGTTCGTAAAGGCTGTGGATACATCGGCTTTAATGGAGGTCAGCCATGGGAATGCGAATCCCAGTTTACCACAGTAATCCACAACACTCACCCCACTGATTTTTCGATCTCTGAGAAACTGTCGTGAGTGTTTTTTTTTGTAGGCAGGAAGACACAGTAATTTCACAGAATGGAAACAGTGGATGTATGTGAACTGACTTGGCCTTGTCTCTTTAAAATGGTCATTCAGCTCAGTGGCATAACAATTTACTTAAACTGAATGCTATTTTCTTATAATAAAGTTGGTCTTATTTTACTTCAAGTGCAAAGCTGCTGCACGTAATATCACAAGTGTTCCTGGAATGTTGTTAATTAATATCAGCCGCGGCGAAGTTGGTTTGTTAAATTGCAGGACAATGAGGAATGGTGACAAGGTGTGGAGGCCTTCATCCAGCAGTGAATAGATAATGGCTGATGGTGATAATGAATATATGCTTGGGACTTGCATTCACTCTGTATGACCAGTTTCACCACTCTAAAGTAAATGGAATTTAACATTTATGTCTGTGGAATTATATTTGATTGGTCTGATTGAGAGTAAAAATAAAGTAATGAAAAAATAAATACAGTGGTACCTCGGTATACGTCGTTAATTAGTTCCAGAAGGTAGGACTTATACCGAAAATGACGTATACCAAACGAATTTTTTCCATAAGAAATAATGGGAAAGGAAATAATCCGTTCCAGACTATAAGAAATTATATTTTTCTGGCATATTATACATTAATGGGGTTGTATAAAATAATTTAGACACTACTTATTACTAAAATGCATACATAAACTAAAATAAATGCATAAATAAATAAAAATAAATTGAAATATAGCAAGGGTTGTGCACTGAACGAGATCTACTGTACAGGCAGAATGAGGAGCGGCGCTTTGTTTCAGTCGTGAAAGGGGTATACGCAGGTACGCGGTGACTCATCCCGACCCATACAAGTTCTAGCAAGCGCGTGGTATCCCAAGCAAGACGTCGTATCCCAAGACATTTTTTCTTGTCAAAACACGACGTCTACCAAATTCGACATATTTCAAAGTGGTCGTATACCGAGGTATGACTGTATAGCCAACCATTCCCTTTTGCGGGTTTAGCTATTGTGGTTTTGCGGCAGAGTGCCCTTCTCGACCCATCGCGGTTGACCGCGAGATTTCTGTACGCGTCGTAACTCCGCTGCTGCGGAAGAACACACGTGGTGCCGTGTTATCTCCATCTTGTCTCCCAAGCGGCCCACCGCGGCTCACAGGTCACGTGGTGTTCCTAGCCTCCAGTGACCAGGCAGTGAGGTTCAGCCACACGATTTTTCTTCCTCTAGTGTTACAATACTGTACACAGATATGTCTACAGTATTGTACACTATGGGTTTTTTCATTTTATGCATTTACTGTACAATTTATATGTAACACAAGAAAATATTGATCATATTTAACATTCAAAATACTGCCTGTTTAATGTTTGGGTTGATGTAGCATAACGTACAACAAAATGAGGGGTTGGTGTTGTATTACAAACCGTAAACCAAACCCTATGTTACCCATTTGCCTTTGAGTTTGCACATCGCGGATTTGCCGATTGCAGCAAACTTAACCCACGCGATGGGCAAGGATTTGCTATATATATACACACACGACATATTTTGTCATGCAATATTTTATAATACGAGGGCGAAAGAGAAATGACTCCGACTACCCATGTCTGCCCAGGCGCGTGGTGGTCCATGCATCTGGATGAGCTGGTGCCACCAGGCTCATTCCTCGTGGACATCAAGTCCCTATACAGCTCCTCCATCAGCAGCCTCCTCGTCTCCCCTGTGTTGAGCCAAGGTGAAACAAAGCATGTACAAGTTATATATCAATAATGCTTGTTTACGTGTCATTACATGTTTGCTATGTATGTGTCAGTCGGCACCCTAGACACCCTTACAAATGAGATATTCCACCTCAAGGGGTTACCCAGATGGAACTTGCTTCTCCATGGTTAAAACTGCTGCGCGATTCATATTGGTAACTGCATTTCACCATGAGCATGGGGCTTTGTTCACAAAGACAAAGATCCCCCCGATAGCCTGAACAGACAGTTGGGGCAAGTGCTGTTAGCGAGCACCTATGAAGGCCGGCATGGCACACAAGGGGCTGGGTGGCAAGCACCATGCCCGGCCGCCTTTGTATCCGGAGTGGCGATGTTTACACACCACACCAGGTATTCATTTGAGGCTGAGTCAACCTAGGGGAGGCCCAGGACCAGTTCAGATAATCATTACTGGTGTTGGCCGTGAGCAGGAATTGAACTCGGGGCGCCGGGTTCATAGCGCAGCTCGTTAACTGCTACACACTACCGCTCCCCATATATCCAGTTTGTTCACATATCCAGTGTCACATGCACATTTAACCTGGTCGCATTCCAGTTCCACTCTTTGCATGGCTGCCTTTTGAGGGGGAGATACATTTTTCAATCGGCTTACTAGCTTAAACCCTATGGGGGGAATATGACACTTGTCTAAATAGATAAAACAATGATTGAGAGTAGACATGAGAGAAAGCATTATAGAATGCATCAATTTAGCCAGACTTGGATAGACAAAAGTTGGAAAGTTAAACTGAACATTTTTCTGCCATAGTCTGTCACACACAACACTGTGAGGTATCATGCCTATTTAACTTGTAACTTTTGTCTTCATTTTCTTCTATAGTTATTTGTACCCAGGCTTCCCTTGCGGAATAAATCATCCATCTGATTGGGCATTTACCTGGCTAAATAAAGGAAAATAAACATATATATGCTGTCGGCAGTATGAACTATGGATAGAGAATGTAAAAGTGGCTGGGTCGATTTGTGACTCAGGCGCCTCTCTGCGTGGAGTTTGCATTTTCTCCGCTGTTCTGCATGGGATTCCTCGAGATTCTCTGGTTTCTTCACATTAAAAATATGCATTTGATGCAACTTGTATTGGCCTAACATCCCAATGCTGAAAAATTACCTGCAAATTATTAATTTGGGATTAGACACAAAATCAACATTGGCCCTGAATGAAAAAAAATGGCAGGACCATCCTGAGAGACTCTTAACACTCAGTGAGGCTTTCAGGGGTAAACATGTGTAAGAATAATACATCTCCTAAGAGCACGTGAAAACTTATGAATAACATCCCCTTCCTTATTTATTTAATCAGAGGATGGGCCAGTAGGCCTGGATGCAAGACACCTGCTCTCCCTATGCCTGCAGCCTGCGGCCGCCATGCTCGAGGACAGGGCAGACAATGTCCAGCGCACCATGGAGAGGATTCCTATCCTCCTCCGTCTGTTCGGAACCCATAGTGGTGAACAGAGTGGTAAGTACTCATGATACTGTGGTATTAGCTAGTCGCTGCTCCATACATGCAGCTGTGTGGTTGTCTTTACACCGAAGTAAATTACACCATTATGAGGTCCTGAAAGTGTATTAACTTCATGTGAATGTACTGTTCTGTGTCAATCCACTGCTGGATGAAGACATACCCATGGCTGTGTCGCTCATGGCATTTTTCACCATGCTGGACAGTATGGATTTGGGAAATGGGATGGGGGATGATCCCCCAGGACCAGTTCAGATATCATTGGCTACTGATGTTAGCCAATGCTAGGAATCAAACTTAAGTTGCTGGTTTTCCGAGTGCAATGCGCTATATCCTTTGCACCACGGTGCCAACGTGGTGAGATGTTATCTCCTTTGCCTGGTATACAGGAGGTTGTGGGTTCCATCCCAATCCTGTATATTTGGAGTTTGCATATTCTCCCCGTGGTTGTGTGGATTTTTCTCCAGGTCCTCCGGTCTTTACCTCCACATTTAGAAGCGTGTTTAGAGTATTTGGCTGCTATACATTTAAACATAATAAGCAACGTCATTGAGCTTATCATTTGTGTCCAGATCGATTCTGAAATAGAGTTTAATAGATCAGTGGGCCTTACCTGGTAAAATAAAAAAAATTGTTGCAAGGTGGAGTCCCGTTCACTGCTGAATCTCGGAACACACAAGTGGTTCGTGTTCATTTTATTTAAAGAGTCATAGAGCCATTGTTTTTAAAGACATTGTAGTCACCATAGAGAACTCCAGCGACACGACCGCACTCTATGATAGCTGGCGCCAAACTGTGCCAAATGCCCTCCCATATTGCCTTGTAAGAGGCTCGGCACCGATAAAGTTATTTTATTGGAGTTTTTCTTCAGGTTCCGTTCCGATGATGTATGCATATGTATGTCATCAGAATGGAATCGGAAGAATAACTGATGATGTACACATCTGCTTCACAGTGGATGTAAATTTTCAGTTGGAATTACACATAGCAAGCATCGCCCACTATTGGCAGGGTAATGCCTGATTTCACATGTGTAGTGACGCACTCAGAGACACTAGGAGTAGAGGGCACTCTATTTATGAACAGCCTTCACAGTCCAACTACAGCTTCCAGTCAGGACAGCTGGGAGACTGCCTGATTGACGACGCCGAGGAGGAGAAGATGTTGATGGCGACGAAGACTCCAGCAGCATGACGGGATTCCACTCCAGACAACAGCCTTCGCTCGGGGTCCACTTTTATCCTCCCGGCGTGGCCTCGCTCTGCCCCGGCCACGCCCCCCTTCTAGAGCCTACTCCCGGGTTCCCGGGCTTACCTCACATGCCCCCTCTGTCACCTTTCCCCTACATCCCTCTCTCTGGCTTAGCACGTGACCTGCTGACAGACAGGGCTGCTGCACCTGCAGATCCCCTTCTCTGCCAGCAACCAGCGCTATGCTACGTAGTGACCCATTCTATGTCACTACACATGTTTTAGATGGCGTGATGTAAGTCGCTTTTCGTTTGAAAAGCACTTTAAACGCCCTGGAGTAGAGGAGGGCGGCTTTATCAAAAACTAATTATTTTCATTCATTTCAAAATTACATTTTATTATTTTCTGCACGCAATTATAGGGGAGACTATTTGGATGGAATCTGCTTATAGGTAGTGAATAATCGTAATTGCACTATTGGGATTAATAATGTTGATAAAAATAAATGTTTAACCTCTTTTGAGATGTGTTATTGCTGTGGTTCTGATCCTATAGAAAAGGACCCTTCTGGTCCTGTTTCTGGTGAAGCGGAGTTTGTGACTGCGCTCCAAACGAGGGTGGCTGGGCTCCTGAAGGAGCAGGAGATGCTAGTGATGTACAGAAATGAGAGCTGGACTTTACGCCAGGCCTCCTCACTAGAGTCCATTCTTCACAACGGAACATTCAGGCAAGTTGTCAACACGTTGTCATTCTACCTTCATCTGAAGACAAGCACAAGTTTCAATGCATTCTGTTTAGTATTTCACAAAGCATTCTGAATAGTATTTGGTTCCGCAATAGTGTTTGTTTGTTCTCACAATCATTATTGTATTTTACAGAGAACACCAATAAAATGTATGACCATAGGAGCAACTGAAACTCAATTGCATTATTTATGTAGCTACTATGCAAAACAGTTGAAATGATAAATGAATATTGCCAAAGACAAGCATTTATAAAATGATGTTTTTACCATCTGCTGAATGTTGATAATGTTCTGTGCAAATTGTTTCAGACAAGCGCTATGGCAGCATCTGCAGAAGGTTGTGTCTTCCGCTCTGGCCAGTGTTCTGGCTGCTGTGGACCAGGACAACAACTTGGACCTTCTAGTTGAGTCCAAGCAGTCACCTCACATCATTGAATTATGGCTGCAGATCCTAAGCAATGAGAATATCCTCCCATTCCAGTCCATTGCAAGGTAAGAGAGCAGTGAGCTCAATGTGTTGGTTGTGGTGTTGAATGGTGTGGCCATGCCAGAAGCATAGCCTATAATTATTATTTACTGTTACTCTTGTTTACTCCGGAAAGCCTCAAAGAGTCTCATGACCTTTTCAGGAGAGTCCTGCCAAGTTTTCACAGTAGGGGGCAATATTATAACGTGTAATTCAGGAAGTTTTTTAGCATTGGTATGTATTGGCGAATACATGTTACATTGTGTGTGCATTTGAATTACGGGAGGAAACCGGAGAACCAGGATAAAAACCGTGCAGAACAGGGGGAGAGAACGTACAAATTCTACAGAGAAAGAGTTGGATATTGAATCCAGGTTCTTTTTGCCATGAGGCACAAGTGTTACCACTGTTCTGCCTATCATGCATCAAGACCATGTTTATAAGCAGGATACCATTAACCTTGAACATCAATCAACCTCATTTAGCCATTTAACTGGAGTTCAAATTGAAAGATTTCAAATGCTGTGAACGTGTGTTACATTAACATGGGGATGCTGCCCTGTTGTGATGGTTAGAAAATTAGTGGAAGGTTAAACAATGGGCAAGTTTATTATATCCCTCTGCTTCTCAGGCTCTATTTCAGCTGGTAAGGCCCATTTAGTTGAACAGCTATTTTACACGGATGACAACAGCCCAAGATTGTCGACAGTGGTGGAAATTACAGGACATTGCATAGTGGTAATGTGCAAACTAACGAGAACAAAAAATACAATTATTTACACGGAACCCTGGCCAGATCTTATATCAAACATGGTAAACAATAAATAGTGCTTCCGACAAGTTAAAAACAGTATTAAAATATCGTGTGACAGACATGTGTAAATAAACCGTGTGTACAGCCTCCATTACAATTGAGCTTGGTTGTAGTATTCATCATGGTCGGAGTTTGCCGGGGGACACGGGGAGGGCAATGCCCCCCTCCCCAAACTGGGCACCTTAATTAATTTATTTTCATTAGTTACAGTAACAATTAAGATTTAATATACACAAATTGATTCTTAATGTGAGGGACAAAGTGAACCCCTGCCCCCCTAAATATAGAAGTCAAACTCTGCCTATGGGATTCATAGCAATTGTGCATAGGTAATTCTGCAGCATGGTCTTAGCACACGTGGCTAGAGAAGGTTAATGTGGAACATTAAGATTGGTAACAAGAACGTTCTTAATTTGGATGCTGCTCAAGAAAAGGCCCTGGAACCAGTCTTGAGTTCTTGAGCTTAGTCATGGTCAACCTGTGCTATGCATAACAAACCATACATGAATTTGGAGTGATTTAAGCTTATATTGTGTATGATTAATTGGTGAAATGTCTTTTGAAGTCATAATTCATCAGAGATGTGGCATTACTGTGAATGAGAGAAACTGTCCAGAGTCTGGAATTGATGTGGAGAATAGTTTTGTATTGGGATTGTTTGACCGAAAAGCATTGTTATTCGGAATTTGAATGATAACAGTCTAAAGTGCTACACTATAGTACTATATTTTAGAAACAAGGTGCTATTACCATCCATATTTTTTGTCCATAATGAGAATATTCAAGTTGCCTGTGTTTGGCAAGCGACCGTACCGCTGATCAGAGCGCTTGAGGTACTCGCTGTGTTTTGTGATGCTCTCACAGGGAAGCGAACGTGCAGATTCCCGTTCCTTGTTCAACGGACGCAGCACTGCCAAGACACTCAGAGCTCCCATTCAGCTGGTTGTTCTATGAGTCAATCCAAACTCTGTGGATCAAGATCCAGGACCACCAAGGCAATGGCCAAACACATTATATTTTAACATTTTTCACTACGTTTGGCACAATACAGCATAGAGCAAAATGTAAAAGAATTAGCTTTCCTCGAAATTTTCCCGGGATGGTGATAGCTGCACAGAGGCATATCTGTATAGATGAGCCCAAAGGTTAATGTCATTGCCAATAATTTGTTTGTACAGTAAATTTAAAATGAATTTTAATTTAACGTATATACAATAGCCCTCAATGTAATATAAATATTTTTTTCCACTTGCTCAGGGCAACAAACCCATCCATTCCTTTTTTTTAAATCAGGGAAACCCTGACTTATTATAGAATGGCCATGTGCAGAGTATGTTTTATATGTCATGGCTGTAGGCCATGTCATGGCTGTAGGCCATGTCATGGCTGTAGGCCATGTTTCACTTGGGAAGTGTGTGACCCTCCCCTGGCTTCCTGCAGATACGCTGGGCTCCTGCCCAGAGAAGATGCTGCAGAGGCAGTTTGACTCGACTCCGCTCGGCCAGCTGCTTGCCTCTCTGCCTGGAGACTGCTCAGAGGATCTCCTCACTCGCTACAGCAATGATTTTGTGTGCATGGCCTTCCAGCCACGTAGACAAGAGGAACTCAAGGTGACTGAGAAGTTGGAAGTGCCAGAGTTATTTATAAGAGTCGGCCATTGTGTGCTAATTTAATAGCTTGCATGAAGCAATTGTTCAGAAGTCATATGTTGCTCTGTGGCCACAATTACCCACATCTCCCTTCCAAAATATGTAAGAAATCTGGACAGGCTGTCAGTCAAATTATTTAAAACATTTTAATGGAGCAACATGGCAGCTATGGCTTGGAAACCATTTCTCCAACTCCTCTTGGGATTTTTGATGAGTTTTAGTTTTGAGGATTGAAGGTACATGCCTTCAGAGTGTTTGCGTGAACACTGAATCTTAGAAATATGAAAATTTTAAAACATGGATTATGGTGACGTAGGAAAATTTAAGCGACCAATCTGAGTTATATTTTCGGCTACAGCTAACATCAGTGGTGAGCGATATCTGAACTGGTCCTCCCTCTTATTTATAATATATGTTCATCATTCTCCTTGGTTGATCATGGGGGTGACTGTGTAATACATTGTGTGCCTGTGTGGGAGCTGAGCTGCGGTGGTGAGATGTTATCTCCTTTGCCTGGTATGGAGGAGGTTGTGGGTTTGATCCCAACCCCGAGACGTGTATATTAGGAATTTGCACGTTCTCCCCATGGTCACGTTCATTTTTCTCTGGATCCTCAACTTTTTTCCTCCACATTTAGAAACATGCATTTATAGTATTTGGCTGCTATAAATTTCCACGTGATAAGCCACTTCGTTGAGCTATCATTTGTGGCCAGGTCGCTTCTGAAAAAGCGCAAATAACTAAAAACTTAAACTATTTTTATCTTACCTGGTAAGGCCCATTTAGCTATATAGCTCAGTGTGCTTTCCCTGGTAAATAACATAGTTTAGTTTAGAAGTATCTGCACTAACCCATTGCCTGTGTTTATAATGCATAGCTGCTGAGCTCGGCTCTCGTTCGTGCCATCCACTGGGTTCACCACGAAGAGGAGCAGCGGTCGTCTGTACCACCCGTGGTTTGGCTGCATGTGGTGGCTACGCGCGCGCGCACCCGCCTCGACTGCTTCTGCCAGCTGGCCCGGACCCTTCCGGATATCCTGACTCAGCTATGCCGGAACACGGACCCAACGGCGACACTCCCGCATCAGGAAATGGTATGGAGAGTGTGGGCTGTAACTGATCCATGCGAATGGCATTGATGGCATGTGGAACTGATGCATCAAATGGTTTGCTGTCTGTCGAAGCAGTTGTTTTATTTCATTGTGATCATTGTCATGTTTTTAAATTCAACATTTTACATGTAAAGCTGGTTTTGATAATTTTTATCCTAGAATTGTGATTCTTATACTGATTTATATGAGGCCAATGTTTGTTTTTGCAGATTTATTTTACAGCTGTCTTCATTGTAATGATTTAACAAGCTGTGGAAAATTGCTTCTAAATCGATGCAATAAGCACATCTTATAAGTGTAATGCGGTTGTAAATGGCCCTCCGGAGGTGCCGTCATGGGGGGAGGAGTTAGGTCACGTGGGGGGAGAGGGGTTGAGTATAGAAGGAGGGGAACCGGAAGAGGAAAGGGAGTGACGGGGAACCAGGAACAGAGGAAGGCCACGTAGGGCGAAGCGGGGTGTGGCGAGATCGCCACGAACACGGGGAGGAACGAGGATCGGCACCGTTGGCCAGCGGTGACCGACCCGAGGCAGCAAGGAGGGCTGCAGTCGGCAGCGGGGCTGCAGAGAGAGAGTGGGCAGCGGGTCTGCATACAGTGGCAGCCAGAGGGTCTGCACATAGGGGTAGCAGCGAGTCTGCAGGGAGGAGGTTACAGTAGATGAAGCAGAGAGTCAGAGGGGAGAGGAAGCTATAATAGCAGTGAATAGCCGGGGGCTACAAATACAGAGTTATAACAGAGTGCCGTGTGGGTGAAGACGAGAACCCAATAAAAGACACGAAGACAGAAAGAAGTGTCCGAGTCCTTTTATTACACTGGAGTCAGAAGTGAAACGGCATGGCGAAACAACTGAGGAAAAAGAATATCCCATCTCCGGCGTCGGCTTCATCATCGGACGACGACGAGCTTCCTCCGGAGGTCGGCTTCACTTCGGCGGAGGGAGAGATCCGTGAGGGCCCGGGTGTCGAGGAGGTTGCCGCTGCGTCCGCCCCGTCTGCGTTGAAGGACGAAGATTTAAGATGGACCCGGATGGCGGAGCAACTGGCAACCCTAAAAACCGTCATCACAGAGTTGTGTGACCTTGTCACGCCAAGGGCGGCGTTGGAAGGTGATGGGGGTGATCGGCAGGAGCCCGGGTCGTCTTCGATGGCGCCGCCATTGGCCACGCGGCGTGAAGACGCCATCTTGGGCGTGGCGCACCACGGAAGGCGGGAAGCCGCCATTTTGGGGCCGCCGCGAGGATCGTCCGCCATCTTGGCGACACAGCGTTGCGACGCCTTGCTGAACTTACCGCCGGAAGAGTCAGCGACGGACGGAAGCAAGCCAAGGAGTCGCAGTCGCCACCTTACAACCGTCAAAGAGTTCTCCATCGGGGGCGATTGGAGTGCGTTCGCCTGTAGATTTTTGGCGGCGGTACGTACGGCAAGGTGGACGGACGCTGAGGCACTGGAGGTGCTTCCGACTCTTCTTGATGATGAGTCCGTTCGTTTTTTTCGCTCTATAAAAGCTGCGAAGAAGAAAACTCTGCGAGGGGTGTTCGATGAAATGGCGGACGCGTACGAGCCACCGGATGACGCCCATCGCCGATTCGTGCAGCGGCAACGCGCACCTGAGGAGTCACCTGTAGCGTACAGGGGCGCCGTGTTGGAACTCGCTATGGCCGCTTACCCGGAGACGGAGCCAGACCTGCTGGAACCACTCATCTTGGGGAAGATGTTGGAGTTGTCCCGAGATCTCGGCATTCCTATGCCGGCGTGCGGTCACGAAAAACTCACGTCCCGGACCGCGGCCAAGTGTTTGGACGCCCAGTTCAATCTCCGCCGCTGGAAACAGGTGACGGCGTGGACGGGCGGTCCTGTCGTCGATGGGGGGGCCGTAGGGTGGGACCCTACGAAGGCCGTGTACGTGCCGGATGCGACCGGCCAGAAGGAGTTGTCGGCTGCCTCTGCTCCGTGGCCGGCCCGGAGCGGGCCGGGGCCGCGGGCTCCGCCGCCGGTGCGGCCGCGTCGGGACGGGGTGCCCGCTGCGCGCCGCCCCGACGTCGACTGCTTCCGCTGCGGCCGTCGGGGCCACTATGCCAGGGACTGCTGGGCCCGGATTCCGGGGCCGCCCCAGCAGGAGGCCTCGACAGCGGACGCCCCAAAGAAAGACCCTCCGGCACAGACAAGCCGGCCGTGACAGCGCAGGGAGGGGGACCTTCCGCTTGTGGGACGCCAACCGGAGCCGCAGAACCCTCGGGACCTGCAGCTCTTCCTATCCCTCCGCGGACGCGAGTACGGGATGTCTCTGGACGCGGGCGGGACAGTGGCGGGCCTCCAATGGCGACGGAAGAACTTGCGCCCGTCGCCCCTAAAACCCTTCCACGTCCCCGCTCGGCGGGTGGGCTGCCGACCGTCCGGGACGGCCCGGCTACCCGTACTCGCTCGAAATCCCTCACGTTTCGTTAAATTGTGTTGTGTTGTGTTCATTGTTATATTGTTCTCCAATGCTTCGTGTCTTTTACGTGTTGGCCCTTTACACCCGCATTGCTTTTCAGGTTGCAATTCAGCCGAGGTCGGCTGGATTTTCTTTATGGGGGAGGGTGATGTAATGCGGTTGTAAATGGCCCTCCGGAGGTGCCGTCATGGGGGGAGGAGTTAGGTCACGTGGGGGGAGAGGGGTTGAGTATAGAAGGAGGGGAACCGGAAGAGGAAAGGGATTGACGGGGAACCAGGAACAGAGGAAGGCCACGTAGGGCGAAGCGGGGTGTGGCGAGATCGCCACGAACACGGGGAGGAACGAGGATCGGCACCGTTGGCCAGCGGTGACCGACCCGAGGCAGCAAGGAGGGCTGCAGTCGGCAGCGGGGCTGCAGAGAGAGAGTGGGCAGCGGGTCTGCATACAGTGGCAGCCAGAGGGTCTGCACATAGGGGTAGCAGCGAGTCTGCAGGGAGGAGGTTACAGTAGATGAAGCAGAGAGTCAGAGGGGAGAGGAAGCTATAATAGCAGTGAATAGCCGGGGGCTACAAATACAGAGTTATAACAGAGTGCCGTGTGGGTGAAGACGAGAACCCAATAAAAGACACGAAGACAGAAAGAAGTGTCCGAGTCCTTTTATTACATAAGTATGGGCTCAATGATTCATTGAGCAATGCTGTGTCATGAATCTTACTTTTGTGTTATCTTATATTTCTAATTGGAAGCTATGGATAATGTTTTTGAGGTTTATTTTCATTATGACTATGTGAATGGTTCACCTCCACCTTGTTGGTGGGTGTTGCTATAGGTTCTGGATTTAGATGCAGTACAGGCGTGCCTGGAGCTCCTCCAGCCATGCCAAGAAAAACTACAGCAGCGTGAACAACTGTGGCAATGGAGCCAGCAGGTAACGTCCTTAAAGCCGATGATCAACTCCTGCATTGCTGCCCTGGCCAACTCACCGAGGAGCACTGAGGCCATCACAGCGAGCCTACAGAAGATGCGGTGCGTCTTGGCTCGCACGCACACATCACGATACACTTTGCGAGCGGCAGGGTAGAGCCTCGCAGTTAGAAGGGCCTCGGTTCAATTCCCAACTTGAGCGCCTGTCTCTCTGTGAAGTTTGTATGTTCTCTCCCTGCCATGATTGCGTTACCTCTGGGTTCTCCCAATTTCCCCCCAATGATAAAAACAAATACATTGCAACTAGTATTGGCCAAACATCCCAATGTTAAATATCTACCTGAAAATTACTAAATTAGCATTACACCTAGCAACATTGCCCCCTACTGCAAAAACTTGACAGGACCCTCTCTCGTGAAAAATTGTCTTGAGACTCAGTGAGGCTTCAATGGGTAAACAAGTGTAATACCAATAATATTAAACGTTTCATGTACAATAGCATGCTGACATTATGGCCTGTGATAGTTGTGAAATATCCATGGATCAGAATCATTCAGACTGACAAAGGAAATTTAACAAAAGTTGTTAAGTGCGCAAAGAAGTGTGGAGAGGCGTATACTTCGAATGACGGTGAAAAAATTTACACATGGATCAGGAGACACACAATCAAAGACATCGTATTGACAAGGAGAGTAAATGGGCTGGAGCAGGACACATTGCTATATGGGATCATAGCCGATGGGTGAGAATGGAGACGGAATGGCAGCCAAGGGAGAAAATGTGTCCAAGAGGATGACCACCAAGAAGATTGAAAAAATCGATTATGTAGGAGTGAGATGGATGGTAGTAGCAGTTGACCATGAGGAATAAGGATAGCATGGGGAGGCTTTAATTCAGCAGTTGATATACACTGGTTGATGATATGTCTGAAAATCAATCTACAGTCATGAGTGTCTCACTGCTCAAATGAGCTACAGGGGCTCATTTCTATTGGTAATCTGAGCCAATGGCAGTTTCCACATTTCCCTGCTGGAGACCAGTTCCTCCACAAGATGCCCTTCTTGACTTCTGACAGAGTGGGGCACGCTTTATTGTCCCCGGAGGCTTGTTAGGCTAAACTACAGTAACACCCCTATTTATGCCCGTTTTACATACTATGGTACCTAGCCATAACGTACCCGAGATTTACGAACTTTACGAAGGCCCACATTTTTTACGTCGCACGGCAACATTCGGATGCCAGATGGCGCCCAAGCGTTAGCGTCCCTGACTACAGTCGTCTCTTTCATGTGCTCTAATCATAGATTTTTTTCCCACATTAACATATTCATGGTGACTTTTTACACAAGTGCAAACTACTTTTACATGATAAACAACTAATAATAATGCATATAGTGTAATAGATAAGGTCATATATCTTATATCAATAATATCTACAGGAGACCCTTGAATATGTCGAGGGTTAAGTTCTTGGAAAGTTCCATGAAAGCCAAAACTGTAATATTCAATAATTAAGCATTACCTAAATAATGGGGTTAGGTACACGGCAACCAATCATAGTCACATCACAATTGAAATAAGTACTGTACTGTATGCCAAATAAATTAAAAACGAAATGATTGAAATATACATGTAAACCCCCTATACAAAGAACATTCCTAGACAATAAATAGTATAAATACTGAATAAATACTGTACTTACCGATGATGATGATCCAAAGCTGGTGTGTGTGTTTGTCTGCGAGTGGGGAGCGGTAGTGCTACGGTTAGCTTGCTGTGCTACGAATCCGGCGACCCAAGTTCGATTCCTGCTGACGGCTAACACCAGTGACGATTATTTTAACCCTCTGTTTAGATACTGTACTAGATTGCGATCCACCATCCATTCTCTTTGCTTCGGTTTAAGTACTTATGATTTACATTCTGGTTTTCAGGAACGCATCTTGGGCGTAAACTGGGGTATGCCTGTATTCCATTTGAGATATGAACTTGTAATCTTCTGATTACAAATAGAATGGAGTACCTCAGCAATGCCAATTCCAGCCAGATGAGAGTAATTTACATTGGTAAATTATGGAAAGGATGGTGATGAAAATATTACTCCAGAAATGTTCTTGTTTTTTCCTCTGACAAAAATGCTACACATTATTTAAAGACATGAATGACTTTAATTTTGTATATGTGTCTATCTGAAAACGACTTTTACAATCGCATTAAATCAGTGACAATGTTCTACAGGAGCCAATGGAGACGCTTGCTGGTGATTCACATGTATATGGATCGTTTGAGTGACGTCACCGATCCAAAAATCTTCGGCGTGATAGTCAATCATTTATTTCTTATTTGGAAGGTAACCTTTACATTTTCATAAAGTTACGTTTGTTCTGTATGCATTTATTCACAAAACTGCAGTCTAGTTGTAATTGGTAATACCATATTGGAAATATCAAATCTGCCTTTTATCACTAGCTAAGTATCACGTGTTTCAAATCGATTAACGCCAACGCTATAGCGAAATGTGGTGTGTTGTTTGGTGCTGACCAGACCTTGTTGGCCTGGCAGATTATCTTCAAGTTGTGCGTAGGAGAATCTGTAACATTCATTTAATCTCTGTTGCTTGTATAAGGACAGTGCATGGTTTAGTGGGCTTGGGGGATGGTCGTTTAACAGGGGAAGGAAGGGTCACACGAGGTGACTTGGTTGTGGTGATAGGGGAAGGAATGGTCACATGAGGTGACTGCAGAGCAACCGAACAAGGCTGGGAGAGTTCGAGAGGAGGGGCTTGGCCAGGGGCGGGGCTTCGCCAGGGGCGGGGCTTGGCTAGGGGCGGGGCTTGGCCACGCGAAAGGGGTTATAAGGAAAAGGCTGAGAGGGATTCGGGGCTGTTTGAGGAGTCGGGGTCCGGATCGTCGTCGCAGGGATTGTCGTTATCTACATAGTTGTGGTCGTCGCTGTTACGGTCGCCGTCATCATCTGCATCGACACTAGCGTGGACGGCTACACCGACGTCTTGCTATATAGTTGACCAGCTATATAGTTGACCAGCTATATGGAACGTTGTGTAGCAGCTACATCTCACCTGTTAAGTCCGCCAGCGATATCGAATAAATACAACTATTGGGCAACGTCTCCTTGTGCTACATTAGACTTGTAATGGGTTCACATGACTCCTGCAGTCACGAGACGTGCTATGTTCATCACAATGTAAAAAAAAAGAATTGATTATTGAATCAAATCGTTAAAATACATCGACAAGCAAGGAAGTGAACCATTACATTCCAATTTTTTTTATGGAAGACAAACCAGCATCATCTCGGTATTATTGTTTGAAGTCGGTTCAAATATCGTTTTCATCTTATATTTGATGGTCTATCAATAACATAATTTAAAATATTAATCTTAATAAATCATTGTAACGTACAGGGCTTGACTGACATCATGATGAGTTGGCTGAAACACAGTGTTGGAGATTGCCCCCCCATGTTTGCTAGGGAGACATTGGTTTGTTTTTGGCAAAAGAAGAATATTTTCCAACCCATAAATTTGCTCCATAAGGTTCATTTAATGAATTCATGTTTTAAGGCAAGCTCATCATCTAAAATGTTGGCGACAATGTAAACGTGTTTTTTTTTGTCAACAGATTTTGCAAGTTGATTCTGACCTCTCGAAACAAATGCCAATGCAATGCATCATTAACTTGTTGAAAAATTGCAACAATCAATCCAGCACCCTTTACTTCAAGTAAGTTGTATCATCATGTCATTTAAAAGTATATACCATTTGTATAATGTCTGATTTGCTACAATTGTATATATATGTTCACAAGACCTGATTTTCCGCTTGCTGTTTATCTGATTTGCTGATTAACTGCGAACCAGAGATTTTGACAAATTAACAACTCATGGATTTTCCCTTCAGCTCAAATTAATCATCAAAAAATAGCTATACATTTTGTTCTTGAAAATATTTATTACAAGTCACGTGCTTAAACTGAACAAAGATGTGCCCTGGTTAATCCGAAATCCACATGATCGCCTCTACAGGACAGTCGTTGCACATCTTTACAATGGTGGGCAGAGTTTACTTGATGTTGATTGGCGTGGCTCTGCTCTCCACTTAGTGGGTGGAGTCTCCTGCGCAAGACCAGGAAAATATCACTGAGCACGTACATCAATCAGTCGATCGTTAGTATTCGTTCGAAATCGAAAGAGTAACAATCGAAATCGTTAGATGTAATTAAACAAGATCTTTACTACACATTTTTGTCTTGTTCATTAAAAAACGAAATTTCTTAACTTAAACATAATTTATATCTATATTTCTGGTTTTGGCATAGAGATTCGCGAAATATGGATATTTTTGGATTATCCGCGATTTTGAATTATCCGCGGCCATCCTCCCCATCATTAGCGCGGATAATCGAGATTCTAATGTGTATAACATTAAACTCAAGGTGAAAAGTTCCACTAATATTAATTACAGGAACATGTTTACTTGTACAAATTTATGAGAAAACGATGCTGTTGACTCTATTTGCGAGGGATTGTTGCAATGTGTTGTGAATGTCACTAAAAGTCTAAACATTTGTAGCCATCTCTTTAATAATGGTTAGAATCTGGAACACCAGCAATTGAGATGCTGGGTGTATTCTGCATAAATAATAAAATTGTCAAAATAATGCTTTTTAATTAATTACTTAATTATACGTTCACATGTGTGTGCAATTGGTGCAGTTTGATACAAATTATTACATAGCATCTTTGTCACTTGGATTGCCAAAACTGGCAAACCCTAAGGAAACACTACATTACAGTAAAATCTGTTAATGTCTGAAACATGGTAATCAACTTCATTATAAATGTGGAAAGCATTACCACTGTGACCTCTATTGCCCCATGGCTGGGACAATGTCCTTGGACTTGAGAAGACATTATCACTCCAGGGTTATTTTCATTTACAAGGCCTGTAGATCTGCTCTTTATTTGTATGACCTGTCATTACCATTAGACAATCCAAAAATCTGTGACGTGCATATGATTGTCTATTAAATAGTTCCCATATTTCACACACAGTTTGGATTAAAAGCATTTAATGTAGCTGCCCCAATGTTTTGGAACCACCGAGTTGCATCTCTTTGCATTTCCATTTTGACATCGCTGTCCTCATTTAAACTGACTCAATTGATGTCACGAAAGTTTAAGTGTGAATGTAATTTTAGATCATAATTTATATTATTTAATTTGTGTTTTTTATTTGTAATTGGGGAATGCTTTGATATTATCTGCCAGCCAGAGGTAAAGCTGTGGGTCGTGGTGTTTTTCAGGGGTGGAGTCAAGGAATGCCGGCTGTGCCGAGAGGAGATCACGGATCCTGCAGCACTGCCCTGTGATCACGTGTTTTGCATGAAATGCCTGGTCATGAAGTTGCGAATGCGCAATACTTGCCCTACATGCCAACAGGAGACGTCACAAGACCAGATTGTCCGCACTGAGCATGTCAGGTAAGACCAGCACTGCCCTGCATTGATATTCACTGCCCTTTCTAAAGAGAAGCAAGCGTGTCCACCCTGTTATGTGTAAAGTTTGACTTTCATGTCTTCCTCTTGGCTCTGACTATTGAAAACAATACATGCCATTTGTGTTTCAATGAGTATGTGAATGCAAGCCAGTTTATTCAATCGTCTATTAATATCTGTACTCTACAGATAGTTTCACATCATAAAATACGAATAACTGCATAGTTGGTAATGCTTACTTTTGTGTTACCCAAAACACTCTCGTAAATTAGTTTATCCTGGTATCTTTATTCAGTGTCTCGTCATCAGTCAGGCCTGCTTGAACTACTGCTGGTTCAATACAAGCAAATCCTTGCCTAATGTTGATATATATATGAACACCCTTGCCTAGTGTTGATATATATCATATATGTTGATATATATCATATATCAACACTAGGCCAGCGTTTGCTTGTATTGAACCAATGTAGCTGAAATTATTCACTCCCAGATGGCTGTGTGACTGACAGGATGTGTAGAAGATAACTTTTTTATGTAGAGAGAAATATATGTGAAGGAGGTGTATTGTTGTAATGCTAATAAATCCAACGTTCGTTATACTGAATGTTTTCTATCGAATATCGAGGTATTACAGTAATTGAATCGCGGGGGGTGGGGTCTGGTTGGTTCGAAGTGTGCGTTGCTCTCATTGGCTGAACGAATGATGGGGGCAAGTACGCTTTCTCTGGCAGTGTTAAGTCATCTTTTGATTTTTAAAAATTCAATAACGAATCCGCGTTCTATGGGGTTGCACTAAGCTAAGTCTGCCTGCATTAATGTTCAATACACTGATGTGTTCTGTATCCAGGTGCATCGTCGAGCAGCACAATGGATTCAGGAAGCGACTGACTGCATTCTTCGTGGACATTGTGGCCCAATTCTGCTTTGGCTCTGGAGACCCTCCATCTCAAGAAGTCATTCAAATGCTGCTTGATCTATTGTTCAGAGATCCCAGCGAAGGGACAAGATATTGGTAAGCAGCACACTACTTTTGTAATATATAAAAACTTTTCAAGTAATGTGTTGTGACTTGTAACGTCACTACCGTGTGGGCCTACACACACACACGCATGACATCACTACGTGGGGGGAACATTACTCCCGTGCGGGTCTACACACACACATAACATCACTACGTGTGCATGCGGGAATGATGTCACGGCCGGGTCAGGGGGTCTGGAGGCCGTGGGTCAGTACCGCGGGGGTTGTGTGAGGCCGTGGCACTCTGGCTGAACCCGAATGGACGACACGTGACCGGATCAAGGTGGGGGCCGGGGGCACCTTGGGGGTCACGTGGGCAGAAGAGCCTTCTGGAGAGTTCTCCAAGGTGGGCGTGGCCGGGGTGTGGCCTGGACACGCCGAGGCGCATATAAGTGGGCTCCGCACCTGGTGCGGGGCTGCTTGGGTCCGGGATAAAGATGCCTCGTGAAGACGCCTCATGAAGAGAAGAGTCGAGCCTCAAGTCAGCGTGGCCAAACAGTAGCCCTCCTGGGTTGGTCACGCTAGTTGTATCAGAGTGTCAGTGTTAGCGGGTGTTAGTGTGTGTTAGCGAGGATAGGTCAGTGGTCACCACACTATGTGCAGTGTTATTACATGTTGAGTAAATAAATAGTGTTGCCTCCCTAAATCAGTGTGTGCGCCTCTATCGAACCATTTCAAATGTGCGCATGGTTTCAACAGATATATCCAGCTGAAATGTATACCACTGGCTCAGGGCTATTAAAAGGAGATGAGCACTGCCCTAATGCTCATTTGAGCAGCGGATTGGTTTGACTTGTTTGTTCTTTTCCATAGTTTATGACAGGTATGAAATTCCTGTTTTGTATTGAATATTGTTTTCTACATTTGATGATAACAATATAGTCTCTTTAACATGAACAGCGATTATAGTAATGTCTTTAGCAATAATTGAAGCAACTGCTGATTAAAAAATGACATGGACAAATTCTTACAATTGTATTAACAACACACAGGTGCATGTATGTATGAATGTTCAACTTCTCTCGCACTATACATAGCTAACCATGCTAATCGGAGGTGCATCATAAACTTATGAAATTGTGTGAACTTACAAAGTGAATTATATGATGTATCCTTCGATTTGCATCTCCATGGTCCCTGATATATCTTTTTTACATGCGGTGTATTTTCAAGTTTTGCCTTTGCGTATCTTTAGGAAAAAGCAAGACGCGGGGATTGTCCCCATTTGAGGAATGTATGGACCCCAACCCAGTGATCCGTTCCCTTCTACTGAAGCTCCTTCTAGGCTACAGGTGAAGGCATGCGGTTACAGACCTACCTTTACAATGCATATTATAGCATATCTTGCTTTCGAATTTTTACGAGTTGTAAAGGTGCTGCATTATGTTTTTTTTGGCATTAACTAAACCGTTTTAGTACCTAACGGCCAATGCATTATTCTTTGCAGTCGCTGCTATATCTAGTGGAGAATTGTAGAAATGCACTTCCTGCTGTAAAAAGCATGTCACCTTGTCATAGTAGGCCATTGAGTTCCATAGTTATATCTATGGGACCCCTTTGCCAGTATAAAAATAATTAAAATGAGTATAGGCTTTACCCTTTCTGACAAAACAGGTGTTAAGATTCTCGATTTTAAGTTTTCGTGCCTGCAAGGATCCATACTCTTTGGTTTTTTCGGTAAAGTCACGTAGGTTAAAAAAGAAAACAAATAAATTAAATCACGACGTTTCGGGGGCAACACAAGCTTCCGTCTTCAGGTGGAACCGTCACAGCGAAATTACTGTATCAAGTGAAGAGAGCTCTAAGAGACACGACCTAATATACTGGTTTAAGGGGAGGGGGGAGGAGCCAGGATGGGCCGTGGGGGGGGGTATAAGCTGGTGAGGTGAACGACCTGTGCTGCAGCTGCGGCTACGCCTGGAGCTTTGTGATGTAGATGGCGGAAGTAGATAAGCAAGCTAGGATTAAGCCGTCTTTTGTTATGCTCGCCGGTGGGTTGTATTCCAAAGCATGCAAGCAGTGTGTGAAAAGCTAAAAAACTACTATGGCTGTTGATGACATCTTTCCAATGATTGCTTAATTTAAAACCATCCTCTCGGTTGAAGTTGTGTCTATGTATATCTGGATGGCATCATGGACAAATCTTTGGTAGGAGCCGGGAGGTTTGCAGAGTACTTTGGTATTGGAGAAAACAATATCATGAGAACCCGCTGTGTTGAAACAATGATCAGCTACGGTCGAAGAATTCATTCTGCCGTGTTTCAAATCTGATTTGTGCTCGCGAATTAGGTCAGAAATGTCGTTTCGTCTCCCCGATATAGCAGCCACCACAGGTACAACTCAATTTGTAAACACTGGGGTACTGTAAGTCAGGAATGACACCCTTTTCGGATGGGATCAGATCACGGATTTTGTGTACTGAATTGAATCGGACCTGGATCTTGTGTTTGTTTAGAATTTTGGAAATCTTTTTGGTAACGCCTGCTATGTATGGCAACATGATGATTTTTATCGGAGTTTCAGGTGGTTGTTTCTGCATGGTGGGAGAAACAGCTTAGCGGATAGTACGGTCAGAGTATCCAACATGGACTGAACCCGGATGTGCCTGCGCTGGTTAGGCACTGCCTCACCAACACTTACTTTACCTGGAATGGTATCTTCTACAAACAAAATTAGGGTAAATTTCGATTTAAAGCTTTCGTGACTGCAAGGATTCATCTTCTTGGTTCTTTCGGTAAAGTCACGTAGAAGGGAAATAATAAAATAATAAAAATAAAACATACTAAAATAATTCTCACGACGTTTCGGCCACAACGCAAGCAGCCGTCCTCAGGGTAAATTTCGATTTAAAGCTTTCGTGACTGCAGGGATTCATCTTCTTGGTTCTTTCGGTAAAGTCACGTAGAAGGGAAATAATAAAATAATAAAAATAAAACATAATAAAATAATTCTCACGACGTTTCGGCCACAGCGCAAGCAGCCGTTCTCAGGTGAAGAACAGGTCTGTCGGAAAGACAGCGTCTGAATGGGCACCACCAGGCTTGGCAGCGTATATTTAAGCTGGGTTGGAGGGGGCACCTTGACAAGGGAATTTGCATATCAAGAGGGATTTAGCATATTTATGGGAAATGCAGATATGGGATTAGTCACTACTTGTGGAATGCGTAGGAGGTGGGGGGGGGGGTTTCAAAGTCATATTATGCCCGTGCATTATGCAGTATGCAGGATTAGCAGCATCAAAGGGAGGGAGTAGGGTTAGCAGTAATAGAGGGAAGGAATTTTTATAGTAAGGAGCTGAAGCAGGTAAACCACCACGTAAAAAACTAAAATATGAAATACATCAGTATTATCAATATACTAAATATACTCTCCAATAAGCTGAGCTACTAACAGTAAGTTATACATTACAATTCTATGTCGCAAAAAATATAATATGCCTCCAGCTAAACTTTTTTCTCTTACATCACACGGGTCTACCCCGTACTATATACTGCCATAGACAAACCCAACATTAAATTATATTCTGCATTACTATACAACACCACCCTATACCTTAGACTATACAGAACAGTGTCTGTCTTTCCGACAGACCTGTTCTTCACCTGAGGACGGCTGCTTGCCTTGTGGCCGAAACGTCGTGAGAATTATCTATAATGTTTTATTGTTATTATTTTATTATTTCCCTTCTACGTGACTTTACCGAAAGAACCAAGAAAATGAGGGTACCCCTATGGGTTCCTCCTTGTCACCAGTGATAGCCAATGTTTTCATGGAAAATTTTGAATCAAATGCCATCCAGACATCCACCCTTCGTCCTTCCCTGTGGAAGAGATATGTGGATGACACTTTCGTCATTTGGCCATATGGCCTCCCAGCATTGAACCAATTCCTAGACCACATCAATTCCAGACACCCATCCATCAAATTTACCGTGGAGGTGGAGAAAGATGGCAAGCTACCATTCTTGGATGTTCTGTTTGAGAGGAGGCCTGATGGCTCTTTGGGACGTTCTGTTTACAGGAAGGCCACCCACACAGATTCCTACTTGAAGCCTGATTCCTACCACGACCCGGCTCAAAATAATTCCCTCATCAAAACTCTATACCATAGGGCTCATTGCATCTCAGACCAACACCACCTGGCCAGTGAATTAAAACATGTACATCTGGCCCTCAAGATGAACGTATACTCTGACCGTACTATCCGCCAAGCTGTTTCTCCCACCATGCAGAAACAACCACCTGAAACTCCGATAAAAATCATCATGTTGCCATACATAGCAGGCGTTACCAAAAAGATTCCAAAATTCTAAACAAACACAAGATCCAGGTCCGATTCAATACAGTACACAAAATCTGTGATCTGATCCCATCCGTAAAGGATGTCATTCCTGACTTACAGTACCCCGGTCTTTACAAATTGAGTTGTACCTGTGGTGACTGCTATATCGGGGAGACGAAGCGACATTTCTGACCGAATTCGTGAGCACAAATCAGATTTGAAACACAGCAGAACAAATTCTTCGGCCATAGCTGATCATTGTTTCAACACAGTGGGTTCTCATGATATTGTTTTCTCCGATACCAAAGTACTCTGCAAACCTCCCGGGTACTACCAAAGATTTGTCCATGAAGCCATCCAGATATATAAATATAGACACAACTTCAAATGAGAGGATGGTTTTAAATAAAGCAATCATTGGAAAGATGTCTTCAACCAAGCCAAACTCTAGCTGCCTTATAATTGTACAGCCATACTAGTTTATTAGCTTTTCACACACTGCTTGCATGCTTTGGAATATAACCCACCGGCGAGCATAACAAAAGGCGGCTTAATCCGAGCTTGCTTATTTACTTCCGCCATCTACATCACAAAGCTCCAGGCGTAGCCGCAGCTGCAGCACAGGTCATGCACCTCACCAGCTTATACCCCCCCCCACGGCCCATCCTGGCTCCTCCCCCCTCCCCTTAAACCAGTATATTAGGTGATGTCTCTTAGAGCTCTCTTCACTTGATACAGTAATTTCGCTGTAACGGTTCCACCTGAAGACGGAAGCTTGTGTTGCCTCCGAAACGTCGTGATTTAATTTATTAGTTTTCCTTTTTTAACCTACGTGACTTTACCGAAAAAATGAGAGTATAGGTTTTAAGATGTTCAAACACCAAATAGATACCTATTGCAAGGTATCAAGTCTGCATTAACCACACATACTTGTGGCAAAACATGCAAACAAACATGCTCTGAAAATGTATATGCTTTGTCTTTGAAGCTAATTGGCCTAAACCAGAGACAGCTTGCTTCATGGCCTTGTCTCACCAATGTTAGGCCAGACAACGCCAACAGGCAAACAGTTCAAATGCAATGTATCAAAGCATTAATTTATCGGGTTGAGCATTTAAATCTATAGGAACTTTTTGCCAGTATTAAAATCATAGTTATAGTCTAACTCCAAACTTGAAATTTCCCACATATACGTTGTAAAAAATTACATCATGTACCAATGACCCACAGTTACACTTTGGAAGACTTTCATCAGAAGTGTTCTAACATGGTTACTTGAAAGTTTTAAGTTGTATTTTTTTATATGTTGTGGTACTTCAAGATGCGCTGCATGGGAGGTGCATTAAAAATATTAAATTATGAAATGAAGATGATGACTTTATCAAATGCTTTGTATTTGGAAGCATGTGCCGTTACATTAGTGTTATGGCTAAATCTCCCACGCATGGATGAAGGTGATTCTTTTCAATCGTGTACTCTTGCTTAATCGCACAACAATGCATTCGTTCTACTCAGAACAGTGTGATGAAACCTGTATGACCTTTGCTATTTGTCTTGAAAAAAGATTTGAAGATGTAAGGCAGTACTTGGACACCTACTTGCACAAAATGGGTGAAGCTACCAGCTTGGAGCAGGGAGACCAGGAGGAGCTGTGTTACATGGTCATCCGCTGTATTGAGGTAGGCATTGACCTGTCTTGCCAACTTACTACATGTGTAGTGTAATAGCGCCGGCTGGTGGACAGCAGCGGCAACTGTGGTGGACAGATAGTACACACGCCGGTGAGGGCGTGCACGGGGTGTAGGCAGAGGGAGGAACTAGAGTAAGGGTCACAGAGGACCCTGTCTGGAGGCCCCTGGAACCTGCTAGCGGGTTCCAGAAGGGAGACGTGGTCAGGGCGGAGCCAGGCCGCGCTGCTCGCATAAAAGAAGCCGAGAGCGGGGGCTCGCGGCTGCCAGTTCTGGGAATGGACTCATCTCGTCATTGATGTCATTTCATCGCCGTCGTCGCTAAACGTCTCCGCTAGATATTGTGCTACGAAGGATAGTAGTTGGCTATCTCAGTCAGCGCCGTCAGTGTTAGATGGCTAGTGTAATGTACAGGCTAGGCTGAGCTACTGTGGAGAGTGTGCGGACGAAATCGTGAAAGTTGTTCATGAAGAAAGTGCCTCCTAGAAACTGTTTCTGAATCGTTGACACTACACATGCACAACCGTGGCTTAGCGTTCTTACCTGGTTAAATAAAGAAGTCAGAGATTTTGAGAGTAAAGGCAGACCTCTTCGAACGCGGGGGGTTACGTTCCTGTAAAATGCAGTGTTGGGAAAAACCGTGTTCGACAGATCATAGACCACATAGTAAAAATAGTGTTGTGTTCCTGGATCAGAAATTATCAATCCCTCCCTCTTTGTTTAACTATTTTTTATGATTTTCATCCTTGTTATGCTATGAAAGCAGGGGTCGGCAACCAAAATAACAAGAACAGATATTTTTTTGTATTCAGTAAACAACTCAATATTTCAAGAGCTGCGAATGCATGTGCATACAAGACGGTCCTTAATAAATAATGTCACGAAGCAGTCCATAAAGAGCCACATGTGGCTCCGGTTGCCGACCCCTGTACTGAAGGATGTTGAGTCGCTCGCCATTTCTGGTGTGCGTGTCACCACCATCATCATCATCACGATCCATGGGCAAATAGCCCGTAGTTATCCACTGCACATTTCGTAATTTGCTTCCACTTTCCTATGCACAATTCTCTTGATCTGTATTCCTATACAAATCACTGCTAGACTCAGTCCATCTCTTTTTTGTTTCTTTATTCATCAAGATCTTACCGTCCTTGCCTTTTATCACTGTTTGCCTTGATTTCCACTTTCCATTTTTGCTCTTGACGAGTTTGTACACCTCCCCGGTCTTGTATTCTTCAGTATAGTATTCAGTGCTGCGACATTGTTTTTTCAGCCATTCCTGCTTTTCCATTCTTGCTGATGTCCTTTCCTCATTGCAGAGCTTTTTGTACTTAGTCACCATCGCATTGGATTTCTTTATCTTCAGCCATATCTTTATCTTTTCCTGTGATAGTTCTAAGGATTCCTCAGTTAACCATTTTATTATTGTTTTCTACTCTTTCTCCACTATCTTCAGTGCTAATGCCTTGCTGCCTATGCTAAGGTGTTCTGTATTTGCGCCCCTGATTCCTCTCGATATTTCCTCTTCATATTTCCTCCTTGTCTCCTCGTTCTCGAGTGCCTCTATGTTCCTCTTCTCATATTGCATTCTGGATATACGTTTTAGTTTTAGTAGTACGTTGCATAGTACCAAGCTGTGGTCTGATGACACATCAGCTCCTTGGAATGTTCTGTATAGTCGCACTGATGTTTTCCAGCATCCGTCGATCATTACCAGATCTATTATTCGCATGTTTTCCATTCAGTGCCCTCCATGTCCATGTTTTGCAGTACTATTGGTTGAACTTAGTATTACATATGAGCATGTGATGTTTTTGAAGCAGTTTCTCACCTATTTCATTTATTTCTCCATATCCATACCTTTGCATGATGCGTTCCTATCCGGTGTTATCCTTCCCAATTTTTGCTTTCTAGTTTCCCACAATTATTTTAATATATTTCCTTGTCAGTTCCTTTCACATGCTTTCCAGTATTTCATAGAACTCTCCAATATCCTCTTCTCTGTTATCTGATGTTGGTGCATATATTTGGATGACAGACATGTTTAGGGGTTGTCCATTAAATCTCACTACAATTACTCCTGAACTAACAGGTCCGTATTCCAATAATTACGCTTTGGCATTTGCGCTCAACAAGAACACTACTCCTCTGGTGTGCACTTTTTCTTCCCCTGACCAGATCACTCCAATCCCCATTTATTTCCCCTGTTCTTTCCATCGCATTTCTGCCAGTTCTCGGATGTCATACCTGTGTACCTTTCCATTTTCTTTCTTAGCAGCTCTAACTGTCCTGTTGCCCATCGTGTTCTCACATTCCATGGCACGACTGTGATCTCTTCATTCGCCATTCTCAGCCTCTTCGCTGCTTCGGAATGTGGCTGCTTTGTTTCCTGACGGTGTCGTAGCTTCTGCTGCTGATGCTGCTGCTTTCCAGTAGCTCCATTTTCGATCCAATCCCGGTTACTTGATTGGGGACATGGACTTTGTTGACCCGGGCAATGTTCGAGCCGGTATCCTTCTTCTGTGGTCGTCATGTGCATTTGATTTATTTCGTCTTTTTTCTTCACGGCTGAAGTATTAGGACCCTTTCACCCAATCCTTTTTTTTATCGTCCATTTTTACTTCATATGTACCTGTAGTCCACTCGTGTATACATTTTGGCATAAACGAGTCGACTGTGAGGTCCATTAAAAATAATGCGAATGCAATCAGGGAAAGTGTTGCGGCTCGTGCTTCCCAGGGGGCTAAAATTATAACTGTGCGTGATCAAACACCTGCATTTCCCGAGGAGTCATCCTCCTGAATTCCTTACCATCACCATTACCTCCATCGTCATCAAATCATCATCAAAGGTAATTAAAAAGCACATTGTTATTTTAATGCGTTACTATTTATTGCAGTCATTGTTTTTAAACGTTTACAAATTCCCCCCTATTTTAATCGTACCAGGAACATAACCCTATTTTTCCCATTGGAACAAGGTTTTTGCATTCGCGAATTCTGCATTCGCGAGCGTTTTCAAGAGTGTAACCCTTGCAAATCGAGAGAGTGTTTACCGTACTTGACCATACATCCCAAACAGACCTATGCTGAGTAAAAAATAACTATATCTTTTATTAATACTATTTAGAGAAATGCCAATTATAAACATGTAATTGCTTGTTTGCATAAATAATTTCAAAATTTACAATAATTTAAATGACTTGTCGTGTTTCAGAGGTCAATTATATAATTATGATGAATGTTTGCTTTCCTTTGTTGGGTGACGGGCTGAATAAATGTGTGATCTTCGTATTTAGAGCCTGAACTATTTAAAAAATGCAGCGATTACTGCAAGCCAATTGAAGTTTGAATGATCTAATTCAAGTTATTTTAGTTGAAATTATATGTTACAGTAAATTTGATCAACATTTAACAAATATCTGAACTGGTTTTGGGCCTCCCCTAGGTTGGCTCGGCCTTAAGTGAGTATGTGGTCCAGTGTCTTAACATTTCCTCTGGGGAGAAAAAGGTGAGCAGGCATCATGACGGCCACACTCCCTCGTGATCGCCGTACTGGCCTTCATAGGTGCTTGCTCACAGCACTTGCTCCAACAGTCTGTAACAGGTTGTCTTTGCCTTTGTATGCCTTTGTATGCATGTATTTATGAATTGTATGAACTACTCCGTTCACAGGATTCCCTGCATTCGGAAGGGCTTGACGAGGACATGAGCAGAGCTTTCGACCGTCTCTCCAATCTGCAACTACCTCTGCAGGACAGGGCCGAACAGGATCGCTCCATCGCAACCCTCATCTCTATCGGCCACATTCGCTTTTGCCTCAATGTAGCAACTGCAGTGCTCTACCAAGAATACAGCGGAGAGAATGAGAAACGAGCCGGTAAATACAGCAGTCGATAATGTGGGTCCTTTATTCAACTTCTTTCAGGATGGTCTTTTTTGGGAAAATAAACCAGGTCATGAGCTGGTCGACCAGATAAAGACGTGCATTAGCCCCGATACAGCTCGAAAGTTCGTGACGTTCAGTGTGCCACATATGAAGTTCAGTTTGCCATGTAAAAATAACAATACAATATTTCAAAGGAAACCTGAAGATGATATAACACATCATCTTCAGGTTTTTATTTGAGAGTTGGTTTCTGCTTTTCAATCTGAACTTATGCAACTAGATTCCTGCAACTCTTTTTCATCTATACCTGGCATCTTCTTCACCACAGATGTGCTGCAGTGAACAATAGAGGTTTAGAAACCGATTCATGTTTTAGCAAAAAGACAGTTTTAGCCAAATGGCAAGAAATATTGGCAAAGGAAAAGAAAAATAGCAGTGATTTCTTTACCTTGAAATGTTGGTTTTGACTTTTTGACACTCGTGTATTAGATTCTCATATTTTTTTAGGTTAAATAACAAATAATAATTTAGTACATTAAGTATTTGTGTAATTCTTATAGCGCAAGGCTCTCAGGAAGCCGATATGTTGCAAAGACACAGTCTGCAGTAGTTTCATAGTAGGTGTGATTTTACCATGTGTAATTCTTCTTGATTAATTTTCAATTGATTAAAAGTGTTGTTTCTTAAATTATATAGATCCATGTAGCGCCTTAATCCGAGGCACTTTACAACAACATTGTATACAAGATGATAGTGGTTGAAGTAAAGAGTGGCGTTATTTTTTTAAATGGTGGTTTAGTTATGGGGACAGGAAAATAGGTGGGAGAGGTTAAGGAGGGGTTGGGTGAGTGATAGATGTAGCGGTAGTAGCTAGGATGGGCAAGGGAGCAGAGATGAAGGTTGTTTTAAGAGAGGAACAGAAGCAGATGGGTGAAGATGGTTGCTTTGTGTGCTGCAGGGGGGGTTGGTTGCAGTGAAGGGGAGCGAGAAGGGAACGGCAGGGCAAGAGCGTGAGACTGGGCACAGCAGGGTGAGGGAGGCACAGAGAGACATGGTAGAAACTGGGAGCATAGATGGCGGGATGGGACAGAGTAGTAAGAGATGAGAGAAGCAAGATTAGGTTTGTCAAAACTATGGAGAGAGTTATGGACTAGAGTGATATATTTAAACACAGCAATAGTAGACCGGGAGCCAGTGGAGTTGGGAAATAGAGCAGAAGTGTGGAAATTGTAGAGGAGGTTAAAAGTGATCCCAGCTGAGGCATTTTGTATCTCGGAGAGGAGTGAAGGTGTCGGTAGAATATTCACGATTTAATATTGAAAGTGTGTAATGGTGACCAAGCTGAAATAAGATGACTGCGTGTGACATGCACAGATGGGGAGACAGAGGGTGTGCCCCAGGGATTGTCCCTGGTTGGGCAGAGGAGCGAGTTCCTTTCCCGTCTCTCCGAGGAGCTGAGGCTGGAATGCAGCCCCCTGCTGCAGAACTTTCTCATCCGCAGCGTGTTCCATCGCTATGGCTACGCCTTCCTCCTGAACCTGCTGAGTGAGCCACAGCTTGGCTGGGCCTTCCCAGCCTGCGTGCTGCGCTCCCGCGTGAGTATCTGACCACATCAGACGACAGTTGTGTGAAGGAGATGGATTGTCTGCTTGCTTATTTGATTAATTGTGTTCCCCACAGCGACTTAATAATATATAATAATGTATCTTTATGAGGCATATTTTATCTGTAGATCCCAATGCTTTACATATGGAAAGGAAATAACCATAACCAGGGTACATGGCTAGAGCTAGGGGACAAAGGTCAGTTTAAAGAGGTGCTTTTTCAAGGCAGACAAATATATTGATTCTGTCTTATGTAATCGATTCTGTATTATAAGCAAAGGTGAAGGGTTCTAAAGCTTTAGAGCTGCACTGGCAAAAATCAGATCACACCAGGAACAGAGCCTTGATCTCGGAGTCCTTAGAAGAAGGTGATCTGAAGACTTCAGGGACTTCATTGTAAAATATAAACATGGATCAGTTCCTGTAAATATTGCAGGGATAACCCGTTGAGTGCTTTGTAGGTCAACAACAGGATCTTATAGTCCACTCGATACTTCACTGGTAGTAAATGGAAAGTCAAGAGAGCAGGTGTGTGATGTGCTCGCAAAACGGTGTGTGCATACGGAATCTAGCAGCTGCATTCTGAACGATCTGGAATCTACCCAGCACCTCACTCAAAACCCTAAACAGTAATTCGTTGCAGTAATCAAGTCAGGCGAACACAAAAGCATGAACCAGTCTGTCAGGAATCGACTTGAGTGATAATTACTTTGTCTTATTTGTTTTAAAGTTTTGCGTCAAACTAGAACCAATGTTTAACACAGAGGGTCCTTGCCTGTGGACATCTGGCAGTTCACTCGCATTGGTTCAAGCAAGCCTGACTGCTGATGAGAAAATACGTAAATTTGGTTCAGAGTTTGCTGAATTGATGCACTTCTAGGAGGTTGTGTGGCTGATTGGGATGAGTAAAAGTAAAGATGTTTACATGGAGGTGACAGATATGTGAAGAAGGCGTATTGTCTGCTATTATTTTGTTTCATCAGGCCAGCGATCATCCCCAATACCCGCCTTGAGCTTGACTCCAACTCCCTCCTGCAATCCCTGAACCATCCCTGCTCACTCTGACAACCCTCCCTCTCGCACTGCCTCTCTTCACTTCCCTCTCACCTTGGCCTCTCTCACATTGCCCTGAGTTCCCATTCTCATTTGTATTTCATCAAGTTGCTTTAACCACAGAGTTTGCTCATCCACCAAAGGATCCTATCAAGTTATTGGGTTTAATTGTGATTTTCATGGATTGTGTTCATCTTTGGTAAGTTGTAGAATCCTAGTGTTTGTGTTTTAGTGATAAACAGCTATACGTATTCAATTTACAACTGCATTTACTTGTGACTGCATGTGTGACTTCGTCACCACTTGTTGCTCGAGTTGCACACCTCCATAGACGAGAAAGGTCAAACAACAGATTTGGGGTTTGCCTTGGGGTCTACGGTGACTGGGTGGATATAGGAAAACTTAAGCAACTACTCGCGGCACCCACGCACACAGTCATGCCCAAATACAGTTGTAATATGATTTTTAATGAAGGCTGCAGAAACCTAAAATATAACCTGTCAGGATATTGCCATAACGAATGATTATATGTCAAGCTTTTAATAGCAGTGATTCGTAATATTTTCAGGGCTTTTTTGGCAGAAGAGACTTTAACTGTGCATTGATGACCTATTTTGTAATCGGGATGGTGCAGGAAGAAGCCAAGATGTTGCCAGATCGCTTCCTGGTGCATGGTGCCCAGTACTGTGATTTGAGGGATGCCTTTGCTGCAGTGGCCATGTCAGAAGACAGCGGAGAGCTCCACAAGTGTTTGAAGGTGTCCTGCAGATTTGTTTGCCACAGAGATGGTCACTTTAGGATGTGTGTTCTTCCCCATGCATCTTAAAGATATGTACAGGAGAGGTAGTTGGAAGATTTTAGCTGCTTGCATTGTCAAAGAAATGTGGTGTGAGTAAATAAGCATGGTTGTAAATAATTATATTTGGATTCAATTAATCTTTGGTAAAGAAAGGCCATATTGCTGCTTTTTGCACAGATATCATCCTTTCACCAAACATGAATCGACACATGAATGCGTAAATACATTTTGTTAATTGACTGGTTTTAGCATTGGTCAGAGCTAACAGTACGATAATGTAATACACATGAAAGTGTTCAGCATGCGATTTTGAAAACCTCATCTTATGGGCAGTATTCGTGAAACTTTTAATTCAAGGTATTATATTTACACGAGCTTGTTTGCCCATCCAAGGACGGGTGTATATTGCAGTAAATATACTGTAGCACTGTGAATGGAAGTTATTCTTGCGCAAAACTATAGCATAAAACACCTCACTTAATGTCACTGTAGCACTGCATTTAAGTCAGTGGTCCCCAACCTTTTTGGCATCAGGGACCAGTTTTATGGAAGACAATTTTTTCACAGACCGGGGGTAGGGTTCATCATTGGGTCTTTCCACCTTTTTAAAGAAGCTCTCCAGCGACGTTTGTTTTTTACTCATTTTGGCTACTAGGGGTTAGCAGCTTGTGGGCTTACCAAAACTGTGACTGAGACAAGTGCGAGTGCGGGAAAGAGGCGTGGACGTAAGTGGTAAATAATAAAATAATGGGCGGGCCACGCGCGGACTCACCGCTCTCACCTCCTGCTGCTGTGCGGCCCGGTTCCTAACAGGCCACGGACCGGTACCGGTCCGCTGCCTGGGGGTTGGGGATCCCTGATCTAAGTGACCTTCCATTTCTTCAAATTAACGGCTCTGGTACTTTGTTATCTTCTTCTGGCGGTCGGTGGGCTTAAAATAGATGTGAATGAGATGCACTATCTGGCAAATAGCCGAGCAATTTGTTTTTTACCATAACTTAGAAGCATAAATGAGACTTACCTGTTGTTTCAAGAGCTGAAGAAATAAGTGAAGAAAAGTAATGTACTGTGATGCTGCGTAGACATATTTATTTCCTAAATTTGAACGTATTTGAGTAAAAGTTGTTTAATGCCCACGCGACCTTCTTGTGCGTTAGTGTAAATTTCCACGTGGGCATGAATATTAATTAAGGGGGAGGGGCCTCATGTGGAATGACGTCACGCGCGGGACGGACAGACATTTCTGGGTGATTATAGTAGGTAATGACTAGTTTTGCATACTTGCTGAGCACTACTGATTGTTGGCAATGGGGCTGTGCTGGTCGCTGATGTTTCTCGATTCTCATTGCAGGATTCTGGGCAGACGGCCTCCCTCCCCCTGGCAGTGTTCAAAGAGGTGGTGCTGCCCTCCATGAAGCCTCACACACAGCCCACACAGCAGACCTTGGTATGGAGATTACCCAGACCTAAAAGATAGCACACACATACATTGCGGACCCCTGATCTAAGTGAATATACCCAGTTGTGACAAAATGAGTTTAAGTTTGTAATTTATTAATGCAATTTTTTTTTATTTAACGAGTCGTAACTTGTGATAAAATTTGATTAACTTCATGTATATTTATTCTACTATGAAAAACGAGTCCGCAGATTTCACACATGAAAACATTGTGGATGTTATTTCAAGAGCAAATAGATCATCAGTCTTGAATTCTACATTTACACCTTTACAATCATGCTCATGGACACAGCAGATATTTTGTATTGTACCACCTCAACATACCTTGTAACAAAATGCATTAAATATCCTCACTAAAAGTTTCACTCTGTTGAAGCCCATTCAGTCATATGTTGAGCTCGTTAAATTATGAGCTTCCATACAATACAATAATACAATTTAGATATACATGCAACCATATTTTGAGAAACTATACAGACACAGCAGGCATTGTTTAATCGAAAGACGAAGATATAGGGAAAAATGTGTGTGGCCTTTAGACTGGACTTGAATAAGAGCAAGGAGTTGACAGGAAGGATGGTTGGGAGATTCTGCTTTCAGACCATGTGGACATCTTATGAGAATAAATTACATCCCGCTGAGAGGCAGTAGATTGGGGACCTTGACAGGAACTCTTGGTTGCTGAGAGTAGACAGTGTGTGGAGCAGAGAAGAGCAAAATGAGAGGACAGAGGGAGGAGTGAATATATGGTGGATCTTAAAGATGGTGAGTTCAATCTTGACATTTAGGAGGGACTGGGAGATGAGGGGTTTTGGGGGAGGCTGTAGCGGAGAGGGTTGCAGTAGTGAAGTCGTGATACGATGTCGGCATGGATGAGGATCTCAGGGGGTAGCTGGGGAGAAGAGATGGTGGATGTGAGAGATGTTGTGCAAATAGAGGTGTGAGGTTCTGCAGAGTTGACATATGGGAAGAAAATGAGAGTTCAAGATAAATACAAACTTTTTCACTCTTTTTCCACAGTAATCTAAGAGTTTAGGATGTGAAACTTAAACAGTGCAAGAGATACTGTACAAATGGAACAAGCAGTACAGATAGATATTGGAATTTAGCTCCTGAACATACTTCCATATGCAAGAATAGTACAGAAAATACAAATGAGACAGTGCAGGAGAGTGCAATGAGGCCAGTGTGTGTGGCACGGAGTTCAAAGCAGGGTGGTGGAGAGTGAAGTGGGCCCAGAGATGTGAAACCCGAAGCAGGGTTTTGGATGAGGCTGTGGAAACAGCAGCAGCTGGGGTGGGTCGGATAGTTGACAGGAGGTGAGGGGCAGTGGGTGGCAGGCTGGGTAGTAGGAGGGAACTCACGTGGGTCTTATGTAATGTAAGTAAGGGGCAGCAGCACGAGTGCAATTTATTGTTTGTTTCAGAATAACACAAGTTAAATATCTAACAACGAAAAAAATGTTGCAAAAAAACGTTACCAACAAACCTCAGTTGTTCTCATGTGTTTTCTCTCTGACAGAAAACGATTGTGAGTGCACTCAAAGGTGTTGCATCTCGGAAAAACTCATCATCCCTGAGCCTTTGTCACATCTTATTGGGGATGGTGGAGGTGCAAAGAGATGAGAATGAAGCAGACCCCACTGCAATTCTTAAAAAGCTGGGAATGTTTGAGAATCAGGAAGCAACAACAGAAATAGACTGGAGCTTTCAGTCAGCGATGTTGAAGCTGGTTGTCCATCTGGCTGCTGTCCTGCTCTGCTCCAAGCCAAGCCCACTGCTGGGACCACTCCATAACCTCGCTACAAATACGGCCAGCATGGCAGTAAGAACACCCTGTCATGTCCAAACATCACCTACGCATCATAACCACAAAGACAGCCAGCATGGCAGTGAAAGCACAATTCCATAGGTCATACGTAATTGACATTTACCTCTGTGACTTAACAATAAGGGTGTCAAATATGGTAGTAAAGTCACAAAGCAGCATATTATATTATGATCCTTTCACTCGCAAAGTTATTATATACAAATGGGTATATAAAGTGACTTAATAAATATAGTGGTATCTGCAGGTGAGATTTGGTAAAGTTCTCCCATTGTGGTTAACATACAGTGAAGTGTTTCTTGTGAGTCATTCTCTAACATCCTTGACAGCAAAGGAGATTAATCGAGTTTTGTATTCAGTTTCAATTCTGCATTTTGAATAATTAGTGGTATGAATGAGTTTATGTGTCATGTACCATCTTTTAAAATAAAACTCTACAATACAAATGTGTAGAGGGAACTAGATGAGCTAAGTCTACAATTTGAAAGTTGGATCTGTATTGTATCATCAAATGCAAAACTGGTATCTCTTGGTTGTGAGCTTTTGCCAAGTGTTCCATCTCTCCAATTGAATAAAGTATGCAGTATGTATTCGATACAGAGACAGTGTAGATTACTCCTGCCTACAATGCTTTCAACGCTATGTAGATTGTAATATTGTGTTTGCAGCAGCCACATTGCATTATTTAAAACAAATTATGAAAAAAAATTCTTAAACATAACGTAGAAATGTCCTCCACTCTTTAGACTGCATTCCTGCCCACGATGCCAGATGATTTGAAGGCTGATTCCTTCACCTGGGAAGGAATGCAGCAAGGGTGGCGTTATGGTAAGCCACTATATCTCACGTCATTCTTTTATTTGTTGACGGCTGAGGAAAACATAGGCGCAGTAATGATGATTATAAAGTGGTGACTGGTCAATGCTGTTTAGTTGTCTGAAAAAACCTGGTTAAATCCCTGGGTCTCAGAGATGCTGGACCAGAATTTTGACCTCATTTTTACTCTAATTGAGCCTCTTATCCTACGTGAATAAGCATCATGTTTTTTTTATCCATATAAACCATAGCATAACCACAGCTCAGACTGTTCACATTTTATAAGTGGAGTTGTGCAATGCAGTATCGAAATGTTAGTGGTACTGAAACATTTATATTAAATCTGCATTGATTTTTCAGTCTTGATGTTTTTTTTTTGTAATTTCTAGATTTACATAATTTTATCTATTAATACCGATTTATTCCACGACTGCACTTCTCTACCATGAAAGCTCATTTCATTAATTTATTTATTAATCGTCGAAAAAACATGAAATTATGCATTGTACTTATTTTGCAGAATGTCCAAATGGTCATGTATACGTCATTGAAAATGTGAGTAGTCTTTTACCTATTTTGTAAATAAAAGTTTAGTTTCACCTAGTTACTGTGCTATTTTCATTATCTAAACACATTACACCAGATGGTAGTTTTGATGTTGAATTGACACAAGGGGTATCCAGGTCAGCCTTCGATTATAGAGTTGGAATTATTTTGTCGCTGGTGATTTGATGCATTGCATTGATAAGGTGTGGCAATTTGATTGAATTCCAGTGAATGGGTGTGATTTGTTAAGCCTTTTAAAATCCTTATTTATTTTCGTATGTATCGTACGTGTAGCCATGGAATAGAAGATGTCCGAGAAGATGTCGACTGAAAACACGGGAGTCCTTAAATCAGCGCGCATGCAGGGGTTGGCAGGATTATAACCAAATTCAGTGCATAACCTAATTGAAGGTGATGGTTGTTTGTCTGGCTGAGACCATCACCTTGCTGTGAGTACTTGAGAACCTGGTTTAACCACAAAGCAGTAGGTGGGGCTCATACCTAGGACTTAATATGAATTGTTGTTGTAACTTTATGATTGTTGGAACTTGCTGATTGTTGTTATAACTTGCTGATTGGTGTTGGAACTTGCTGATTGGTGTTGGAACTTGCTGATTGGTGTTGTAACTTGCTGATTGGTGTTGTAACTTTCTGATTGGTGTTGTAACTTGCTGATTGTTGTTATAACTTGCTGATTGGTGTTATAACTTGCTGATTGGTGTTGTAACTTGCTGACCTGCCCCTGTTGGACATCTGTGAAAAAGAGCTTCGTAGCTCATTGGATTCCTCCTGCAGTCTAAATAAAGATTATAATCCTGAGCTGGTGACCCCACCACCTGCTCGTATGATGCAGCATCATTCTTCATAATGGTTCACCACACGGGTTAAATGAGGGACTTTTCCATACATAAAAATGTAACGTTCGTGGTACATGACTATGAATGTGTACATATGGGGTGTGGGTAGTTATGGGCTTGAATACAGTAATTCCTCGTTTAACACAGTAGTTGCGTTCCTGAAAAGTTATGCGTTAAGAAAAAACAATTTCTGCATCAGAAATAATGTAAAAGGTGTAGGTTGCAAGATACGATGTACGCACACAGTAAGATGGCCGGACAAAGGGCTGAGATGGGGGTACGCCACCGACTCTATCATTCTGCACGTTTACCCAGAATTCCCATACCGCTCAGCCACGCAGCTCAAGAAATTAATTCATTGTCGACCGCCCAAAAATCGCGTTATAACGGGCGTGCTCCGCATTGTGCAAAAAGTATTCCTTCATAGGAAAACTGTTATAGCAAAACGTATTGTGTGAACACACATTGAGCGAGGACTTCCTGTATATATGGGTATGTGTATATGTGTGTCTTCTATAAAGCCAAACAGGGAATATTTCCTTCGTATTTGTGGCTGTCCATATTGGTGGGTTTGGATGTTTTTACATTCAGAGGAGCAGTATTGCGAGCTTCAGATATCTGCAGCACAAGGTGCAATTGATAATATCACGTCTGCTTTTTAAATGATTATCTTGTTTGTTTTTATGTTTAGTGTGGCCGGCCTGATTTTGTGGGCACGTGCAATGAGTGTAACGCTGATATTGGAGGTTTAGCACATAAGCTCCTTGAGGGATCCAAGAGGATTGAGAGGTAAGTCAACAGTTGGTCTAATAACAAAACAGCAATGTGAATTGTAAAATCATAAAACTACATTTAATCAATATTTCTTCTACAGTGACATATTTTAGAATTACATAATAGCCATAACTAACTTGACTTTGTATTGGTATACAGATGGATTAGTAAATAAGGCATTCCTGTGCCATTATATATACATACATATAACTATTTCAGTTTTATCATGATGAAGACACATCCTTGCTGCATATTTTCAGTGAGCAATATGTAACATGGGAATGGCCCGTGGAAGATGCCACTAAGGAACTACTTGTGAAGTTCCCTCAATAGGCTGTTAGTCTAATACCAGATTACTTTTCGTCAAGCAATGCAAATGTTGTTCATCTCATGCCAGCCATCTAACGTTGTAAAAATGTTGGTTTTATTCGCTGAGACATGCAATTTGTTTGTTTGTTGTGAAGCAATTAAGAACCAGACTGAGATCATCAACTCACTGCACGAAGTGCCTGTTCCTTGTCGGAGTAAATATTTGTAGTTCATGATATGAGGTTAATTCCATGGAATATTCCCAATGTTGTGTTTATCATTACAGTATTCCCTCGCTGATCATTAACTTGCTATCCACAATTTTGGCTATCCGCGAATCACATCTGGAATGCTACATGACTTCACAGAAAGAGCGAGAAAGAAAGTGATGAAATAAAGTGATGAGAGAAAGTGATGAGATAAAGTGATGACATCTTGTCACGGATTTAATCACTTATTCACATTTATTTAACGTAATTCATTTAAAAAAAGATAGGTTTTCGTAAGCCAATATCATTATTCGAAAAATTTGCTATTCACAAGCATCTTCGGAAGATAATTGGCTGCAATAGAAGATGGCACTAATTTGTGTCCAGTGCTGTTTACTCATCACTGATACTGATGCATTCTGGGTTTTTTCATGTTTAACGTGATCATGTTCATGGTTGCATTGTTGCACATTCTTCCTCCGGTCTCTCTTGCAAAAAGTATCTTGCATAAGTGGTGTTCACTTTATCTTTTAAAAGTTATGATACGTTATATTATTTAAAAAAAAAACATCTTAATTTATTTCACCAGTGTAGTTGCAAAGGTCATCAGTACACATTTCCAATATTTGCTTTGTTATAACTTGAATATAAAAGTGTCAATTTGTTACCAAAGATACCAAGGTAGACCCCACTGAGTCTCAAGACTCATTTTCAGGAGGGTCCTGCCAAGTTTTCACAGGAGGGGGTGATGTTGCTATGGATAATCCCAATTGAGTTATGAAAGCACTGATGTGTGATAGCAAATTAAATATATAGAGATGTGAAGGATATTTACATGTGGAAACACATAGAGTTGATTAACATTGCCAAAACTACACAGAGCATGAATACAAATCAATCCCTTACTATGTGCGAGTGTAGCGCACACAGTGCAATATTGTCCTGTGTTTTATTGTGTTTCTGTAGCGCGGTGGATCAGACGCAGACTGGACATGTTCTAGGAGATCCTGATCCCCGCAGCTCACTGATCCCAGAGAGAAATCTGCCACCAACTGCTCAGTGCCTCATGCGTGCCCTCACCCACTCCGCCATGCTGTGGGGCTACACCCAGGACCCACAGGTATCCCAGTATACCCTGACACTTCTCACTCTTTGAAGGCTCATATTGCACTCTTATCACTACAAAAACATCTTGGGGCATAGATGCCCCTGTGTTTTCGCAGTGGTCCCTGTGTGGCTCATGGTGACTCGGCACCTGGTTCGGCAGTGGGCATTAGTCTGCTAGTAGGGGGCGATGATTTCTATGAGGGTAATTTGTGGCTAGTTATTCAAATTTTTGCAATTTTTTATCGAGATTGACATTATACGTATTTTAAGCTATGAGGGAAACCCAGAAGAAACCCATGTAGAATAGGGGGAATAAATACAAACTCCGCACAGAAAGGCACCCGAGTCTGGAATCTAACCTAGGCCCAATTGCTGTGATACCGCTTGTGTCACCCTGCCTCCCACTAGGGTTAGCATTAGGCATTAGAGTTAGTTTCTGTGATATATAGTTTATATATAGTATCTGGAAAATACATAATTCAAATAATTTTGCTTTAGTTTATTTTCCTACAAAAAATTCCAACAAATGATAAGCCACTTCTACGAGCTATCATGTGTGGCCAGACCGCCTCTAAATAAGAGCTCGTAGCTTTGTAGGCGTTACCTGGTAACATAGTTTAGTTTAGTATAAGCCCTGGAGCTGCAAATCAGTTTTACCGTTAACAATAGCGTGGCACTTGACCCGAGTCTTGTTTAAAACTCATACAATGCAAACACACAAGCCACTCCCACCTGTTATCCAGTGTGTGGTCGGGAGAGGTACCACAGCTCTAAAACTGCTGCTCTCTTGCAAATGTTACACTTGCCTCACACACCTAATTTTACACTTTGTTGTAATAGCATTATTTTGTTGTTTTTGTAATTTGTTTCGTATTCATGATATACAATTTATCAAATCGTTGTGGGGTGAATAAACTCCCTCAAAATATTTAACTACCTTTGAAGTTCAACGAACTTCTCACTCGCCCCCTTATAAGTGTTGAGTAGTTCCGACGAACGTACTCTGAGACGGAGGTAAGTTAAGGGCTTTCGCCAGGGTTTATTAACGCTGTTACAATATTATACAGGGTACACAACTCCCAGGGGCTAGGGGTCCTACTCTGAGTCCGGGTCCCTGCCGGCTAGCTCCGGTCTCTCTCTCTCGTGTCGGATCGGGGACTCTGCCGACTCCACCGACCGGAGAGAGAAGCACCTCTACGGCTACCACCGGCTTCTCCCCAGACTCCCTATTCGATCCCTCTCTCTACCCCTGGTTCCCTCTTCACCCTTCTAACTTTACCCGTTCCCACAGTGACCCCGCTTACGTCACGGGGTATCCCTTAAGTACCCTAGGAGACGTGACGTCATGTGCACTGTCCAGCGCGCGTGACCCCACGTCCCGTGACGTCATCGCACTGGACAGCGCACACGACGCCACTACTCTCCTCTACTCCTCTACATAAGGAAGATTCTGAAAAAGATGAGATGAAATTAGTATTATTATGGTTTTTTTACCCAGGAAACCTCACTGAGTCTCTTTTTCAGGAGGGTCCTGCCGAATGTTTATATTAGGGGCAATATCGCTACTGCTGTGTGATCCTAATTGAGTAATGTGCAGGTAATTTTCAGCATTGGGATGATTGGCCAATACCAGTTACATTGTATGTTTTTGTTTTTTAAAATCACAATGAAATCACAGCAGTGAGGAGATCATGAGACGACTCTTCACATCTTCTTCCCCGTGTTTATGTGTGTGTTTTGGCTGGCACCTGCAGGTACTGAAGCAGCTTATTAAACCGGCTGTGGCTGTGGAGGATATTCCCGCGTTCCTGTTGGGCCACCTGCAGGTTGACCTGACTCAGCTGGGTCTTGCCTTGGGCCGGAATTGGGACGATGCCCTCACGACAGCACACCTCCTGCTCACCTCCACAAGCCAGAAACCCGGTCGGTACCCACAGTCTTATGGAAGCCCTGGAGTAATGTCAGCCTAGTTTCAGTGAAAATAATCACTGCCCCTATAGGTAGTCGTTTTGGCTTGGTACATTGCTGTTGTGAGAGATATTGATATACAGTTAATTTGACCCAGAGTTGTGTGTTCTATATTAGATGAAATTACATTGGCATCATTACACAACTGTTAATGCACTATTCTTATCATCATGATCACCCACGATCTCTCCACTACTAGATGAAAGCCTTTCTAAGTCACCATCTGTCATGGTCCCATGATACAATATTCTGTCTCCTACACATGAGCTGATCTCATTGCTCATCACCATGGTGGTCTTCCTCTCAAGTCTTTCTCTTCTTTTGCAGCCATACCATCACCATTTACGACCATCGGCCATCACTTCTCCTAGTTGTGTCCTGCCAAATCCCACTTGCTTTTCTTGACAGTCAATACCATATATTATTTGTGTTTCCTGCCTAATCCACACACCGCGTCATGCTTATTTTAACACTTATGAGGATAATACCATCAAGTTTAAATAATACAAAAAAATGTTTACCAAATATGGCATGATGTTATAATCCTATGAGTTAGTGGGTTTTGTAACAATACATAAATGAGTATTCCCAGTTCCAGATGAGTTCAGTTTGAACTATGTGGTTGTGGTTGGTGTTATGCGAAAGATAAATTGCAAACTACAAACTCCAGTCACGGCCGAGGTGTTGGTGAACACTTGGGACTCAAATCTTATTTTGAGATATGCTGCCGACTATCAAGTGTGTTGATGATTTTAGTACCAGAAAGAGCTTGGCCAATTGTTGTCATCATCTGTGGTCCCTCATGCCTGTTTTTTTCTCACAAAAGCTGTGTGCAATACAAGTCTAAATGATGATTGTTGTGTATATTTTTAAGAGTGGATGATGGATGCCTTCACAGATACTCTGGAAAATATACATACCACACTTTAGTTTGACCAATCACTTTGTGAAAATGTAGAAAAGGGTTTGACATCTGAACTGTACAGTCACATCATGCGCTCGCCAGATGTAAGCGGCTGCTAAAGTTCCACTTTCACTGCTCCCCAGGGCAATGGTGCAAGTGGAACCAGAATCTCAACTCCCAAAAGAGCAGGACTGAGTGGGAGACTCACTTTGTAGACGAGTGCATTAAGCCATTCCTCGAGGTAAGGCGTTGGTCATCGAGACCCTCGTGTGAAAGGAATATGGAAGTTTTACCTTATTGTTAAACAATGAGGAAAGATTAGAGCACGTTCCATCATTCCATTCATCAATCAAATGGCTGGATACTCACTATGCTCCACCGTACAGTTGTAGCCATATTAGCATTCTTGATTTGAAGCTTTCGTGACTGCAGAAATCCATACTCTTTGGTTCTTTCGGTAAAGTCATGTAGATACAAAAGACGTTTCGATCGCAACACAAGCAATCGTCATCAGGTGAGACAAACAGCATTAGAACTGCTGACGCAAGAGAAAGAGTTGCTGCAACATATTAGCATTGTATGAGAATGTTAGCTGAGTACTGTCCATTGTGTATTTATCGCTAAATAGGATATATTGTATATCACCAATAATAGTATGCAGACACATTTTATTTAAACCATGAAATGGTAAGTTTTACATTCTGTCAATTTCAGCTGACAGCCTACTACTGAGATATAAATTCACAACTTGGGATAAATGGCCATCTTTCGCCCACTTAGGAGCTCATCAGTGAGTCATACCCAGATACATGCTGTTATTAAAGCTCAGACTCTTACAGCTGAGGAGACCACTGTGGAGATATGAAGGCACTAAAAGTTGCAGAAGCAAAGCGATAATTTCCACGAGGTATAGACTTGCCTATTGTGACTTTTAATTTGTGTAACACATAATGACTATACTCTTTGGTTCTTTCGGTAAAGTCAAGTAGGTAGAAAAATAAATAATAAATCACGACGTTTCGATTGCAACACAAGCATGCGTTATCAGGTATATTATACAACAGTGGGACTGCTGAACACGAAAGGGCTGTTGCAACAAGAGGTTATATATAGGTTTGTGCAGTCAATTGAAACATTGAGCAGAATTGTGTCAGCAAGTATAGGCTACCATTTAAAATATTTTACATATTTCTGTATGTAAATGATCAAGCATTTCATTTCACTTTTTTCCACAATGTGTGTTTTTCTCTATTTCTGTGCGTCTACTTGTTGTTGTGTCTCTGTTCATAAGCAATTGTGATGAACTGCAGCTCCAGAATACCCAAATCTTACTTGTATTACGTAAATAGCGCTTATGCTATCACAATATGCTTTGCCTGGAAGGACCATGTAGCTGGTTGCTGATGCTGTATTAGAATCGTGGCGTTTCATGCATTGCTTTATTGACTTTTGAATTACGTTTATGGAAAATAAAAATGTAGCTTGACATGAAGAATGAATAACGGTAGCATGTTTGGCTTTCCAGGGCTTGGATGGAAAGCTCCAAGATGTGAATAAGCGCATGAGTAGAGACCACCAGATGCGCGGCAATGTCCTGGTGAGGCTCATCTATGCGGGCAGTGACGTAATGAATGAGAGTGAAGCGGCAGAGCTTCCGTGTAATGAAGGGGAGCTCATGGAGACCGGTGAAGAGGCACTCGACCACACAGGTGCAGAAGAGGAAGAAGAAGGGGAACTCGCAGAAAACCAGGATCCAAGTGAAGAAGAAGAAAACACAGACTCAGAGGAAGATGAGGAGTGTGATGGAGTGCAAGTGGTTGGGCACACAGCCCGACAGACAGACACGGCTGTGGATGAAGGGAATGGCGAACACCAGGACACGGAGCAGGAGGAGGCAATGGAGAGAGCAAGTGCTCCGAGTGCTGTGCCTCTACCGAGCAGCCCCGTGCTGTGGCGCTATGAGGCCCGACTCACACCCGGGCGTCTGGCCCACCTGCTAGAGAAGGAGGGAGGCCGAGAGGCTCACCCTGTGCTGTGGCATGTGTTGATGCAGGTAAGCACTTCTCAGAGGATGCACAGCTCCCATATCTTGACTCGGTTGCTGCTTGCAGGGAGTAGGAGAGGCCCTTTTAAGGACTCCAAAAGTAGTTATTTGTTTTTGTTTCCTCTGCCATTCCCCAATAGGATGTGATGTCAGGTAGATCTAGAAACTCCCAAGGAGGTGATGGTCCCAAAATGCAATTTTTTTGTCTTTTTGGGTGCAGGAGCAGAAGCTCAAGTTGTTGCGATTCCTCCCTGAGCTGCTGCAGCTGCAGCAGAAGCTCATCTCTTACTTCCGACACCGACCCAGTCTCAACTACACCACACTTTCTGTCGTCAGCTTCCTCGAAAGATTCAACGATGGTAATAATGGAAACATGGAAAATATAAATGTGAATTTCAGAGTGGATGAATAGTGTATCATTTTCATCTTGGAGTGAGCTATGCTTCTTCTTGCTCCTTCCCTGTGGTGGCCTGGTCTCCCGAGTCTAAGAAGCCATAAGTCAAAGTGTCTGTTTGCCTCTGGAGCTTTATTAATGTATGTACATGTACAGCCCTTTGTTAGTCCACTGCTGGATTAGGGCTTAATCACACTTAAAACTGGCCAGTATGGGTTGGTGGTGGCTGGAAGAATAGCATAGATGTACGGTACAACAATGGATTTTGCTGCATTGCTCTCTGCTGGCCACAATGTAGCCCCACAGCAGCCTATAACACCTGTTCTATGCAAGGTGGACACCCATCTAAGCCCTATTATTCAGGTTCAACCTTGGTTAACTTCCACAATCTGATGAGTTTGGTTGCATTCCAGATGATCTAGTCCTATGCAATATTTGTTTTAAGTACAGTAAACCCTTGCTATGCGCGAGTTCTGGATTTATGAGTTTTGCATACCTCACGTTTAGTAACGTCAGTTATTGAATTAACAATCACATTGCTTATTCTGCAATATGCTTATTAATGTTATTGTCAGGAAGCCCTCAGAGTCTGGAGAGTTGGGGGAGATGGATAGAGTCACAGGGGGTTCACATGCATGGGTCGCTGTGTGATGGTCAGTGTATCATCATCATCAGCAGCAATTGTCTGTACACTGCTGGATGAAGGCCTCCCAGGCCATCGCCGTACCTCACGGTCCAGAGATGCTATAATCCATCTCACTCCTGCATGTAAACTGATCTCTTGGCTCCATCTCCACGGTGGTTGCACTTCAGCACGTGGTTTTTCCTTTGCCTGCCATTCGCTGTCATTGCGTCTAGCAATGTCTACCTTGAAGTCGATTTGCTCTTCTTAATTGTCAATACGACGTGTGTCTCGTGTTTGTTCCATTATATATGTGTGTTGAATGAACTCACTCAGCTCAATATGTATAGTGTGACAACGTTACAGCACTTTAGTGCTGTAGCCACAGGTACACACAGGAATGAAATGTTTCATAACGTCTTTTTAAAATATATTGGGTATTTTGAGCTGTATTCTGGGCATAGACTGAAGAGAGTGCTGCAAACTAGCGTCTTACCACAAGTGCTAGGTTGCATGCAAAATTACTGTCACAAACTTCTGCCAAGAGGCTGTAGCCTCTTCCCTTTTATTTTTACAAATAAATTATTGGTGCCCCAGCCTACATTGCCTCTGTATGAGGGCAGAGTTTGTGGTCAGCGTTGGCTGCTGCTATCTGTATAAATGGTTGTGTGGTGAGCAGAGGGGGGGTATGGGTGATAAAAAATTAACACCAAGTGGGAAACAATATGCTTTGCGGTAACCAGACCCGTCTCGTACACCTGTAGCTCGGTGTAGCATAATCGGAGTGATGCTGTTGTTTTTGTGTCAGAACGGGAGCGGCAGGCGTTGAGTGCACAGATCGACACGTTTTGGAGATTATGGAACTCGGTTCAGCTTCTCATGAAGGAATCTGGTGAATCCCTAACCTGTACACATCACTGTAGAATTAAAATAACTCCTCATCAGTTCTGCATTCAAAGAATCACATATGAACAACTTGATAGCAGCTTGATGCCCCTGTTTGCTGCAGGATCCATTTTGCCCGAGGCACTGGCTACCGCAATCGCCGGTGCTGCTGCCCCCATGAGCCTCCTGCTTCCCCAGGAACACGGCCTAGGGTTGTGTGCCCGCACAGTCAGCAGGATACTCATCGGGCTGCACAATGACCTTGTGGAGATGGTGCAGCGCTTCTCCGGCCACCGAGTGAGGTAATCGGTGCATGGAGATGTGGGGTGTCCATTGCTTGTCGTTAAAAACAGCAAACTCGAACTCACCGCAAAGCAATGATGACAGACAAAATAAACAGCATTCTCTACTCTTAATTCACACAAAATAGACATTGTTGAGAAGCCTTATCCAATGCACACTTTAGCCGATTCCTGCCTTGTGGTCCAAGATAACACTTGGAATGGTCTACGGAACTGTTGCCAGAACTACGATTCTTTTTCTCTCACAAAAAAAACCATTCCTTCATAAAAAGTAGTTCGGAGATGGTCACTGCATCGCGCGCTTTCAGATGCGCTTCTGCGGCCATCTGGAGCACTGGAGCTATGGACTTTTTAATCTAGATAGATAACTAATTTCTTTACAACTGCTTTTTGTGTTTAGTTTGTTGTCCTTCCCTCGCACCTCTGATTAGCCTGGTTGGCTGTGTGGAGTGAAAGAAGTTCAACATACATGCAGAAGTTTTAACTTAGAAATATGTTGTCTGTTTATGAGCGGTTGACAGTGGCCCATGGATTTAGAAAGTTTGGGAAGCACTGCTTTAGTCGAAATTAATTCATTTGGTGCAACACTGGAAGGACAAAAACTAATATCAACGCTTAGTGTTTGGTAGCAGAGGCCTCTTCTACATACTGGCGTACCACTTGGTGATTAAGAAATATGGTTACCATCTTCACACAGACTACTGTTCGACTCATTAGGCCAGGGTGTGTTATGTTTTATATGTGGAACTTAGCTCTGCAGACCCCTCTCACGATTCTGCACGCTTATCTGTCAAAGCGCTTATCTAACCTCTCTTTAAACTGGCCTTTACTCTAGTTCTGGCCGCTTACGCTGGCTCTGTTTATTTCCTTTTCCGGTGCTAACACTGCTAGTGCAGTACAGGCAGTGTGTTGAAAGTGCAAGGAGTCCTATTTATTGCGGCCAGTTCAGCCATGCCTATTGTTGATAAATCCCTCTTCAGGAAAGAAAGAAATGATGATACGCTGTGGCAGCATGAAAATCTTTGGTTACGGTGACCTCATGACCCTTTTCTTGATCACGAATACCTATTAGAGGCAATGTGTGCAGGCATATACCATTACTTTGAAGCCAGAGGGTAGAGGATCATTGCGTCATTCCTATTTAATGTATTTGCAAGGTCATATCTGCAGGACAATGAGGTGAAGTTTGACGTGAGTATTTTGGGGTATGCTGGTGTATTCCCAAGTAAAATGTTCATGAAGGAGTTAGTCAAACATCTCAGTCCAGGACCCTTTTGTTACCTGGTGCTCGGTGAGGATTTCCTGGAGAAGCAACGAGCTCTTACGTTGTTGCTATGGCTGTCCCCGCCATCCCGTCGCCTGAACCCTCTACACGCAGGTGCGTGGGGCCAGCAGAGGTGACGGCGGTGGACGCTCTGAGCGTGGACGTCGAGCGGGACGTGCTGCCCCTGGCTCTGTCCACTTGCGAGTACTGGCTGGAAGGGGGGCGCCCCACAGTGTGCGACTACGCGTTCCCTCTGCTGGAGCGACGCCTGGTGGACCGATTCCTCCTGGGGAAACCACGCATAAAGGTGGGGCTGGGGCACGGGGCTTGGATTTGGCAGCAGCGTGGTGGTGGCACAGTGGTGACACTCGTGCCTCACACAAGATGTCCTACTCAGGCGCCTTTCTATGTGGAGATTAGTCTGTTCTCCCCTGGTTTGGAATTGGGTTTCCTTTGGGTTCTCTGGTTTCCTCCCACAGCCTCTCTTCTTCATTGCCCATTCCCTTCCTCTTCCCTCCCTTCACCTCTCCATTCCATCCCGTCCCTTCCCTGCCCTTTCATGGCCCCTATGTGCCCTCTGTTCCTCGGTCCTTGCATGTCTCTGCCATCTAAATCACTCTATTTTTATACTGGACAAATATCCCCATACTGGAATATTACCTGAAAATTACTCTATTTGGATTACAAACAGCAACTTCCCCCCCTTCTGTAAAAACTTGGCAGGACCATCCTGAAAAAGAATGTTAAGACTCTGGCTTTCTTGGGTAAACAAGTGTAGTAACAATGTTGTTCCGTGTCAGGATACACCTTGCTGCACGCAGGGAGTTATGGCCCCTCAATCAGGGGCCATTCATGGATAAATAAATGCCATGGGTGATGCATTACATATCGCAGTGAAATCTTCGTGCATTTTGTTTACAAATGCTCCTGTGTTTGTCTCAATAATATTAGTAATTGAGTAAATTTGCATAGCTTTGTGATAACTGATGAGAGTGAATGTGCAATATATGTACCATACAGACAAAGTTTAAGTAGATCAAATTCACCTGTGCTAAATTATAGACATTGGAATGATTTGTCTTGCAGAAAAGGTCTTCTGACCATCGGAACCATGTCCATGTCAATTTTATATATTGCATCGAATTAATTCCGTTTAAAAGTGACTGCACACCTGCTAATTGTTGTGTGTCTCTACAGGATATCCCTTCTTTTTCTGACAAACAAAATTACAACATCTTGACGGTGTTGATAACCCTACAGAAGAAGATCGCACAGGTTCACAAGCCATTTATTGCATGCACATATAACATTATCACCTGTGTTACAATGATATCATTTGTTGCTCAATTTGTGAAATGCTGGGCCTTTTCACATTGGCAAGATTGTAATTCAGTGTTTTAAACAATTGCATTTAATGTCAATTTCCACAATTTCTTAAGCTATACAGTGAGGCTGTCCTGCTCAAATATATGTTATGCTGCTCTATTTCATATAGGATTTAAAATGAGGTATTTGAGTAGTTAATTGAAGTGCAACATGTCCATGTTGCCAAACATCTTTTCTTCTTCTTAAATATTGTGCGTAAGTTCTATAAAAAAAAGTGCTCTGAAAAAGTGTAAAATTTAAACAAATGTACATTTGACAACCCTCAAATATTCTTAAATCCATTTCCATATTCATTTTAGTGCTCATAACTAGGATGGGCCAAATTAAGTGAAAAACTAAAAGACAGCAATAGGATTGTTGCATATTCATTGGGAGACCAATGAAATTGTCGATTCTCTGTATTTCATAACCTGGTTTTCATCATAGGTGGCTGCCTAGATTCAAACTCAGGACCTCAGCTGGCTTATTGCTCTCGTGCTAACCTCCGATTAGCCCCCCTCACCTCCAATTATCACGGTTGGCTACATATGGCGCCAAATAAGTTGAACATACATGTATATAACATAACTCCTTTAAGCGCCTCTTATTCTGTTGCTCCCATGCATATATTTTGTGCTAGAACAGAAGTATATCTAATACCAAGTATAACACATATGTTGAACTTCTTTCGCACCATACATAGCCAACCGTGCTAATCGGAGGTACAGAGGTGGTGTTGGGTAGTGGTGGGTTAACGACACATTGATATTTATGCAATCAAACATAAAAACCTTTTACTATGAATCTAAGTGCAAAATTGTATGTGTGTCAATTTTGTAAAAGACCATGGCCTTCCGAGTTGAGTTACCGATAGAGAGAGGGACGGTGTCCCCTCCTCCTTGCTGCTGCTGTTGACTCCCGTGGCCACTCTCTCATCAGGAGCCACTGTCGGTCGCCACCCAGCGCCGCGTGATGGACATGCTGCGGGTGGTGAGCGATGTCTCCGAAGTCATCTTCACGCTCACGGTCGCCGTGGAGTTCCTGGCGGCCGTAGGAGGCGATGGAGAGCAACCCCTGGCGGATTACGTGGTGTCTGCGCTGCACATGGACTACGCCGGAGGGAATGCCGGCACGCAGGTGCCAACACACACTGCGCTTGCATGGCCAGTTTGTAGCTGGGGTTCTCAACTCGGGCGCTGTAAATACCTTATGGTTACAGATGTCATTATTATATGGGCTCCACGTAAATCTTACACAACACTCGTCGCTACTAGAGCTGCCACGGTGTCATTCTTTCCTCCGCCACACTGCAGCCTGTGTGCACCTAGCAGTGTCAATTGGCTCACCGTAGTTGATCGGCAGATCACATTATGTTGGGGTTAAGTGTGGGTACGCCCACATCTGCAGACATGTGGAAGAGTAGACCAAATACCGTCTAGAGTTTGCATAAGTGGAGGCTCGTCCGCCGGCAGTGGCGTGAGTGGTGGCGGTGAGTGGTGGGGTGAGTGGTGGGGTGAGTGGTGGGGTGAGCGGTGGGTGGTGGGGTGAGTGGTGGGGTGAGCGGTGGGTGGTGGGGTGAGTGGTGGGTGGTGGGGTGAGCAGTGGTGTTAACGAGCAGTTGCAAGGCTGCATCTTTCCCTGTTACCTTGACCACACTGTTCACAACTGCTTTTTTATATTTTTTTCACAAATGTACCTCTACAAATAAAATTGATTATGGTTTAATATAAGAGCATTTGTACAAATGATTTTGTACATCTTAAATTTAAGTTGTATCTCCTTACCTAAGCAAGCATTAGGCAATGCTCATATTGGTTCGTCCTGAGTAAGAACTGACTACAATCCGAGTGGGATGGTGGGCTGCTGAGTTGACTATCATCCGGGTGAACTGCTCGCACAAGTGTGTTGTGGGTGAGTGTGTACGAATGCATCCGAGTTTATGAAAAGTGTGCGTGCATTTGTCTGTAGGTTCTACAGTTATGTCGCATCAAGCAGAGCATTTCCCTTTGGAAGCTGCTCACTGCCTGGAGAGCAGAGCTTCTGCTAGAGCTGAAACAGGTAAATTCGTGCAAAAACAGTTCTGACACTTTCTACAAATGATGACAAATTCATCAGACAGAAATGTACATGCCAAGTACTATTTTTGCCAAGCATTTGAAGACAAAGAAAGAGGCATTTGATTCAGTGGACATTATTGCGTTTGTAGAAGCACAGTGATGACATCACATTACTCTATTGAACACTAAAAACAGGAAGACTTCTTCACTATTCCGGCAATCTGACAATGCTGGTTGTTGTAATCACCAGTGAAACGTCATTAACTCAAATTATAAATGCTGTGGGTTTGCTCTCCAGCACACTGGTGTGCTTAAGTAATAACTAATTGGCACGTTTTGTTCACGTGACAAACCTTACTAGATTTGAAGCTTTCGTGACTGCAAGGATTCATACTCTTAGTTCTTTTGGTAAAGTCACGTAGGTAAAAAATGAAATTAATAAAAAAAAAATCTCCTTTGCCTCATATACAGGTCATGGATTCGATCCCGACCGTTACCTATATATTTCTCTGGTTCCTCAGGTTTTTCCCTCCACATTTATAATCAATGTGCGTTTAGTTTATTTGGCTACTTTAAATTATCACGTGATAAGCCACTTTGTTGATATATGTGGCTAGGTCGCTTCTGAAAAAGAGCTATATGGCTCAGTGGGCTTTACCTGATAGAACAAAATACTGTAGTCTAAAAAAATATTTTATGTTGCTCCCCGCTTCCCCCGGCAGGAGCCAGTGCTGCTCATGCTCGACAGGTTCCAGAAAGATCTGAACGACGAGCAGCAAGAGGCGCTGGAGCAGAGGCTCTCGGGCGGCCGCCTGGACGGGCTCATCCTGGAGCTGCACGCGTTCGTGCTGCTGGAGCTGCGGCCCAAGCAGCACAGCAACATCTACAATCACACATGGAGGTGAGCCCCGCACGTACACGCGCGTGGAGGTGAGCACCGCACCTACACGCGTATGACGCAGCACGAGCCGGCCCCGAACAGACCCCCGGACTGTCACTATCACGCTCAGTCACGCCACCACAAAGTTCCTCTGATTAGCCTGAACAGGAGGCATCCGCACCACCAAGATGTAATTCGGCTGTGTCGCCGATAGAGCTCCCATGCGATCACAGTGTAGCACTGGGTGATCCTGAAACAATGCACTGATCTCCCGATGCAACTCCCAAGACACCCAGCGACCTACATGTCAACAATCACCTCAGCATCTTTAGCTGACAGTGAAGCCATTTTGTATAGTATTGTTTATACTTGGGAACACTGTTTTCTCCTCTTAGCCAGAAACATTCCCTTAAGTACCTTCGTATATCACGAGTCAATATCATCTTTGTTTTCCACACAATCCCACTGCAGCATAACATTCGCTCTTCCTTTTCACCTGCCATCTGATATCTTCTCGTTGTACAGCATCTTGACTCCAAATTATATTGAGACGTTTCTGTTGGCTTGTGTGTGTCCCCGATGTTGCGTGCAGCCTCGCGGACACGCTCAGGGCACACCTGGAGAGGCAGGGCGAGCGGGATGAGGTGGTGGGCAGCGTGTGTCGCCCGCTGCCTGACGATGTCACACTGGGCCAGGTGCTTGCAGTGTGGAAGGCGGCGGTGGAGTGCCGCCGTCGCACCACACAGCACAGGCTGGTCTGAGTGACTTGGCCATACACTGGACTGTTCCAGTTGGGATCCTTACCCTGAACACCATCAGCTAACAGCCCCTCCCAACAGCACTTGCTTTGCCACGCCCTCTCGATCACGAGCTCCACCCACACTGAGTGGCCATCTAGCTCTTCCGTTATCCCTGCCCACTCCTCCAACCCTGCTCATTTCTCAGGTAGCGCTGCCCTTGTATTATGAGTCAAGGATGAATACTTATGTTAAACTGAGATAAAATCCTGACTTTAACTAAAGCTTTGGGGAAAAGGGAAAAAAACAGCCTTTATAATAATGGGCCAAACCAGGATGATGTCTATTTCACGACATTCTGTCCATCAGAGTGTTATGTTATGAGCTTCGCAGACCCTGCAACACGCAACTATACCCACCTAACCACGGCAAGGTATAGACCACCCACCATATACCACAACCATGTAACTATCGCCATCCACCACGTGTATATATCATTAAAATATTGATAGTTTACTTTTAGTATTGTTGCAATGACATCCCTGAAAGAGGGTTCTTATTACTGAGTAAACACATGTAACCATAATAATTCCATAGTTTAAGGTCAAGGGAGCAAAGTGAATGAATGTTGACATCCAGTTTACATTGTGCCTTTTACAATTTCCACTGGGATTCAAGTGTTTACAAACTACGAAGCTAATGTCTTACACGGTGTATTTCACCATACTGTAATAATGTTAAACCATAATTAAGGTGTTTTGGTAAGATCGCGTAAGTATGTGTCGTAACTATCCACCACCCACCACAGCCAGTAAGGTTTTAAATGTTGTGGATTTACTCTCCACGCACCAGTAATTGGCACGCTTTGTTTATGTGACAAACCTTATTGGCTGTGTCGGGTGGTGGAGAGTTACAACACATTTATACTTATGCTTACGCGATCTAACCAAAAAACCTTTATTATGAATATTGGTCAGGAAAGTCTACATGTTAAATTTTTATGGCACTTGGGCCAGACAAATTCATTGCATAGTCTCCATATAAATGACTGCCATTGCTAGTTTTGATTGCTTATTTGTCTCCAATCCATACTTTTAATATTGCTATAGGTAAATGTATAAGTCGGGCGAATGTATAACAATCCCCAGGAGCTGTTGATTTTTTATGTGATCGAATATATAACCAAATAAAGTGAAATATTAAAATATTGCCAGTTGGATATATGCAGTAATGTTTTGTTCTGAAATATTTTAGTGGAAACATTACAGGAGATGTGAATATGATTATGGCAACGAGTGATTATTTGTAATCTTAAGAATACGCAATCTTAAATCTTTATAACCAAAAATGCACATCTTCACATTTAACCAGTAAACACGTTTATAAATTAAGAGGACATTCCCAGAAACTTAATTGCATTCCAGGATTGACTGCTTTAATGTGGTTTGTTGCTTCGATTAAAATATTTAAGACAAATTGGCTGAGAATTAATGGACTCTGGTATAGCATTCACCAGGGTTCAATTGGATGGGGGAGGATTTCCCCAACTGCTTCTTTAATCCCCAGGACTGCATTTTTCTGTTGTCACCCCCGATGGCAGTACATATATATATCCCACCTGGATAAAAGTGGAATTGCCAATGCCATGGTTGAGCCTCAGGGTCGAACCCACGACCTCCTGTGTACTTGGCGAGGGAGATAACATTTCGCCACCGCAGCACCCTAGCTGATGCTGTAGAGTTGGGGCTGGCTACGAGATGGCCAGATGGCAGCACAGCAGGGTATTTATTTTTCGATCTGTGCAGAGTTTTGAATATCAGCCGTCCTACAGGTTCAGAATCAGAATCTTTATTTAGGCTGGAGAAATCCAATGAGCTATGAAGCTCTATCACCGATGCCCAGGTTCTCCAGTTTCATCCCACAAGGCGGCAACCTCTCATGAATGTATTTGTTCAATTATCCCAATATAGCAGCAGGACCCTCCTGAAAGTGACGAGACTCGGTGAGGCTTGCCCATGTAAAATGCATTATTTGAGCACATACAAACACATGAACACAATATCGTATCTCAATTGTTATTTCAGTTATTTGTAAGTCTGGTATTAGATGAGGGCCTTCTCATGCCGTGTAAGTCATGGGGGAAAAGCCTTTCTATTTTATCCCCCCCATTTGAAATTGACCAAATCGCAGCCTTCATCAGCCCTATTGACCTTCTTTCAAGTTAACTTTTCCTAGTTGCATTTGTTTAAGCACATTCACCCAGGATCAGTTTCAACTTCATTAACTCAAACCTCAGAATGAGGCGATTGGGCACTGATGTTACAGGCAAATGCAGCCTCGCACGGTGCAGGGCTGTCACCTAGTTCTTGGGGATTATAGTAATGTTACGAGCAACGTAAGGTACTGTAGAAGACATACCGCTTTACGTGTTGGGTTAATGTTTACATATAAAAAATTCTGTTATCTAATCGTTTAATAAGATTTTAATCCATATGCCTCCACTCAGGGAATACCTTGCAGAGATGCTTGTGCTGGATGAGAGCCAGGTAAAACCAAGTCGAGCAGATAATGAAAGCTTGAAGAGTTTATATAACAAAAATATGAATAATCCCCGTTTCACGTGACGTTCACACGACGCGTTTTTGCTTTAACGCGGTTTTCCTTTTAGGTAACGTATTTCGCTGAACGCGCACCACGCCTACTATAACACGAGTCTAGCGCATGACGGATTACACGCCGAGTGCCAGGGTAACGCTACATTAACTACCTTGCCTCGTATACAGCAGGTAGTGGGTTCAATCCCGTCCCTGATGCCTGTATATTTGGAGTTTGCATTTTTTTCCTGTGGTCGCGTGGATTTTTCTTCGGGTCCTCTGGTTGTTCTCTCCACACTTAGAAACAAGCGTTGAGTATTCGGCTGCTATCAATTTCCACGTGATAAGCCACTTCGTTTAGCTATCATTTATCGCCAGGTCGCTTCTGAAAAATAGCTATATAATTCAGTGGGCCTTACCTGGTAAAATAAAAAAAAGTTTAGTTTTGATAATGCGGGTCTAGCATGTGACAGACTACTTTTATGAGCAACGTGGGTGTAGGCAGCGTTATTCAGTGATGCTGGGAGCTGGTACTGGAGTACTGTATTACTGATATGTGCATGCCATGTTACACGGCATGCCTTCCTCAGTCTTTGTTCCAGCATCTTTGTGCACGTCGCAACATCCATGGTCTATTGCCGTCACTCCCTTATCTTTCAACTCACCATCTCTCTCACTCGATATTTCAATAAATGACTGTCACACATAGCATATTTATAGAAATATAGAAATGCACATCACATGTAAAAAAACATGTAAACTGAAATAAAAACAATACAATTACAGGCTGGAACGGCACACACACACACCTTCACCGTTATTCCTAACGGGAAAATCACTCCCACCTAACGCAAATTCACTTTAATTGGCAATTTTCAGGAATGCAACAGGAAACCAAGCAAATGAAAAGGGGGCTGCTATACGTTATTTACAATGAGCATTACCATTAGACTATTTACTTCCATATATTGATATCTTCATGCTGGAGGGCCCCAACTACATCATTCCATTGATAGTAAAAATATATATTTGGCTTTAGACAGGGTCTCTATACAATTATGTCTTAAGATGCTTTTATAAATTTTACAATTTAAAACCCCGACTTGGATGTAACCTGAGAGAATGTATTTCATAGCTCATTGTACAAATACCTACGTTTCAAATGTACAAGTTTCACTTTGAATAAGCATGATTTGTTTATTATTCTTGACACATTGCATATAATTCACGAGGCATTATCACGGCAAATATACTGGAACTTATAAGAAACAACATACAAACCATATACACCCAACCCGCTTGCACAGAGCCCTTGTGGCTGACTGCTCACGAGTCTGGAGTAAACCACGCCATCATCTGCAGTCTTTCAGAGCTCCAGGATGCCCAACAGCCAAGGCTTCCTGCTCCATCTCCCGCATTCAAGACCCCTTTTTTGGCTTCTTGGCTTTGAGAAAGGGCTCATGAAACACACTGCTAAGACTCCGAGCCTGAATTTGCACAACGCGATAAAAAACACACACACGCATGCCGCTTGTCCAGTTTGCTTGTATTAATCCAATGCTCCTAAAAAAGTACTGCCAGAAGGCCGTGGCTGATTGGATGCATTAAAAAGACAATAATTGTTCTAAGTGCCAGGGTTAGATAACAGGAGGAGTATTGTCTGCTTATTTGTTTTGTTATTCATGAAATTGGCTGAAACAAAGTACATTACATTATACATTATAGTACACTTTACGAGGGACTCAAAATATATACGAGTCTTAGATCCATGAGCGACTGCTGAAGATAAACATTAATGATTTCTTGCGACATTCGTTATACATGACAATGTGAAGATCACCTACTCTGCCATCCTCACCTTGCGAGGTCCCAGTCCGGGACAGAGTGACAGATCCTCTTTCGATGCCTCCATGATGTTTGCCAGTGACTGGGAAAGATATTGAATAGCAAAAAAAATACGTGAGAAGATGCCATTGTCACATGATGGGAATAGCATTGTTGGAACATATATTTTTTATTTGTTTGTCCATATGTATCAATAATATAGTCCTTTGTCAATCCACTGCTTGATGATGACCTCTCTCCACACCGTGTTGGTCATGGGCTTGTTTGACCATACTTCGCAACTCTAGTTAATGCATGTGCAGTGTAGGTTTTTTATTTATATTATAAAGAGAAAATGTAGTTCATCTCTGATTTTGCTTTTCATTGAGGCCATCCCTCCATGCCATCACAGCTAGGAGGAGCTATTGCGTATTACATGTTTCTAACACGTACTATGCGTAATCACAATATTTTTTGTTCTAATTTTCAAAGAGCAACAACAGTGAATGACAAAATGCTGTGAAAATAATCTTACCCCAAAAGTGTTCAATAGGGTGATGACGTCTGTCTTATTCACGGACTTGATGGTGGTCAGGCAGTCGGTCATCTGCAGAGACGGGGCACGCCACAGCAATCGTGTCACTGCACTGTTGCAGTGGGGGATTTGGTGAAGGAAATCCCATTGCTAGGCTCCGATGCTGATCGTACCATTGGTGTTAGATGTGTGCTGAGATGAAGGTTCATACTACTAGTATACTTGTTTACCCAGGAAAGCCTCAGTCTCATGAAGTTTTCACAAGAGGGTCCTCCCTCCAAAGTTAATGTAATAGGTGACGATTGCAATGTACAGTATATTCCAATTGAGTAATTTGTGGGTAATTTAACAAATTTGACAATTCTGGCCCATTACGCCGGCACACAATGGCCTACCCCCTTTCGAATGACATCGCCATGGCAACTTTAACGTCCACTGCATTATCTTCCTTGCTTAACCCTAGCCCTAAGGACAGACGAGTCTTGTGTTTGGCCTCAGTCTGAAACGTGCAGAGCAACTTTCACCATATTCTCTCACCCCCAGCCGGTGTTTCTGACTGCAGAGGCGTCTTGCAGTGCTACTTTCACCGTGTGTGATCTTTACGGTCAATACACAGGCGGTAATCATCGCGCTGGTGTCACCGTCCGCGCAAGTGTTTGAGAGACGCACGCGAGACAAGTAGTCCTGCTCCACACGCTCCTTCAGCAGGTCGGCCGGCTTGTTCTCGTACGCCTTGTACGTCTCCAGGTAGCGGGCCACCTCCTCCGGGCTGTCGGCGTGCGTGCAGGGAAAGTATGAACAATGAAAACAAAAAGGTGTTGTTTTCTAACCTTAATTTATATTTGTACAGCGCCTTCACTCAAGGCGCTTGACAAAGCGTACAGAGCAGTGACACAGAATGGAATGATGTAGTTGACAGGGGTAGATTGAGGAATAAGTGACAGCGATAGAGGGTACTTAAGAATCACGAAAGGGTAGGGGAGGGATGGGAAAGTGGAAGGAAGAGGAAGGGAAATGGAGAAGAGGTGTGCTTTAAGAGAGGAATGGAAGGAGGTTAAGGAGGGGCTCTTGCTTAATGTACAAGGAAAGATTATTACGGTGGAGGATGCAAGTAGGGAGAAGGACTGAAAACGGGAGTGGGCACAGGGAGAGGGAGGGACAGAGAGACAGAGAAGATTGAAAATGAAGAGAACAAGAGGCGACACGGAGAAAATGGGGGCGAGAATACTCCTTGGAATATTTAACCCAAAAAATAAGCAACTCTTGCAGCTACACACAGAGGCTGTGTGTCCCGGGTTGTACAAGCTTGAACAGTCCATCATCAGCCACGGTCTATCCACTGTTGAATGAAGACTTCCCCAAACCCTCGCCATCTCTCGTGGTCCTGCGATGAGGTATTACATTTCTTTGTATAGAATAAATGTCTACTAATTTTGTTCCAACAACTGGCCTTGCTGCATGATGTCCAGTTATACATCTCGTTTTTCACACTGTGAAACTTTTAGTGATGACCAAAAAAAAATACTTTAACATCACATTTTGGAGCACTGGAGTGATGTCAGTGACTTTAAGTTTTTTTTATCTTTTCCCAGTTGTGTTCCCAGTGTTGCTGTTGGCATCATGTCTTGAGAAATATAATCTGATGGGGAAACCTCTGGAGCAGCACGCCCCATCTGGCAGAAAGGTCCGTCGAAGAGATTTTTCACAGGCCTTCAAGTCTTTTAATTGGATTTTTAAAATTTACAGAGTAGGAAGCTTACTTTCTCAACTGCTTGGGAATGCAAATCTATTTGTACATGAGTCAAAATTATGTTAAATTTTCCCGAGCTGGAATTCATCCAAATGGAAATATATGATGGGATTTTGTGCAGTCAACTCACTACCCTTGAGAAAGCAGTTTAACCATGGGCACCTTCCTGCATTAGAACCCGGAACCTCAGTAGTGCAAGCTTAGCTCTCTGACCTCTGAACCACCCAGCCACCTGTGCACTAGTTTCAGTAACATCACTGTGGTGATGACGGATTGTCTATTGTAAGCTTCAGGAACAAAACCGCCCTTTTAACAAACATTAACCGTGAATAAGAACAAAACCCTTACAAAGAAAACACACCATGAACTCAACATTAACAAGCTCCAAGCACTATATTGCATCCCTTCACATGTGTAAATGCAGAGGCATATGTGGGTATTGGCACAGCGGTTAGTGCACTGCCAAATGATCCTGGTTATCTGAATTCAATTCAAACGCTGCCAAGCTTCCTTTATTAAAGCTCTTACCTCCAGGCCAGAATGAGAGTGCACTCTGCCAGGATGCACATCTTGGCCAGCTCCTTGAGTGCGTGGTGTGGGTCCTTCTGCTCGCACCACACATGAAGCAGCCCCCTGATCAGCAGCAGCGACGCTCTCTCCAGCAAGGCGTATGGGGATGATTTCAAACACAAGCTCGACAATGCTCTACGGCCGCCTTATGCGAGCTCCTGTGGAGGGCTTCTCGGCACTTTACAACACAAAACCACTGATGTCCTTTTCTTGCCCCCCCCCCCCGCCAATGTGTGCAGATACTACCGACCCTATTGTATGTCTTTATTGGAGGAGGGTGGAGTCGACAATGTTTGGAAACCTATTGGATCAACTTAGTTGACGGACAAACAGAACGCCGAGCTTTTATAATAGATAAATCGTGACTGAGTAATGTCAAATCTAATGATCGTCGAGAAGATGTAAACGATGGACAACTGGTACATATTATTATCACCGAGTTACAAGACTCCGGTGCTCAAATGAAGCGAGGTGCTCAGCTTGCATATCGGGGCTATAGAGATTATCACACCACCGTGAGAGATACGACGGCTTGGGAAGGCCTTTATCCAGCAGTAGGTAGGTCATGACTGAAGATAATCAAATTACGATGTGCTTATCTGCTCGAAGCGCGGACATCGTAGATTCTAGGAAGCAACCTAGTAAACGTACTATGTTGGGGTAAAAATATTGGCGTGCATTTGGTACCGCTGACCCAACATTGGTCCAATGTTTCCGAGTTTACTGGGAATTTCCACCAATTTTCAGGTTATCCACATTTCCACACTGATAATTATAGGATGACATTGCTTTCAATTCTGGGTTATTCCTCTCGTGCATGCTCCTCGGTGGATTGCAGGCATGGGTTTGCGTGCTGCCATTGCACAGCGCTTCTGTTGCACGGCGCTGGTGCAGAATCTCACCACGTCGACCTGCACCAGAAGAACGCGGAGGTCGAACGCCTGACCCAGCTGCTTGAGGCGCTCGTGGACGTAGTTGGGGTTGAGGTTGTGATACCGCAGGCTGCGGGGGACACGCAGATGGTCACTGCCGGCGGCAACAGGAACTCGTGCGTTCGCTGGCACCTCTAGGCATTTGCAGCATGGAGCCACTTTGGTGGCAGCAGCGGATGCCACAGATCCAGCTGATCGGAAGTTTTAGCATCTTAATCAAGGGTGCTACTGAGGTTGAAAGTGGAGCGAATACCTGCGATATTTAGACCATGGAATCAAAATAGATTTGTGCATTTTTCTCATTTCCGTTTTAGTAATGGATGCTAATTTGTACATAAAGGTTTTGACCGTTGAAAATCATCCCTTAATCTTTTTCACCACCAATGTCTCTTAACTTGTGGCATGATCTCTAATCTCGCCACTGTGCGGCACTATGGTGGTGAGATGTTAACTACCTTGCCTGGTATGCAGAAGGTCGTGGGTTTGATCCCAACCTTGACGCCTGTATATTTTAAGTTTGCATGTTCTATCTCTCCGTGGTCGAGTGGATTTTTCTTCCGGTTCTCTGGTTTTTCCCTCCACATTTAGAAATATGCGTTTAGATTTGGCTGGTATAAATTTCCACATGATAAGCCGCCTTTGTTGAGCAATAATTTGTGGCCAGGTCGCTTCTAAAAAAGAGCTGTATATCTCAGTGGGCCTTAGTAAAATATTTTTTTACAGTTTAGTTTAATCCACGTGTTCCTCTTCCTCTGTAATAATGCAGCGGCAGCCAACGGAGAATAACACTTAAAATTATATTCACCACAGAGATGAGGGGATGAAATCAGCTCGCGTGCAGGGGCCAGATGGAGGATTGCTTTGCGAGAATGTGAGAGATAGCGGAAGCTTGCAGGCGCCTACATTCTGCAGTGGACTGATTGAGGCTCATGATTACGGGTACCCTTGCAACGCGAGCAAGAGCAAGGAAATGTTTCTACACCTGGCATTGGCGACTGATGGGAGCTCCTCCTTGGCCTGTGTGTCTCACCTGAGGAAGAGTGCGCAGGAGGTCTGCCCCATTACATAGTCTGGGACCACGTCCGCAATCTCCCAAGGCACGTTCCGCACAAACTTGAGCACGGGGTTCCCACGCTGCCAGTATCACCGCAACAGCAGCGGGATGCAGCACAATGTTACCTTGCATTAGAATCTCCTCTCTCACACGCCTCTTACTTCCCCATCATTTCAATTCCCCATGTCATAAGACGAATACACATTTCTTACACTACTGCTGAAGTAGTATAAGATACTGTATCACGGGAAATAACATTTTCAGATTAAGCCAGAAGTTAATGAAAAGAACACAAAGTTATATTTTTTATGAATTGAGATTTGAGTACCGTGGACGTTATAAATGTTTCACATTCATAGCTGGTGGTAGGTCCTTGCAATCCCAGTCACAAGGAATCTAAAGGAGTTTCCATATAGTAATAGGTTTTTACCCTTTCAACTGGTACAAAAACTGACACCTTTATACAAGGGATCATGTTTGCAATAACCACAACACAAGCAATCAAAATGCAAACAAAAAAAGAGTTTCCATATCTTCCATTAACCTTGTAAGGCATTTGTCCAATTCCCTAATGGACTGAACTGTTTCGTTGCCTTTAGGAAGCTGTGGGAGGAACATTTGGTGAACACACTGCCTGCCCCGCACTCACCAAAAACAAAGATTCCCCGTATAGCCTGAAAGACTGTAGGAGCAAGCGCTGTTAGTCAATACCAATGAAGGCTGGCAAGGCACATGAGGGGGTGGATGGCCAATTTCATGCCCGGCCACCTTAGTCTCACCAGTGGCGGTTTACATATCGTACCATAACCGGTTCAGATAATCGTCACTGGTGTTGGTGGCCGTGAACGGGAATCGAACTTGGGTCGCCGGGTTCGTAGCACGGCACGCTAATGACTTCACCACCACTCCCCGCAATCACCTGTCGGGGGTTCACCAGCAAGCTGTTGCTCTTGCCGGCCGCCTTGGGGGCCACAACGGCCATGACATCGACACCACCTGCAGCTCTACTTGCACCCGAAGCCTCACGTTTCCCCACAGCCTCTCGGCTTCTCACCACCTCGACGAGTGGACTGTCAGCAGCTTGGGCAGGCATGCTGGTCTCCTGGTCTGGGCACCCTGTGGGAGCAAGGTTAGTGCGCGTCATCGCGTGCACACAGGGCAGAGCGTATCAGAATGAGGGAGCCCACTCCCAATGTCCGTGTCACTGAGCTCAGCATACTTTACCTGTTTACACACAATAGCCACCCTAAATCAATTTCCATGTTTCTATAACTTAATTTTACTATGAATGGTTTCTAATAGTAAATTGTCCAAGTCATTGTTTGATACAGGACATTTATTTGGTTTAATATTGACAACCTATGTGTGCTTATATTTATTCTGCTGTAACTTGGTTCTTTTTACTTCAATTTTAATTGTTTTTGCTTCTATCTACTTTTGTTCATCATTGTACTTGGTTTTGTGTTCTTGCTTTGGTAATTTTGGTGACCCAGGTTACTCTTAAAAAGGAGACTATCCTAGTCTCTTGAGTTCCAACCTGTTTACACAAAAATAAACTTGCCTGGATTTCACCCTACAAGAAAAGAGATGGGATGAGTGAAATACTCTCAGGGGATTCACTCCATTTCTACTTATGCCAGCTCACGAGGTTATTGACAAGTGTCTCCTAGCCCATCAATCAGGTTACCTACAGAGGGTTACAAGGTGACTGCCTCATCATCGACAAACATCAGATAGCCCAATCATCCAAAAGACACAGAGGGTAATGACACCATCTTCTCAAGAGTGAACAAATATACTCCCGTCTAGCACAACAGCTCTTTGTTTAGAGTTATAAAGGTGTAAGCGCAAGGTCTAGCAGTGGATTGATCACAGCTGATATTAATCATCATTAAAAAAATTGGAATACCAAATAGCACTGATGTCGTTCATTCCAGCCAAGAATGAAAACTTGTGTTATAAGGATCGCAGCATGGTTCATTCTCTAACCACTGTGCCAAGACGCTCGCTAATACCCCAACCTGATGACACGGCCCAGCGGTTGGTAGCGCATTCGCCGCTCATTGTAGAAGTTCCTGGTTCCCAGGCTGCCCTGATTATTGCCGGTGTCATGGTACAGATTTTACAAATTTGAAATATTACCTGCAAGTTACTCAATTGGGATTACACACAATAGCATCGCCTCCTACTGTTAAACTACTGCAAACTACTTGAAACCCAGCAGCGCCTTCCTTCGTGACAGTCTTACGCGATACCAGGGGTCGGGCAACCAAAATAACAAGGAGCCATTTTTGTTCGAATTCGGTGAAAAACGCAAACTTTCAAGAGCCGCAATGCACGTGAATACTAGACGGTGGTCCTTAATAAATAAAATCACGAAGCAGTCCTTAAAGAACCACATGTGGCTTCGAAGTCGCAGGTTGCCGACCCCTGCACCATACGACTTACACGAATACCAAAACATACAAAATTATAACCACCATTAATAGAAACTGAACGATATAAATCCACAGGCTGATTACAGGACCTGTGGAGTCTGTTGCTGCGTCTCTGTCGAATGCCTTCGACGCTTCTGCTGGAGTGGCCTTGTCCGCACCCCCGGCCTGTGGGCCAGGTTCACTGGGCCCTGCGGGGTTGCTGCTAGCTGGCTCGGAGGGACCTGGCGGCTGCTTCTTGCTCTGCTCCATGACGTAGTCGGCATAGCCGCCCTTATGTGGCCCGGGTGGTGGCCTCTCCTCCACGCTATCTTTTTCAGCTGTCTTTGTGAGGCCAGATCTGAACAGAGGCCGAGGCTGCACAAGAAACAAGTAACGCTCAATCAAGGGAAAAATTTATCAAGCTTGACATCTGAATGTTTACGCATATCAGAACACAGATTATTCTAGATGTATAAATGTCTGCAACCATAGTGAGAACATTGTTCAACGGGCTCAAATGTAAAATAATATCAACAGATTATATGTACGCGTACCAACACAACTACATATCTATGGTAAGTTGAATTCCCAAATGTTAAGAATGTTCACACCGACACCAGTTCTGTTCATAATAGTCTAGTTGTTTTGGGTTAGATCGTGTAAATATATAAATGTGTCGTAAATATATAAATACATTTTAAATGGCGTGGCTTTGCTCTCCAACACACCGGTGTGCTGTACTGGTAACGAATTGGCATGTTCTGTTTACGTGACAAACCTTACTAATTGGCTGTGTCGGGTGGTGGCGGGTTTAACGACACATTTATATATTTACGCGATCTAACCCCAAACAACCTAAATTATGGATGACATTGGTCGCTAAAGCCTACTCCGTGTTACACCAGTTCTCAAGTCCAATGATAAGCAACTTCATTTGTCGCTTCTGAAAGAGCGCTATATAGCTCAGGAGGCCAAGCTTGGGTCAAATAAAATAAGTTAATGGTTTATTTTTTTTTACATTTATATTATTTTTTAATTTCCCTTCTACGTGACTTCATCGAAAGAACCAAGAATATAATTTTAATGATTTCGTTAACAGCTGAAGCTGCAAGGGAAAGGGAGCGTGACGGATGTGGGGAGCGGTGGCGCAGCGGTTAGCGCACTGCGCTGTGAACCCGGCGACCCAAGTTCGATTCCCGCTCACGGCCACCACCACCAACAGCGGCCAATGTGTTGACTCGGTCCTGACTCCCGAGCCTCCCCTAGGTCGACTCAGCCCCGAATGGAGACCCCGATTGCAGGAGAGTATAAACCACCGCCGCTCCACGTTGGCCACCACATGCGCTACTCGCTCACGTCAACTGAACCCCCCCCCACCCCCTAAAGGCCGCTGTGAGGGCTACAATTGGGGAGCTTCGCCTCGGCGTGAGACAGCGCCGACGATGCCCAGCGTGGCCACGTCCGTCAACACTGGGCACGTCACCTCAGACACCCGCCTCTCGTACACGTCCTCCACCCTCGGAATGTCGAACTTCTTCTTGGCGTCCATGTCGCTCACCTCCACCGCACACGCGGGAATCTAAACGTTGATTATAAACATTTATAAACAACAAAATTCATTCATTCGCAACACCGCCGCCGCCGCCACAGCGGAGTGCGTGCCGAGACGGTCTCAGCGGTGTCAGCTGGGGGACGCGACGGAAGCCCGCAGAGGCCAAGACCCGGGCGAGATACGAAATCGCGTTTTTTGATCGCGAGCGCCGCCACGCGGCCGCCGAGGATCGGACACGCGTTGGATGGCGTTGCCACCTGTTCGTGTTTGACCGGATTGATAAGCTCAGATTACTTAATAGTTGAGGATTTCGATTTATTTGAAGAGATTGGTGAAATTTGTCATTTTCATTACCGGTAACCGCATGTTCACAACATGTGAACACCATGGGACCTCCTTTGCCAGTACCAACATGAGAATAGTTTTTTTACCCTTTTTTCTGGCAACAAAAAAACACATTTTAGAAGAAATCATGTCTGCATTCACCACAGTACTTGTACATGTTGTGGCCTGGCTCTCCAACACACCGGTGTGCTGTACTAGTGACGTATTGGCATGTTCTGTTTACGTGACAACCCTTACGAGTTGGCTGTGTCGGGTGGTGGTGGGTTTCAACGACAATATATTTACGGATATTGGTCGCGAAAGCCTACGTTTTAAACTGTTCACATGTTGAGAATAGGGTTTCCCCCCTTTTTTATGGCAACAAAAAAATACCTTTTACATTAAATCATGTCTGCATCTCATTACTCTGATAGGCCATTGTCTTTGTGCTGTACGCCTTTTGGCGTCCTCTGGTCTAACACCGTTTGAGACGAGGCTCAAAAGGAAAGCTGTCTCTGGTGTGGACCAATCAGTTTCAAAGACAATGCATATATTATCAGAGTGTGTTTTTTGCTTTCATTCTGACCACAAGTATTGTGGTTAATGGGCATCAAAATGGCGGCCGTGTCTCCTCCCGCGAAATGGCGGCCCCCGACCGCGTGGTCTCCAGCGCGGGAACCCCGACTGCAGGCGGCCGCTCCATCATCCCCGCGCGACTTTGCGGCTCGTCCCCGGCTGCGTCGGCTCCCGAAGTCGCCACTCTCTTCTTCGACATCAAGTCAGCGACGGTCAACCGGAGCCGATCCGCCTCCATCATCAAGGCTCGACACTCCTCCGACGCAGGTGCCACAACCTCTGCACCCTCGGACTTCGTCACCGGGCTCCCGGCTCCCGGGGCTGCTGGGGGAAGTCCTTGGCCGTCTCCCTTCTCCGTCTCTGAAGACGCTACAGGTGGGTTCTTACTATTTCCTTTCTTCGGGATTTTACATATAGCCGCTTCTGACACCACTGTAATGTAGCTCTCAGAGACACCGTCTTGTCTTCCTGTATATTTATTATTAATAAAGTACACTGATAACTCAACGAGTAACCGCGAGTGACTATGTACACTTGGGTAGTTAGACGACTCCATTCCGAGACAACATAGTTTATAGTCTCAAGACAACTTGCAGACGATGGAGACAACCCAATCCATGGCGATGGCGACGACGGCAGTTCCCCACACCAAGCAGCCCCAAGCCCCGGCTCGCGCTGGTTCTTATCCTCACCCGGTCCGGCTACGCCCTTATTCCCGAATTCTCCTCACCGCACTTGGTTCTGCCGATCACCGCCCTTATTACACTTTCCCGCCATTGGATTCCATGCACCCCCTCACGTGACCCTGTCAACACTCGTCCCATCAATCATCATTAGCACGTCCATTAGTAACCATGGTCTCAGGGAACCATACCCTCCTGCTATCGCTCCACACTGTCTTTAGTCTTTACACATGTACCCTCGTCTCGTCCTCTTCGTTCCCAATCCTCTCTCTGTCCTTCATTCTCCCATATTCTGTCATTCTCCCGCCTCGCACTCCTCTACTGGAATCAATTCCCCTGTACATTAAGCAGCACTCCCCATAGACTCAACGCTGCCCATAGGCTCAACATGGGGTGGAGCACGCCCGCGACGTGGTAGTAAATAGTGCACCGTGTGTAATGTACCGTATAGTGTACCTGTGTGTAGTGTATAGTGTACCCGTATGTAGTGTACAGTGTAGTTTACCCGTATGTTTCATGATAGTGGGCAGGCCCAGGTAAAGCTACGTGGCCAGGAGTCAGAGCCATTCTTTGTTCACCTTGGGGTGCGACAGGGATGTCATCTCGCTCCCACATTATTTAACATATTTGACCACGTAGTTCGAGAAGCTTTCTATGGCTGTACCAGAGGAATTTGCATCTGGTACAAATACAATGGGAGGCTGATCGATGCCTGGGTGTGGTCGAGGTATGGCTCCCTATCGGTTAACCATGTTATGTTTGTTGATGATCTGGTGATTGCTGCTCACTCAGAGGAGGAGTTGGAGGTGCTGCTGCTGAACCTGGGGTGTACCAGGATCGAACATTCCACCTCCTCAGCTCCCCATTGGTGATGGAGCAGTCGAGAGTTTCCCATACCTGAGCTGTGTGCTTATGACCAGCTCCGGTTTGACAGTAGAGGTCTCACTCCAAATCAGTCAGGCGGCATTATCTTTTTATCGGCTGCGTAACTGTGTGGAAGCTCCCTGGTCTGTCGCTCCGCATGAAGCTTCGGGTCTTCTCAGCCACAGACATGCCCTCCCTTCTCTATGCTTGTGAAATGTAGACCCCTCTGGTGGAACATCTGCACAGGCTAGAAACATTCAGGTTGGCCTGTCTACGATCCATCCTGGGTTTAACCAGGCTGGATTGTGAGGAGCTCACAAATCCTTCAAAGATCAGTGAGCTCCTCCAGCAGGCAGAAAAAAGGGAAAACCTATTCTTATTTGTTTATATATGTGGCACTTACTTTTCCGTTGGTTGCAGAAACTGTGGGGCCTGAAACCCAGTACCCTGACAAGACACCAGCATGTTCTCCAAATTTTTACATAATAGCCAGGAAGTATATTCTGATTAATTGGACGGAACGTGAACCCCCATCGTGGAAACAGTGGTATAGTACCCTCTTAGCTCAGGCAGCCTCGGAACACTTGAGCCATAAACTTAAGGGGAGGGAGTAAGAATTTGAGGCTAGGTGGTCTCCGGTCCTACAGGGTCTTAAATGAGCAGTTTGGGCAGGGAGGTCGGGGGAGAGGGGTGGCAATAGAGGGGTAATCCCCCTGAATATTCAAGTGGGAGTGGAACTGGGAGTGCTTCTAGCCGCATATTGGTTAATGTTTGTTTTATTCTTAGGGTTTTTCCACACTTCCCCTTCTTCCCTTGTTTTTCCCCTCTTCCCTCCCTCTGTCCCCCCTCTCCCCAGGCCTTTTCTTAGTTGTGCTGGTTATTCTTCTCCCCCCCACGTCTCCTCTCCCCATTTCAATCTTCTATGTCTGCCCCTGCGCGAGTTCCCCACTTGGCTGGAGCAGTGGGCCCTACTCCTCCTCGTTCCGCCCCTTTCATGTGGTCCCACTGTGCTGGAATGGATGTTTGCAGATTTTCTGTTGTATCCTGTTGTTGGAATCTCCTGGTGTGGTTTGCCGGGCCCGCATATTGTTGCCATTAAAAGAGGCGGCATTCTAATCAAAGGTATTGGTCAATGGTGTCGATAACAGCAGCAACAACACCTTGCAATGTCTACGCTGCAATTTCTGCTGCTGCCTGGCTGTTTGCAGCGAGGCCCTGCTCTCGTGGGTCTGATCAAGCAATGCCTCCCCTGGAGAATGTGGCGCCATACACAGAACTTCTCTTGGCCTGGATCGACAAATAAATTATGTCTCATCCAAACGTCACCGATATTGCTGTGGGACTCACCAGCAGACTTGGCCCATCATCCAACGTGCAAAAGGGAGTGCTGATTGGTCAACTTTACAATTCAAACTTCTCAAGTTCCACACCCAGTGTGCTACAATCTGCTGTAGAATGCCGACCCCTACCCGGCCGTGTTCATCAATTGTTGTAAAGCCTCGCAAATGGTTGTGCTGTAGATCTTGTCAGTTCTTCCTCTGTCCTACATCCACATGATCAGGGAAGAGCACGTTCATTGCCATAATGCTGCTGATTTCGGGTATCGAGCCAAACCCTGGACCAGGGCTCCTCAATGTAGTCAGCAAGATGGCACTGATCTAGGATCTGATCAACGATTGTGAACTCAACATATTGGCCATTACTGAAACATCGGTATATGATGACTCACCGTGAGGCTGCACCTAACGGATACGCTATTGTACATTAGGACCATCATGGGAAACCTGACACTGGCAGCCGCATGGTGGTGGGATCGCACCGATTCACCATGGAAACATCTGCGTGAATGTCCCGAGTGACTCATTAACAATAACGTAATTCGCACTGCTGCTTGTGAACATAACGAACAGCATGTGGCAGGTTACGATTGTTGTCATCTATCGAACGCCGTCTTCACCACTGTCGGAATTATTTTCCAAGCTTTCCGGTCTGCTAGTCGGTGGGTCGGTCCCTTTGCTCTCACTACATCATGTGTGCCACGCCGACTGGTTATTGTGGTAAAATCAACAATGGTCTTGCCGAGATTATCGACAGTCACAGTTTAACCCAGCATGTCAGCGGTGCAACATGTTGCTCAGGAAATATACTGGATCACATTTTTCACATCCACCAATGCTGTATTGTGACTTATATTGTTATCGAAGACGTGAGTATTTCAGATCAGTCTCATGACGTGGAAAGTGGTATTATCGATTATTCGCCCACCCATCACAACAATATCATACAGAGACTGGAAATTACAGAAAATCCGGTCATCATTGGCGTGTCTAATTTCTGCAAAAACAGCCGATTTATTTGCATCTCAATTAGAAAATTACATCACTCCTGTCAAGCACAAATATCATGCAGTCACTGGCTGTCACTGGAGGTAATCGCTGCGAAGCAGATGCAGAGGAAGCTTGAGTGTCTTGGGAAAGAAACTGGTTTTGACTTAGAGCAGCCTGCAGATCTGCTAACCGACTTCTTGAGTCTGGCAGATTGTTATATGCTCTGCACGTCAATGAGTTAGCTCGCGATCCTCGTGCTCTGTGAAAGGTCTGCTGCACTCCAACCATCCATCAACTTGTCAACTAGTACTTGCGATGTTCTTTGGCAATAAAATAGTGACAATCAAGATGGCAGTTTCTAACTTGAAGGCAAATAATTCTCCCAGTCTGTCATCTTAAGTTAATCAACCTTGAAACAATGTACAACTCGAGACCCTGGCACCAACATCGGTGGCAGAGATATCGATGTTCATCGCACGGTTTCCAAATAAGACATCTTTGCTCGACTACATCTACACGTCAATTACAAATCCATGGTTGGATGTGCTTGCGCAACGGATTGCACACCTTGCAAATCTTTGTTTAGCAAGGGCTGCATCCCAGTCCAGTTCAAAATAGCGCAAGTAACACCACTCGTTAAAAAAGTTGGCCTAAGCCACAGTGACCCTACAAACTATCGCCCAATCTTAAACCTAAGTACGGATTCAAAGGTCATACAGTGTTTGTATCTGAAGCGGTGACTTCCCCACGTTGTTGCAATGGGCAGATTCAATCCATTGCCATCGGCGTAATGGAAGTTCCACAGCACTGAGACTTCTCTACTAAAGATCACTGATGGCCTCTACAAGATCATGAATGACTGGTGCGCCACAGAATTGGTAGGCCTCGATCTCTCAGCTCCCTTCGATATAATTGACCACGAGATACTCATCGGGTGGCTAAGATCACGGTTCGGTATGTCGGGTACAGCACTAGGGTGGATTGAGTCATACCTACATGGTTAATCACAGTTCGTCAAGCTGGCTGAAAAACAGTCATCACGTATGCCTAGTGCCTAGTCGGCATACCACAGGAGTCTGTCCTCGGGCCCTTCCTATTTTCAGCATACGTTTCTGCTATCGCCGATGTCATCTCATCGCATAATATCAAGTTCCATCAATATGCAGACGATACGCAATTGTACACCACAGTGAAATCAAAGTTAAATATGGAGAGCCTCGACAACCTCGAAGATTACACTCGAGTGGTGCATGTGTGGTTTGTACGAAACGAAAAGCTGCTTAATCCATAAAAATCTGAGGTTCTGTTGGTTGGATCTCAGGCAAAACCATTCTTGGGAGGATCAGATGTGGTGGTCGCAAACTCTAGTATTTCGTTTTATACTCATCTAAAGAGCCTCGACACCACACTCGACTAGAATTAGTCACTTAATCACCGCATGCAAAATGTAGTCAAGTCCTGCAATTTTCATATGAACACTGTCCCACATCTGCAGCAGACAATCTATAGAACATTTGGTGGACGCTGCAGTAAGTAAGCAACTAAGCTTTGAATACCAGCAAGGGGCTACGGCTGTGCTACAAAACTACAAATACGTACTTAACATTGTAAATAAGCTCCTTCGCATGCTCCATTTTGTAGACGATTTATTTACCTTCTTGATGGATTCCACCATGTAGATCCTGAACAGTTGGCCCCCAATGTCGGCCCCCAATATCGTCTACCTGCAGTCGTCCTTCAGTTCCCAAGCCAGTGTCCTGATCGCGGGCCTCACTCCCACTTATATACCAGCTCGGCCACACCCTGGTAACTTCCAGAACTTTCCCCTGGTAACTTCCAGAACTTTCCCCTGGTAGATTCTTCATTATTCCCTCTATGTATGACTAGCTATCATCTCTACACTCCCGTCCATCCGTTATAAGCTCCTCTGGGCTCAGTAGACTCCACAGCCCGGGATCGTCTTCTCTCCAGCACTGTAGAAGATGGCCCACTTTCGACCGCCCCTTTAATTTTGACACTTTGCCTCTCCTCCTTGAACTCCAAATACTTCCTGTTTACGACATTGCTCTTTTTTTAAAAAATACCTCTCCTTGGCTTCGCCTCACCTTATCTTTGCTATCTGATCTCCTTCCATATCCACTCTCGTCCTCTTCGTTCCCAGTCTTGTCTATCTCTCTGTGTCCCTCCTCCGTGCCCAATCCCGTTGTCGGTCATTCTCTCTCCTTGCACCCTTCCACTTGAATAAAATTCCCTTGTACATTAAGCAGCCCACTCCGTAACCCCCTTCCTCTCTTAAAGCCGTACCTCTTCTCTATTGATCGTTCTTTTACTCTTCCATCCCTTTGCCCCTCGACTCCTTCCCGCCCTTCCCCTACCCTTTCGTGATCCCTAAGTACCCTCTATTGCTGTCACTCATTCCTCAACCCTTGTACTACATCTCTGCGATCTAAATCTATTCTGTCACTGCTTTGTAAGCTATGTCAAGTGCATTGAGTGAAGGCACTCTATATAAATTAGATTAGGTTAAGAATCCTAGTTTGAAGTGCACAGTTTTAATAGTCCTAGGCTATTGTAGAGTGATTAGGAAGCTTCGCTTGATAATGAAATGCAACGGATCGCAGTTGTAAATACTCATGCCTCACAGCAAGAAGGGGCCTGGGTTAAATTATGAACTCATGCAAAGTTTTGTTTGTCCTCCCATTGTTCTGCATGGGTTTTCTCCGGGTTCTTCAGTTTGCGGAATGGAAAATAAAAGGCAAGTCACAGTAGCACGACTGGCCATGCAACCCAAAATCACAAAATTTAATTAAAAATAATACATTTTAAATAATAAAAGCAAAAATCCCACGACGTTTCGATCGCAACAGAAGCGGTCTTCATCAGGCGGAGAGATTTTTTTTAATCTACGTGACTTTACCGAAAGAACCAAGAATGCAGTCTGCACTTTTAAGTCTAAATTGAAAACGAATTTCTTTAGAACTGATCTCCGTGTTCAGTTAGTTGTCCTTCCTACGGTGCAAAAGAAGTTCAACATACATGCCAGCTGTGCTGCCTCGTGGTGGAACTGTAATGGGTGAGTGGGGGGCGCTAATTAATTGCAGACGCTGAGGACAGGCATCTGCAAGAACCGTGGTTCTTCATTTGTGGTGTGACATTTGACTTTCATTACTTTATTATAGGTTGTATTTCTCTCTTTAAAAACGTTGTACAAGTGTGAAAATTTTGGGGCTGAAACGTAACTCAGCTTTTAACATGGCAGTCAATGGTAAAGCGATGATCGTTGAACGAATTTTCGCTTAACGAGCAATTATCGTGGAATGCATCTCGCTAGTTAAGTGAGACACGGCCGTGTATTAAAGACAATCCAAAGTAGCAGTCGGGCCATTGCTGCCATGCAACCCAAACTATGTACCACAGAGGAGGAGGAACAGCGAAACAAAAGCTCTCTTCTGAAGCCCTCGTCGTGGCCAGCAGCAGACCTCGACATTGACATTCAGGTCCTGAACGTATTGCCATCATAGGCGAGAATACTGGAGTTGTTTCCTTCCATAGCTAAACAACACCCCCCCCCCCCCACACACAACCAAACTGCTCTTGGCCAAAATATCACAATGCTGGAAAATGACCTTCAAATTGCTGCTTTGTGGACTTGCACCAAACAGCAGCAGCAACAACATCGCCCCCTACTGCAACCACGTGGCAGGATCCACCTGGATAAACACGATGATTACCATCATGGTTATGATAATGAGCATGGTGATTATAATTAACTATACAACTGTACTAAATCACCTTGCTGCTCTGCATCTAAATTGGAAAACTTATTTCTCAATTTAAAACTAATTTATTTAGAAATATTTTTTTTGTAATCAATTTCTTGTCCTTCAAACCGCGCCTCCAAATGAGCACGATTGGTTCCGTACGGTGCGAAAGAAGTTCACGGTACATCCGACAAGTCGCCTCCATCCATCGGCGCTCGTTCACTCCCTGCCAACAACAAAGCTCCACGGCTCAACCACACGAGGTGAACACCACAACCACAACAACCACCACCACCAACACAACAACCACCACCACCACAACAACCACCACAACCACCACCACCACAACCACCACCACAACAACCACCACAACCACAACAACAACCACCACCACCACAACCACAAAAACCACCACCACAACCACAACAACCACCACCACAACCACAACAACCACAACCACCACCACCACAACAACCACCACAACCACCAAACTCGCTCCACACGAGGCACCAGGCACGCACGGACGATGGACACAGGTTCGCCTCCCTACCCATGGGCCACGTCTCCACACACACACACAACAATGGCTTCTACCGTACGGCTGTTGTATCGTTGTTAGTATTAGTGCTGCACCTACTCTACGATGATTATGATGGCGAGCTGACGAGACACGAAGTTGTGTGGGCCTCGACACGCCTCGGCAGTGTTGGTGGACATTGTGAAGCCCTGCCACCGAATCGTTACGTAGTTATTATTGAGTCTTCATGGCCTTTATTTAACCATCTGAGTCACCTGTCCAGTTAGTAATTAACTTTATTCACTCGTGAGAGAGAACGGGTTGTTCATGGTCTCCTTAGGGGGACGCCCCATCTCTTGTGTGAACATCATCTGCGTGGTCATTTTGCGACGCGTTTTGAACGTCGCTGATTTCACCGTGATTTTGTGGTCATATCTGGCTGTGCGTTACATGGAACACACCAATGTGTGTGTGTGTGCTTCATTACTGGCTGATGGCCTTTTCTTTGAACCTACGTGACTTTAACGAAAGACCCAAGCATGTGAATTCCTGCGGTCTCGAAAGCTTTAAGTGATAAATGAATATGGCCAGGGAAACGATGTTAGGGGTACATTGATTGGGGGACATCTGGACCAGCCTAAGACGGTGACATGGCCCAGCGGTAGCACATTCGCTGCTTGGAGGTTCGTGGTCCGATTCCACAAGGACACCCCAGTTATCAAGATGGGTTTGTTAGTCATAAATAAGTAACATATATTTTTAAACACGCTTTAATGAAATGTATTAGTAATGGAAGAACTCGACTGCAGGAAGTGGCCCCGAAGCTTGCCATAACGTAAGGGACCGTGGTGATTTACAGCCAACGTCAGTTGAGCGTGGACAGTTGGAGCCAAGCCGAAACATAACATAAAAAAATGTTTTAAAAACTATATATATGTTTTATGATAGAATATAGTATTGTCATCAGTATGACATAAGTATACCAAGTTTGCAGTCGATAACACATTGGGAAGTGGGTTAAAATTGAGTTACAAGATTTGAGGATACAACGACAACAACAGAGTGAGTTAATAAAAAGCGTGTAAAAAATGGTTTTTAAATTATTATTTTTTATGATATAATATAGCATTGTCATCAGTATGACATACGTATACCGAGTTTTCAGTCGATACCACATTGGGATGTGGGTTAAAATTGAGTTACAAGATTTGAGGATACAACAACGACAACAACAGATAGAGCGAGTTAAATAAAAGCGTTTAATAATAATAGAAGCTCACCGTCCGCTTCACACCGGACGTGAAACATCCTCTACTGGCAGCCTAATGCCTGAGCCCCCTTGTGCCAACAATGACAGCTGCCATTCGGGTGCTCTTGCACGTTTGAAATGAGATGTGATGTAATTCGGTCATCACGTGTAAAGCGCCCTGATAACGACGACCCGGGGGTGAGTGAGTGTTGTTATCCGCAGTGAGGTGGTTGGACACAGTGTGGATGATGGTATACATCAAGTTTCACGTCGATTTTGTGTAACCAGGTGAGAATCCAAGAAGAGGCCAGGATGGAGCCTCATTTGCAAGATTGACCTCGGGTATTAGTCTACCAGTAATGGGCGATGATTGCTGTGTGTGTGTGTGAGATCCCAATTGAGTACATTGATTATCCAGCGGCTTGGGGGGGGGGCTGGATTTGAAAACACGCCGGATAAAAAAAAGACGAAAATAAATATCCTAATTTAAAAAGTGATTGTATTTACTCTATCGTACTTACCACTCCAAGCTCAAAGACTGCATTGGGTGATGTACATATGCTCTTGTTTCTGTAACATGTGTTTGAGGATCGCCGGACTGATGCATCCTTTAGACAGTTGCTCCGGCGAACGCCGAATCTTGCCGGATTGCACTGTATATTTTCTGTTTTTTTATTAGTCTTGAAAACATATACGTGCAGTATTTTCATTGTTTTAGTAGTTTATATAGTGTATAATATACTGCATGGAATATTTGGCACTGAAATCAAGCAAAACTACTTTTTTTTTCTACACGCATGGTGCCGATCGCTGGACTGGAGTGGTTTTTCCGGATCGGCCCTGGACCGCCAGATAATGTTGGAAGCGGGATAATCGTGCGCCGGATAATCGATTATCAACTGTAATTTGGCAATCATTTTTGTAATTTGGCAAATTTGAATCGTGGCATCGGCACAAAAATGGCCTACTCTTGCGAATAACGTCACTGGATCTTTAACGTCGCCATTGATACGCCAAGTGCCAGGATCATGCTATTGAGGAACAGCACGGGATGGCTGGGGCCGCTGGGATGGTTGCGTCCAGGACCACATTAGCGTGACGAGCATGCGCCTGCGTGAGGCCGCCGGTCTGGAGGATGCCCGTGATGTTGATGTCTGTTGCCTCGTCGATGCCCGTGTTGGACTTGCTCCGCTCGCTTGCGGGCTGGTGCACATTGACCAGGTGATGCTTGTGTCATTTGGAGCCTAGGCTCAGCAGCGGCAGCGTCTTATGCTCATGCGGATGGCCCTCATTATCCGGTGTCTCGGGGCGGTCGAATCGGCAATTGAGGTGGCGATACTCCACTGAGAACGCCCGCTCTGTCCAGTTGTCCGGCTGGCTATCCTGGTATTCCATGTTTACTTCCAGCGTCATCTTCCACTTTCACATGACATGTGATATCATACATATTGACAATAAAATTTAAACTTGGTTGACAAGTGTATATATATAGTTGGTTTCCTTTTAACAAGTAAAAAATATCTCGCTAAACTGAACGCTGCTTATATTCTGAGATCCGGTGCATTCAGGGTGAGTCAATTGCAGTGAGTGAAGGAGGCGCGGTGATTTATTAACTTAACCTCATCGCCCTGGCTCTGGTATCGTTTGTTCCTCTGAGTGGGCAGAGAGGGAGGACACACGGCGGGCGGCCATGTCCACCTCCCGCAAGGCCCGGCCCAAGAGGCTGGCGCCGGCGACGGCTCTGCCTGCGGACTCTGTGCGGTTCATGGGCGAGTCAGTGGGTGCCTTCCCACTGGTGGACGACGCGTGCGAAACCCTCGCGGAGAACGTTGTCCTACGCCTGCGTCAGCTGCTGCAGGTCTGGGGCGGGAGCCACGGTGGCGACATGTTAACGACCTCGCCTGGTATACAGAAGGTCGTGGGTTCTATTTCGACCCTGACGCCTGGATATTTGGAGTTTGCATGTTCTCCCCTGTGGTCGCGTGGATTTTTCTCCAGGTCCTCTCGTTTTTCCCTCCACATTTAGAAACATGTGTTTCGAGTATTTGGCTGCTATTAATTTCCACATGATGATAAGCCACTTTATTGAGCTATGATTCGTAGCTAGGTCACTTCTGAAAAAGAGCTATATTGCTTGGAGGGCCTTACTTGGTAAAATAAGAAATAGTTTAGCGGCGGCGATGATAGTGATGGCAGTGGTTTAGAAGTGCGTGCTGCGTGTTCCTGTCTCCACCGCCACCACTCAGATATGGCCAGGTGGCCTGGCTGGAGAGCGAGCGTCTCGAAAGGGGAAAGATTTTGGGTTCGGTAAATAATTCAGGTTTGAGTGTCGGCACCGTCATTCAGAGCGACATGAACTGGAGCGGACTTCACTACAGTGTAGAAGTCCTGTGATATATGGGTTGGAGGTAAACTCAGCCCATCATCCCTGATATACCGTTTAATCTTTCTTTACTCCTATGATACATGCATTTCCTCACGTGTGTATGAATGGATTACCATCAATTCATATGCATCGTATGTTATTAGGTCATGCGATCCCTTGCATCTACTGAGGCAAGCAATATAATGCATTATAGCATTTAAAATCATCAATCGGTGAATTGAGACATGACCCTGGATCATGACGATTTATAGAATTGTGGGCGTTTGTGGGTGGGGGTCGGGGGGGAATCGCGAAACGGTGGTGGAGACCGCTCATCCCGTCTCCGTGCAGTCCTGGCAGCAGCACTGCTCCAGCAGCCATTCGGGGCCTTCTCAGTGTTGATGGTTGTGTGATGCACGTTTCAAGTTGATCTTGTATAACCAGGTGACCTGGGTCACCAATAAAATATTTAAAAATACTTTTTTTTTTAAACACGCTTTCATGAAATGTACTGTCCGAGCTGCCCCTCCCCCTGCCACCATCCCCCATCGCCCACTCTCCTCCTTCCACATCCTCCGCTTGCCGTGACGTAAGGGACCGTGGTGATTTACAGCCAACGTGAGTTGAGCGTGGACAATTAGAGCCGTAAAAAAGATGGTTTAAAAAAATATATTTTTAATTTTCAATGATATAATATAGTATTGTCATCAGTATGACATACCTATAGCAAGTTTGCAGTCGATACGACATTGGGAAGACGGTTGAAATTGAGTTACAAGATTTGAGGATACAACAGACACAGTGAGTTAAATAAAAAAGCGTGTAAAATGTTTACAAATATATATTTAAAAATTTTAATAATAGAATATAGTCTTGTCATCAGTATGACATAAGTATACCAAGTTTGCATTCGATAGCACATTAGGAAGTGGGTACAAATTAAGTTAGAAGATTTTTTTGAGGATACGACAACAGACGGAGTGAGTTAAATAAAGGCGTGTAAAAAAATATTTTGCTTTCGAGTCTTTGCAGGAGGCGGCCAAGTTCACCCGAGCGAGCAAACGGCGGCGGATGACCACAGGGGACCTCGACCTCTCATTGAAAACAATGAATGTGGAGGTGAGACCTCTGCCCCCCCTGGTGCGACCTTATATTGTTTTTAATGATAAAATAATAATAATTACAGTGTCATTGTGGAGAACATAAAATCACAAAATAGGTGAGCAGAAAACTCGTCTCCATCTTATTCCTGTCTATTCACGTCACAAAATAAATGCATTTATACACGACCCATGGGCACAACGGCCTCCTAAGAGTACACAAATTCAGCAGCTTTGATTCAGTACAAGTGAGCTCTGGACTAGTTTCACCATGGTGCCAATATCGGTTGTGATGCAGTGATTATGATGTTGTTATTGGTGTTGTTGGTAGTGGTAATATAAACAATTAAATGGCCCCATGTTCACTTCTGTTGAGCTGGTCGTCTGGATATGGCTGAGAGCTTTTGAATATGCAATGTTACACACTTGTCTGCTATTCTCTTTGTTTCCAGCTGCATTTAATATTTCTGTTGTGATGAGTTTTTCTCATAATTTACGGACTTCAGTTGTGTTAGTGTTGTTGATCTTGACAGTGGTTTAGAGTTTGTATTTGTAGTGGTGGTGTTGTTGTTGTTGGGGTGAGTGCAGCCCCTGTATGGGTTCGAGTCCAAGGAGTTCACTCCGTTCCGCTTCGCCAGTGGAGGTGGCCGAGAAGTCTACTTTGCTCCGGAACAGGAGCTGTGTCTGAGCGAGCTCATCAGTACACCGCTACCTCGCGTGCCCCTGCAAGTCTCCATCAGAGGTGCGTGTGAGAGTGTGAGTGCATGCATGTGTGAGAGTTTGTATGCAAGTGTGTGTGCGGTTGAGTGTTTGCATGTGTGTGTGCATATGAGTACATGTGTGAGTGTGGTGCGTGTATGTGTGAGGGTGTGAGTCTTTGAATGTGTGAGTGCGTGTGTGTGTCATGATGTGAGAGTGTGTGAGTGTTTGCATGTGTGAGTGTGTGCATGTGTGTCAGGGTGTGAGAGTGGGTGACGGTGTGATTGTGTGTAACTTGCAACACCACATATATCATCATCCTCAAAGAAAGAAGGGTAATCTGATCTCTGATCGCCAAGAACAGGTTTGCTGGTTTGCTGAGCATTTTTGTGAGGTCTTCAGGGAGTGGAAACCCCTCAGCTCAAACAACATCACAAGGCAAGATGGGGTTAACTCTGCTGGTGCTGCTATGCCTCAAATATTGAAGGAAGTGTTTGTGCGTATGAGTGTTTGCATGTGTGTGGATGAGTATTTGTGTGACTGCATGTGTGTGTGCATGTGTCAGGGTGTGAGAGTTAGAAACATTCAGGCTGGCCTGCCTACGATCCATCCTTGGTTTAACCAGCTGGATTGTGTGAGGAGCTCACAAATCCTCAATATCTGGATACAGTTCCATCGGTGAGCTCCTCCAGCAGGCAAGGCTGCATTGGCTGGGTCTTGGGGCCCGCATTCCAAGTTATCGCATGCCCAAACAGCTTTTGTTCGTCTGGATAGAGGGGGCAAAACGGGCGTGACACGTGCTATAGAAAATATGGAATGATGTGGTACAAGAGGATGTGGAGCTGAGTGGACTTGCCATTAACTGGTACCAGCGGTGTCAAGATTGGCCTCTGTGGAGAAGATTCATGAAGGACGCTACTGGGCAGTTGGAGGCAGTCACCCTCCAGCAACAACGGAGGGCAGAGGAGCGACGCTCACAACAACGAGTGGAGCGCCCGGTGGCTAAAATACAGGAAGTTGGCACAGTAGAGGGCATAGGTGGTGCATCGGACAGTCATCTCAAGTCAGTCAACCCAAGGCACCTGGGTCTATCTCATGACCTCCTGCAAGCGGGCATTCGACACAAGCGCTGCGGTGATGTCATCGCCACTTAGTGGTGAATGGCGGTTGTTGTTGTGTATGTGTAAGGTGTGAGTGTGTATGTGTTTTTATGTGTGAGTGCGCGTGTGTTTGCATGTATGAGTGCATGTGTGTGTTCGGACGTGAAGGTATGAGAGTGCGTGTGTATTTGTGTGTATTTCTAGGAGAGTGGGAGTGTAGTGATTTGCGCCCCGCCCTACGAGATCTGTTCGAGTGCAGGAGTGAGATGGATTGTTGCATTGCGTGGCAATATCCGGACGGCATAGGGATGCCTTCATCTCGTAGTCCATAGACCATGGCTATGTACAGAACAAATACAGCTTCCTGAAAAGTGTATTCACATAAGTCTGGGTGGTATGTATGTATGTATGTTGAACTTCTTTCGCACCATACATAGCCAATCATGCTAATCGGAGGTGAGGGGAACAGACAACAAACTAGACATAGCGTAGTATCGGGTTGCATCGTATGTGTGTAGATCTACCCTCAGAACGCGTGTGCTGTGAATGCACAGGTGAAGTAGCTTGTGTGTGAAGTGCACAGGCAACGTGTTCCGGCCTTGAGGACACGTGTCGCCCTGTGATCTGTGCTGCGCTCAGCTCACTGGCTTTGCATCGATGGCGTGCAGCCGGCGATTCCAGAAAATCCTCCGCCCGGTTCGTTCAATACAAAGACAAAGATCCCCTGTGTAGCCTACACAGGCTGGCGGGGGAAGTGCTGTTAGCTTGCACCTGTGAAGGCCAACTCAGTGCACGCACACTAGTACATGGGGAAGCAGGCCAGGTAGTGGTGCGATGGTGGCACTCCTGCCTCATATCAAGAAGCCCCTGTGTTTGATTCCCAACTTGGGCGCCTTTACACGTGGCATTTGTATGTTCTCCCCCTCTTCTGCATGGGCTTCTTCTTGGGTTCCAGGTTTCTTCCGATAGCTTAAAAATACACACAATGTTACTGTTATTTGCCAAACATCCTAATGCAAAAAAGTACCTGCAAATTACTCATTTGGGATTACACATGGCAGAAACATTTCCCCCTACTGCAAAAACTTGTGCAGGGGCCTTTTAAAAAAAGCGGTCATCAGACTCAGTGAAGTTTTCCTGGGTAAACCAGTAGTAATAATGCACACACACAGAGAAACATGCACATACAGCACACACACACAGTTTAAACATCAGCACTGGGGAGGCGTATACAGCTTACGTGTGCTGCTGATGAACATTGATTTTACAGCAGCGTGTGTGGGAAAGTGTCCTTCCTCGTGTGTGGATTAAAAAGGTCAGTTGAAGGAATCAGAGAAGAGAATATTTGATACCCGGTGATTGCGGGCTGTTCTCCTGCAAACCTTCCAGATGGATCCTTCATTTCATGCCGTGACTCTCAAAGCACAATTGGAATACAATTTTGAAAAAGACCAAAGTTAAAACCCTCATCATCTCTGCCTTGGCCGTTCGTTCTCGACAAAGTGTATTCTATGACACTTCGCCACGTCCTCTGTATGTGTACTTCACTGCCCTGCGGCCCCTACCACCGCGAGAACTAATAAAATCTCTCCTCCCTTTGAAGTCCCCTCGACGTGGGCGCATTCCCCGCTAGATGTGGTCGCATTTACTGCACTGTATTACAATAAGTCACACTCTGCTGATGAGACTCAAAGAAGTTGAAACCAGCCTGGTTTTTTATTGCTTAAACAGAAAGAGTATGGACCTAAACATTGTTTTACAGTATTCCTAGTGGACGATATATACCCTTGTCTGTCCACTTGTTAGATTAAAGGGTTTGTTTTGCCACCGCCACCACCATCATTGTGTTTGATTCCATGTGGCAGTGCCAAGGGAGCAGCAGAAGATGGAGGCGGTGGGGGTGGACGCGAGGGGACCCGTGGGGCTGTCCGGGAGCGTGGACCCTCGCAGAGCAGGTGACGAACCGCACGACGGCAGGGGCAGCCACAGAGAACAACAACTTGAATTTAGAAGATGCTAGAAATCGCCCAACCAGACGTCTCGCAGAGTGGGCACGTGACCGACGGGATACCGACTCCACTGGAGTTAGCGGAGCTGTGCCTGGCGACAGTTGGCGCCGTGTGCGAAGCGGTTCTGAAAATGTTCGCAGTCGTTTTTCAAACTTCCTGCCATTGATTTCCCATAGTTAATTGTTGATAGTTGTTATAACGGCTGTAAATGGAGAATCTGAGATGGTCGATCGATCCTGTCACCATTTATCTAATTTCTCCAATATGATTCTAAAATATATGTTGATATGAGGGACCTGGGCAAGAGTGGATCTCTTTGCCTGATTTGTAGTTTGTTACATCATGCATTTTCCTCGTATGTGTTCCACATTAATTAAGTGCTATTGATTATTTTAGTTAAGGCCTTAGTTTATGGGCACTTGAATGACTGCATCAGTTTCCCACGATTTATATGCCCTTTCATCATCCACAAAAGCCACGCTTCATGGTATTTGATATTCACCGACTTTTATAGAATCTGTTGATGAATATATTTGTGGTGAATGGTAGAAAAATCTATTTAAAAACCGGCTTGTTCTTGTGATGTCCATGAACAGTTTCTTTATGTATGATAAGTGAATGGGCCTATATTCAAAGCATCTTACATAGGTATGCTAATATCGATCTAACATGCGGTCCTGTTTCTGGGATGATATTCAGTTATTCCATCTGTTTCGGGAACTTTCCCTTGCTATACAGAAATTCGTAGATTAATGCAGTAGACGCGTTCCTGAAAAGTGTCGCGTTTTTATAAAAAAACACGTTAAACCAAAACTAATTACCAATAAATAATGTAACGATAAATTGTGGCCAGATACAATGTACGCATAAACAGTGAGATAGCGGGACAAATAACTGAGGGTACACCGTCGTGTTACTGTACCATTCCTAGTACTGTACCACTGTCACGCTCAGACGTGCAGCTCAAGAAAGTAGTTTGTCATCGACTGCTCAGAAACCGCGTTATAACGGTCTGTGTTCCGTTTTATAATGGTGCACACTCCGCATTATACAGTAATGGTGCATGTTCCGCATTATAATGACTTGTTCTGCATTTTAACGGTGCACATGCGAAAAGTGTTCCAGAATTGAAGTACCGCATTATAGCAAAATGCGTTGCGTGAACACCGCGCGTTAAGCGACGACCCTACCGTACTATGAAGGGCAGTGGTTACCTCTTCAGGTTGGACATCTCGAACATCCTCCTTATCTTGGACATCATTTGTTCCAGGAGTCAATTATTTAGTTTGTGATAAATCATTACGTAGCATTTATCCTTTTTACGATTATGTATTTCACGTGTTATGGTTCCATTGTGCTCTAAGGTCTACCGTTTGTATTTGCAATTCACCAATTGGATACATTGTTTCTGCTGTTTTCATGCGTGTATGTGTTTATGAGCACGTGTGTGTGCGTGGGGAGAAAAAGTGTAGCGGTTGGCGTACTGCACTATGAACCCGGTGGCCCGAGTTTGATTCCCACTCACGGCCAACATCTAAACCGGACCTGGGCCTCCCCTAGGGCGGCTCAGTCTTAAATGAGTACTTGGTGAGGTGTGTAAACATCAGCACTTTAACATGTAGACTTTCACGACCAATATTATCCATAATACAGGTTTTTTGGTTAGATCGCATAAATATAAATGTGCGTTAAATCCGCTACTACCCCACCACAGCTGATTAATAAGGTTTGTCACGTAAACAGAACATGCCAATTCGTTACTAGTACAGCACGCCATTGTGTTGGAGAGTAAATCCACAACATTTACAATCCGAGTATGATGTTTCGCCAATAATTACAACTTGCAACATCGGGCGACAGCCAGAGAAAAACTGTTATGGATAACAGCACTGAGAATACAAAGGTGGCCGGGTATGGTATTGGCCACCTCACTCCCTCGTGTGTTGTGCTGGCCTTAATGGGCACTACTCGCGAACAGTACTTGCCCCAAAAATCAGTTAAAGGCTACATGGGGGACCTTTATGTGTGTGCGTGCGCGAGCAGGGCGGGCGTCTCAGAGTGCGTACGTGCGAGTGCATCGGCGGCACCCGCACGAGCTGTCCATGGAGCTGCAGAGGTTCTACTGCGAAGTGACGGAGGCCACCATGGGCTCCTCGGAGCCCAAGAGAATCGTGAGTGCTGCCAGTCTGCTTGCCTGGCTTCCACCACTCCCACACCCGGCAGCACCCAGTTGTGAACACCCAGCACCAACATGGAACACTCAATACCAACGCAGAACACCCAGAACTAGTACAGAGCACCCAACACGCAGCCGTGAACACCCAGCACTAACACAGAACACCTAGCACGATATCAAATACCTAGCGAGTTATAAGAAAGTGTGTGTGGTTGTAATAAATTGTGTGTGTGTGTGTGATGGTTGCTGTCTCTGTGCCATTAGGAGGCCCTGCAGAGCATTGCCATGGAGCCGGGCTTCTATCAACTGATGCCTCAGCTCAGCACCTTCATATCAGAGGGGGTGGGTGGCTGCCTCATGCCATTACCTGAAACATCGCCCTTTAAATGTATTTTCTTCATTTTCGGCAATGTTATTGATGACTGTTGAGTTGGATGTATGTATGTGTTTGGATATATGGTTGTAGGTAGCATGTGTGTGTGTCTATTTCACTCTGTATTTGTCGTTGCCCATGTGTTACTTGCATATTACTCAATTGGGATTGCACATCGAGCAGCAACAGCGCCTCCCACTGCGAAAGCTTGGCAGGACCCTTTTGAAAAAAAGTATTTAAACTGCGTGAGGCTTTCCTGGTTAAGCAAGCGGAATAATAATGTAATAAAGGTCGTGGAAGCCACTTCTGGAATCCGGTCTTTATTTGTCTTTCATTCACAACACTCCCATCTTACTCCTTCACGCTGCTGACAGACAGCGTGAGAGGGAGAGAGAGACACGCGCGGTTACGTGGCAGCCTGGACCCCGCTCCAGCGTGGCCTCACCCTCCGTTCGTTCCAGATCTGATCACGTGTTGTCCGTCTCCACCCCTTTTAATACCCGGGTCACGTGGTACCTTTCCACCAATCTTGGTTACCCTCTATGGAATCTTCTAGACTCCATCGTACGCTCCCACGACCACGGCCCTGACTCGTCCCCCCCATTGGCTATGGGCCAGGACCGGCAGAGCCAATCATGGTAACGAGGTGTGATCTATCAGCAACCCGGATATATCCTCACATTACAATAATAATGATCACAATCAGGAATAAGACAGCTATGTACCACATCCCCATGCCCACCCGCCTTCGCCTCACCCCAATATAGCTTGATTGCATTGTCTCTGTCCCATGCGTCTCTTCTTTCCACCTTGGTCTGTGCTCGTTATGCTGCTACTATTTCTGCTGCTGCTGTAGTAGAAGTAACCTCCACTGCCTTAGTCACTGCTGCTGCTTCAGGCTGTGTTTGCACAGGATTGCGTAACACACGTAACACACAAAGACGCCTAGGGCCTCTGCCGTTACGCCAGAAGAGTACACAGGCAGCAGTAACGTGCCGCTGCTTGTGCTGCTGTTGTTCCAGGTGCGGATTAACATTGTCCACAACAACCTGGCTCTACTCATCTACCTGATGCGCATGGTGAAAGCACTGCTGGAGAATCCGAACATCTACCTTGAGAAATACGTACGCGCATGCACTCCCGCAACAAAAGACAAGGATTCCCCTTATAACCTTTGCAGACTTTTGGGGCAAGCGATCTTAGCGAGTAGCACCTATGAAGGCCGGCACGGCACACGAGGGGGTGGGGTGGCCAGCACCACGCCAGGCGACCTTTGTCTCCCTAGTGGCGATGTTTACACACCATACCAGATTTCGTATGATCAATGAAGAGCAACTTATTGAGAATCTGTTTGAAGTCATTTAGCCATTCAGTTTGCTTTATTTTAAGAGTTGGTGAATTGCAGATACAAACACAGATCCCTCGTATAGCCTTAACAGACTGTTGGGGCAAGTGCTGTTCGTGAGAACCCATTCACACACCGACCGCCTTCAAATGGATATTTGGGGCAGTGCGAGATTCTATGACCGATTTGGTTTGATGTTCGTAGGCCACAGTCGCACACAGGAGAACATGTTGACTTCCACTTGTGCCTCAAGTGTCCGCAAATTCCTTGCGAGATGGAAATAGGGCAGTCTGATGGTAGGGTTACTGATGAGCTCCGTGTTGTGATGCTGGGCAGTGTTGTGATGAGCTGTGTGTTGTGAAAGTCGAGCAGTGTTGTGGTGGGCTCGCTGATGAGCTGTGTGCTGTCGAAGCCAGGCAGTGTGTTGGTGGGCTCGCTGATGAGTTGTGAAAGCCGGACAGTGTGGTTGTGGGCTCGCTGATGAGCTGTGTGTTGTGGAAGCCAGGCAGTCTGATGGTGGCCCCACTGATGAGCTGTGTGTTGTGGAAGCTGGCAGTGTGGTGGTGGTTCGCTGATGAGCTTTTTGTTGAACACGTTATTTTAATCTCACAAATTGGTCCGTACCTTGAAAGGCAGAGTCTCTGTATCAAGGCTGCTGCTACTGTGTCTGCGTGCACTGCTGCAACAGCTACATGAGCTGATGCCCGCCATGCTGTCATGCGTCGTGAGTCGCCAGCTGTGCCAGCGGCCAGACGTCGACAACCACTGGGCGCTGCGGGACTTTGCATCACGCATCGCGGCCCAGGCGTGCAGGATGTACACGTCACCTGCCAACGCCCTGCTGGGCCGTACCTCCAAGGCCATGCTCAAGGTGTGCGATGCGCGTCTCACCGCGTGTGCGACACGTGTCTCAGCGTGTCTCATGCGTGTCTCAAGGCACGAGTACACATGACTCTCACACCTCCATAACCCAAACGTCCGTATTCCAAGTGATGGCTCGAGCTGGGCTCTGGCTCCGATGAGGCATGGCTCACTCAAAGCCATGCGCTTAACATGAGTCGGCTCTTGAGTATGGGTCCCTGCCACGCTCAGGATTCCTATGAGCCTGAGCCTGGCCATGGCTGAGCCGCTCCATCGTGTGTCTTCGGAAACCAATGGAGCGGCTAAAGCCTGAGCTGAGCCTGAGCATTAAAAGCTGAGCCAGAGCCGTGACTAAGAATGTCCCGAAGACTTCACTCTTGCTCGATCCATACTAATGATCATAGCCAAGGCCAAAACTCTCACGACTACAGCCCTGAATTATTAACTACTACCCCATGATACCATCTCAAGGGGTGCCTGATCTAATGTTTTCACATTCCCCAAACTTTACAACTCCTCTGTCAAAGCACTATCGGGATAAGCAACAGCATCCAGTCAATACATAATTCCCATGCCACTGCCCCGCCATGATCACGAGTTGCCACTATTTAATCTCACTCCATCTAGCCCAGGGGTCGGCAACCAAAATAACAAGAAGAGCCATTTCTTTCCAATTCGGTACAAAATTCAGTATTTCAAGAGCCGCAATGCATCTGAGTACATACGTACTCATCGTCAAGAAGCAGCCCGTAAAGAGCCGCATGCGGCTCCGGAGCCGTAGGTTGCCGACCCCTGATCTAGCCTGTACCGTCTTGCACGTAACGGTTATGACCCCCTCCCCGCCCCTATGCCAGAGCCTGAGTGACTCTGCGGCGGTGTGGACCACACACTACGGCTGCCTCGCCGTGCTGTGCGAGCTGGGACCAGAGGTGTGGGTCACACCACCACCATGCTGCCCTTTTCACGATGCTTATCATTGTCGGCCTCATGGTAATCATTTACTACACTTGGGTTTTGGAGCTGTTTTTATACTCATAGAGAAATGTATTTTACCAGGTAAAGGCCACTGAGCTATTAGCCCTTTTTTATTAGCCGCCTGGTCACACATGATAGTTCAACGAAGTGGCTTATCACGTGTGGGAATTTATAGTAGCAGCCAAATACTCTAAACGCATGGGGAGAGCGAGTGAAATGTTCCTTGGTTCTTTCGGTAAAGTCACGTCGAAAGAAAATAAATTAAATAATAGAATACGACGTTTCGATTACAACACAAGCAATCGTCATCAGGTAGAAAACAAACCTAGTGAACTTAGAAATGCAATGCAATCCAATACAGAGAGTTGGCCAACACAACAGTTAGCACCGTACCTGGTGGTTACGTTCTTCCAAATGTAATCAACGACTTCCACGACGATCTTGACTGGCGTCTTTTATTGATAGAATTTTTGCACAGCTCAGTCCCGCTCTCCCTGTATGTTTCCCTTCCTTCTTTACGGCCGGGGACGAGCCGTTCTTTCTGTTCGCCTCTCTCTCCCTGATCTTGCCGCTGGCTGGCGGCGTGCTTGGTTGTTGGCGAAGAGAGGTTTGTGCAGCGACACGGTCCGGACTCGAGGCTTCACACACCGACCCCTGAGTCCTCCGCTGCCCCTGCTCATATCCCTCTCGGCGGAGCTTAGCTCCGCCTCTAGCCACGCCCCCTCGTGGAACCTTCCCGATGGTTCCCGAACGTTCCCCTTTGACTCCGCCCATTACCTTAGGCCCAGATATATCCCCGCTTGGGATTGGATACCCGCTACCCGGTGGTGGCCATGCGGTTACCCCTTTCCGCCCATTAGATGGCGCTCTCTCATTACATCACCACCCTCCTCCCATAATGAAAAAACTAGCTGTCCCGGCTAGGGTCAATATTAGAGGCCGACCAAAATTCGATTTAGGTTTCGGCGCCAAGAGTTGGCAAATGGCCACTTTCAGCATACTTTCGGTTTCGGTCTGGTTTCGGTTTCAGCCGAAACTGATATTGACTTGCGGTCATCAACCGAAGATGTATTTTTAGAATATAACGCTAGTGCGACGTCTATCTCTCTGCCTATCGGCCGGTCAGTCGGCGCTAGGCAATCCCATGCGATAGGCTGCAGACACACGTCAGCAGCAGCTTAGGAGCAAGGTTAACGCCGCAACCATGTACAATACTGCTAATGTCAACAGACGGCAGCCTGCATCTGCATCCGTGGGTGGAGTCTCTTTGGCGGGACGACAAGTCTACACGCATGTTGATACCGAGATTCGAAGTCTGACAATATTGATTTTCAGTTAGTTAATAGTTCCGTAGCGAATTAGTGATAACGAAATTACGAATCTGAGTGAAGTAGAAAATTAAAGTTAATAAACAGAGCAGTTAATCACTAAAGTCGATTATGATGCCAGCAAGGCGCTGCAACCTGCTGGGCGAGAATACGGAAAAAGTGGTATTTCTTAACTACAACATTCGTTTGTTTGGATATAATTACTAAGTAAGTAACGCCTAAATATTTGATATTTAGCGACTCTTACTGCAGGCTCTGAATGATTAGTTCTAGATTTCTTTTTCATTAAAATAGCATTGCATCATGACATATTTCATAGATCTTGTAGTCTCGGCCGAAAGTGTAGTTAAACTTTCGGTTTCTGCTTCGGTTTCGGCCGAAAGTGTAGTTAAACTTTCGGTTTCGGCTTTGGTTTTGGCCGAAAGTCAATTTTTAACTTTCGGTCTGGTTTTGGTTTCGGCCGAAACCAGAAATTCAGTTTCGGTCGGCCTCTAGTCAATATAGTTACGAGTAATGGAGAGACATGGTAAGAACCCAAAGGTAAGAAATATAAGGCCATACCCAACAGGGACAAGGCTATAAAATTAAGAATTAACTTTGAGAGTAAAAGAAGTAAGACAAAACCCATAACGCAGGTAGAGTAATAACATGCAGCAATGTCAACAAAACCGAGATGTTTTGGAACGAGTCCGCGACGCCGGACCATCCGCGGTAGCCGCAATTCGGTCCGCATTGGCCGACACATCGGGAGGCAGGACCGGCGATTGAGGAGTAGACAGATCCGTCGCAGTCGGGCTGGTCCGGGCGGGGTTACTGCCTGCAATGGCGGTCAAGGATCTGGATGCTGTGGGCGGCAAAACAGAATCCCACGGGGGATCACCCTGTAACCGCACCGGCCCCAGTTTGTCGGACACGTCAGACCCCGGCAGACTAATTACTGGAGATGAAGAAACGACATGCGGGGAATTGAATGGTTTCAACTGAGATGGGTGGACGAACGACCGACGACGACCCGCCCGAATGCGTACACATTGCGGACTTCTAATCTCAACCTCCTCAACAGGACCGTGCCACGTCTTATGTAATTTGGGAGAAGTGCCAACGGGCACCTGAGGGCAATGTAGCCAAGCCCTGTCACCAATGGACCACGGCATATCTTGGCCGGACCTGCGCGCACAGCGCTCATTGCACGCCAGTGTCTTTTCGGTATTAATTCTAGCCGCCTCCCGAGTCTCAGAAATCCGGCGCAGGGAGCCCCAAACATGGTCCGGCAGGGTGGATTTCGTGCTGCCAACAGGCGCCCCCAATTGACCATCTATAGGTGGCACATTTTTCCTCCCATGCATAAGAAAAAACGGCGAATATCCCGTGGAAGCATGCGGGGCTATCCTGTACATTTGGAACATGCATCCTGTACACTTGGAACATGCAAATCCCAATCAGCCTGTTTAGTATCTACAGCCTGACAAAGCATAGCGGTCAAAGTCCGATTTAACTGTTCGACCATACCATTGGTCTGAGGGTGGTATGGCGACGTCCTGATTTTCTTAGTGCCCAGTGCGTCGCAAACATCGCGTAACAATTTAGAAGAAAAATTACAACCTTGGTCAAGCCATCGGCCACCGAGAAAAATATTCCATCCCACCAAAAGATATTTGTTTCCCCTAGGAGTGATTGGAAAGGGGCCCAGTACATCCAGCGCCATTAACTCGTTGATACGCGATACTGAAATATATTGCAGCGGCGGATGACACTTCTCCTGCGGTGGCTTCCTCCGAGCACATTCAGGGCATGAATGGATACATTTAGAAACATGGGCAGTCATGCTAGGCCAATAGTAATCTCGTTGCAATGTCAGCAAGGATTTTTGAACACCAAGGTGCAACAATTTTTCCCCGTGCAGCACGCGAATCAAGCCGTCACGTAGAGCAACGGGAACAACAAGCCGCCAGCGATCCAGCATATCATCCCTCCACATCAAAAGGCCGTCATGAAAAACCAAGCGGCCACCCTCATCCGACTTAGAAGACTTATGTGTATGTTCTACTAGACGCCGTAAAGTCCGTAAGGAGTCGTCCAGCAGCTGCTCGTGCACCCACACAGAGCGCAGAAGCTGCTATAGTCAGCCGGAGCATCTGCGTTGTGCGCGATTGGATTGGCCACCGCGGACATGACAGGTCACGGTAACGAGGCAACAGGCGCACAACGACTCGTTCCAGAGGAACACGCGCAGCGATGCGCATGCAGCAGTCACGACAGGGCATCCGCGTTACAATGCGGGGAGCCCTTATGATAAACCACATCGAACAAAAACTCCTGCAATATCTCGAGCCAACGAGACAGCTGGCCGGCTGGTTGCTCGACTTTCAGGCAGTACTGGAGGGGCCGCATGATCAGTGCATTTCCTGCCGTAGAGGTAGGGTCTGTATTGCTATACAAAATAAACAATCGCCAAAAGTTCCCGTCGAGTGACGCAATAGCGACTTTCCGCAGGGGAGAAGACACGGCTGCCATAAGCGACCACCTTTTCGACACCGTTTTTCACTTGGAATAAGAGTACCGATGCCCGTATTGCTACCATCGATGTCGAGGGTAAACAGCAAGGAAAAATCTGGATATTCAAGTGTGGGCGCATCTGACAATTGTTCGTGGAGAGCCACGAACGCAGCTTCCTTCTCTGGACCCCATCTGAACCTCTGATTTTTAGCAGTCAATTCGTGCAAGGGTTTAGCGACCGTAGCGAAATTTGGCACGAACCGACGGTTATACGAAGCAAATCCGACGAAACTGCGCACATCACCCACGCATGTGGGGGTTGGCCAATCACGAACACATGCAATTTTCGCCGGGTCCGTGGCAATGCCATCGGAACTGACAACATTGCCCAAATAACGCACCGAATTTTGCAACAAGGGACAATTTTTCGGCTTGAATTTCAAGTTAGAGCGCATCCTATCAAAAACAGAGCGCAGGCGGCGGAGGTGCTCATCAAAAGTGTGACTGAAAACAATGACATATAAATAAATGAGGTAAGTGTCCCACTGCAACCCGGCCAAGACGAGCTCCATTAAGCATTGAAGCCGAATTCAACGCCATCGGAACGCAATTAAACTGAAAAAGTCCCTGAGGCGTACGGAAAGCAGTTTTCTGTTTCGATGAGTCATCCAATAGCAATTGCCAGAACCCGGAGGACAAATCGAGAGTCGAGAAATACCACGCCCCGGACAAAGCATCAAGGGAGTCATCCATGCGCGGGAGCGGATACCCATCGGCCACTTTGTTCAACTTGCGTAAATCAACGCAGAATCTGAGGTTACCATCCTTCTTCTTAATGAGCATGCCCCACGGGCTATTTCACGGCGAAATCATTTTTGCGGCCAGCATGTCATTGACAGCGTGTTGCATGTGTGCTTTCTCCACCGGACTCATTCGATGCGAATTTTGACGGATGGGGCTGGCGTCACCCGTATCAATATGGTGCGACAAAAGGGACGTGCTTTCCAAATCGAAATCTTTTACTAAAGACATCTGAGAATTCACACAAGTGAACACAACTTGTTCCACTGCTCGGACGACAAGGATAAATTCTCTCCACATAACTCTGCGACCCACCGATTGTCCAAAATAGAAGAGGGATGAGTCGCCCCCACCAGTGGATGCGACTCAACCCCGTCGTGTTCCGAAAAGGCGGTGGTGGCATGGGCCAACACCGTGCCAGCAGGAACAACAACCGCATCCGGCCCCCCATTAAGAACCTGCAAGAATGGGGCCTGCTCAGAACGAACGATCGTCTGTGTGCTAGCAAGCCTCGGGTCGCAGTATTAGATGGGGTCAGAAAGACGCCAGACGCCGCACTATCGCATCGGATTCCCTTACGATAACGCAACGGCACTAGCATTTGAGAACCCGGCGGAATTTCGACCGTGACATCAGCTAGCGTCTGTACGGCGGCACACAACGGCGAACGCAAGAGCGGGGATAGTAGGAAAAATGATTTGCGACCCGACGGCATTTCCAAGCAGCCCTGGTCCACCAAGATCTTAACAGGCATTCTCCGAAGGAAATCGGTGCCTAACAAACAGGGCACGGCCAGCAACCTGGAGATCAAAACCGGCCCCGACGCCACGACATCACCGATCGCAATATGGGCGTCCACCTGGCTGATGATGCCCATGCTACCGCTGTTAGCGGCGGCACAAGCGTCAAAGGCTGGACGGACTTGCGAAAGGGGGATCGACAATAATTGAAAGATAACATCAGAAGTTATCGTAGCGGAAGCCCCCGTGTCCACGAAGACGCAAACATCCACCCCTGAATCGAACCAGGCACAGCCGAGCATTCCGCAGCCACCGCAACCACGTGACGCGCTAGTTTTTTCCATTGTGTTACCGAAATGGGCCATCCTTTAGCAACCGAACCCGAACACCCAGCGTCAACACACAACCCACGATGTGAATGAATGTGCCCCGTGCCATGAGATGCATGAGGTGGTGAATTTGGCCGGTGTCCAACGCATACCGACTCGCCTGTGTGGGAGGATGTTGAGCCGTCGGAGCAGCAGCCGAAGTCGGTGAACGAGGGCGACCCCGGCAATCCCTCGCGTAGTGGCCCAACAGGTCACACCTGAAGCAGGTGGTCGTTGAGCTCCCCAGTCATCACCCCGACATGGCCTGTTGATCCCTCGGCGACGTGCAGCATCGCCCCGTCTTCGATCCCAAGGAGGAACCGCCGCCGCGGGATCACCCTCGGAAGCCGCGTCTTCAGGTGGCATGTGTACAACTTTAGTTGGTGACCACCCCTTTGGCTCCCCGTCTCGGCTAGGATCACCCGTCCACGCAGCCATCTGCGCCCCCTGCTGCAGGCTCTCGTGTGCGTGAAGGCATCTGGCAGCCCATCGAGATGACTGCACAGCATGACCAAACGCCGGTAGAAGCACCCCCATGTCCCTTGCCAGAGCCAACATCTGTTCCATAACCAACGAGTCAAGGCACTCTTGTTTAACATCAGCGTAGGCAGCCACAGCCAATGCCATCAGAGCACTACGGTAGGCGAGAGGAGACTCGGAGCTTCCCCGCCTCCGTTGCATGAACTTGGTTTGTAGACTTCCGCCATCTCAGTGTACGCATCTTGTAAAGTTTTCTTCTTGTCAGGGGAAATCGACCTGAACACCGCCAGAGCGTCGTCATCCAAGACGTTCGGCAGAGCGATCAACGCCTCCTCCGACCAATGTACTGACCGAAATGCCGCCTCGAACCGCCAAGTATAAAGTCGCTCCAATCACCTCCAGCAGCGACAAATTATTTTAACGTGCGTAAGCCGGCGGGTGCGCTCGGCCCCGTTACGTCCAACTGCAGCAGCGGCCCCCGCAGGTTGCGCACCACGCGGCTCTTCTGAAATGGCGGGCTCCGACCGCGCCCTTGCCGCGCCGCCCAAGATGGCGGCGTCCTGCTGGCCTCCACACAACTGGCCTCAACTGGTTGTGTGGAAGTCCACTCCGAAGCGGCCAGGGGAGAGAGAGAGTGAATGCACCTGTGAGAGCCTGGTGAATTTTGGAGAGAGAAATGGGCAGTTTGAGATTTTTTTTTTGAAGTGTGGTGCAATGCAACGCGGAGAATCGGCTAGCACACAGTTGGCACATGGCCTGGTTGATTGCATTCTCCAAAGATTGTGTCTGTGTTTTGTCTCCCTCTCAAATTTAGCAATCTTTGGAAGAACGTAACCACCAGGTAAGGTGTTGACTGTTGTGTTGGCCGACTCTGTGTTAGATTGCATTGTAATTCTAAGTTCACTAGGTTTGTTTTCTACCTGATGACGATTGCTTGTGTTGCAATCGAAATATTTTATTCACAAAAGCTTCAAATCAAGTTAGAGTGAAATGTGTTGATAGTCTTTGCTCGGTCACCAATAACCACAAAAACGATCATGTTCACTGGGGTTTTCAACTAATTTTATCTGTCCCCAGGCTGGTGACTAACAATGCAGAGCATAAAAACAGGCATTATCAGGGGTTGGGATCAAACCCACGCCCTCCTGCGTACCAGGCGAGGGAGATAACATCTCGCCACTGCGGCGCCCCAGTCACCATTATCGGCCCCATCGTCATCGTAATCAACAGTAGTCATTGAGTACACTTGGGTCTTCGCACCATTCGCATAGCACGGGACTATCACAAAGAAAGATGCTGCTGTATTTTACAGACACAGTCTGCTCTATTTGGTCGCAGCAGGAAATGTTGCTCTGTGTGTAATCCCGATTGAGTGTGGCGGTAAGCTGGCGGCGCAGTAGTAACACCCGTGCCTCACAGCAAGAAGGGCCTGGGTTCGATTCCTGACTCGTGCTCCTTTGTGTGTGGAGTTTGTATTTTGTTCCCCGTTCTGAATGTGCTTCTTCTGGGTTCTCCGGGTTCCTCCCATAGCAACAACAAAAAAACCCTCGCATTGTTACTGAAAATTACTCGATTGGGATTACACACAGCAGCAACGTCACCCCTGCTGACCACGGAGACTTGGCAGCACACTCCTGAAAAAGTATCTGGAGACTGAGGCTTTCTTGGGTAAACAAAGGCAATAATAATGATACAACAAGAACAATAATAATAATGAACCCTTGGGCAATGCGGCACCCCTCTCTGCCATGTGCTGTGACTGGGGCGGTCACCACTGTGGTCCCCAGGTGATCTCCTCGCTGGTGCTGCCCCGCCTCAAGCAAGAGGGAGAGAGAATCCGGTCGATCCTGAGCGGGCAGGCCATCAGCAGTGGCGATCTCTTTGGCGCCCAGCGCGTGGAGAGCATCATCCTGGTGAGATTGGTGGCGGTTGTGTGCTCTGAATGTTTCCATAACCCGGAGGAAGCCCGTGCAGAACAGAGGGAAACTATTCATCCTTTACAGAGAGAGGCGCCCAAGTAGGGAATTGAACCCAGGGCCTTCTTGCTCTCGTAGCTTGGGTCAGGGTAAGTGTCAGCCTAAGGGTGAGGGGCTAGGGTCTGGGTTACGGTCAGTGTTCATAGGTGATGGCCCTGGCGAGTGTTAGGTTCAACATCGCACGGTATGGGTAAAAAGAGTATTCCAACCTGCACTGATTATAATCTGTTACGATGGGTTATTCTTGTCACTCACAGAATCGATCAATGGGGCAGTGTTGGTTAGGGTCATGGTCAGGACTAGAGATATGATCATGGTTAGGCATGTAAATTGTATCTCATCTGGACTGTCATCCTTTTCAGTCTCATTTTGTCTGTTTTCTCTGTATGGTCTGTTTCCAGCGTACCTGCCCTGTGTCGTTCTGCCTCACCCTGCCTCGTTCTGCCTCACCCTGCCTCGTTCTGCCTCACCCTGTGTCGTTCTGCCTCACCCCGTGTCGTTCTGCCTCACCCCGTGTCGTTCTGCCTCACCCCGTGTCGTTCTGGCTCACCCTGCCTCGTTCTGGCTCACCCTGTCTCGTTATGCCTCACCCCGTATCGTTCTGGCTCACCCCGTATCGTTCTGCCTCACCCCGTATCGTTCTGCCTCACCCCGTATCGTTCTGCCTCACCCTGCCTCGTTTGTGCCTCACCATGCCTCGTTCTGCCTCACCCTGTCTCGTTCTGCCTCACCCCGTATCGTTCTGGCTCACCCCGTATCGTTCTGGCTCACCTTGTCTTGTTTTACCTGTATTCTCTCTCACCGGTACTTTCTTGTAAAATTTTGACGTGAAACTTTCATGACCGCAGGAATTCATATTCTTGGTTCTTTCGGTAAAGATGTCATCAACCACTTTGGGTCATGACTTGATTTGTGTTTTCTTATCAACTTTTACCGTCAGCAGTGTGGATGGGTGTAGCGAGGTGCACTGCCCTCCCCCCATCTCTACCCCCCTCTCTCCCCTGATCTCTACGCCCCCCCCCCCTCTCTCTCTCTCCCCTATCTCTACCCTCTTCCTCCCCTCATTGTCTAACACACTTGGACTGCGCCCTCGCCTTCCAGCTCCACCTCTATCTCTGACCCCCCCCTCTTTCGCCCCCCTATCTCTGCCCCCTCCCTCCCCCCATTGTCTAACGCATTCGCTTTACTTGTGTAGAGGAGTCATGTGAGCAACCATGAACGGGCGAACAGAGGGAGGTGCGAGCGAGTTGACAGCCGAGGATGACGTCATGTCACGGGTGCTGTAAGGGGGTACTTAAGGGGGACCCCTTGACGAAAGCGGGGTCGTGGGGAACCAGGGAAAGGATCGGCTGGAAGAAGAGAGCTAAGGGATAGCCGAGAGGAGGGTCCGGAGTATTCAGTAGGGATCGGCTGAAAGAGGGTTTCTCTCTCCTCGTCGCCGGACGGTGTTGGATGAGCCCCCCGTTCTGGGCAGACGAGTGAGAGAGCCCTAAAGGATAGCCGAAGGCAGGGCCAGGTACTGTTGAGAGTCCGGGGTAAGGACCCAGATAGAGGACACCTACCTCTGGTGTGAGTTTAACAGTGTTTAATAAACGGCAACAGCCTTGTAGTAAATCCCGTCTCCGCGTGGTCTTACTGCACAACACTTGTGTAGTGTGGTAAAATACGCGGTGTGCACTGTTGGCCGAGGGCAACCGAGGGTAGGCAGGTGCGTGTGTGCAACGTGAGGTTGCACGAGCAAACCTCCACCTCATTAAGGGGAGAATCGGGTACAGATGGGGTCGGCCCGGGGTTGCACGCTGACACCGGAGGTGTTTCCAGGGAGACGTGCGATAAGGGGTGATTGATGGCCTGATAAGCGCCAGCCTGTCTGGCCCTAAAGAGACACAAGGGAGGAGCTGGATAATTGGGAGGAGGATATAAGGAGGTGCGTGATAGCGGAGTGGGAGTTCGGGTTTGCTGGGACCAAGGTGAAGACATCTCGCCGCTGCCGCTCAAGCCAGGGACGGACCTCAACCCTCACGAGTCGCCGGGCGGGTGATGGTTGATCTCCCCGCCCGGATCGGACGAGTGAGTGGGTCTGAGGGAACGTAGGCGAGGGCAGCGGTGCAGAGTGAGGGAAGCTGCGTGCAAGCCTCTGTGTGAGCGAAGCTGTGTGCAAGCCTCTGCTGCTGTGTGCATGCTCTGTGTGAGCGCTGCTGTGTGCGAGCTCTGTGTGAGCACTGCTGAGTTGCAGAGCCTCGAGTGCGGAGCTACCGCGAGCGGGAGCTGCTGTGTGCAGAGCTGTGAGTGCGGAGCTGCTGAGAGGAAGAGCTGCCGCAGAGATAGGGGAAGTTAGTTAACAAAATTGACCGTATAGACAGAGACAGGAGTGTCTACAACTGAATAGAGTAACAAAGTGTAAGCAGGTGACCTGTAACAACATGTCTGACTGAGTGATTTTACAAGACACTACATTTGTACTTCTGGTGCTTTGCTCCTACATTTGCGCTGGCTGCCCCGCCTGTGCTGTTTACGCCGCACAGCTTTGCTCACTTTGAAAGCTCTTATATGCAGTTTCATTTGGAGGCTTGCCCCCTCTTTTTTCTCCGCATGATGAAGACTGCTTGTGTTGCGATCGAAACGTGGTGGGTTTTTTTACTTTTATTATTTGCATAAATAATTAGTTATTTATTTCCTATCTACGTGACTTTACCGACAGAACCAATAATATGACTTTCTTGTTCGTTTTATTTTGGTTGCACTGCTGTGGTTTTATGGACCACACGGTCCATCTTGCTGCCGTCTGGTTTATTCTGACCATTATGTGCATATTTTTTGTAAACGTATATTCTCCACCAATTTGATTTTACACTTGTTTACCCAGCAAGGTCTCGGTGAGTCTAGACATTTTTTGCAGGAGGGTCCTGCCAAGTTTTCACAGTTCAGGGACAATGTTGCTGCTGTGTGTGATCCCCATTGAGCGCTTGGCAGGTAATTATTACCATTGAAAGTTTTTGGCCAATACCAGTTACATTGTAAGTGTTTTTTGAGCTATGGGAGGAAACTGGAGAATCCGTAAGAAACCCATGCAGAACAGGGGGAGAACATACAGACTCCACACAAAGGTGCCGGAGTTGAGAATCGAATCCCAGGGCCTTTTTGCTGTGAATCACAAGTGTTGCCGACGTGCCACCCTGCCATCCTACATGTATCATCACTGTCATCATCGTCATCATCGTCATTGTCATCATAATAATTGATGTGAATGTTCTTCTTGGTTCTTTCGGTAAAGTCACGTAGAAGGGAAGTAATAAAATAATAAAAATAAAACATAATAAAACAATTCTCACGACGTTTCGGCCACAACGCAAGCAGCCGTCCTCAGGTGAAAACCAGGTCCGTCGAGGCGACAGAGTCTGAATGAAACAGCACACGAGCTTGGAGCATATATATAAGCTGGGCGCATTGACAAAGGAATTTGCATATCAAAAGGAATTTAGCATATTTATGGGAAATGCAGGAATGTGATTAGTACTGAGGACGGCTGCTTGCGTTGTGGCCAAAACGTCGTGAGAATTGTTTTATTATGTTTTATTTTTATTATTTTATTACTTCCCTTCTACGTGACTTTACCTGAAAGAACCAAGAAGATGAATCCCTGCAGTCACGAAAGCTTTAAATCGAGATGTGAATGTTGATGAGTTACTTGCCCATTAATGTTGGGACTTGCCTTTGTCTGTCTTGTCCCTTTGCTGCCCTCTCCTCTGCTCCCCCTGCCCCCCTACCCCCGCTGCCCAACAGAAGCACTGCGCACCGGTGCTGGCGCAGCAGCGCGCGGTGCCAGACGTGGTGCCCGCGTACTGCAACGACTATGGCTGGCTGGGCCCCGCGCTGTGTGAGCACGTGCTGCGCGCTCGCTCGCTCGCCCTGCGCTCCACGCTTTCCTTGCAAGCACAGGTCAGAGGGTGCTGTCATGGGTCCGGGGGTGTCCGCTCTGCTCCCACTCCTCGTCGTGTCCCCTTCTTTCCCAGTCTACTCTCCTTCTCTCTCTTCTGTCCCTCCTTCTCCCTGTGCCCAATCCCATCTTCGCTCCTTCTCCCTCCTTGCACTCCTCCACTGGAATGAACTTGCCCTGTTTATTAAGCAGCACTGCCCATAGACTAACACTGCCCATAACACTGCCCATAACACTGCCCATAACACTGCCCATAGACTCAACAGTGCCCATAGACTCAACACTGCCCATACTCAATACTATCTCTGTATATTCAGCTGTCTCTTTCCTTGACCTTCTATTTCTCTCTTAAAGCCTCATCTCTTCTCTATTGCCCATTCTCATCCCTCACCCCTCCACTTCTTCCCGTCCCTCCCCTACCATTTCGTGATCTCTAAGTACCCCTCTTTGGCTATCACTCATTCCGCAATTGTTGTACGCCCCTGCCATCTGCATCATTCCATTCTGTCACCGCTTTGTAAGCTATATCAGAGAGTGCCTTTAGTGAAGTGAGGGGTACTTAGTGAAGGCACTCTAAATATAAATTAGAATTAGATTGGTGTCTTGTGTGTTCCCCGGGGTTGCCAACAGGCTGAACGTGAAGAGGGCTCTGTTACTAGTGCAGGAAACTTAGGGCCTGAAACACAAAGGAAGAGACGCGCAGAGGTGCAGAGATAGAAATGGAGCAAGATGCACACAGAGTCTCTCTAAGAGGGACACCATGACAGATGTAGAAACAAAGAATGAGAGGGGGACAGACACAAGGTCCTCATGGCAAGACTATCCAAGAAAAACACTTGACGGTTGTATATAAAAACAGACTTTCCTATTGTATACAAGTCTAAGGTCCTCTGCGGCTTGTATTTTGCGTTCTCCAAGTTCCTCTGCGTCGTTGTTCACACACGGTCATCATGTGCCCCTCTCCGTGTGCCGTCCGCTAGCGGAGCACGGTGGGAGCTCAGAGCGCCGTCCCAGCCAGCGTCGCCGCCCAGGGCCCCGCGGCCCCCAGCGGCGTTCCACGACTGCCGCCCACCCCCGCCAGATCCACGACAATGGCATCCGCGGCACCAGCGGCAGTGGCAGGGCCCCCGTCCGGCCGAGCGCTCCCCACGTCGGCGACGCCATCGGCGCCGGGTCCCCCGTCGGCGAGTGCCGGCGCCGCCTCCCTCGAGGCACGGTGCTGGGCGGTGGCCAAACCAGCGATGGCCGACGGGGTCTTAAAAGAGCGGCTCCTCTCCCCGTCGCTGCCACCACCACCACCGGCGCCAGCCAAGCAGCTCGTGGCAGTATCCAGCAGCACGGCAGCGACGGCGGTCACCGTACCACAGGTGAGTGGCGCTTGCCCCCTTGCCCTTTCTGGCTACTTCGTTTGGGTTTGAGAAACAAATTGGAGGAAGGTGCAAGCCGAAGGGCTGTAATTAGAGGTTGACGGATGGCTCGGCAGGTTCATCATGGACATGTGTCAGAGCACTGAGCCAGCTACCGCTGAGGTCCTTGCTTTGGATGCAGGTTTAGCCACCCATGATTAAATTGAGGGTATTGAGTGCAGTGGACTAATGGACTCGGTTTCATCAGTAATGACTGTAATTGTGCTTTTGGAATTATTTAATGAAACAGATAAACATGTCCATAAATCTCGCAGCAAAGGATGCACTACATGGTGACATCGAACAGACCCAGGCCTCATTAGGTCTGATTATCCACACAAGGCGACACCTATTCTTATGCCCTGTATTCATGATCACACGTTTTGGTCCTCAGTCTGGGACAAATCAAATTAGTCGTGCAGTCATTAGTGACCTAGCAGGGTAAAAGCAACACACTTCACTTGAGAGCACAGTTCAATCATCTGACCTCAAACCAGGATCTCAGTGGTGCTGGCTCCGTTTTCCCCAAACATCGACCATGAGTACGGCGAGCCGCCCAGCTCCTCATGTTTTACCCGCAGGTTCTGTCGCTGGTGTCGGTCACGTCCTCTGCGGCTTCATGCCACACCACCACCTCCCCCACGCTGGTGAAGCTGGCGTCGTCCGGAGCGCCCGGCGCAGCCCCTCACAAGTTCATTGTCGTGTCACTACCGGCCTCCACGAGCCGCTCTCCAGGGGGCCAAAAGTCGCTGGCCCCCACACTAGCCCAGCTGCAGCAACAGGTGGCACTCGGACGCCCGCACCCTTCAGGGTTCCTGCTGCAGGCCTCTCCTGCGGGGACGCACCACATTGTGCGGCTGCCCGGCGTGCAGGGACAGGCCCTGGGCAAGGCCCTTACGCAGATCGCGCGTGGCCAGGCGCTCACGCTGAAGCCGCAGAGCTCCCTCTTGGGGCAGGCATCCGCGGTCGAAGGTCGAGCGGTGGACCCGCTCGGGTCGGCCGCTCAAGGCCGGGGTGCGGAGTTAACCGTGGAAGCAAATGTGATTTTAGCGCAGATTCAGGCACCACCGCCGCTTGCGACCAAGGGCCCGGTGGCTGCGACCACCATTCAAGGCCAGATTGGGTGTGCGCCCTTAGGAAAGGCTGAGGTTTCTGACCAGCAAAGGCCCTGAGGTGTAGCAGTTTTGCAGAGAAGCCAGGCATGTTAAAAGTGGAAAACAGTGGATCACACGTGTTATTTGCATGTTAAAGGAGATCGCTTGATGTCTCCTCCCCTTGGCTACAGCATCTCTTGGCTTAAAGATGCTGGTTTTTCTTACCCAGTTACCAAAGTATCACCACTAACCCAGACCCAGAGAGTGGGACAGGGACCCTGTTGAGCCAGCAGCACTAAGCCCACAATACAAAATTCATGAGTTGATTGATTTCATGAGTTGTCATTCATTGTTTTCACGTTTATTTTACGTTTCCAAGTTTGATGGAAATTCAATTTCAGTTTGGATTTAAAGTCATGAGTCATCTAACAACTCATCCCCACTGCCAACATCAGGTGATTTCTACCACTTTGGGGGTCCCAATTAAATTTGATAGTTATTTGTTATGCTGTTTTACCATCATCTCATTTGTATTGCTTTTCATGCTGGTAGCCTCCAACCAAATCCTCCTGAATGTGCTAAATCTCACCGGATCTTGAAAGTTAAGCCGGGTGGAGCCTGGTTTTGTAGGTGGGAGGATGTGAGGTGGCCAGGGGGTGAATCCGTGCAGATCTGGGCACTCACAGTTTCTTTACAAGTGCCACTCATTCGTGAGAAAGTGGCCACCATCCCAATGCAGGATCCTCGTGAAGTGCTTCGAGACTTAGTGTTCCTTTTCTAGGTAAATATTTGGTCTTGTTAAATATGACATTAATTACATGTTCTCATCCAAAGGACCAGTGGTTAGGGTTCTTTGTCGAGAATCACTGCGTGTTTGGCAGTGTGTTGATTCGTTAAGCACTCTGCTGAGTCCCACAGGGGCACCGTTGTAAGGCCTGGGATGGTGCTGTCCTGAGACTGTTTAATAAATTACTGCAAATGGACCAAGTTTGAAGTTGTCTCATTCTTGTTGCTTGCATTCTGTTCTCAAACATGACCTGTTTTGTTTCATTTGACCTTGAAATAGTTCTCCCAGTTTTGTGCCGTCGGTTGCATCTCATGTCCGTTTATAACTCTTGCAAAGCAGTGCATTACCCATGCAATTAGATTTCACAGAACTACTTTTGAGACCTCTTCAGATAACTTTAATTCAAACGATTCCAATTTATTATATTTCATGGATAAAAATATCAGGAAACATGCACTGATTGAATAACGTGCTTCTTAAGGAAAATTATTGGTATATTGCTCTTCATCAAATTCAGATTTTCATAAGCATTCCATTCCACTCTCAAGTCGTTTGTGTCATCAGTGTGATTAATATTTGCATTGAGCAACTGTCGCAGGTATAATTATTGTGTTGCTCATTAAAGTCTCCAACATTCTAATTAAACTTTAGATTACTTTTGGTTTGCTTCGATTAACCCTTAGGTCCATATTTACACGTAGAGTGGAATCATTATCGAGGTCACGATTACTCGATACCGAGAACGACTAACAGGCTATGGCGTTGGCTGGGCAAGTTAAGGAGTGGAGCATGCTGCTGGTACCGTGCATTTCTTCTGCTGTTGCTGCTCCCTGGTGCACGTTAGTGCTGGTCATTCGTGTGCTGTGTTCTACCAGTGGAGTCTGCCACAGCAAACCTGGAACTGCCTGGCCAGCTGCCACTTCATAAATAGATGAGTAGACTGTGCTCGCATACATTCAATACAGTACTTATTTTACCCGATGAACACTCTCAGTGTCCACTGAACGGATCGTTTTGATCGCAAGCTTCGGCACCGATAACACCCATTCACCTGTCTCGGCATCACCCGGTATTCGGAAGCCACTGGAGCTATGAACTTTTAAATCTAGATTGAAAACTAATTTCTTTAAAACTGCTGTTTAGTTTTTTGTCCTTCCCCCACACCTCAAATAAACTAGCTTAGCTACATACAGTGCCAAAGAAGTTCAATTTACATACCCTAAGAGCAATAAACATTACTACTAGAAAAGAATCTGGTTATTACATCTGTACGCTTGTTAACTCCTGATCGAACAACCAAGTAACCACTGCTGTTACCAATTAAGTTTATTGTGGTTAATGAGCTCCTGAGAGGTGCCGTTGACATTGAAAGTGTCACTTGATTTGCAAAGGGAGAGTGGTGGGACCAGTAATTTTTTTAATGAAGTGCAGTTTCCAGTGATTTCTCTCGGTCAGGGTATACATTGAATCCTGGTCTTGTGCAAAGTCTTGGGATGTGGTAGAGCTCACTTATTCTTTCGTAAAGCTTATGTACAGGTAGTATTACGGATTCAGTTTTAAGTAATTTAGCCGTTCAATTGCTTTGTCCCCAAGCTGGTGAATTGCAGATGAAACCACCCTCTCCATCACCTTCAAATTTATATCCGAGTGCGTGACGTTTTATGGCATGTGGTTTGTAAATATAATAACACCCATTTAACCTTGCTGGACATTTTTTATTTGACATTTTTTTTATCATTTCAACATTGAAATGTACTTTTCACATGGCATGCATTTACACACTTGTGAACCAAGGTGAAATGAAAGTGCAATTTCTATTTTAAAACGTGTTGTCAAGAATGTTCATGAACACTAACAACACTGAAAGGCTCACAGATGATAATGGGATTCCAAAACCAACTACATGTCATAGGCAAGTGGCTTTGCAAGAATCTCTTTTTGCTGTTGGGCTTACTATCACTCCAACCTATCAGCTTTATATTTGTTAGGCTTCTTCGTCATAACCTCAACAAGTAGTACAACCCACTGTAAAAGTGGATTGATTTTCTTCAAGTCGCTCAACCCTAATTAAGCCCAGTTATTTATATCCAACACGAGAAGAAACAGTCGAAAGGTCCTCAGAATATGTTGATGGTACCAAAAGCTGGATAAGAAAAATCTTGTAAGATAACATTGCTGCACATGAACTTTTTTTATATCGCTCAAATCCAACATTCGTGTTGTTGCCAATCAGTTGGTAACATTAACATTTTCATATGTACAACAAATGAAAAACACCCATTTAGAGTATTCTTATGGCACAAAATCATGAGGTTCTTTGGAGTTGCATTATTACAATCACTGCACATAGATTCACCTAAAGTATGTGGTTCATAGTTGCATTTAGAATGTGCAATTGCTCACTACAGTTGTCGTGAGTTGCACATAGAATTAGAATTTTCCATGTAAATTAAAATATAAGCTCTTGACATTCATTAATATAGATCATATATCAACAATAGTTCCATGCAAAAATGTATACTAAATGAGATGTAGTTAATGGTGCATGATAGTTTACACAGCACACATCACAGTAATGCATAGCGCAGCGGCATGTGATGCTTGTACGCAGCTCTCAAAACCATGACCCTAGTACCATACTGCATAGCTCATGATAGCCTTCTGCAGTACAATTCAGTAGTCTTAAAATATAAAAATGTGGGATTACACATAAGTACTCTAAACATCTGCAATGTTCATCTTAATTTTTAACATGTTACGTTGAAATATTTAAATATACAAACACTCCCCACCCATTTAGCACGTGGTGTGGTTATTTTCAGTTGGTGAGCTTGCTCTGTAGAAGCTGCAGTCGACATTCAATTGTCTTGTGGATTATCTGCAATCCCTCCAAGTCCAGTTCCTTCACCAGCAGGAGCACAGCGCTCAGCACATTGGCATTCTACAAAAGGGCAGCCGTGAATTAAGGTACAATAGAATAAAAACAATCACACTCTCCATGATGCTCCACTCACCAAAAGATACAAGACGGGTGATAAACTGTATTCTACCGATGATAACAAAAACACTCCAAAAAGACGCAAATCAAACTTGCGCCTGGTGCCAACAAAGTTGTACAAATGTGGTCTCACCTACTATAAAAAATACAGTGGGGGGGGGGGGGGGGGGTGGCACGTGCCCCCCCAATGATCCGATCGAAATCCCTAATTTTTATCGGATCATTGTGGTTTATTAGTAATAATTCGGCATTTTGCGACCCCCACTGCCACTGTGTAGGATATTATGTGCCAGCGATTCTATACGATGATAGGACAATAGTCTGAGTCCATAATTGGCAATAAGTAACGGCAAAGCAGTTCTAAGTGACTCAGAATTGTGCGCAGTTGCGTATACAGTACACGACTTCCCTGAAGGCATTCACCTTCAGCGAGCGCGATGTCGATCACACACGGTTCGAATTCGACCCGCGATCGATTGCGTGCGCCATCGCCGCACACGAGTCAAATAACAAGCAAGGGATAAGTCCTTACTTACTAACAACTCCTATCATTATTCATTGCTGGAGGGGTTGCCCCCCCTCCCACCTGAAAATCCTGGCTCCGCCATTGGGGGGGGAGGATTTGTGCCTTGCAGTCGATGGAATACAGTTATAGAGACAAAGGCAAGGCAAATGACAAGACGAGGCTTGCGAGAGTACAATCGAAAGAGAAAGTACATTTTTACGGAAAATAATTGAGAGGGCTCACCGATCACTTCACAAACAACGTTGGTATCTGTGCAACTAATGATAATCGAGTGAATATGTGGCATATGGAGGGACCCACTTTGGAAGGGATTTTTACTGGAGAAGAGTTGGAGCAGGAGAACTTGTCAATAGGTAGAAGCTTCATGCCAAGCTGTTGTCGTATTTTACTGCAGAACAAAGCAAAATATTAAGAGGGACACGCCATATTTTATCATTGTTACATGCATTTAACCAGGTAAGCATCACCAAGTCTCAACTCTTTTTCCGGGTCCTATCAAGTTGTTGCATCTATATTCTTGGGTCTTTCGGTAAAGTCACGTAGATAGGTTCAAATAAAATAAAACTACGACGTTTTGATCGCAACGACTGCTTGTGTTGCGATCGAAACGTCGAAGTTTTCTGTTATTTTTGATAATTTTCTTTGAACCTATCTACGTGACTTTACCGAAAGACCCAAGAATATGAATTCCTGCAGTCACGCAAGCTTTAAATCAAGATTTTGTTGCATCTAAAGGCACTGTTCCTGTGTGTAATCCAAAATTTAGTAACTGGTATGTAACCAATGCCAGTTACATTGTATGTTTTGTTAGATATTGGTGGAAACTGGAAGAACAAGGAGGAATCCCATGTAAAACACGGAAGAACTTCCAAACTCCACGCAGAACGATGCCCAAGTCGGGTATCGAATTCAGGCCCTTGCCATGACGTGCAAGTGTTAGCACTGGGCCACCCTGCCGATCATGTTTGGGAATGTGCCCTTTATGGATATTCCCAGTCAAAAAATATCTAATTAGCGCCAAGGCAAACAATATCCAATGGGAATCTTACTTTGTTTCTATGAGGCTGAAGTTGATGGGATCCGTGTCTGCTTCAGTGAGGCTCTCGTTGGTTCCATCTCCAGACTGGCTGATGTGATCATTTGACTTCAGAAGCTCATTCTGCACCTGTGCTGGATTTGGTGATGTGATATCCTCCCCTTCCTTCTGTGCTTGAGCCAGTTCTTCCTCTGTGACAGCTGAAATGTGGACCATAAATATTACATTCGATTAATCTTTTTTTTTACGAATCCTCAAGGATGTTGTGTGCAATCGTTTCAAAGTATTAAATTGTGTTTTTTAAACTACAATGAGTGGTCCCCAACAGAAGAAAGTATTTAATGTAGTGGGCAATATGCATGAATGGTGCGAACTTGACACAGCTGACCCCTTCACTGATCTGGATCTGTATTTCCGTGGTTACTTTGATAACGACAGCGTTGTCATTGGCGTCACATCTACGTAGCTTCTCGCCCGCTATGTTCTCAATCTTTGCTGTCTCTCTTCCTCTTCTCCCTGTGCTCAAGACATGCTTTCGCTCTTTCTCTTATTGTCCCCCTTCACTGGAACAAACTTCCCCTCCACATTAAGCAGTCACCTTCGCTCACTAGTATCATCTCCGTACTCAACTCCCTT